TATAATTTTAGTTATATCTTAAGCATTAAAGCTAAAATTTGGACTTTGTTTTTTCTTATGCTGGATAGTAAAACTAATTTTGTCTTGTTTTGAATCAATTCTAGCGATTTCATCAATAAGGAAAAAATTTTGCAATAAATAAGCACAGTTTTCTAACTGAAAATTGGAAACTTTTTATTGATTCATAAAATATTCACAGTAGATCCAACAAAGGCTAGGGTATACTTTGTGCTGTGTAGACTAAAGCAGAAAACAACATGAATAAAGCACAAATGAAGATACATAAATGGACGTACTATAATTTCAGTACTATGTAGTATCCGTTTCTTCCTCGCATACTAAACGTCAAATAAAGGTTGAGAAGTAAAAAGACAAACACGTGTTGAGTGTTTTAACCAATAGGGATTAAGGAACAAGTTTGAATAAGGAAATATTATAGGAGAGATATGGAGTAATTTTATTTAAGAAATAAGAGAGATTTGTGTGCTTTCATTTGTGCTTTATTTACATTGTTTTTTGCTTTATACACTAAAGAGTTATGTTTAGGGTAAATGGCCACCTTCATGACTTTGCTGATACATACGCCTACTGTCTCGCTTAGTAATTTCCACTGTTTAAGAAATCTTCTTTTCTGAAGGTAGCATAGATAATGTCTTATTGTTTTATTAAATTAGACTTAAAGGAAATTTGCATACGCGGATTTTTAAGGAAATTTTCAATGACCATTTTGGTTGTGAACCATTAAATTAAGACCATTAAATTAAGGTTGTGAACGCACCAAATTTGTTACAGTAATATAATGTTATAACAATATAAATGCTATTTTAAAAAATGATTGCATGGAAAAATTACTTCTGTTCACTATCAGATCTAGGCATTTATAAGATTAATAGATAATAATATTTGAATGTGAGAAGTAGGGGCACAATCGTAAGTAAATAGAATTCTTTTTAGTACATATACCTTAGGTGAATAATTTCATTTTTTGTAAAGAAAAGAAAAGAAAAAAACTGTTTTCTACCAAAAAAAAACAATTATTGCGAAGCAATCATCGGGATTGATAAGCAGCAGGAAACAGGGGGCTTAGCCTTCCAGTTTCCCTATAAAATTGTTGGATAATAAATTACTTCTGTTCACTATCAGATCTAAATATTTATAAGATTAATAGATAGTAATATTTGGATGTGCGAAGTAGGGGCACAATCGTAAGTAAATAGAATTCTTTTTAGTACATATACGTTAGGTGAATAATTTCATTTTTTGTTAAAAAAAGAATAGAAAAAACTGTTTTCTACCAAAAAAAACAACAATTATTGCGACGCAATCATCTGCATAAGCATCTGCATTATGGATAAGCAGCAGAGAACAGAGGGCTTAGCCTTCTAGTTTCTCCATAAAATTGTTGGATTTTCATAAGAATATAAAAATATGTCAATACCATAAATACTTTGATACATTTCTTTCCTAGGCTTATCATTTTGTAGAAAGTTCATAGTATATATAAAAGTATATAGTATAAGTGTATGATAATATATGAACAAACGCATCATTCATATTTTCTTAAACAAATATGTTAAAATTCACTGCAAAAAGTGCTGGTGCATAGTTGCCACCATTTTTGGTGTTGAGGTAAACTTAAATTGTATCTAGTCACATTTTTTCTTAACTTTTTAAGTATTACTGTTTCAATTATTTATTCATTCATTTGTTGCTTGTTTGCTTACTGACAATACTTTTTTTACACGCACATAATAATCAATTTAATGGCATCATTGCAAAAACTTTTCGTTTAAAAAACGAGCCCTTTTTCTGTAATACATTCACAAAACTTCTTTGAATTATTATTTTGCCGTTTTTATATGATATTTCGCATGATAACTGCATTTACGTATTTAAAAATGTATTTAGTTTACCTCAACGCCAAAAATGGTTTCAACTATGTACCAAAATTTAGTGAATTATTTAATTTTAACAGCTTGCTATTACTGTTTAAATATTATTACGAAAAAACTTTTCACTCATCTTATTTTTTAAAAGTTAAAGTTTGACTTAAAAAGGAAGTAAACTGTCTTATAATACTCTCTTTTAAAATACTATTTATTCTCAAAAGCATACACTCTTTTTCTAATTTAAAATAATGTTTTGCGAGATAAACAGCACGCAGGATTAAAGAAATTATTGTAAGATAATGAATAGGGGTACTAAAATTCCGAAAGTCATTCCTGCGTAACTAGATAAAACTCGTAGTTTCAGAATCCTGCACGAAATAAATAAAAATTTTAGTACCGTCTTACACAAATTAAGATTAGAAACGAAGATTTTCTAAGCTGGATGAGGGATTTCTGTCCTGTTTTAAATCAATATTAGTCAATAATTTATTATAATTTCTTGCTTTCATAAAAAAATTCGAAAAAGACTTAATAAAATCGGTAAATGAAATTAGTATGAGTACACAATTCTGTAAATTATCATGTGTTATTTTATTTAAATGCTATTCTGATTCATTCCATTCTGCATTTTTTATTCATTTTAAAGCTACTGCATCATAACATTAAAGCGTACTGGCTGTTCTACAACAACAGCTATAAGTTTTTTTAAGAATTCAAATCTAAAAGATGTACACATTCTTCTTCTTGGCACTACAGCCCATAGCAAGCTCGGCGAGTTTTCCCACTGGAGTCATGTTGTTTTCAATAAATCAACTCTGTAATTATTCACAGTAGTGATTGCATATTTATATTTAACTGATATAAAAGAAGAAATTAAAAATCTAAGATATTACCGAAGAAAGCAGAAATTGGAGCATTAAAACCCTTTTGTTTGCCGGAGAAAATATAAAAGAATTAAAAAGGATTTCGAGTTTCATCAGGCAATAAAACGCTCTTTGTATTTTCAGCTCTAATCTTCATCAACAGTGATTCGTCAGATTTCGATAGTTATTTTTTATATTCCTCTCGTTTAATTATTAATTTATAATCCCTATTATTTATACTTTTTTGTGTCTTCTTCGACAATGACTTGAGAATACTTATTAAGAGTGATCTTTACAGAGCAACCTTTATGTACTACAATATCCATAAACATTTAAAAATATTGAAATATACTAAAATGCATTAAAATAATATACTAAAATGCATTATAAAATGCATTAAAATATACTTCACTTTTTTGCAACTTAATGCTGTTATAAAGTATTAAATTTTAAAATTGAAAAGTATAAATCTATTCAACATTAATGCTTTATATAAAGTTGTTTGTTCTCAAAAACATGCGTTCGAATTTTCTCAAAATACTGTTCTTTTAATAACATAAAACATATAAGTTATTTTTTGCATAATTGCTTTGGAGCATTAGTGTCTGAGTTATAGTAAAAAAAGCTTTTTTATAATTCAATTGTCTGATTAATAAAGATAAAAGCTTTAAGGAAAGTTTCCAACATGATAAAACAGTTGCAAAAGCAAAAAGGGATAATATTATCATATAGGTTATGAAGAAAAGTAAAAGCTTTGAATACCAAATAAGTCTGTACTTCACAGATTTTTATGAAACATTTACATTTCTGTTGATCTAAATGTTAGTTTTGAAATCCAAACTTTTTAATAAGTCAGTTGAATACTTAAACGGCTAGTAACTATTCAGCCTTAGATACAATGTTTGTACTATTCTCTTAAGCTGATATTTCTCTTGAACAATTCAGTATATTTTTTATAAGTTTCTGCTTTTAGCATTTTAAAATTAGATTAACCCCTTCTCGGTTGACGTCACATCTCATACGTTCGGCGTTTTTGTGCCCGTATGATCGGTGCCGCATGCCGGACAGAAATTGCATCATTGAAATTGAATTCGTTGCTACTTATACGTCTCTTTAAATCCCGAGATTGTCTTAGTATTTCTGAATATTACTAAGAGATGGCGCACCTAGTCCCCCTTTCTTCACAATCCTTGCAGTGAGATTTCCTACCTTGAATTGAAATCAAAATCATTTCGTAATTCCTGTAATTTCCCTTTCACTAGTGTTACCGTTGCATTTAATCTGTTACAAATTATTTAAGTATTGTGATAATTGTGATTTTTACGCTCTGATGCCCAAGACTGATTGTAAAGCTGTTTCAATGAAAAATTATTTTCCAAAATATATTTTTACCTAATTTAGATATTAATTTCATGCAGATATTTATCTTAAACACCTAAAACAATAGAGTTAATAAATATGTTATCACAGAGTGTATTTAAGATAAAACTTGGGTGCATTGCAGGAAAAACTGAACATCAGTAAACGGGACATTACATATTTCACCACCAATGGGTCCAGCCAAAAACTGCTTATTGACAAAAAATATTTTGCATTTTTGAGTTTATAATCGAACTTATATTAATTTTCAGCAAATAAAACAAATGCTTTTTTTTGTCAAAAATTTGAGAAATAAAATTCGACAGTGAAGGGATTAACATACTGCTGAAGTACCATTAATAGTTTATCCGAGTACATATTACTCCTTTTTTTCATAATTTAAGCATAAAGAACTCCTGCATAGATGACCCTTTGCATTGGCGACCTAATGACTATGACGAAAAGTTCAAATTTTCTTTCAATCTTTAAAATCGTTGCATATATTAATGAAAACCCCTGTATTTAAAATGTGATAATTTCAGAACATTTCAACGTTCCACTTTCAAAAGGGTCAAATAATTTAATTAAGTGTTTTGGTCTTTTAAATACAGGGCATAAATCTAATGTATGAAGCGACTTACTAAGAAAAATATGGTTTTAAAACGCTTAATAATAATAAATGCTTAACGTTAGTCTGTGTAACTAAAAGACCGAAAATCTACAAATAAATTTATGTTTATAAAAGTATATTAATAATAAAAGCAGAAAAAATTTTATTATATTTTGAATTTAAAAACTAATTATGTTCCTTATGTTAAGAAATGTCAACAAACTAAATGAGTTTTTAAAAAAATTACAAAATTTTCAATTTTGTTTTATTTTTTTTCAGGGGATGGCCACCAATCCGATGATCTTTCTGCAAAAGATAAAAGCAATGCAGCTTACGATAAAAATCTTTACCTGTATAGTGTAAGTATGCCTTTTTATCAGTATTTTCCTTTAATTTCCCTCGAATAAAAAAAATCCTACTTCCTAAGAATAAAAGAGTTAATTTTGCGTAATCAAATATAAGAGTAATCCTAAATATTTTGATTTTAGTTTGTAAATTAGATATTTATTTTCTTAAGTTTGTGAAATCACTCTCCAAAATACTTTGAAATAAAATTTTATGAGTATATGTGGGGAAAAAATGGCTAGCTTATATGCCTGTTTTATGTGTGAAGTGAAAAACAGGAAACGTTTTAAGGCAATTAGATACCTTATGAGATATCCCAACCAGTATTTTTCGAGATATCACACGGAACAATCATTCCATGCTTTTAATAAAATTTCAAATTCTGGATTATCTTAATGAACTATTGTCATTCTCTTATTACTAGAATATTTAAAAACTCTTTTCCTATATGACCAAATGAAATTAAATGGAATAGTTTTATAATTTCATAATTATAAAAGAAAAAAAATTCAAATGCTCACCTGGAGAACGATTTTTCGTCATATGGGTATCTGAATGGCAGATTTGTTGGCCACTCTTTCAGGGTTACCATATTAGGTGGGTCAACGTTGCTACCACAGTAAGAACAGATAGTACAGAGAAAGAAAGAACATTCACGTCTTGCCCGGGATTTGAACCTAGAACCTTTCAGATGCAAGGCCAGTTTCCTGACCCCTGCACAAGCCGGTCGGCAGAAAAGAAAAATAAGATCAAATGATTTTTTAGATTTAAGTGAAAGAATTTCCGTTCTTTCACCAAGAAGCTTTCGCAATGTTAATATTTTGAATGGTGTTTATTTAATTGTCAGAAATTTGGTGGTCTCGTTGGAGAATATCCGAAATATTTGTCAGATCCAATTTGATATTAGTTTATTTTATTTTAGTATTTTCTTGATGTTTTAATGACGGATTAGGAAGATTAGAAGAAACATCAGTTTTAGGAATACCAGGCAGATATAGACCAGGCAATGGCATTTAATCTTAAAAAAGACGTAAGCGTAGAAAGTACCGAGAATGGGGCTCAACCTTACATAAAAAATAAAAAACGCACACACACATTAGAGTAGAAACCCGGTTATACAACTTCCCTTTATTACCAACACTGATGTTTTCCTAATCTATCCTAAATGGATATTAAAGCATCGAATAAATAAAAAAATATCGATGAATAAATTAATATGAAATGGGATCAAATATTTTGGGTAAACACCAAAGCGACTATATGATTATCAGCATTCACTGGTGAAAGTCAACAATCACCAATGTGATTATCAATATTTACAGGTTAAGATCGTTCACAGTCATCATTAGCTCATTAGCTTATAGAAAATATTATACTGCAGATTTTCTATGAGCTAATGAGATATTTTTCCATTTGAATATATATACTGAGACAGCGGTACAAGCATAAAATAACATTCCCAAAGCATACGTGCAATCTCATCTGTTGTTTAAATTCATAGTTAATAGTACAAACCATTATCCATGCCAAAGTCCATGTGACATAATATTCAGTATTACACATAATATTCAGTATCACGCATTAACTCAGTATACAGTAATTATGCTGTGCTAATATTAAAATATTTTTAATGACAGAAGAACGTAATGGAAAAAGTTCTTAAGCGACATTTTTTGACAAAATTAAGATTTTCCGCGGAAAACTTTTTATTTTAAGTTTATCAAACTGCTCAAAAATAATTTTTCAAATCTCAGTAGATGATTATTCTAAATTAACAACTTTGGGTGTTTTTGGAATGTTCCAAGTTTATTTGGAAGCAACCGATTGATGACTAACCTTAGATAATTTTTTGGCATGAAATTAAATCACCAGCAATGTGAAATCTTTGAAGTAGAAAGTTTAAGTAAGCGTTAGTTTCATATAAGCTTTTGGGTAAGAAATAAAGATAACGTGTAATCGTAATTTCTTATTGCAAACACCATCATTTTAAAGCTAATTCGCTGAAATTTACTTAAATGTCAATTTTCTCATCATTCACCGACATATTAATGTAACTGATTTATCAAACTTAAACTAGCAACTTTGTAATTATTAAGATCTCTAAGGAATCTCTGCACTTTAAGAAAATTTAGTGACGTCACGCATTATTCCCACAATCTTTCCGAGCTTTCATGAGATTCCATGAGATTCCAGCGGGAAACAATTTTCTTTCCTAAAAGTTTTCCGAATTCTATAATTAAGTGTTTTATCTACTTATTTATTTTTTGTAGTAACGCCTCTACTGGGTGTCCCAGGATTGCTGGGACAAACTTTAAGTGGAGCTAGGGGACATCTCAAGGATTCATATTTACAGAGCAACCCATGGTCAGAAACGTCTTCGCTTGCCGCTAGGTGTCGTTGTTCACGAGAGCAATGGATGAAATAGACCAGTATTGCTACTGTCATTTAGGCTGTCGTCACTGTCAGACGAGTATGCAACGTTTTTCAAACACCGAGCTTGCAAAAAAGCACAGTATGTACGAATTAGCAGAGGGAAATGCACGAGCCGTAGAAAAAGTGTATTTCGAAAGATACCCACTGAGAGATGCATCGTACCGCAGGATGTTTATTCAATATTCTCCTCCATATTCAGATTCATATTCTCACAATTTGTGAGAATATGGATCAGTACGAGGTAATACGCATAGTGTAGGCGGGCTACAATTGACTTGAAATCCTACCGCAGAATAAAATGTGTTGGATACCGTCCAAAGTAATCCAAGTACCTGCGTATGAGTCGTTGCTGCTGCCGTAGAAGGATCTCCCATACCATCTTCAAATAGTACCATTACTGTATACTGCGCTTGTGCGTTTTGCGCAATGGTGTCTTGACCCATGACACCAAGATGCGTATTTTCCATCGTGCGTTTTATTTACAGTGAGACGGATTTCACGCGAGACGTATTCCACCAAAATGACCATTTATGGGCTGAAGAGAACCCCCATGGCATGAGACCACATGCTGACTTACATTGCTTTTCCACGAATGTTTTGGCTAGTCTGGTCGGTGACCTCTTAGTCGGGTGTTGCTTGTTACCATCAACTCTAATAACTGAAAATTATCTCATCATTTTGAAAGAGCTTCTACCAAGCTTACTCGACCCTGTGCTACATGCCAGACGCCATATGTGGTTTCAACATGATAAGGCACCTCCCTATTATGGTGGATATGTTCATGAACATTTGAATCTATTTTTTTGTTAGCAATGTATTAGGTTTGATGAACCGGTTCCCTGACCATCAGCTCTCCTGATTTACGAAGTATTGATTTGTTTTCCTTTGGGGTGCACTGAAAAATGCTGTGTACGCAGCACCTGCAGATTCCGAAATGGATCTGGTTGCAAAAATAGCATGCACTGCTGCGGATATCCAACAAAATCCAGGTATATTTGAATGAGTCTACCAATCCATAGCTCGTCTAAGTAACTCATGCATCGCTAACAATGGTGGAAACTTTGAACATCTTTTGTGACATTTTCACATGTCATCTACCACAACACATGTAATATCTTTGATCAGTAAATGTTTCATATGATCTCAGTTTTGTGACTCTTTGTTTCTTATACCTGTCATACTACTTTCCCATGAGATTTTCGACCATGGGCTACTATACAATTCTGAATCTTGTGATGTCCCCTACATCCCCTTAAAGTTTGTTCCAATTATCCTGGGACACCCAGTATATATTTAATATTTATATTTTATTTACGTAAATTGTATATCATATTTTCATACACAAAAAATTAAACGATAGATATTAGGGTAAGTTCGTTTGTTAATTGCTTTTCTAAATTCTTATTAAGCCACTTAGCTCCATGAATTCGGGTTTATACATTAGCTGAAAGGGCTAACCAGTCGTTCTCACGACTGACTTATCTGGGTTTCAACTTCAAACGTAGACTACACACCTTTTCTCCATATCTTGTACAAATAAAGATTTTCTACTTCACTCTTTTATTAGTGAATTTTAACTACAGAAACATGCAACTATTTCAATCAGACATGCATGGCAGCACTACAGCCCTACTAATTGCTGGATGACACTACTGGATTCAGTACTACCCCCCTTCCCAGAAGCAGGAAGTACCTAAAACTGTGACGTACGTCGCAGAACAAACGAAGTCCTGCAGAACAATTTGTATCTTGAATAAAATTTTCTTTAGCTTTGACCACTTGTTGTTTCCCAGGAATGATGTTGTTTTAGAAGAGGAACATTTGACACCCTGCACAAATTTCAGCACATTTATCAGTAATCTCCCTCTCCTATATCTTTGCCATTCTAAGGAAGAAATTAATGAATTAGCCTTTGGCTATAATATTTTTATAAAATGGGTGTATCAATTTTTAGCTGACAGCAGGAGAAATCGATCACCAATTTTATCAAGAGAGCTTCTAAAGCAAGCCGTAAAAGAATTAAATTCAGAGATTTCCAATTTCATAAAGTTTATGATTTTTATATTTTCCATTCCCATTTCAGAAGCAATTTGTGAATCGTGGGGATCCACGATTGACAGAATTGTTTCTGAAAGACCAAATGCTTTTGATGGAGATGAAGAAGTTGTTGGAACAACAGCCAGCGAATGTTTGTGTTTGCAAATGGTGCACCATTTGGGCACTTGTCCCTTCGAAAGATTTTTAAGGCAGCCCATATTTTAATGTTCGGACCTTCATATTATAGGCATTTTAATAATAATTCATCATCATCGTCATTAACAAAATTTTGTTTTTCAAAAGTGATTGAAGAAGTAACAAATCAAGAATGTCTCCCTTGACTTAAAAAATAATGTAATGTATCTGCGTATGATCTTGTATTTTAATAAATGAAAATATAGTATTTTAACTTAAAGTTGACTTTTTTTCGCTGTGAAATGCTTACAGAACATTTGTATAAATTAATAAGTCCTGTTGCAGAACATTTGAAAATATTCTGCTTATGGGCCCCCCTTTAACACTTAGCCTTGCTGCGACGGGTGAGTCATATGCATTCTCGGGGTTGGGACAATCAGGGGGTAAGAAAGATAAAACTGGTAAGTGAAATATTTTTATAGCAGTTTATTTCGAAGGGGACGGAGTAATAATAATTTAATTTACTTAATATGACACAGCTTAATTTAAAATTGAGACCAATAATATAGTTAGACTTTGAACTAACATAAATTAGGCATGTTTGAACTAAAGTTAGGAAAAAAGACACTCAAATTAGCCATTCCCAAACTTAAGCTACCGATTATTATTTTTTTCTATCCTGATTCCGTGCGAATACATTTATGTCTCACCCGTCTTGAAAAGGTTAACATCTCCATTAGACTAACTAACTAAGCAACGTTCCACGTCTAAATATAATCAGAAGAAAAGAAACACAGTCAGAACTCAAATTTGATTATTCCAGAAGCGTTACAGGCTTTTGTTTGGAAAATTTTTAAATTCTTTGGAAAGGTTTCAGGTTAATTTCAATAAATTTACTTATTTTTAGAAAAAAGATTTCTGAATTTTTAGAAAAACCGCCCTAATCTTTGCCAGACTAGGTTAAATTAGACATATTCCTGATATCTATCTACACATCAGAGAATAATTTTTTATAAGTAACTTATAAGCAATGTAAATAAATAATTATCGGCTTTTCATAAATTTCAGGATGAAGCAGACGAGAGGCCTCACGTAGCAAGCTTTCTTCATTCTTTAGCCAATTACAATGTAGCAATACCAACTGTTGAAGAAGCAGGTGAAGGTAAGGAGGAGGGAGAAGGAGTTGAAAAAAAGGCTCCACCTAAGGTAATTCTCTTTTTCTGCTACCTTTACTCGTGGCAAAGCTATTATAATTACAGCCTTCACTGTAAGATATCCCAGATCAAATTATGGTATAAAGTACCGGCACTTTGGATGCATCATCCATAAGATCTATTTTACAGTAAAATCCATTTTTACAGTAAAATATCATGCCGTAATTTTTACAGTAATATTTATTTCATAAGAATTATTCAGTGATTTTACGTTAATTTACTACAGTAAAAATTACGGTATATCTGGTTTTTTGCTCCGCAACATGCTCCGGCAAAAATGGATATTACGATAAAAAGAACCGGTACGCTGAGTATCGGCACTTTACCGGAATTTGATTCAGAATTTTTTGCAATTTTTTCCCAACTTTTTCTAGAAACTTTACCAAATGGCTATTTATCGTTAAATTTGTGGAATCTTTAAAATTAAGAATATTTCTTTCTTAATATTCTACTTAATTGGTGTTTACTTTCCTACTTACAAAATAATAGTGAAGTGTAAACCAAACATATACTATTTACATTTAATCTGTTTTTTCGGAAGAGTCAGTTCCCGAAATTATAAAGAATGTAATTTTATGTGACAAACAACAAAATTTGAACGAAGTCTGTCGAATTGTTCGCGAGACATCACATTTTAAGTATACGACTCTTTTGAAATTTAATAATACAGAAACTATTGTGCTGATCATGCTCAAATTTTGAATTTTACCATTTAAAATTACAATGCTTAAAATGATGTAAAAAAAATTTTATGCCTTACGATTCAAGCATTTTTCAACAAATATTAAATGAAATATTAAAGCCAAAATAAATAAATATTAAAAATTACTTTTTGCGCGGAATTATGTTTGGATAAAGGAGTTTTATACTTGGGTTCAAAAAATTTTCGATACGCTTAAAAAATTCTTGAGATATGACGAAATATCCCATAAGTTGAAACTAAAATTAACCCTTTCCTGAACAGCAAAGTATGATTGAAAATTTGAGTTTAGTTAAATAGCACATTAGCAAATGCGATCTAACATAGCTCATTCTATATTCAGCGACAGACTTCAGCTCTTTATTGTCAATAGAATAATGGTCGCTAAACGCTTAAAAGCAGTCTTTATTATAATAGCAGCAATTAGTCTTACTTAAAGCATGGCAGTGGTTTGCAACATTTGTTGAATTAGTGTTGTCAGATAATTTGCAACGGAAAGGATTAAAACATCCAAGCTTTCAATCGCACTCATGACCTACTGGTGTGACTATATTTTAGTATCCATTTTTCATTTTTTCTCTCCAGAGAGATAATGGGGTTTTTTTTTTTTTTTTTTTTNTTTTTTTTTTTTTTAACTTGCGACAGAATATAGCAGTATTTTTTTTTTTAAAAATGCTACATGTTTTGGTGCAAAACTGTAATTTGATACAAATGTTTAAACCCCACTCTTTTGAGACTCCCAAACCACTTCAATGTTGAAAATTTCAGTGAATATTCTTAGAAAAATTAAGTCGTTAACGCTTGCTTAAAAAATTTACAAAAATCGAAACATTTTTTAAATGATGCATGTAAGAATAAAATTAATTTATTTTATTCTAAAAAATGCATATTTATGCTTATGATATTAATTAAAAAACAATCTGAAATGGTAGAAGATTTTGAAGCGGAAAGAAAATGAGCCATAGTTTAAATGCCCTAAACTCGAAGAAAAGCTCTAATATTAAATTATATACACATATTTTGAGAAGAATTATCTAGTCTTTAGAACAGAAAAATAGCTTAGTTATATTTAAAAAAATTATTAAACTCGAAAAAAAGTAAATGTGGTGATATTTCCTCATGCAAAGTCATCAGAAAAACATGAATAATTCACACAGTTCAGACAATGTAACATTGAAACATCTTTACGGTATCACAAACACTTTTATTTTTTATTAAACTGAGGTTTTTCTTCATATTGACATTTTGCATCACTTTTATGATTAGCTAGGAGAAATCTGGCTAAAGTCAGGCAAAACTTAATCTAACAATCCCGAATAACTGAACTCACAGGAGTTATAAAAACAACATATTATCTTCTAAAAAACGTTATATGCTTTTGAAAGTGTAACCAATATAGTGGATGAAAAGTGTAAAATATGTTCTACTCTTTTTCTTTGAACAGAAGGCCAATTTAGGTACAATAGCCGGAGTATATCTACCATGCATTCAAAATATATTTGGTGTCATCTTCTTCATCCGTTTGGTTTGGATCGTAGGAACTGCTGGAGCAATCGTTGGTTTCATTGTTGTTTTCTTATGTTGCTGCGTGGTGAGACTATCACTTTCTTTTTATTTAGTTTTCTTTGTAGCAACTTCTCAATAAAAAAATAAAATGCAACTTAAATTTAAATTGTTTACTTTCTCTAAAACATTCTACAAGGCATCTTTCAAAACATATTGTAAGTAACAAAATGCTATTTCTAGTAGTGTTTCATGATCACCACCAAATATTTTGTGCGTAATAATTGCCCTTAGTGCATATTTTCAGAATCTCTGACAGAAATGAAGTTAAAGTTAGGATATTTTTCTACATTAGGGATCGCAAGTTAATATTCAAGCTAGGACGGAAACAGAAGCGCTATCGTAATCTGTCGAATCACTAGCAAGGAAAGCTGAAAAAAATCTTCAAAATTAGTTTCATTTTAATTTGAAACCAGGAGTAGTTTCTAGGAATCACCTTTCCACTCCCTTATTTTTTCTTTTCTCCGGAAATAAAACAGGTTGTGCCATTTTAAGCTCTGCCTTCCTCAATAGTGATCCATAAGATTTTTATAGTTCTCTTTTCGCTTGAACTATCATTTGGTGACCCTTAATGCATGTACGTTTTACTTCATTTATCAAAAGAATTCTTAAAACATACAAAAGACGGAGTACCCTGTATATTTGCATAATATTTATCTGTTTTATGAAACAAACTGGGCAATATATAACTCATATTTACCCCAAATGTGCAAATAACTAGTGAAAAAATTAAGTCAGTGTGGTACAGAAATGCAGAAGTTTTTAATATAGCATCAATAGTAATAAATTACTGATATTTACCCCAAAAGAGCAAATATCTAATGAAAAAACTAAGTCAGTGTGGTACAGAAATGCAGAAGTTTTTAATATAGCATCAATAGTAATAAATTACTGATATTTACCCCAAAAGAGCAAATACCTAATAAAAAAATTAAGTCAGTGTGGTACAGAAATGCAAAAGTTTTTAACGTAACATCAATACTAATAAATAACTGATATTTAACCCGAATGAGCAAATAACTAATGAAAAAAATTAAGTCAGCGTGGTACAAAAATGTAGATGTTTTTAAAATAACATCAATAATAGTAATAAATAACTAATATTTACCCCAAAATAGCAAATAACTAACGGAAAAATTATGTCAGTGTCGCACAGAAATGCAAACGTTTTTAACATAACATCAATTTAAATCTTTTTTCATAAAATTCAGCAGTCAAAATATTTCATCCAAATTTCAATTATATTAATACCATAAAGAATTATTTCCTGAAATAAATTTAAAGACAGAAAATGAAAGTTTAAAATAAACTTATATTACGAACATAACTAAATTGTTTTAAAAACTTTAAGTTGAGAAAAATAAAATTATTGTGTTAACGATGAATTTTATTGAGTTTTATTTCTTGGAGTTTTATTGCAATGGAGATAAATATACTTGAATAAAAATTCCAACGCCTTAGTTTCTATATGATATGAATAAATAAAGCTTCTTTGAAATAAAACGAATTTCCCTTCTTTCAGACAATTACAACTGTAATTTCATTAAGTGCAATTGCAACGAATGGTATAGTACCGGGTATGTATAATTTAACTTATTACATTTTATTAGCTATTATCTTTCAAATTTGTAAATATAACAAACTTTGCTTCGGTAAATTAAAAAATTTTGAACAATAAAGTTGGTTTCGAAAAAACACAAAATTTAGTCTAAGTATAAATTAACTTATTTTAGTAACCGAATTATGTAGTCTCACGTTTAATATTGGTTTCAAAAAGTAACTAGCTACATTGGTATTTCGAACCATTTTTACTTTCCTTATTCTTCATTGTTGTTAATTTTTAATTGGTAATTTTTAATTTTTTTATGTCAATTTTTAAAGGCTATGTCAATTTTTAATGTTCATTTTTGGATGGTATTTTGACGTTTTGAATCGTATTTTAACGTTTTGAATTATCATTTTAATGTTAAAATCATATTTATTTCTCTTTTCCAATTATACTAGTAAAAATATATTTCACTGTATATTGTAAATAGTCTTTTAAAATGCTTATTAACTCTTTCATCGCGACGGACGAGATATTTCAGCTTTCAAGCATATTCGCTGCGTCGTTGTTATATTAGTTAGTATTGTTATTGATTGCAATCGCTTATTATTTTTCAAAATAAAATAAACAAGTTTTGAAGAAATTCGCTTTTTGTTTTAGTTTTAGCACTGCGGGGAAACTCTTAGCGCAAAAGGATAGGACTAAATATGAATTTAAAAATTGTCAATAAAATTCAGTCCTAGAGGCATTATTTTGAATGTATTGATTTTGTATGCTTTGTCTTAGACATTTGTATTAAAAAAATACGGAGAGGCTTCAAGAAAAGCATTTTTTGGAAAGTATTTGATTCAACACGTAAATAGTCTATTTTGCTTTCAAATTATTATAAAAAGTTTCGAACTTACAATGCTGCAGGCTCATCAAAAACGAAATAATAAGCGAATAGTAGCTGCTATCATTAACAAAAGATGCTTAGGGTCGTTCCGCTGTGACGTCATCGAAACGCGTTTTGCAATGTTTCTCGTTACCCTTCTCACAGTGAAGCCCTCTAGCAACACTAAATTGGACTAAAGAGCAAAAAATCATTAAATTAGTAAGTGTTATATTTTTATTTATTATTTTTTTTTAATTTTCCTTTTATTTTGTTCTATCATTAATCTACTGTAAACGGAGAAAAATAAAGTTCATATTGATAATTTATCAGAAATCATTAAATCATTTTTATAATAATTAAGAATTAACTTTAAAAGTATACGAGCAGGTTTATATGTTTGACATTCACTATTATTTCCTTTAAACTATTCGAAGATTAAATACGGATAAGTAAGTGTTATTTCTTACAATTAATAATTGTAAGAAATAACACACCGTATTTGAACTTCAATTAGTTTAAAAGGAATTAATGGTGAATGCTAAACATATAAATATGCATTATATTCGACATAGAAATAAATTTAAGAACAGGGAACATAGATAGAAATTAAAATATTTAAATCAAATCAAAATCCACTTTAGGGGCTAAACAAATTAACATACTTTGTTTACATCCAAATATTTTATGCAATTAAAATAAAAGAAGTGATTAAAATAAACAATGCACGAAAACTTCATGAATTCAATTAAAAAATTTTAATGAAAACAACAAACTCCTCTTCAAATTAAGACTGATTACCGCATCGGATTGGGGAGCTATATATGTTAAGACGGGAAGTATTAGCTTTTAGCTCCATGCTTTGAAAAAAAATACGTATCTCTTTTCTTGCTCTAGCATTAGAGAAGAAACTCGTTAATTATTTCTGTAGGGTTGCTGTATATGATCAGTGTAACCACTATATTTTTCAAAATATAGTTTTACTACTTGAAATTATATGCTTTGGAAACTTATGATAACTTTATTTAATTTAACAGCGGGAGGTTCTTATTTCATGATATCAAGATCTCTGGGGCCGGAATTTGGAGGTGCTGTAGGAATACTTTTCTACTTAGCAACAACATTAGCTGGTTCCATGTATCTGGTCGGCGCTGTTGAAATTTTGCTAGTAAGCATTACAACATTTATTTTTTTCTATATCCAATTATAGCATATGATTTTAATTTTTTGCAATTCAATGATTTTTTTTCTTTCTTTTTCAACCCAATAAAATTTAGCTACTCCAAGTTAATATCCCCTTTATTGTTTCCTTATAAACTTAATGCATTTACTTATATCTGATGACATGTTTTATTTGTTCCTATTTAATCATCTATTTAGTTGAGGTTTTTTTCTTTCTTATATTAATGTTTTCACATAACATTTTGAGAAAAATTTTGGTACGTTAATGAACCCTTCGGAAAATTGTATCGTCCTTCCTTCCTTCCTATCTTTCACAAAATCTGTATTAACAAATCCTTCGAAAAATGTTTTACCATTAAAACGCACCATTTACAAAATATCGTGTATTGAAATAAAACCCTTCATAATATTTTTTATTTTAAAAATACTCTCTTTTAAAAATTCTTCTTTGGAGTCAAGGATATTTTCAATGTTCCATTTTAAAACTACAACTCTGAGAATGATTTGTTTTACTAAAGTACGATCCTGCTTTTAGGAATTCACACAAAAAAAGAATCCTGATAGAAAGAACAAGATTTTACGGTGGTTTTCGATACAGAAAAATACGATTAGATTTTTCCCAAATTCTCAAAACAAGACGTTTTAAAACAGCTCTAAACAGAATACTGATTTTTGAGATTTTTCACAAACTTAACACAACATGCTCATTATTATACGTAAATTCGTTTACATACTCTAAGGTAGGGTTCTTCCTGTGGATTTCCAATGAATTTTCCCATTCAGTTTAATACAAGAGTTTAAAAAGAAAATAAAAAAGGTTCTAGATTTACAAATGTCTTGAATTAAAAAAAATTTCACAGGAACAAAATTTGTGATTTCATAAAAAAGGTAGCAATGAAAGGTACGTAAAAGATCTTTTGTGTTTTATTAAGATTGCAACTAAAAAAAGTAAAGAGACTAATTTGTCAAAAAACACAATATCGAAAACAAAAACAGGTTTCACAAATTTATATAAGGAAGGTTTTTTCGAGAATTGCAACTACAAATATTTCACGTGATGCTAAATCTTTTAATTATGTAAATGTAATGAAACATTAACCTCTTTTCGAAATGTTCTTTTTTTTTAAGATTAGTACTTTATTGATGCTTAATTTATTTGCATATTCATATTTAGGCTGTCTTTGAAAATAAATATATTCGAAAATATGTTGTGATATTAGAATTTTGTTTAATTTTTTAAAGAAATACCAATAAATTAAATGTCCTAAAACTTAGTAATCTATGCTATAATTAAGACATAAAAATTGCATGTAACGAAATCGGTAAGCATGATGCACAAGGTATTTTTAAGAATGAGGTATTCAAATTTTCAAAAGATTCGAATGTTTATTAAGGATGTATAGTTACATACAGGTTACATGTGATTATGGTTGGTTATGAACACCTTAGAAATATCGAAAGGAACTTTCCTTCATTGAAAAATTACGAAAAATCTATATGAGATTTTCCTTTGTTTTTCTTTGGCTTAAAGTTTATTATTTATAGCGCCATCTGTCAAAAACTGTATGCCCTGCCACGTAAACTACAATAATTGTTTAAAAAAATAATAACTTTATCAGTGTTAAATTTTAGTAAAACCATCAGTTCAATGTTAAAGTTTAAACCAAAAATGTCATTAAAATATGGCTCACCTATTACTCTTCACCTTACTATGGTTTTATCTATTACTAAAAAAACTTTATTGGCCTTAAAAGTATACAGGTGGAAAGCTTTTTTTTCCAACTGCATAAATTTAAAGCCAATGAAGTTCTTTTTTAAATCAAGTAACAACAGTTAATACTGAGAAAGAAACTAAATATTTCAATTAATTGTATTTATTTTTGGGACAAAGACATGTTTTAAAGGTAAACAACACCTTCGTATCATTAACTTTATGCTAATAAGAACCAAACTAACCTGAGACTCACGTGAGAAAACTAAATCATACCATGGGATTTCTCTGTCCAATGATAATGCACGAAACGATCTTTTTTATTAACTTTTATGCATACAGATACATATGGATATAAAAATAGATTTTCTGTTGTTAAATTTAGAGAACTAAAATCAATTTCTTTTCCTTACAGAATTATATAGCACCTGAGCTTGGCCTATACGGGGACTTCAGATCGGATTCAGAAATAATGTATAATAATTTTAGAACGTACGGTACAGTTTTACTGATTATAGTAGGTATCATGGTGTACATTGGAGTTGGATTTGTTAGCAAATTGGCGCCGATTGCTTTATTATGTGTCATCGTTTCAATCATCTGTGTCTACGTTGGCGTTTTCATCAATATGGATGGAAAGCATGATGTAAAGTGAGTGATGTTTGAATTATTAATTTCAATTGTCTAATATGATTATAAGTTTTTACAAAGAATGATACATAATATTATAGACAATAATTAGATATAGACTGACATGCTATAGACTGGTTGGTTGGTTGGTTGGTTCTAATGCCACTTGCCACACGGGCAAGCCTGCTTGGTGAAACCGAGCAAATTTAAGGCAAAGTGTGCGTTTCTTGTTTTTTCAGTGGCACCATCTATGGCCAAGAATTCGACTTCTGCCACACCATATACTGTCACACCATCAATTATCATAGCCCGAAAATACCAAAGCAAATTTTTTTTTCTATTACTTAAATTCGAGATTAATGAGACTTTAAGTCAATCTATAAACCACATTGCAAATTCAGTGTAAAATAATTACGAGGTCAAAACAACTCTGATCATTTGGCAGTTAATATGATTATTTGATATGAATAATAAATATAAGCACTTTATCTCCTTTTTATAACATACAATAAAAATTTTAATATGGGCATTTATCATAGAAAAAACACGTATTTCCGAAAACTAATAGTTTGAAAAGCCTATCACTTATATTCCTTACCCTAATAGCCTAAATTAATGTTGCTGTAGCAAATTTTAATAGAAAAATATGTGTTTTATACGAAACTTAAACTTAAATACTTTACTTGGGGTCTGCATTAAATTGAATAATTTAATTACATTTTCAAAGATTTTAAACCAGGGTACAAATAGTTAAAGAAACTAGTATAAAATGGTAGCAGGAATTTTTCAAAAGCAAATTTTTAAAGGAATTTTATAACTCTCTTGATAATATGAGAATTTGAGAAGAGTATCGCTTATTGCATCGCTCTGAATTAGACAAACGGTTTTTTAAAAAAAATTAATTAAAAATAGTTGTAACTAAAAAATTAATTCTTATATCTGGGAGTAATTAGTTCTAGACATTTTTCCATAATTTTTTTAACCATTGATATCGCTGATAATATTTAATACTTAAATGGGAGAAAAATAATCGAACATTACATCACAATTTTCCAAAATATCTTTGTGAAAATTTCGTAAAAGTATTTCCTTAAAATTAACCGTTAGCTGTAAACTCATGTCGTAAAGTGACACGAGGGGATGTACATTTTAAATGTTTTTAGTTAATTGATAGGTCCGCTATCCACATCGCCATATGTCGAGAAAATTCTGAACTAATAAGAACAAGAAGTGGGGCAAGTATGAATTGGATACATGCAACTCGAGAATAAGTGAAGTGATTATGCAGGTATTCAATTAAATCAGATTTAATTGAATACCTGTAAGCGACGTCCCACGTGCTTGCGTCACGGCTCATTGGCTTCTGTATCAACAAATGCTCCGATGACAACTCTTTCGGGAATCCAATTGTTATGCCACATGAACTTTCCGCAAGAATTGATTTTTAAAATTGACTGTTTACTAATTATAAGTTTTTGAAAACCATCAGTCTTACGTAGAACACTTTTAACTTTAAATTATCAGTGATAAGATTTCTATGCATTTCAACAAGAAAGTTTCAAATCCAGGAGAAACTGATTTAAATACCTAGTTTTATGATTAATGTTCCATAATTAATGTTTCGGGGGGGGGTGGAACCAAATGCTAGGACAGAATTATCTAATCCCTTTTTCTTTGCATGGAAACTCGCACACCATATCAGATCAGTATTTCGTTTTTAATTTAGGATTTTTTATTATTAGAAATTATTTAGAAAATATTAATAGTAAATCGTTTAATTACAATAATAAAACAAAAAAAACGGTATTTGAACCGTTCATTTGGTATTTTTTTCGTTCATATGGTATTGCTTTATCGAATATTCTGGTTTTTTAAATTATAGTTCATATTACCACACATTTAGTAAAAAATACGCTTCTGAAAAGTAAATTTAACCGAATAAATAGTTGTTATGCCATACTCTATCGATATCATCACAAAATTAACAAATTTTGCAACATTTACTAAAGTTTATAGCATATTATAAAAGAGTATTTTATTGTTAATTTTACCAAAATCATTAGCAAAAGCGCTTCGGTAAAAATTACCCAACTTTTTGGTATTCCTAACGAGTCAGAAACACGGTACATTTTACTATATTCTGGTAGTTTTGACCATACTAGTTTGTTTGCTTATGTGCTATGTTTGTTTATGTTTATGTGTGTCAAAATTAAATGCTTTGATAAAAATTCCTACTTAGCATTTTTTTAAAAATGAATGTTTTATTACACTCTCTTTTATTTCAGATTTTGTACGCTGGGAAATCGAATATTAAATACCAAAGGTTATACTGTGTGCTCTAAAGATAAGAATGACACCAATTCATTATATTACGTGTATTGTAAACTTCCTGGAAACCTAACTGTAAGCCCCGGAAATCTTACTGAAGATATTGAGTATGATTGTGATGATTTTTTCAAGAAGAATAATGTCGAAGAAAGATTAGCAATACCTGGACTCAAAAGTGGTGTTTTTTGGGGTAATCAAATATCTCTTAATTACATTGCAATTAATCTATCGAAATGAAATAATGTTCATTTTAAAGGCACTTAAGAGATTGAAATACACATCTGAATAGACAATTGTATTTGTACTGTCTAGCTAGTTTTGGAACATTTCTTGTAAAATGAAATTTTATGAGAGAATGTCATTATATATAGATAACATATTTTTACAATGATTACGTAGCAGTTCGATAAATGCAAAATCAGCTAAATAATGTATCATATCAGATTTCCCCCACTTCGACCTCGAAGTAGTCTCTTTTGCCTATATTATCTGATGAATTGACACTTGCTGTTAGACACAAAACGTACAATTCTAAATAAATATAATTTTTTACTCTGAGTTAAAGTCGACACCTCATAGTCGGAAATTTTACAGCTAGTTATGGAACATTTTCTGTAAAGTAAAACTTTACGAGAGAAATTTATTGTCATTTTACGTAGCTAAAATATTTGTAAAAGTATTACACAGCGGTTCGATCCGTGTAAAATCAGCCAATATGATCTAACATCCTGAATACCGTTTGTTCTACTAATTGGATTTCCGCCAAAACAAGAAGCGTCTTCTTTAAAGGAGTCTACTATTTAGTCTATACTATCTGAAAAATTAACGCTTGCTGTTAATTAGGCAAGGACATAAAACTTACAATTTCTAAATAAATAAAATTTTCAATGCGGAGTAAAAATAAAAATTAATAATCGCTAGTTTTGGAATATTTCCTGTAAAATGAAACTTTGCAAGAGAAATTCATTGTCATTTTACAAACGTAAAATATTTTTGCAAGTACAACGTAACAATTAAATCTGCGTAAAATCAGCTAAGTATTCTAACGCGTTGAATACCGCTCCACTAATTAGATTTTCCCCTCTCCAAGCCAGAAGTATTCTCTCAGAAACATCTCTTGAGGTTGAAGCTTAATATCGTCATATTGAACCAAAATATTGTGAAAATTTGCTGCTACCTTAGTTTATATGGGGCAAGGTTTCTGTTCGAATTGAAGCATGGAATCGCGTTTTCAAGTAAGAAAAAGTTAATTTTCACTATAATATTATTTAACTTGGTACCTTATTAAGGTTGCTGCAAGGATATTATTTCTCAACGCCCATCAAACTATATTATATTATAACTGTAGTATATTATAACTAAATCAAAGAGAAATGTAATCAGATGTTTACATGCATAGTATTTTGATTTATACTCGATATCACCTTAACACATCATAAAATATATAAGATGTGTTCTTTGATCCATAAAGATTGGATGGAAAAAATCTGCTAATTAGAACAAAGGAGTACAGCCTCTTTTTAATCAACTGCATTTTAATATTGAACTATACATGAAAAAATGACATTTTACTCACTGAGTTTTCTTTTTCAGAAAATATCGGTGTGTATTTCCGATCAAAAGGCGACGTTATAGACTTATCAACAAATGAGGATGATTCAAATCCAAGAGGAGATAAAACTTACAATCAAATTCTTGTTGACATATCGACATCTTTTTATTTATTAGTGGGTATATTTTTCCCATCTTGCACAGGTAAGAAAAAGAATTTTCTCTAAAATGTATGATATACATTGATAATGATTTAATTTATGTAAATTCCAATAACCATTAAAGATCTAGTCTAGTCACTAAATATAAAAATAGGCATTTTTGCAAAATTTTAAAAACGAAAATAATTTTTAAGCGTTTTTTTGTCTGAGTTAAACCCATTTTTTATCTGACATTGGGCAAACTGATTATCATTTACAAAAAAATTATTTCATTGTGCGTCTTTCCAGAGTTCCAGTGTAAAAATAAAGTTAAGAGAAGTGAGACATATGGATATCAGTCTATTGTTAACTTTTGTTATTATGTTTTCCAATATAAAAACATGATGCCAAAAATAAAAACATGGGTTTTTATTTTTGGCAAGAATTTTAAAAAAGATACATGATCTATATGCAAAAAAACTTTCACTTTGATCTCTCATAACATTAAGTAATTTTAATTACAAAAAAAATTCAAAACTCCATTTTTAATTATTCAAATTAATTCACTATATATTTTTAATAAATTTAGATACATAGAAATAAATATTGTAAAAATAATGTCGATTTTAATACGTCAGGTACTACTAAGTTTCTTTGTCAAGTCTTCCTTGCCTCTTATATAACTGCAAATAAACCAAGCATTAATTGAAAATATTTTTAATTTATCTAGCTCTAACAACTGTGTTATATGTAATGGAGCTTATTTAATATACAGTTTTTAAATTTCTTTTGAGTGAAAATTAAACAGCTTAATGTTGTCCCTGGATTTTTCATTTCATTATGTTAACTTAATCGTTATATTAAATTATTTCTGTTGAGTTGGCAAAAACGGGTGCAGTAGCACCCTCTGTGTGCTATTTTCAGCTAAGGTAGCCATTTAAAAATTTGCTATTATATTTTCTACATTCAAAGAAAATAAAACTTCGCAAGCTCGCTTGGAAAACTTCTGTATGAATGTTTTATTTACTTTTCGTTACTAGCATAGATTTTTTTTAGTTTTTTTTGTTTTATTACTCCTTTTGTTTTTTAATAGGAAGATCAAATTATGCTTTTCAGTTCTGTATAAAAACTTCTTCTTTTCAATGAAATTTGTCCAAGTAAATTGACTTGCACTCTGTTATCTTACTCCTGGTTGCTAATTGTCAATGTAGATTGTTTCAAGTTAAAAATTAGCTTCATTTTTTGCTTTAAAGTTTCATTACTGCTTTATTTATTAAAATTAAATTATAAAAATCCAAAATAAAGTTTTTCTTATAAGGCTTAATTCTAGATAGGATTATATAAGAGATTCAACTTAAATTTATTGATTTTAAATTTATAATAATAAAAATGTATCAAATTAAAAATTGACTTTATTTTTTGTATTAAAATTTTATTGCTGCTTTTTTTATTAAAATTACATTATAAAATTCCAAAATAAAGTTTTTCTTATAAAGCTTAATTCGAGATATGAATACATAAAAGATTTCTTTAAATTTAAATTTATTGATTTTAAATTTATTACATTTAAATATTTTTATCATTAAGTCAATAGAACGAAATACAGGTTCGTATAGCTCGTTCCTCCGGGTTTGTGGTTGGATATACTAACCGTAGTTATACACCACAGTCCAGAAAAAGAGTTAGGAAGCTTTATATAGCGGTGGAGCAATGTTACTTCATTCACTTAAAAGTCTTTGAGATATAGCGAAGCAAGGAAAATGGGAAATTAAAATGATTGATTTCCTTAGTAAGATTTTAAGACCATACTTTCCAAATTGCAACCCTTTGTACCATTGAAATTGGAAACTAGTATGTCATGCACCACTATGCAATATTAGTACTGCACTATATCAAGCTTCCTTTTTTTTTCCTGCTCTGGGGTGTACATCCTCACCCGCTTGGTGAGTGGCAGCGCTTCGCGCTCCCATGCCGGTCCTAGTTTCGATCCTCGGGCCGGGAAAGGTTGACTCAGCCTTTCATCCCTTCAGTGGGTCGATAAATGAGTACCAAGCATGTTTGGGAACTAAACACTGGGTGTTCCGCGTTCGGCTGACCACCTAACCGGAACATCTGCTCCTGTACCCCAGAGCCCAAGGTCAAGGAAACTGAGATGGAGACAGTAGGCCTTGGCCCTCTATGGGCTATCGTGCCACTGAGTTTAATTTAGTTTAGGGGTGCACATCCTGCGATGAACCAATAAGTTCTTGGTTCGAATCCTACCTGTAGCCAACGAGCATTTATTTCACACAATTCTCCTTCCATATCACTTTTGAGACTATACATTTTGCTCACAAATGTAGAGATGACTTTTGCACATGTACTCGACTATTATGCTTCAGAGCCGTTTTGGCATATAGTTTGGCACTTTTGCTCAGTTTCGGGAGGCCCTTTTTTTTTCAATGTTTAACATGAGCAATTTTGCATGTATTTCTTAAATGTATCACATGTATTTTTTGCATGTGCAAGAAACATTTCAACTGCAGCTGAAATTTTTATAAGTAGAAAATCTAATATTTTATGCTTTAAGAAAAGTTTTTCTTACTGCCTCTCTATTTTGAAAAGGACCCGTATATTAAGGGCAGTGATTACGGAATACCCTGTAGATCTGATCGCATTTTTATGCAAATATAACAAGTGTTATAATTATTTTCACAGGTATAATGGCTGGATCTAACCGTTCAGGAGATCTAGCGGATGCGCAAAAATCTATTCCCGCCGGTACTCTGGGTGCACAAATAACGACGTCTATTGTCTGTATCCTTTAATTAATTTGTTTTTTCACTATGCATTATTAAAATATCTTGTATTAGAACTACTTTATTCATTATAAGTTATTGTGAATTTTTTTTTATTGCTTAAATCCAAGGAAAACAAATGATTTCACTGCTTAACGACCGATTTGTCTTGAAATAATACATTTGTTATGCATTTTTTCAAACTATGAAATAAAAAATTGATTACAAAAATATTATGTCAAGTAAAGTCTTAATATTTATTCTGAAAAACTGTTTTAAAATAAACATTTTCATACTATTCTTCCAATTCTAAAACGACGAAATAATTTTAAAAACATCATTTTTTATTGTAACGAACTGACATTTACCTTTGTGTAATAACATTATTATATTTGGGCATTATTTATTAACATTTTAACGGGGTTTATTGATAAAGAAAAAAAAGAGTTATAATCTGTTTTAAAATGCTCCTAATTATTCCATTTGCTTAAAGAAGGCAGAATTCACCCAATAGCTAAGCAGATCACCATTCTCATGACTCGACAATTTGGAGACTAGGTGGTTAACTAATATTGTGCACAGGCTACTTTNAAAATCGTCCAAAAATCTTATTCTGAGAAAAATCTATGTTTTTCAATGCAAATGACTTACAACATACAAATTTAAACTCTTATAACTCGTTAACAAAAAAGCTCCAATTTGAATTCTGTTTGCTGTATATTATTCAGAAAAGTATGTTTTTTTTTAATATCACAAAAAACAAAAACTCAAAATTTTAAGGATTTTTCGTATTTTGAACGTCCATTGTCCCCTCGGGGTTTATTGATAAAGAAAAAAAAAGAGTTATAATCTGCTTTAAAATGCTCCTAATTATTCCATTTGCTTAAAGATGGCAGAATTCACCCAATAGCTAAGCAGATCACCATTCTTATGACTCGACAATTTGGAGACTAGGTGGTTAACTAATATTGTGCACAGGCTACTTTTCCATATATATCTAGAAAATGCCAAGTAATAGAAAAAATACGATTCTTTCATTGAATTCAGTGCCTCAAAATTTTTCAATTCGAGATATTTCAAAATAAAAATGTTAAATTAGTTGAGTACTGTTAACAATAAAAAAGTCATATATAAAAATATTTTTTTATAAAGGATGAGTTTTCTGGTAACGAGCTTAAATATAAAAAGTTTACATTTTTGAATAGAAACCTCCTCTTAATCTCCTGGCCTTATTCATTTATTGTAATTTTCTTATACTCGTTTCAACTACAAGTCAGACATTTACGGTTTGCCATATCCTGCTTAGGAAACCAGTTACTTCCAACATTTTTAATATAAGTTACAAAGCTCGTCAATAGATGGCACTGCTGACTCGACAACAATTTACGCCTTAAGTAATTACCCAATTCTTACAAAAAGCTATTCGTATAACCCTTTTACATGGAATAACTTTATGCATAATTATATTTCCTTTTTTTATACTGTAGTTATTCTATTCTAGTATTTTGTTATTATAAATTCTTAATTTTGACAGATTGTTCAGGAGTTATTTTCTTTGCGGCATCATTTGACAATCTATTTCTTCGTGATAAGTAATTATTATTTTAAACAAAAAATTATTTATATTACTTTTATTTTTTCTACGATGATTATGTGTGTATTTTTTTAAAGATTTGGTGAAAGTATAGGAGGAAGTTTGGCGGTAGCTCTTTTAGCGTGGCCTCATCCTCTTGTCATTGTTATAGGATCTCTCCTTTCAACAATAGGAGCTGGAATCCAATCACTCACAGGTATATTGAATCTACATTTTCAATATCAATAAAGTGTACCTCACAGAACTCTCATCTAGTTTCCATTTGAGTTACCGTCTGGCGGATTTACTTAAGCCACTGGCGTAACTAAAGCTATTCTGATGGGTAAATCTAAGCAACACTGTTTTCAGTTAGATAGTTAAATTTCGCACTGTCAATTGTATATTTTAATGAGATTTTGGATAAACGATGTTAACACTGCAGGGATTTTAAAAGTAAGTTTATAACCCTTTTACTTATGTTTAAGATATTTCAGTTATAAATTTATATGTTTAATAACTTTCAGCGCCAATTTCGTAAAGTTCAGCTACCTATAAACATTTTTAAATATAATCTCAAGTACTTTTATACTTGGTCTACTTTATTAACTATAATTTTATTTTTATTTTTTTTTCTATATTTTTAAGTCGCTGTACGGGTTAACAAAAGCCGACAGAATTTTTCATAAAATCTAAAGATGTGAAATACACTGGTCTGGCCCATAGTAGCTGAAGACTATTTATTATGTAGTTACGTGAGGAGTCAAGTTGTATAATTTTATAATCATTTTGTCTTTAACAAATATGTTGCGCTTAGTAAAGAATTCCGGATCAAATTACGGTATAAAATACCGGCACTTCGGTTACATCATCCGTAAAAATCATTTTACGGTAAAATGCATTTCTAACGTAATATATTATACTGTAATTTTTACAGTAATGTTTATTTAATTGGAGTATTTCAGTGAGTTACGGTAGTTATTACTTAAAAAATTACGGTATATGAGATTTTTTCCGTAACATATTCCATTAAAAATGGATTTTGCGGTAAAAAGTACCAGCACCCTGCATGCCGATACTTTTTACCGGAATTTAATCCGGAATTTTTTACAGTGTAATAACTGAAGTTATTCCATATACATATTCCATTTTTTTTGAACAATCATGTTATAGAAAATTCTTATACGCGTAAACATAGAGTGTAATTGGAATAAAAATGGATTTTACGGTAAAAAGTACCAGCACCCTGAATGCCGATACTTTTTACCGGAATTTAAACCGGAATTTTTTACAGTGTAGTAACTGAAGTTATTCCATATCCATATTCCATTTTTTTGAACAATCATGTTGTAGAAAACTGTTATACGCGTAAACATAGAGTGTAGTTGTAGACCCGAGTTTTATAACAATTCATCTGTTAGATTGGCAATTGCTTCAAGTTGAAATATGACTTAAGTTACACTTAATATTGGTATATATAAGAAGTAATAGCCTTGCATATGATTCTTACAACATCAATGACACTGTATGTAGTTTGAAAACATTTTTGGCACACTAAATTGTAAAATCTTATGTTTGCATCTTGTACGAAGGAAATTAAATTACAAATCCAAAAATAAAATTTCTAAAATGGTAACACATAAATACACAAATCGAAAGTTTCTTCTGAAAAACAAACTAAATAGCTATGTTTGATACAATAATTAACCTATAATAAATTATAGGTTAATTAAATAAATATAATCCATATATTTCCTAAATTCAATTAGAGTTATTGAATAAATGTAGGAAATGTAGTTATTGATTAAATGTAGTTTTTCTGAACATAACTCACATGATGTAGAAAACGTGTAACATTATTGTAGAGAACCAAGAATTTTAGGCATTCATTGCTAGCCTCGATGACGTAGTTTATTTTTGGAATACACGACTGTTATTTTTTTTTCCTGACACGGAAAAAAACGTTTTTGATATATATGTAATTTTACGAAATTTGTAATATGTTTTCATTGTGCTACTTTATATGTTTAATAAATGTGTTACGCTGACAGCTTTCCCGAATTAATTTAGTATCACGCATCACATAATTTTGCTGCCGAAACATCTTTTACAAATCAAGTCAAATTTAGTTTTTATTTAGTTTAAATTTAGTAAAAAACAGTTTTTCGGCTGTTGTTGTAGCTGTTGTTAATAAATTCCTGAAAACTTCAATGACCTTCTCATACGAAGTTTATTATTTATAAGCTTAATTTCATGTTCAAAATTCTTCCAAATTTCGAAGTGAAATTGTTAAAATATGGTTTAAAAGAAAGCAATCTTTTAATAAGTAACTTTATATGTATGACTTCGTTTAATGCATAAGTTATGCAAATTTTTTTTTCTTCTTCTTCCAACTCAGATCCAAAAAAAATTTCAGATTTTTTTTAAATTGTAAAATAGCATTATTATTTTAAGCTAGTTTACTAATTTAAATAAATATCACGTTCTAACTAATCTTCAAAGTTAAGAAATCTAAATACTTAATAGTTATTTATTTACTTTAATACTTTGATTCATAGTTAATTTTTTGTTTATTTCTAACAGGTGCACCACGTTTAATGCAAGCTATAGCAAAAGATGGCATTATTCCCTTTTTAAACCCATTAGAATATAGCAATTCAAGAAATGAACCCACAAAAGCCCTTATACTTACTTTACTCATCTGTGAATGTGGAATTCTTATGGGGAATCTAGATTACATCGCACCTATTCTTACAATGTAAGCCTTTCCTCCTTTTATTAAAAGATATTAATTACTTTTTGGTTGCGCACTGTAAGTCCAAAAATGATAGAATAAAGTAAAACAAAAGAATGTAGAAATATAGGATCAGCTGCGTGTTTCTTACGAGATCAGGTAATGTGTTCTCACCAAATTTCAAAATTAGTTACAAAGCTTAACAACAGATGGATAATATGAAGCAATGTGATAAAAATAATGCGCCAAACAACAACATAGCGTTGTTTGATAACAAAATTTACTGACATCCATGTAAATATTCTTGTTGGAATAGTGTAACATGCAGCAGAAAGCTTTGTTTTGGCTTCTCCAAACAGCGGCGCCAAACTCTTACAAACTATGTAATTAGTTTTGAAATTTGGTGAGAATATATTCCAAAGATTTCCTAACCGCAACTTAACGAACCGTATGTTCCACCTTTTTCCTTTTACTTGGGTATTTGCAACTGGAGAAGAAGTGAAATTATTATGCCTAATCATGTGATTTAAATCAGATTTAATTGGATGACATCAAGCGTGATTATTGAACCTGATTAGCTTTTGAATCGATAAATGAAACCTGAAATAACGCCATTTGAAGACATCCAATTAGAAAAGAATGGATATAATTAATAGGTTAAACTAACCAGTGAAGGAACACTTAAGCTTCGCTTGCCTTTTAAAAAATCATATTAATTTCAAAATTCGTAATTTTAGTTAAATGACAGTGTCAACATATTTGTTACTAATTGCAAATTATGTAAAAAAATTGTAGAGAACTTACATAATATTGTTTTAAGGTTTTTGAGGTTCAAATAACAAGCAGTAAGAAGACCAAGTGAAGGAACAACTCTTACCAGTGAATAAACACCCAATAAAGGAACACTTAATTTTGGTTATTTTTTAATGCTCTTTATGAATTTATAAGCCATGCAAACATTTAAAAACAAGCTTATTCTTGAAATTATAACGAAACATAATGAAATTATAAATGTTAACTTTTTTTTGTAATCATGAATTGAAAATTAAAGTGTCAACATATTAACACATACTGTTCATTCACTGGGAAATCTATTCCCAGTAAAGGAACATGCCTGTTCCCTCACTGGTTAGAAGTTGTTTTTCGTATTTTTAACATACTTTTGATGCGGAACATCACTAAAGGTTCAAGAAAATTAAAGTTTATCTTTTATTTTAATTAACTTAGAAAAAAACCATTAAAGGAACACTTGTTCCTTTACTGGTTCTTCATCGTTTGGTGATCCAGTGAATAAACACCCCCTTATCTCAGTACTTTATTATGCTGTGATGCTTAAAAAAAAGTAAAACGTAACTTCAATAACTATATTTTGAATTCTCTTTTTCTCAGTGAGAAAAATAAAACTATTACATGCAATTAATTCCACTTCAAATATATAAATACAAACATTCACCTTATAATTTTTTCAAAGAAACAAGGTGTTGCAGAGATAATAACAAATTCAAAGATTTTTCCAGAGCAGTCTATTTGACCAGGCAATCCAAAACATTGCTAGATGACTTTCTATTGTTTGGCAGTAAGCTAGTGTTACCAATCAATTTAAAGAAAAATTTTCAAATTCTTATTTTTAATCAATATATATGAAATGTTCCTTCACTGGTTGGTTTACACTAGTCCAGTAATTATATTAAAAAAAAGGTATTTCCTCGAAAAAATTAATGTCCAAGATATTTTTTGTCGAAAAGATTTATCTAAAGCATATCTGAAATCTTCCCGAATCTCCTCTGTACGTTTCCCCCCCCCTTTTTTTTTTGAGGGAAATGGGGGATTTGGGGTGGAGAATTTATCATTCTTTGTTAAATAAGCTATTAAAATATGGGTTCCGAAGTATTTTTTCACGTTCAACCGAATAAGACCAATTTCGAGACAATCGGACTAATAGCTTAGAAGTCATAGAAATTTTTTCAACAAAATGCACAAATTTGTACTTGCACCTACTTACGCATCTAATATTGCTAACTAAACAAGACAGAAGCTGTTCCTATGTAATTTTTTACGTTGAATAAAACCATACACGAGTCAATAGAACGAATAGTTCAAAAGCTGCAAATGTTTTTTATGTGTAAAAAGTGCAACTTTTAACATGACTCACAACACATTTAGCTTTGCTATGTAGGGGCTATCTGAACATAAGAGGTACATTTTCCGATGAATTTTTTTTTATTGAAATGAATGAAATAAAATTTACGTTGATGGAACAAATAACTTTGATATTATAAGTGTTCGCGCAATTCAAAAATAGTATGATTTAAAAAAAAGTTTTGATTTAAAAATTCATTTCAACTTTCGAAGTGTTCCTTTTATTCATATTTAGTCTCATTCGATTAAATGAGAAAAAATTTATAAGAAGCAATACCTAACTTGCTTGTATAGCAATCAAAATTCGTAAATCAGTGCAAGTGCAAAATTGTACATTTTGTACAGAATACGTGTTTATAACTTTTATTGAATTCGGCTGATCATCTGGAAATTGATAACATTCTATTCATCGTAAAAAATTACATCGGAAAATATACATTACATGTTCAGATAATTCTCGGATAGCAATATAAAATGTATACATAAGTGACTGCCAAAAAAGTACATTTTATACATAAGAACTCTAAAACTTGAACTATTTCTTCTATTGACTTTTGAGTACTCTCATTCTATTCAGTGTCAAACAATTATTATGAAACAATACCTCACTTGTTTAGATAGCAGTATCAGATGCGTAAATTACAACTACAAGTTTGTATTTTTCTTACATAAAACGTTTACAAATTCTAAACCATTAGTACGATCGTCTTGGGATTGATCTCATTAACTTTAGCGTGAAAAAATATGTTGCCAGTTCACCATGTGTTGCCTTTCTTGCCAGTTTAGAATCGAAGAAATTCAATTCTCCCCCTCAAATTAATCTCATTTCAAAGGAAAATTAATCAAAGGAATAATACAACGAAGAGTCGGAGAGTTTTCATGTATCATTTGTGATTACATAATAAAGCTTTTTGTTAAAGCTTTTTGCCATCTTGGACATTAATTTTTTGGAAGAAAAATTTTAATGTTTCTGGACTATAAAAATTATGTATGGATATACTTTGAATAAGATTAGATTCAAATAATTAGAATTTACCTTAGGGGTCGTTCAATCATTACGTATTCTTGTTTTCGGAAGTTTTTGACTTCAACTCCACCCTTATCAGCAAAATTAAGCAAATCACGAATCCCCCCCCCTCCAAACTTACGTTAAAAAGTAACACCCTTGTTTTTTGTTTAACTTTGAATTTTACTGTAGTAATCTAATTTTAGAGTTAAATAATGTAAAAGATGTAACTTTTCATAAAACAAAATTTATGTTTTAAATAATTTTATGAAACTTTGAGAACATTCTTTGGACATATTTTTTTTTGTCTTGTGTGGTTCTCTGTATCTTCCAAAATTATTGAAGATAGTTTTTTTACTACTTTTTTATTCTCCAAAATTTACTTTTTCAAATATAAAAATATCCCAATAGTAATTTTTTTCGATTTTTTTGTAATATCTTTTTTTATTTAAAAAAAATTAAAAATAAGTAAATTTTAGTACACTACTTAAGAAATGCTCTTACCCTTACTTCCCCTTTACAGCAAAAATAAGCATAAGCAAATCGCAAACCTCTTCACCTCCCTTTACTTAAGTAATATTCGAACGACCCATTACATAATACTGCTACATTAATTACAACATTATACTGGTTTTCGATTTTACTTATATGATGATGGAACATAAGTAAAAAGAGGAAAATTTCATCTAAACATTATGAAAACATTGTTAAAAATATAATGAAACTTTACAAGTGGTCAATTATCTGTAGGTTTTGATGCATCCTCATTTATCTGTAAATTTTATTTAATTGTTAAAACACTAATCTTCTTCTTCTTGGGCACTACAGCCTATGACAGGCCAAGGCCGTCCCAATAAGTCTTGCCTTCTTGATCTATTAAAACACTAATACTTTTACTCAAAAAAAGAGATCAATTTAAACGTAAATTGAAATCATTATTTATTTTATCTTGTCTTTAATTTTATTTTAGGTGTTTCCTTATGTGTTATATGTTTGTCAATCTCGCCTGTGTAGTCCAAAGTTTGCTCAAAACTCCGAACTGGAGACCTCGCTTCAAATGTTATCATTGGTAAACATAATTTCATTATAGTTGTAATAATAATACTTCTTAAGGAGAAAAATATTTATTTGTGGTTGAATACAGTAACGTTTCCACAGTTACACAAATTTTAGCTTTACAATCATAAAGAAATATTTTTTTAATAAAACAATCGCCATTTTTATTAAAATAAGGAACAGTTAGTTAAAAAAAAATTTAGTTTTGTTACAATAACATAATAATTATTTAGTTAAACAAATTTTTTTTTTTTTTTGTTTTAATGAAGTATAACACATTTTTCCAGTAAAAACACACTTTGAAGTATTGTTTGTTTAGTAGAACTACTTTTCCTTCTTTTATGAGGCAGTAAGAATTTTTAGTGAAACAAATTTCGTTTTTGTTAAAATAATGTAATATTTATTCAGTTAAAAAATTATTTTTTATTCTAATACTACAATAGTTTTGATAAAACAAATGTCGTTTTTATTAAAATACAGTAACATTTATTTGGTTAAATAAATTTTTGGTAAAATGCGGTAATATATATTTAGTAGAACAAAATTCCTTACAGTTAAAATACAATAATATTTTTTTGGTAAGCCAAACGTCCTTTCTGTTAAAATACATTTATTATTTCTCTTATAGAATTAATTTCAGTTTTGTTTCCTGCTAATTAATTGTTCTGCACAATGTAATTTAATAAAAAATTTAAGCAAAAATTAATCCGAAATTTCTTGATTAATCTGCAAACACTTACAAGGGAAACTAGGGAAGTGTGACTCGGAAATTTTGAAATAAACTAGTGGGATGTATGCCTTATGAGGAATAATTTGAGGGGGAAAGATTCGTTTCGCCCCATAGAAGGTCCTGTGAGAGATAAAAAATAATTCAATATATAGAAAAATCGGTATTTTATTACTTCAATGCAGACTATTAGTTATTGTAATTGTCTCATAATCCAATTAATTTGGAATTAATTTGCTAGTAAATAAACTAATCAAAAATTAATTAATTATTAATTAATTGTTGGTTAATTGTTGATTAATTATTCATTGATTGTTAATTAATTATTAATTAATTAATTGATTTGCAATTACATACTCCAATTAATTTGGAAAGTTTTTTGAAAAAAAAATTTAAAAAATTTGATGTCAATTTTTTTTTTAAAATTAACCTAACAGGTTTTTCTGAAAAACTACAGATATATAAAATTTTCGAAATCAATTTTGACAATAAATATGCATTATATAGTACGTGAAAGTACCACAAAATTAATTGGAGTATGAGACAATTACAATAACTAATAGTCTGCATTGAAGTAATAAAATACCGATTTTTCTATATATTGAATTATTTTTTATCTCTCATAGGACCTTCTATGGGCCGAAACGAATGTTTCCCCTTAAAATTATTCCTCATAAGGTATACATCCCACTAGTTTATTTCAAAATTGGCGAGTCACACTTCCCTAGTTTCGCTTGTTAGTTCACTCATGATTTATTTGAAAGTATAAATCTTAAAATTTTTTAATTAATTGTACTTTAGATGTCTTACCTTTAAATAATTTCTTAACGTTAGTTTAAGTGATTTTTGGTATTTTTAGGTAGTATTTTCCCACTAAAGTTGGCCAATTCAAAAATGATTTTACACCTTTCTTGCATTTAATTGTTCTTAAACAGTATGAGCGTTAAGTTAAGTATTTAACTTTACATATCTGCCACATAACACTTGTAACCAAACTGCAGTTTAATAAAAAATAAAAAATAAACATTTTGTAGCTGTGCACCAATAGCAGTTTGAAAACTAAAAAAAATGCAGTGCCTGGCCTTAAATTGACAGACAACACCCGTAAGTAAGACGTGCGTTGGCTGCCTTACTTACACATTCGAACCAAAGTAATAGTATTCGAACCTAGAACCTCCGGGTTCCTAGTAGGATGCTCTATCTACCATAGTAAAACCCAGTTCAGAAAAAGTTGGCAAGCTTTATATAGTGGCCACTGCAATGACACATCATGACATATCTTCCATTCGCTTAAAAATATTTAAGATATAGCGAAATAAACAAAAAATAAACTTAAACTTACCGAAGTCCTGACTAAGCTATTGGTACCATATTTTCCAAATTGCAACCCTTTGTACCATTGAAATTATGAATTAGTATGTCATAATACGTCATTGCGGACAGCCACTAAAATCTTCCTTATTCTCGCTGAGGTAAAATGTACAGTGCGCAAAAAAATAAAAAATTTTAAAAAAAGCGTACCACCCGGGATAACTTTTGATCAAATGATTAGATCTTCACGTTATGGGACTCAATCTTAATAGCTCGAGGGTACGACCTCAAATGTGCTAATTAATAAGTGCTTACGATATTTTAAGTTACGAAATCGGACACAAAAGCGGACTTTCTCTGAATAAGCATACCTTTTTTTCGAAGGATTTGAATTTCTGACCCCCAAGGTATAGGGGGTAGCCGCAATCTGGGAATTATGTTCCCAATAGTTTGGTCAAAAGAGATCTGCACAGTTTAGACCCTTTAATGCTAATTTTACCTTTTGCGTATTTCACTATATCTCGAGAACTTTTTAAGTGAATGGAAAACATTTTGCACATAATTATAAAAATCGTTTAGCTAACGAATAAATTTTAGTAAATGTTTATTATTTTTTATCATTTTATAAAATAATAGTTAAAGAATTTTGAATTGTAAGGTTTACAATTTTTTGCCTCATTTTAAAAAACGTAATTTTATACAGCAAAATACAAAATCTGAGAAAAATCGGTCGAGTAGTAACCGTCGAGTTTAACAGCCAATACATTATGTCTTTTCCATAACCTATATAACTTTTGTTACGTTTTTAATTTTTAATTAATAAATGGATAAACTCAAAGCTTAAGCAGGCTTGTACAACACGCGACCCCCAGACCATTCAACTGTTGCCTGCGACTCTGATAAGACAATCTTTCATTATTCATTTCAAACTTATAATACTTTTTATGCCATCAAAACTATTGATTTATGCATAAACTAAATTCTGAAATAGATGGTTTAGAAATTTTATTTAAATTTCAATTTGAATTTTCCGTATTTCACGTTAGTATTTTTTCCAACATTACAGGTTTAAGCAACACTATAAGTTAGGAAAAAATTTGGATGTGTTGATTCAAATTTATTTTCAACTACATTAAATGTATTGTGTTGAAATCTTCTCACTAATAATCATTGTCCTTTAGGTCTATATCATTGGTTGGCGTGTTGCTATGTTTATCTGTAATGTTTATCAGCAGCTGGTATTATGCGCTAGCGTCAATGGCTTTAGCTTTACTGATATACAAATATATCGAATTCCGTGGGTAAGTGCTTGCTAAAATTATTATTATTATCAAAAATGCGTAACATTTAGTTTTCTTATTAATTATGAAACTCTAAATTGCCATAATTTATGAAACTCTAAATTACTATTATTCATGAAACTCTAAATTACAATTATTTATAAAGCTGCATAACTGCCATTCAAATTTTTTTATTAATGTAACTGTTTACCTTTTATTTGAATTTTTTAAATTTTTATACTCTTATTTGAAACTCTAAATTACTATAATTTATGAAATTCTAAATTACTTTTATTAATTAAACTCTAAATTACATTTATTTTTAAAGCTACATGACTGGCATTAATATTTTTTTATTAATGTAACTGTTTACTTTTTAATCAAATTTTTATACTCTTATTAAAAATTTTAACTAATAAATTAATGAAAAATTATGAATTAATAATAGTGATAATAGTGAAAGTGAAAGTTAATAGTAGAATCCAATTAGACATATTTAACGAATATTTATTAAGACTTCTTTTTAATACACCATACACCGAAAAATAAGATTAGGTTATGGTGGTGAAAGCATAATGGTATGGGGGTGTTTCTCGTGGTTTGGCCTGGGTCCGTTAGCTCCTGTGGTTGAAAACATGAACTCTGACACGCACAGACGTGGTTTGACGAAATGGATGTTCAGAAACTGGACTGTCCTTTTCAGAGACTCGATCCAAAACCCATAGAACACCTTTGGGGTGAATTAAAGCCCAGATTACTTAGCCAACCAAATCGACCATCCTCTCTGCAAGTACACACTTCAGCTGGGATGGAAACCTCTAAGTCAATTCCTATGGCCACTTATCAAAAACTATTTGAAAGTCTCCCCAGGCGTGTGCAAGGCTGTCATCGATGCAAAAGGGCGACCAACGTCACATTAATTTGTGCCTCAAGACGCTCTATTCTTCCATTCAATTTGATACTCCTCTTCAACAAGCATGTTTTTTTCTAATCTCGTCACATCTTGCAAATAAATGGTATTCGAAAATATTCTTGAATGTTCGTTTTGGAGAATCATTGTCTCCAGAAGGCTCAGTGTTTTCCCTTTACTAAAACTCACATAAGTTCTATTCCAAAGTTAACATGCTTGAAATTTGAAAAAAAGAGACTAAAAATCCAAAATTTGGAAGATCACTAAAATTTATGGTCTTAAGTAGGAAAGTAGGTCCCAAGAAGTATCTCCCGGGGGAAAAACTCGCCAGACAAGTGTTCAGCATCTTAAACAATATTTGTTTCCAATGCCCACCTGATTGACACTAGTCATTCAGGCATCAGTTGGGCGGATTTGTTGGCCACTCTTTCAGGGGCACCCTATTAGGTGGACCAACGTTGCTTCCGTAGTAAGGGCAGATAGTACGGAGAAGGAAAGAACACACATGCCTTGTCCGTAATTCAAACCCAAGACCTTTCTGAGGTGAGGTCAGCTCCCTGACCAATGCACAGTCCGGTCGGCTCTTAAGCAACGTAAATATACAATAAATAAAAATTCCGCAAAAACTTTCAAGGTAGCGTCTAGTTTGTGCACAATTAGTTACCCTTCATAGGTTTCTTACTCTACATCTGAAACATATTTTAACTCTATCAGAATAATTAAGCTACGTTTTTTTTTTTTTTACTAACCAAAAGTACGTAACATTGCAAAAATTTCATAAATTATTGATTAACTGATTCCTTTAAGTATAAAAATACCCATAAAAGTGCCATAAAATAATGCCTTTAAGTATAAAAATACCCTTAAAAGTGAGGAGGAGGAAATATGACTCCTTTAAACTTACGCATGATTCTTATGCTGAGTGCACTTAATGTTTCAGAGCTGAAAAAGAATGGGGTGATGGTATTCGTGGATTAGCTCTGTCGGCAGCTCGTTACAGTTTATTGAGATTAGAAGAAGGACCACCCCACACTAAGAATTGGAGACCACAACTTCTGGTATTGTGTAAGCTTAACAACGAGCTAGTACCAAAACACAGGAAAATAATTGCCTTCGCCTCTCAACTCAAAGCTGGTAAGTACAAATACTATGATTTTGCATAAAATTTAAGGTGATAAAATCTTATTTTATGAACAAATGTGCTTTTGGTACGTACCATTAAAGTGTTTTAGTGTAATATATATTTTTGCAATCCAAATTCACTGTAGGAGAAAACTTTTCATTAGAACCGAAGCATGGAAAATCACCAGTAAAACTAAAAATTAGTCATTTGGTAAAAAAAAAAATTACTAGATACTACTGGAAGATACTAGGAAAAAAATTATGAAGGTGTTTTTAGCGTAAATTATTTTAAATTCGAACTCAAAGAACAAGAAAGACACGGCATATACCAATCACAAATAACATCATGAGAAAAGGTGGAAAAGCATATTAGTATAAGCGCCGGACCGTAAAAGGAAAAGAGCTGAGAGACAAGTAACTATGACTCTGCGAGAAAATGTAAAGCTACAGTTGCAATCATTGTTTCAGCTAGTTGTAAGAACTACTGAGTCACAGAAATCCATAATAGTATGCAAAAAATGGTGGGGAAGAGAATCGTGATGAACTATCGAGCTTGTCAGATCCAGTATCTAATGTGGCTGGCCGAACTAAGCAGAGGACTTTATTTTCCACTAAGTATAGAAAGAAAATTATCAGAAACGAAGTTAAAAATGTAGACTCATTAGATATCGCAAATTAATATTTAATCGAAGAAAAAGCATAAACGGTGCTGAAATATGACAAATCATAATTAATTAAAGAGTATTAACAGAACATCAATACTAGTTTGTCCTCCAGTTTTTTTCTGCTTTCAGGTATTATCAAATCATTTGTAACTCGTTTCTATTTCCTCTTGAAATCAGACAGTTTTAGAACTTTTCCTTCCCGCCTTCTTTAGAAGTGATTCCTTACATTTCAGCTTCATTTTTCCCCTATCATAAATACTAATTTGAGACCTAAATGCGTGTACTATTTTGACTTCCTTTTCAGCCAGAATCATGAAACTAATGTTAATATTAGTAGTTATGGAATGTGATGTGTAAAATAAAATACAGTTTAAATTGTCTAAAAAATTAAATTTGGCAAATTTGTTTTCGTTAACGACTTGTAAAACGATTTATAGTTTTGGAACAATGAGGAAACACTACTTGATATTATCATTATTTTTTAATTCAGTACGCATATCCATCTTCTTTTTATCACAATTCACGTATTGCAAAAATATTAATTCTGTTCAAATGGTGTTGAAATCTGTGTTCTACTAAGAAATTCAGTTTTTTCTGTCTATCTTCGTAACTCTGAATCTTAACAGCATGAAATGCATCTATTTAAGGTTTGTAAAAATCTCAAAGTTTAAAAGGAACAACTGACATTTAATTAATTCAATGCCAGTCACATTATTCTTTCTACACTTTTACTTTCTTCATTGTTTTAAAATTATGTTTTTAATTTAACAGATCCAATGTAACTACATACGCTAACTAATTTGTAATTATACAGTTGACTTAAAATATAAATTTGAAACTAATTCTATAAGTATTAATCTATGATGAAAAGGAAGAAAAATATCTGTGTGAAAATCTGATTAGCGTAACTTCATTAGTTATGTGTGAATACGTTTCACGAAAATTAATACTATTTGCACTTGAGAAATTTCAAGTTGAAATGTAAAAACAATAAAATTACAATTTTTTTTTTAATTTTCTAAGTTTCTTCATATTGCATTAGTAAATATATTTATTTTATGTTCGAATATTTTTTAGACCAATACTGTATCTTCTCTAGCATTTCCTAGCAGAAAAAAAATTCAATATGTCTTTCATTTGATAGCCGATTTAACTTTAAAAGTTTTAAAGTTTTTATTTGTAATAACTAAAATTATAAATTTTTTTTCATTTAGGCAAAGGGTTGACCTTAGTTTCATCGGTCTTAGAAGGTGAATTTACAAAACGCTCCTCAGAAGCCCAAGCTGCTAAACAAGTAAGTTCTGTCCTATATAGGAATGTCCTATATGTTTTATAAGTCTTGAGATTTATTGTAAAAAATTAAGTAAGGTTAGAGAAAAACATTTACATCTTTATCGTACCTCTAAGAAAACCTACAACAACACATGAAAAATAGTTTTTAAGTGTATTCGTAAGCCATGAAAAGATGGACGAAGGAAAAGAAAAAATAAAAGAATCAAAAGTTACTAATGAAAATGCTAAATAAAGAGAACATTAAGGAATATGTAAAAGGTAATAAAAGTTATTAAAATATTCTCGGTCTTTGTTCTATTCAAAATTAATATTTCAATGCCAGAAAAACACTAAAAGGATGTCAGAAATCAATCTTTTATTGAAGGTGTTTTTCCAAAATCTTTTGAGAAGTCAATTCTATGAATGATACATTTTAAGAATCGTTTTCCAATTCTCAATGTTTTCAATTTAAAAATTTTAATATTCTAAAACACATTATATTGTTTCATTTTCAGTTTTTTTAATTTTTCTGTTTATTTATTCATTTACTTATTTATTTGTTTGTTTATTTGTTTATTTTGGAAAAATGAAGATAGATCTACTTGTTTTTTTATTTAGGATTCCGTATTTATGAAAAAGATCTGCAAAAATTTTTTCTATGTCGTGAAAGATCTCAAACTGGAATCAATTACTATAGTTCTATAATCAATTACTATCACTTACAAAATTTAGAGTTGTACTTTTACCAGCCGAATTTCCTCCAATAAAATTCTGACAGAATCTTAAAATAGTATCACGATGAACTACGTGCAGTACCTTAATTGTGCATTGCGTCAAATAAAAAGCAGAATCTCTTAATAACTTTTTCAAGTGAGTGGAATTTTATGCACAAAAGATATATAAATGGTTCGAAGGTTTAACCTCAAATATATTGGTGATTAATTAGGGCAAACGATATTTTCAGCTATACAGAATCAGATACAGAAACATACTTTCTCTATAAACATTTATTTCAAGATTATCAATTCTTTTAAAATTTGGGGAGATATTTGCAATCAGAAAGATATGGTCCCAATAATTTAATCAGCAAAAGTGATTAAAAGTTTGTCTCATTGCACACAATTTTTAAACTCATTTATCCTATTGATATTTTTAAATGATTTTATTTCATTTAATGGAAATCAACAAATTTGAATCAAAAATAACTGAAATTTTTACATGATTTTAAGTGACAAAATTCGAAATTTAACTGGAATAGATAAAAAAAAAATTTCGAAACAGAAAAATTTAAAAACGCGATCTTTACAATTTCATAACTAAGATACAATTTGGTTAATTTTGTTAAAAATTTTCTATGTAGTCTTTTAAAATTACTTAAAAATGAGATAAGAATTTTCAACTTTAACACTTCAAAAAAATTTGCAACAATTATAAAATAAAATAATAATTATTACAAAAATTGTTATAAATATATGGAAATTTTTTATATGGAATCATGTTAAGATAAACTAATTTTACAATTGTGCCCAAGTTTTTAGTTATTTATTTTAAGTAGTTTTAGGTATATTTTTAACTTTACGATTACCAAGGTTTAAAATTTTCTACCTCCATAAATACTCTAAAATTAAAATTAACACTTGGAGTCTCAAATTTCCAACTGTTTTCGAACCGTAATAGAAAGACCATATTTTCTAGTTAGTAGCCATCTTCTACATTTTAAGAGAAAAGAGTTCAAACGCTTCAACAGTAAAAAAAAATTATTCAGAGTAAGTATGTTTTGTGTTTAATTTAATAACTTAAAATATCGCCTGCATTAATTAATTACCATGTTAAAAGTTTGACCTCAATCTATTAAGATGGCACCTTAGTACGTGAAAATTAAAACATATTCAATTATTCCTTTACATATTTTTGAGCACAGTATACTACAAATTACCGTCTCAATCTTTTATTATTATTATGAGAAAAGCAAGTTTAAAGATTAATTATTTATTTCTAGAGTCTAAGAAAGATAATGGTTGAACAAAAAATTAAAGGTTTCGCAGAAATCGTAGTTTCTCGAAATGTTTCAGATGGCTTGAGTCACCTGTAAGTATACTTTTTTATAAAATAAAGATATATATTTCTTGAAACTTCATAATTGATTTTAGATAATTAAATTAAAAAGATGCATGAATTATTTATAGGTATTATTTATAGGTATTAAAGGGTCGGTTTAAACTCAAATTTCAAATATTAAAATATGGATTTAAATGTTTAATATTAAAAGTTGCATTTAAACACAAATTTTGATTATTAGCACTAGAAAGACTGAAATTGCCAAAAAGCAGTCAAAATGACTGCATTGTGAAAGAATGGCTAATGTATAAAGAATTTTGTTTGAAATTAATTTTTAATATTTCTGATATTATTTTCAGTTATATAACAAGTTATTAGTAAATATCAAAGATAAACATAATTATAAGAGTCACAAAATTTTAAGAAATTATGTCATTGTATACATCATTATTTTTCTAATTGAAATTAAAAAGCAGTCAAAATTACTTCCTTGGGCAATCTAGTGTTAAAAGGTAGATAAGAACACAAACTTGAACAAAAGCATAGATTTTAACAGAAGAAATGGATTTAAACACAAACTTGAACCAAAAAGGGATAGATTCGGAACACAAATTTAGAATACTAAAAGATGGTTTGGTAGCGAAATTTGAAATATGTCTTTTAACTTTGAATCTATGCTGAATTTGTTATAGAAAAAAATCAATTCTAATAATAAGAAATATTATTCTTAATTTTAAATTCTTAAAACTACTTATTTGCGTAAAAATATGTCGAAAAAATATTATGTCGATTTTACATGTAAATACAGATGTAAAATAAATTGTCAGTTTATTTTGGGAAATTTCTTTAATTTTTATAAGCTAATTTTTCCAGTAAGCTTAAAAATTTTTGGTTTTTGTCCTGTTAATAATTTCCATACGTCCTGAATCGGATGAAAGATTAAAAATTACTTTATACAACAAATCATTTTTTACTTATCATTTAGTAAATTTTATTAACACAAGGAAGCCCTTATACATTTTTAGACTTAAAATATACTTATTATTGTATCACTTTATACGGGTTTTTTTTTTATTATTAAACTGCCTGTCTCAAGAAAAAGTCCCATTAAGTAAAAGTTATTGAAAACTAGTGCAGCATTATATTAAAATTAAAATTGAATGGATTCATTTATAAAGAAATTTTTTGTCAGAGCACAATATCTTTTCATTTCATTGCGAGCATATGCTGGAATAGCGAAAAATTTTTACAGCAGCTCTAGAATTCTTCCATTTTTCTTAAATATATATTTTTTTAAGGAAGAAATTCCTAATATCAAACGTAATAAAATTAGATTAAACTTGGTTACTTTTATTGTAATTTACACTCACTTCTAAAGGTTTTAAATATGTTCGTTACTATTATAGATAACGAAAATTTTATTATTTATTTTCTTTCTTTTTTAGAGTTCAAACAACCGGATTGGGAGGACTTAAACATAATACTGTAATTATGGCGTGGCCATTTTCTTGGAGAAATAATCCAGACTCAGTTAGAAGTTTTATAGGTAATTTTACCCTTATTGTTTCCTATTTCCGAATCTAAGAAATACCATTAATTATGTAAAAAATAAAATATGATTCATTTTGAATGTAAATGTGTTTAAAAAGTTATCAAAAAAGTATTCTTTTCCCTTAATTAAGAACAACTAATGTAAATAAGACATCCTAATTTAATACAATAGTCATACTATCGAAAGCTTCTCCCAGTTCAAATGTTTTTTATTTAAAATATGTATATCGATATTTATAAAGATTTTATATTTTCTTTCTTAGATAGCGTCAGGAACATTGCATCCAGCAAAAGTGCCCTATTAATACCTAAAGGTATTGACCACTTTCCAGATAACGCTGATAAAGTGTCCGGTCATATTGACGTATGGTGGATTGTCCGTATCCTTTTGAGTTAAAACTATTTCTGTATACCATGTTTATTTTCCCGAGGTATACACTGAAGGACAATTTTTTTTCGTTACATGAGAATTTTTTAACAGATCTTAGATAATTTTGTATCGTTGATTTCAAATCTGCAATCAGCTTATATATATACACCGAAGAGCCATTACATTATGACTACCCTGCTAATAACATGTAGAACCACCTTTAGCCCTCAAAACTGCTAGCACCCGCCGTGGCATTGATTCCACAAGGTGCTGATAGGTAGTCTGAGGTATCTGGTACCAAACGCTCACCAACTGGTCCTGCAACTCCCTCACATTGCAAGGGGGTAGCGTGGCAGCATGAATTTGGTTTTCCAAATAGGACCTCAAATGCTCTAATGGATTAAGGTCAGGTGAATTTGGGGGCCAAGACATGACTTGAAAATCACTGGAATGTTCCTCAACGATTCGACCCTTATCACATGGTGCATTATCCTGTTGGTAAACACCATCCCCCGCAGGAAAAACTGTTGCCATGAATGGGTGAATCTGGTCTACAACTATCTTCAAGTAGCTTACAGACGTCAGGGATTGTTCTATGAGGATTTTGGGTCCTAATGCGCCCCATGAAAGCACTGTTCCTGGGAGAGAAACGAGAAACCATGAAAACCTGGCGAGCCCATCGTTATAGATGAAGGGTGGTCATAATGTAATGGCTCTTCGGTGCATATATATATATATATAGCTATAAAGCTATGATACAAGGACTTATTACTAGAAAAGACTGGAAAAGAGAGTACATTTGAAGAAAAAGAAATGTTTATTTGAAGAACAGTTCAAAGAGATTGAATCACATAAGACGCAGAAAGAAGCAAGAAAATACTACCAATTGATTAATAATATCAGGAAGGAGTTTAACCCTAGAGTAATTACTTGCAGAAAAAAGAATTGAGAACTTATGTAAAATAAATAGATATATAAAATAAATTCATAGTACTAGGGATGAAGGAATTGTCACAATTGCAAAATAGTAAGAAAAATAAATTTGTTATCAAGAATTCGTTATGTGAAGATGGAAATTTTTATTGTTAAGATTTTTAAACCAGAAAAAAAGGGTTTTATTTCCTTTTTTTCGATTTTTGCTTTTAGAAATTAAGTTTTCAATATGTTAAGTACTTTTTACATTATTCAAGCCACTGGAACAAAATCCAAACCTCTAACTTTTTTAATAAAAAAAAGAAACAAGGAAAGAAACCTATATCAAACCACCCCGGAAATCTGAAGCTTTAAACATTGGTTTTAAGGAAAAATATTTAATAAGTGTCAGTCATCTGTAAGCGGTCGATAAGAAGTACATTTACTTTACTAGGCACGTGGCTAATAGTTAATCGTAAAATTTGATCCTGGGTGTGACAAGTAAAATGTTAAGAAGAACAACAGTTAATGCTAAAAAAATTTAATTTTTCCTTTATGTATTTACTTTTACTAGTCTCGTGTTGTAGTTTGTGGTACTTATTACACGAGATGCATTTTATTTTCACATAGAAACAAATAGTACCATCTGCGACAATTCAATATTTTGATTTATTCAGACAACAGAACTTTTGTCCGTTTGTTAGTAAATAGTTTGTGTGTTTTGTTCAATAAATTTTGTAAATTGTTTGTGTGCTCATAATTCTCAAATTAACTGATTTTTCATAATTTCTCTCCAATTTACTCTAATTAATTTCGGTAATGGTTAGTAGTATTTTAATAATGAGTTTTTTTCAATCATTTAAATATTAATTTTAGGCCTTGTTGATAGTTATTTAAAGATCATATCAAAAAATGATATGATACAAAAACTATAACAACAATATATATTAAAATGCTTCAATTTCATGTATAGACTTGAAATGCAAGTACTGTCTGGCTATCACGAGATGCAATCAGAGAATCTTATCCAATTAAGATGGATGTCATCTCTTTGATAGCCAGACTATAGACGTTTTCTTTTTTTTTTCTTTTTTTTCTAAGCGTTTGCCTGCGTTAGAGTTGTGTTTTACATTCTTCATGATTAAACTTTCCTGTATTCTTCCTTAATCTCACAATACAGATGACGGAGGACTGTTAATGCTGCTAACATTCTTGATGAAGCAACACAGCGTTTGGAAGAAGTGCAAGCTAAGAATATTCACCATTGCACGTATCCTTTTACTATCAAAAAAATTATATCTTATAATAAATGATGCCGAATTAAATCAGGTACTATAATTGGAAATTTGCCGAATATTATAAAAGTATTTTCAGTAGAATTTTAAAATACTTTTAAATTTAGGACTGTATAAACATAAACAAGTCTTTTTATAAATTCATAACACTAATGTATTGAATTACAAATAATTTCAATTATAATGAATGAAGATAAGAACAAATAAATCAATTAAGAATATAAATATAATTCTAAAAATTTAATTAATGTATAACTTATCAAATGTAACTCAAAAGCTCTAACTATTAATATTTGTTGCTTTAATTTTAAAGTTATATTTTTAAGGAATTAGTAAGCTTTTCCTTTCTATATATTTTAAAATTCAGAATTCATAAATATCAACCATGTTTAGATACCATATATTTAGGATAAGAATTATTAAACTTACTATAACTGACTCTCTGAATCTATAATTAAATTTTTTTGTAACACAATGATGGGATAAGTGCTATTGTGTATATAGTATACTATTTCCAAAATTAGGTGAATGTTTTCCTACATTAAATGTCTTTTAAATTTTAATCGAAATCACAATTTCTATGATTGTTGAACCAATTTAAAAACTTTTTATTTCTAATCTATCAAGGTGGAAATGATTTCCTTAAAATGAAACCGTTTTCTTTTAAGATAAAAACTAATATTAAAATTAAAAGTTTTGGATAATGTAATTATAAACCACATCTTTAAATTGCATAGGAGAGCATTTTTGGATTTCCATGAAAGTAAAATTATTTCCATGTACACATGATGAGTATTGCGCTGATGTCTTTGGAAAAATTGCAACTTTGAAGCTGTTTAAGAAATAGTGCAACAAGTTGTCAAGTTTTTGCAAAAAGAAACTAATTCCTACCTGGCTCTAATCGGCCACGGGAGCGTCTGTGTTAATAGTTCGCTGTGCTCATTGACCTTAATGACTAATTGGCATCATTGTTGCTTTAAAACAAACAAAAAATTTTAAATGTTAAAGACATTCACATTATATATTAAAAATTTTTGTATGCTGGCCGATTCGGTGAAAGGGGCAACGCAAGATTTAGAACAGACAAACTTAAAATTAAACCTCAGTTAGATAATCGATCAATTTAGAATGTTTCGCTAATAGTATAAAATATCTACGGCGATGTTATTTCTTGCATCATGCCTTAAAGACCTTTGGGGTAAAAATCAATTTATGTTCTATGCTTATATTGATAAAATCATATCCACCACTAAGAATAACTTATTTAGAGAAACTATTGTTGCAAATTTGATTAAGTGCTTTGTCTTCAAACAGAAAATGGATTCTATTTCCTCCTGTTTAGCAAAGGATAACAACAAGAATCTCCAAAAAATATGGTACAATTTATTTGTAATAACATGAAGAAAAAAGAAATTTAGAAAAAATGTGTGCTAAACGTTCATTATCTGTCCTCTCAAAAAAATCAGTTAACTGCAGTTTTGTGCGAAAAACTGTCTGTGAAGCATTACAAAAACTTACTACACTCTAGCGTGGAATGTACAAACTCGTAGCTTCAAAGCAGTTTGCAAACATTGTTGAACAGCTGACCCAATTTTGTGGTTTACGACTACCAATGTGCAACTCCGTAGCCATGAAATTTTGAACCCCATCCAGAAGACAAGTGAACTCCTGGGTCAAGCATTGAGACAAACTAGCCTTTGCGGAGGACTTTTTTGATGGAACTAACCAAAGAAGTTTGTTCCATCAAACTAAATTAATATAGCTTTGAAGCTATTAGTCCTATCGTTTCACACTAATTTTCTTTGGTTCAACATAAAAAAATGCATGGGTAACAATTCCTCATTTGTCTAGATGGTAATATCTATGTGTCTCTCCCGTTTACCATCTTTTTGTCCCTCTTGCCGAAACCTGACATTTGAGGTCCTGCAACTTTTTAGCAATTACTTCGCTTAGTAGAGCTTTTATCAAGAATAACAGGTTTAAGCCATTTTTTAACTGTAGTAATACTTTTGAGAGGCAGAGGGAGAGAAGAAGGCTTAAAAATTTCAATTTAATTCAAATTTATTTTGATATTATAACTTAATAAACCGATATTAAGAACTGGACGATAACAGTATCCAAATGAAGAAAGACTTAGGCACATTCTTATATCATTTGCGAATTCAAGCAGAAGTGGAAGTAGTAGAAATGGTAGGCATAAACTTTATATATTGTTCTACTTTTTTTTAATGTGGTGAATTTATATCATATTTTCTATTTATGTACTGTTTATGCATTTTTCTGTACTTTTTTATACAAAAACCGAAATTCAACGAGAGATGTTAGAAACTGTTCTAAAATATAAGAAAAAAATTATTACCTTATAAAAAAGTTTTGTGAATTAAATAAGTAATTTAAAAACACCAGCGTTTTGTACTATAAACTTTTATAACCAATAAAAAAAATATTTTTTAAAAAATAGAATTAAGTTTAAATTTAACTAGCATTTAAAAAATATTTCAAAAAAAACTATTAAAGGATTTATTTAAATTTAATTCTTTCAGTGAAAGAAAAAAAATTCTAAGATTTTTATTACTTACTTTATGGTATGATACGCATGAAGACTTAAATAAAGAATATTATAAAGCATATATATCTCAGAAACAGATTTCTCAGTTTTCTCTGAAATAATCAATACAAAATATTTTTTAATAAAACAAACTTTTTAAAAACTTTTATTAACAATGTTATCATTTATCGATAGTTGAAATTTTGTTACCTGTGTTCCACTTTATATCATTTTTTTATTATTAACTATTATTGAGATTACTTGATAATATAAAAAATTCTTGCTTCAAAAAAAATACGAAAATATTAAAAGTCAACATGTTTCGAGCACTCAAAAAAAAGGACTCATTTTAAAGACTTGTTACATATGCATGAGAAAACAAAAGAGATTTGAAACAGAAAACGCAAAGTTGTCTAAAAAAATCTTTTTGGTGAGTCTTGAGAATGAGCGCCTATATTTGAGCCCTCGAAACATGTCAACGTTTACCACTTTCATATTCTTTTCGAAGCAAATGAAGTTATTTTTTTGATAAATATGCCTTTCTAAGGATTAATCATTAAATATTGTGGATATTATATTAAAAATTGTGCCCAACATAATTCGTGTTTCAGGTGGATACAGATATAAATGCTTACACATATGAGCGCACTCTAATGATGGAACAGAGATCCCAAATGCTGAAACATTTGAAACAAAGGAGAGGTACCCTCACGGTGGTCAGTATAACATTCCATCTGTTAGCATGCATGCAAAAACAATATTTTTAAAATTTTCAAAATTTCATTACGGAACCATCTTTTATGTGCACTGTCCTGACGTTCCACATTGGACTCATCGTTAAGACACGGTTCCCAGCAGATCACCGAAGTCAAGCATCGCTGGCTGCGGTCAGTGTGCGGGTGGGTGACCACTTGGATCAGTCTGCATAGGGACCGAGGGTGTGCGGTATTAATCCTCGTTAAACTGTGTTACCGTAAAGTGCTCGACTTCGCGTGCAGGTCGTTGGGCTACCGAAGCGGAGGTGCCATCCCCTCTGCAGAGGATCGAAATTGTGATGGCATGTCTTCGGATGATCCACAGGGATGTTTCCCAGACCGTCGTCAATAGCTCATTGTGCAGCTCTAGTGCGACGTAAATGAACTACAACTACAACAACAAGTGCACTGTCAGTTTTGTTTTTGAATAAACTCTTTATTAGATTTAATATATTTTAGAAGACGAATTAGTTGTACTTCGATTGCGAATTTCAATCAATAGAAAGGTGGTAACAATAGCGTAAAATAATATAGTACTTACAATATCTATACCTGAAATAGCAAGTAATCATAACTATCGATCGCAGTTTTTATCCAGGTTATGTTCAGTCGAAAAGTATGATTACAAATATAATCATAATCTATATATATATTTCTCTTTCACGGCGACAAAAAAGAAGCCTCATTACAACTCCTCGAATGGCAACGCTAGAAAATCGACCAATGATTGCCGCTAAAAATGTCACATGCCAAATCTAGCTGAGGTGGCTCAACATATAGCGCTTTTAAAAACGGAAGCTGAATTAACCAGAGAGAGCATTCTTACCAAATGTGATCTCTTCCGAAATTCACCCTATCAGCTTCGGCAATCTCATACTATTAAGCTTGGAAGAAGTGAGCAGTCTTTGTCGATAGATCTCTATTTTAGTATTTTGTCGAAAGCGCTTTTTTTCACGAATTTATATATTACGAATTTATTTGATGATTTTAGATTTATATCACGAATTTATTTGTTTTATTATTTTTGTTAGTTATTCATTGAAAAATGAGTCTCAGTCCTGCTGTTACGCTTTAAGATTTTATACTATAGCACATTTCTAATAGGTTTAACGAAATACATGTCATTTATTTGAATTCAAATTTATTTGAATGACTTAGTATTTACTAAAAAGATGTAATTTTTTTTTAAAAAAAAAAAAAGGTTGTTATATGGATTTGAATGATTGTTTTGAATTCTTAGAATTTTGTGCATTTGCAATGTACCTAAATTAGTAGCGAGCTAAGCAAACGATATAAGATTGCGTAGCAATTTTCGGGGGTTGGCAAGCGTTAGCGAGCAGAGGGCGCAGCCCACTAGTTACAACTAATATTAAACTACAATGGCAAGTAAATATTGTTACATTTAATCACTGGAAAACAAATTTTCGTAGCATTTATTTAAATACTTGATTTTGCCTTATTCGGGAGGAAGGATTTCTAGTCTGAAATTAGTTTTGTTTTTAGAGGTGCAAATTTTTTTACGAATAATATTTTTAGCCTATTTTTTGTCGAAATGCACCAGTTTAAAAATGTTATAGATAACAGGAGGTCGCATAAATGTTGCAACATATTTCTAGTTCAGAATCACACGAAGAAACAGCTCATATTAAATACTCCTAGCCGCGTGCGATATTTTGGGTTCCTAAGCAATTTTAATCCTGATGATGTGCCCTAACTCCCCTGGGAGTTTGTAACAACATTTACGCTACCTCCTGTTATATATAAAAAATTTTGACTTCGACAAAAAATGTCAATTAAAAAAATCTGGAGAGAGAAACCGATTACAGATTAAAAATCAGCGAAAAAAACATAAAATAATAAATATAAAATTAAAAAAAAACATAAAATAAGAAAAACTTAAAATAAAAAACATTTTCCCCAGTGTCATTATTACAATTATAATTTTAATTACAAATAATCATGATTGCACGCAATATTGACTATTTAAATCAATTACGTTTTGCTCAACTCAATGGCCTAAGAACAGGATAAACCTTTGAAATGATTAATCGTATTAACTAAAAAAAATATTTAAGTTTTAATTACAATTTTTTACTATACGAACACATTTTTTAATTCGATAAGAGAAAAACTTTATAGTTAATTGAATGACCAACAATATTCAATTAAAATATACGAGATAATCTGCTATTCAAAACGTGTGTTCTGAAAAAATACTATAGTTCTAGCGAGTTAAATAGATATAAAATTAAACTACAATGTTTTTAGCAAGTTAAAATGAATAATTGACACAGAAAAAATACACAAATGTGGTGATATTAAAGCTAAAGAATTATGAACTGAAACATTCTGAGATACTAGCTACTGTGCTAGAAATATTCAAGGCAAATGGTAACTCAACAGGTTATTAACTCAAAATATGTATAAATTTACATTATTATTCTGAATTATTTTGGGATAATTCAAAAGTTACTGTTTGTATTTTGTTAATTTTTGTTTTTGTAAAATATAGTTTTTGTAAAATTTAATTATTATTAAAACAATTTTGATAAGATACTTGAAGTTATAAGTGAAGATCAAATTGTTAAATCAAAAGTTGTTTAAAGTGTTTTTTTCCCCTTTCTTTTTTTAGATCATACTTTTGAAAAAATGTGTTTTATTTATATGTATTTCGGAAAAATTGCTGATCAAATATTTAAGAGCGTTTGATGTTTTTTTGTAGGTCCAATCCATGAAAGATAGTGTCAATCAGCCTTCCTCAAAGCCCAGCAAAGTACAGTTCATTGAAATGCCTGAACAAGATCCTGAAGATCTTGTCGATGAGAGCGAAGATTCTCCTTCGAAAGGAGGAGACAAAAGCCCACCGAAGGAGAAAGGCTCTCCTCCAGCTCTTGCTCCTTCCATTTCTGTGGATGCTTGTGATGATCCCGCCCCAGTGGAAAATGACGTGAAAACAGAAGAGAAAAACGATAGTAAAACGCTTCTATCCAAACCGTGAGTACAAACCATCTATCTAAAACACACTTTAAATACATAAAATACACGTAGATTGTTGAAAGATTGTATAAAAGTAAAAGAAAAAAAGCTCATGCAGTGGTGGTAAAATTATCATAATTTATTATTTATAGCTAACTAAACTCAAGTTTGCAATGAAATTTTCTAAGAATAAATACTTTAAAGAAATATGAATGAATTTAAAAAAAAGGAAAGATAGAAAAGCGAAGTTTACTGCGTTCTGCTTAGGACACCAGTTAATCTTTTTATCCGAATTCAAAAAATAAACACTACATTTTTTTAAACAAATGGCGTCACTGACTGTAAAAGTACAAAAAAAAAATGTTTCTGCTGCTTGTCAGACTATTTCAAATTCACAGAAACCTCCAGGAAAGATCACTTCAGGGTAGCGACCTTCTCTATTTAGAACCACTTTTGGGTAGCACGGAATTTTTTCCCTAGACATAGTGTTGAAGAAGACCTTTAGGAGAGACGATCTAAGCCTCTCCCAGAGACCTGGCAAACCTCTGCACCAAATACGGAAAAGGCCAAATCCGGTTTTCGTGAAGCCAACACAAGTGGCATTACCGCACCAAGATAATGACAATAGCTAAACTTAATCATGTACCTTCGATGAGATTTTGAAGTTAATGGAGGTAACCCCTAAGGACGACTAACCTCAATTAACGACCATTTAACTGCGATACAGAAAGTGATCGCTCCTGAGAGGTTTTACTATAGTATTAAAAGAGACGTCTGTTTAATTTGTCATCATACGACACCACATTATTACTGCAAATGATGGTTATTTTTAAATATTGTTTTATAGTTTTCTCAGCTAGTAGCACCATCTTTTGATGAAATTTGTAGCTGTTTTTTAAACTTGATGAGAAGAATAGCTGTTTTTTCGTTTTCTTTTATCTCCTAACATTTTTCTTTGGTTGAGCTGGCCATTTTTCAGATCACCGGACAGCTAACTACTGACACTTCTGAACACTCCCTTTTTTTCCTCCTCTTTCAGAGATGAATCCAACGTTAAAAGTATGCACACAGCAGTGAAATAAAATGAAGTTATACTCAGTAATCAGATAGCCGCGCAGCTTATTACTGACACTTCTAAACATTCTCTTTTTTTCCTCTCTTTCAGATATGAATCTAACGTTAAGCGTATGCACACAGCAGTGAAATTAAATGAAGTTATACTCAGTAAATACCAATTTTCAGATAACCGAGCAGCTAACTACTGACACTTCTAAACACTCTTTTTTAGATATGAATCTAACGTTAAGCGTATGCACACAGTAGTGCATGAGCAAATCCCAATTATGGTAATAACTGGAGTGCTAATTACTGACACTTCTAAGCACTCTCTTTTTTTCTTTCTTTCAGAGATGAATCTAACGTTAAACGTATGCACACAGCAGTGAAATTAAATGAAGTTATACTCAGCAAATCCCAAGACGCTCAACTTGTTGTTTTTAACTTGCCAGGACCTCCGAAATTGAGAGTAGGAGAAGAAAACTGTATCCTTTAAACTATATTTTATTTTATTATATTATTTATTTATACATTTCATTAATATTATTACTATGGAAAATTATTTTAATTAAATTTTAGCTGAATTATTTAAAAAAAAAACAATACCGATAAGAATTTATTCTAAATCATTTAAAATAAAAGTTGTAAAAAAACAACATCAGAATATGCAAGTAGGTCACTAAATAAACAAAGGGAAAAAATATGTAATCTGTTCAGAAACGCTAATACATAATTAAATATTTTATTCTGATATTTAAAAAAATGGTAATAAAATTAATACATTTTCACCACTAAGGCTCAAGTGTTTAGCAAAGTCTAAATTCCTATGCTGAAAAAAATTTTTTACAGAAATATCTTAAATACATAAATATTATTCTTTAATAATATTAGTATCTTGTCTTGAGAATCTCAATAATTTTCTCTATAACACTATTACTATAATATGACATGATAGTATGACATAAGTTTTTTTTCACAATGCCAAAATTTCGCTAAAAACGCCAATCCTAAATAGTACTAATTTGAACTATCCTTGAATATTTTGGGGACATTATTCAAGAAGTATAAGTCATATTAGTTTATCAAAAACTTCTCCAAAATCTAACAGACGAGTCAAACTATTTTTAATGTTTTTCCTTCTGTCATCCTCACTAGCGAATTCTTAGATTTTGATAATTTTTCTGATATTCTTCTCTTAAATATTAATTTGTGACTCTTTAATATGCATACTCTGTTAACTACATTTTTGCCAGGGATTTTAAAAATATACTCTTAAACTATAATGAAAAATTTCGAAACGTCTTATGTATATACATAAGACGTTTCGAATAATAGATAAATACAAAAAAAAATTAAAAAAAAATTTAAAAATTAAGAAAAACAAAAAGTTTTATTTATTGCGCATAAGCTGCAAGTAAATAGAACTCATAAAATAAGTTCAAAATGTAGAGAAAACATGGGGAAAATTACANATTTTATTAGTTCTTATTTATTAGCTTATTTATTAGTTCTTATTTTATTAGCTTATGCGCAATAAATAAAACTTATTGTTTTTCTTAATTTTCTTCGTGTTTTTTTTTTGCTTTTATATATACATATATTTATTTATTTATTTATTTATATATATATAATATATATAAGGACTAATTTGTAACTACTATTAACATATAAGCACTATTTTTTATGTTTTTCCTAAGCCTAAACATTAGGGTTATGGTTTTCTAAAATCTATATCAATAAAAAATGCAGCAGTTTTAGGAAAAAATTAATACATTTTCCATCCGAAGTTTCTGGTTCTAGTTCAAAATTTTTTCGATAGATTGCAGTGCAGATAGTAAAAGTTTAACTCAAAGAAAAATATTTGAAAATCGCAGCAAAATTTTTCGAAATCTTATTAAATGTAGATCACATTACAATATTTAGGAAACATCCACCTTCTGCACACATCATAATAATGAGAGTTCTAATTATTTTTCTTCGATTTATTGGCTTTCTTGGATTTAATTTATTATTCGCAGCGCCGTCGAAAAAATCTCAACTAAAAATAGACACTTTAAGAGAAAATCTTATACCTTCTCACATGAATTTGCTGCAAGAATTTTTTTGTTTAACATCAATCGTTTTTATGTACTAGATTTTTGTTACTAATTTTTGTTTTGTTTTAGATACTATACATAATATGTCTTCATTTCAAATTGAAACTAGCTTAAACTCACCTTAACCACACCAAGATATGGAATTTATTGAAGTGCTCACTGAAGGATTAGAAAAAGTTATAATGGTGCGTGGTGGAGGACGGGAAGTAATCACCATCTATTCTTGAAGATCTGTATTTAGTAGACTGATACATCTGCAGAGGCAGTTGGCAATACGGGTGGGAGCGTCAACATTAAAAATATTAAAGAAACTTTGCTGTCTGTCTACTATTTCAACAAAAAAAAAAGAAATATTTTTATTTATTTGTTTGATTGCTTGATTTTTACATAGTTTTTTTTTCCTTTATTTATTCTCATTTAACATATTCTTTAACATTAATATTTTTTTTTAAATTCTTGGAAACTTAATAGCAGTTTTTTTTTCCCATAAAAAGTTTTACAGTATATAGTATACATGCAAAAAAATTAACAGAACCTTATCAAGGTTTAATGATTATGATTTTCTACATTAACATACATGCTTAAATATTGAAATAAATTTACACTTGGAAAACTTTTGAAACATTTTTAAAAGTTTAATATTCTATAAAATGATTCAAACTGCAACCACTATAATTATAAAGTTTCACTTCAAGTTGTGTTATGTTTAAAAAAGATGTTTAATTGTTAATATGATTTAAATCAGAGCTACACTGTTGGAATTCAGAATCTTATTCGTGCATGTATTTTTTTTAATCTCTGTTCAAATGAATTTATTCATATTTAAACACTGTGTTAAAATAACTTTGCAAATCTTGCTGTGTATGTTCTTTCATCTCACACTGTATATATGTATTATTCTTAGATATAAAACATAGGCGCCTACAAAAGCTTTTTATACTTACCTGTTATTTGGTGTTTTGTTAACTAGTCACAAAACTTTATATTTATTGTTCACATGTTATTTTGTTAAAAATCTAGTCATTTGACCTGCCAAAATACTTATGTTTTCATATTTATATATTGTTACACTTATGCTAGTCCATACACAGTCTCACAAATAATTCTTTTGCGTGTTGGTTTCCTTCATACTTTAGAATATAAATAAGGATTGTTGTTACGTGTATACTTCAGATATATTTGTTCAACTTCTTCTAATATTGTAAGGCGAGCAAATTACATGTTGTTGTTATTAATAGTAGTAACATTTACAGTTTTGATAATGAATGATATATGCTCAGTTACATGTGAAAGGCATAGAAGAAAAAAAATATATGAATTATCTTTCTTTTGCCAAGCATTGTCTGTCACAGAAGGTATTTCAGCTTCTCAATTTTCCTAAGGCAGTGTGATTAAATGCAGGTTTCAAATAAAAATTTAATCTGTGAGTGATTATATACTTGTAAAAAAATTAATTTGCGAAAAAAAATGTGATAAATTATATTTTTAATTTTTGCTTTAAAAAGCTGCCACGTAGACTATTCGACAACATATACTTACAAATGGTAGCTTCTATGAGGAAGATTTCCGTATCAGTACCTGAGCCAAAATAGACACCAAGTTTTGAGCGCCAACGGCGAAGTGGCACTGGAGAAACTAAAAAAAAAAATCTCAGAAGGGGAGGGAATTTGAACTATACAGCTTGCAAACCACTTGAGCGGGGGTGCCATTCACTATGCAGAGGATCAAAATTGTGATGGCATGTCTTCGGATTATCCTCAGGGATGTTTCCCAGACCGTCGCCAATAGCCCATTATGCAGCTCTAGCGCGACGTAAATGAAATTAAAACTAAAAAAACAAGCCACTTGATATTTTTATTTAAATTTATTCCAAGTGTGTGATTTGGCACAAACAGGTACAGATATGGAAATATCCCATTTCTATGTACATTAAATATTTTTTTTTTCATTGTACTTAATTTTAAATGTTATTTTCTTCTTTATTTCATTATTTTTTGCAAAGCATAGCTGACCCGAGCTATGAAGCTGGTGCCAAAGAATTTTAACTGTTCTATGTTATGTACAAATAAATTTAAAAAAAGATCTTGAAATTACAATTGTTCATTATTATAATGACTAAAAAAGAACTATAAATATAAAATAGTTTACATTTACATAATTTATTAAACGTTGTTTAGAGAAAAAGTTGTAATAATTATGTTTAAAATTTTTCTCCTTCCATCTTGTTCATTTATGAGCTTATCTTGAATAATAAAAAAAAAATTTATTTCAGAAAAGTGTAATGAAGCGAATTACTCTGTACAAAATAGCCTACTGAATAAACTTAAAGAGATAATCAAGAACTTTAATAATATGACTATTTGCATGGAAAATATTCTAACTTCAATAAATAATATCCTAATTTGGTATAAAATATAAATAATATATATAATAATAATATATAACATTATAATAATAATATATAATATATAAATAATATCCTAATTTGGTATAGAATTATGTTTAATCGCAATGTCTGACAATATTGATAACTATTTTATTTTATTTTGAACTAAATTATGGGAACATTTTACACTTATGCTAAAATCATTATGCTCAGGATTCTAATGATAATCAAGAATTCATACCAGTCAAAATACTGTTAATATAATTATTATTTTATCTTTGTAAATATGACTATCAAATGTAATTTTATATAGAAATTAGTTTTTATCATCCCAGTAAAAAGGCAGCTAAATACAAGCAAATAATATGAAATATTCTTAAACAATTACAGAAAATATGAGATTGTTTAAAATCACATTCAAGTTAAAATTGAAATAAAATTTCTTGGCTTATAATTAATTAAATATTGTCAAAAATGTATTATAAAATATTTTCCTAATTACATATTTATATTTGTTGAATAAATCTGAGTGTATATTATATTCAAATTGTTTTAAAAATGTATATTTACTTGTGTTTATAATATGCAACACTCAAAGTAATAGTACTGCAGACAAATAAATCTCAAAAACGCTAAATCATTATAGCATTAATTCATAGACTTTTCAAAATTATCAAATGATTGTTATAATCCTACAATTATCAGATGATAGTTACAAATTAGTCCCTCCAAAATTTTAAACAAAAACTATTTTAAACCACTTATTTTATAAGCATTTGAGTTTATTAAAGAAAAAACTGAGTCTTAAAAAATACATCTAATAAATTTTAACTCATGCATTTTCAAACAGTCTTTCTTATGGTATCCTGTATATGAGATGTACCATTCCTGAACCATTATGTGTACATGGTACAACATAAAATCGATGTAATGTGGATAATTAATAAAACGTAATCAAGTATTAAAACCACAATTAAACTTTATTTCATTCATGCAGGTGATAATTACACCCTGGTTATGTGTTAAGGTTATTTTGAAATTCAGTGAATTCAAGGGGGCTAAACTAAAGTACATAAGCAGCCAAAAACTGTTTGGCACGGAACGTGTTCAAAATAATTTAATCATTTGATTAGATTTAAAACTGAAGATATGAAAAGATTTAAAAGGTAGATCTAGTTAAAGAACATGAAAGTTTACAGGGGTGACTTTTTACAAGTATTTTACTCAATTTTATAAATTTATGATACAGAATGTTATAAAAAGTCATTGATGGAGTTATAAGCAGTAAATTTCTATAGAAAGTTGAATTGTAAAGTTTTATCTATTTGAGCACATCTATTGCTGTTAGAGTAATTTGTGATGTATTTATAATGTTGATGTAGATGTTCTTTAAAGTGAAGCTATAGTATGAAATTTGAAAGAAATGTATTAGGGTTCGGTGAAATATATAAGTTACATTAATATATGAGGAAGATACATTAATATACGAGGAAGTGAAAATATTAAAAACTAATATAATTTATGAAATGCAACTCAAATATGATAAGTTAATTGGAAATAAAATAATAACAATTCTTTTTTCAGAATAACGATCTTTAAAAAATGAAACTTTATAAAAACAAGAAGAGCATCATTCTCTAATTAAGAGGCAGTAAAGCAATGACAAAATGAAATAATGATTGTAAAATAGCATCAGCTTATTTATCTAACAGTTATTAAAAAAACAAGACCAACAAAATTTTGTAAACTATAGCTTACCACTTTGAAATTACACTGAAAGTGTAAAAAATATATAATTAAATATTTAAGTTGTACAAATATAATTGTGCTTGAATAAAATTGTATGATTTTTTTTCATTGCATTTTATATTATCTTTAAATGAAGCATTTTTCAAAAATATTATTTATGATCAAAATAAGTTAAAAATGAATGCAATGTATGTAAATTCCTTTATGTACCGAACCATTTAACTACCTTTCGTAGAATGCAATAAAATTTTAATGTTTTTCCAGTAAAGTTCTTTATTATATAAAATTTCAACACTAACACATTATTGTAGACCACTAAATAGCTAGATTATATCTTTCCAGCAAAATTTTTAATTTTTACACCAAACCCTTTCTTCACCTACAGGTTCAATGTTGAATCAAAAACACACTTTTAATAATGAAATACAATGAACAATTTTCATATAAAAATCAAATCTTCGTAATACTTAAACATTAAATTAAAACATTTTTTTTAAAGTCGCCATGTTACATTTTAATAAAATTAGCCTCTCTAAAAAACCTTTTTCCACAGTAAAACGGCATAGTATTGATGTAGTTTTATAAGTACCAAATATACTAATTGTACCTATATTAATAAATTTGGAACCTATTAAAAATTACCATAACACCAGTAGCGTCTATAACCAAAATTAATTAAGAATTATTAACGTCAATGAAAATGAGACATTTTTTTATGTTTCTCCTAAAGGAATTAGTACCATTTCTTCAGCAATTTTGCTTTTTAGTATATAGCTTATTTTATAATTTCAATTAGTACCTATTAGAAAAAATAATTAAGCATCATTGACGTCAAAATTATGGCAAGCTTTTACTTTTGCTCAAAGCAAAATGAATCAGTACCACTTTTCTATTAATGTTGGTTTTTAATACCTAGCTTTCTTACCTAGGGCAACCTCAAAGACTCAGCACTTTGCGACTCCTCACTATGTGGTATGGCTTTACGATAATTTATCGTTTCAATAATTTACTGTCACTCATATATTGAGCAAACCCCCAAGAATTGTGTTAAGTTTAAGGGCATTAGCTGAAAATAAAACCCCTTTTTTCAAAGAATGCATGACTAAGCCTAAATTCAGACAAACATTAAAAAAATTCACATTATAGATACCAAATTCTTCAAAAATATGATTTAAATAAAATAAAAATAGTCCTAAGTATTTTAATTTTTCTTGAAAAATTAGAACAAAAAATGTAGAAACATCTTTTTCATCAACTACAGAAATGACAAAGCAAACAACAGAGAAAAATTAGTTAATTATAAAGTTTAAATTTAAATTAAGCAACACTATAACTATCAATGCACAAATTTAGTAGAAACTGAAATCGATTTAATACTTCACAAATCTATTAAAGTCTATCTTCTCAAATCTGCACTGTAGCATTGTTGATGGTTAAACATTTTAAAGTTAAATGAAAAAAGTCATTTTGTTTAAAATTTGAATTCAAATTAAATAAAAAAAAATAACTATCAATATTTACTCAAATTTATTTGGTGTATTGAAACCAAAATCTATTCAATACTTCAAAAATCTATTAAAATACATCTTCGTAAATCATTGTGGTGTTGTTCGTGTTTACAGTATCTAGTGTACACAGTACAATATCCATATTTTTCACCACACCTTTTTTTTCAAATATGACAAAAAAGTGTAACAACAAAAGTCTTTAGTTGAGGAGAAAATATGAAGAAAAAATTATCTTATAGGTTCATTTAACTTTCCAATGAAAAATATGTCTTTTTTTAGTATGTAAAGTATTTACATATTTTAAAAGAAAACAGGTAAATTGCATTTATGTATTACTAAAGTGCTGCCAATTCAGTAAGAGAAATTATTTGCAGTTTCGGCAAATGTAAGACAAATATAAAATAGATATAATATAAGCTCAGGTTAGTTGGTCCTGCTTGGAAAGGGCATGGGAGAAATCTGATTACACAAGACTAATGTTTGTATTAAACAAAATAATTACAAAATACAACCATGTAATTACACAACTTCTTAAATTAAGTTTCATTGCACATTATTAATATCTTAATTACTTTCTTGTTTTATTCACTATGCAAAATGCTTAGAGGGACAATTTTTACATTTTTCCTCATTTGAGCAAAATTAATTCAACACAATAAAAACTAATTTAAAAGCTTAAATTAGTAGGGGTTTTATTCATCTTTTCTGATGCAATCATAGAAAAATCAAGCCTTCTAACTTAGGATTTCTCTTAAATATAATTTTTTTTTAATTTTTTAGTGTATATTTTAGCTATTTTAATTTGGATGCAGGAAAAGATTAATAATTCATAAACTTATGTCCCGTTTATATTCAAACAAAACTTTTTTTTAGAAGAAAAAACAGCATAATTAAAATTGAACTGATAATTTAAAGGAAATTTTATTATTCTATGAAATATGTACATGAAACTGTAAATTAATACAGTAATGTAAAAACATGTAGTGTAAATTAATACATTAATGAAAAAAAACTTACAACTAGGTTGTAAAAAGGAACCTGTCTTACATTGACATTTAATTAATTTTGAATCCTAAAATTTATTCTTATTGAGTCTTCTTAACATCCTCTTCTGGTTGTTTCTTTGCTTTGTCTCTTATAGATTCCCAAAATAATTTTAACTGTTTTTTTAGCTTCGAAAGGAAAGGATTCTCACTGCTTTCATCAAGGGGTTGTAAACTATAAAATAATTTTAAAAATTTTACTTTATACACATACTGCAAAACATTATTTATAAGTAAAATAATTTTTAACTTTAGCCTTATTTTTTTAAATGTTTTTTCTTCCTTTTTTCAATTCCTTATTTAATTAAGATTCATCTTAGCAATTATGAAAAAAATGCTTATAGAAATCAACTGCAATAATTATTCTGTCAATAAATTTATTAATTTCCCAGTTTAACAAGGAAATCACTGTAATCATCATCAATATAAGTTTTCATTGAACCAAAAAGACAAGACATACCAATTTTAATTTCAAAACAAAATTAAAATAAAACAAAATTCAATAACACAATAAAATCTTAGAACTAAATAAATTTAAATAATAATGGCATAGCTTACGTCTTTGTAGTAATATTATGAATAGGTCCAAAAGCTAAAGCAACAACAGTACATGTCAAACAAATTACGTTATAAGGCATACTAAAATCAGGCGTGGGTAATGACACCAGCAATATTTTTGTATGAATCCTTAGAAAGTTTCCGTCATCGATTCTAAAACAATAAAAAACCAGATTCATTCAAAACGAAAACTAAAATAATAAAAGCAAAAACTTCTAATTAATATATGATTTCAAAAAATGTTAGCTTAATTTTTATATGAAAATTTAAAAATGACAATTTCTAGTATAGAGTTATATAGCAATATTAACTCTACTTGAGTTAAAAATAAGAAAAATAGATGTTTAAATTAGTATACATACAAGGTGGGGCAAAAAAAACCAACAAACAGTTTTTAATACAACTTTATTAAAAATAAATATTTTAACAAAGTGAAACAAATAATAATAAGAGTAGACTTTTAATAATAAATTATTTATTTATTTCAAAGTGGCTGCTTTTTACAGCTATACTGAGAGACTAACGCTTAATAAAATCATCAACAAAGGCTGCAGGTCTTTTGACTTTAATCTATTTCATTCCCGCTAAAAACGTTTGCTATAGAGAGTCCAAAATTTCGACTACAACGATTGTGAGACCGAAGTAACACTTTCAAGCTGCTATTTTCCTTTCTAAAACAGATCTTTTGCTAAACATTGTAAAATAGCCACACAAAAAAAACAATGCCTAAACTAAAGGATATATTATAAGATATTTAATAATTAAAATGACAGACAAAAATAAATGAACACACAAATTAAAAATAAACTATTTAACTACGTTTATATGGTGCAATAAGTTTGAGGTTTTTTTTTGCTGCACTCTACAATAGAAAAATTGTCTTCAACATTCCTTTTATTTATTTATTTATTTTGTAGACTCGTACGTTTCTAATTAAAATTCAGGTTCCACATTCTCGCTCATTAGCAGGTCGTTGGGCTACCAAAGCAAGGTAGCCACCCCCCTCTACAGAAGATCAAAATTGTGATGGCATGTCTTCATATTATCCTCAGGGATGTTTCCCAGACCATTGCTAATAGCCCATTGTACAGCTCCTGTGTTACTTAAATAAAAATACCTACCTACTTACCTAAAAGAGGAATAAAATGCAAAATTTAGTGAAGCATATGCTAAGAAAACTACTAGATTGATAAATATATTAGAAAAAGTAAAGTATTCCCAAAATAGCCAGTTGTTGATAAAGAAGGTTATAGAGATTAAAGCTATGCAATTTTGAGACCAACAGCATGACAGGGCAAAGTAATCAACTTTGTACGTTGCCAGCCTTTAATTATGATATAAGCTAAACATGTAGCATCTAAAGCTTGGGTGAATTTAAAACTGCCACCAGAGATAGATACCCGTTCCAACACAGTGGCAGTTTAATTCCTTACCCATAAACAATAATTAAAATATTTATAAAGAATTAAGGCATCAAGAAATTATTGCAAATAATCAACAATGATGAATCCGAAAAGAAAATTACCTAAGTGTGAAAAAGGAAAGTGAAGATTTTTCCTACACATTTCCATATTAACAAAATCGTGCATACCACAGTGGCATAACTAATAACCAATTGAACTGCCTAAATATATATATGTACAAACATTAAAAACTCAAAATCACGAATGTTTCGATAACGCGAAAAATCATAAATTCTCTACACAATTGCTATGCTGGTAGTAGAAAAAACCCTTTTCAGCATAAAACATAACTGGGTGATCTTAGATTTTACGAAATATTTTTTCTTACCAAAAAATTTTCATTATCTGATGTCTGAAGAATTTTAAATGCTTTTCTGAAATTCTTTTCCTCTGAAAGTCTTTTCTTAAATAATTTAAGAAAGATTTCTTAAAGCCCTAATTAGCAATAGTCTGACAAATTGAAAAGACGTTCCCTCAATCATCCATTCCTAAAGATGCGTGCATAGATAAATTATAAACATCCATGAGATACTATGACTTACTAATTGAAGGTATTCCAAAAGAAATTGATACTTATCAGGATGTAATTACTGAAGACCATAATCTTCCAGCGGGGTAGCGGCTGAGGTCGTAGCATTGGGAGATAAAATAAAAGAGAAAAATGATGAAGCCGAAGAATAATAGAAATATAAAAGAATAATAGAAATTTTTTAAAAATTATATAAATATTTTCCGCATTTCAATAGCTTAATTGCATAGTGTTGACTTTTTTCTTTCTAATGACACCAAAATATAGAAAATCCGCTCATAAATTAAAAAAAAATAGACATTATTTACAAACGAGACACCATCTGTAGTTACATCATTTTTTTTAAGTAGTCAAATTTCAAAATGGCACCCTAATTGAAGTTTTGAACCAAATATTCTGAAACTATTTTAGTCACTTTTTGTCATGAACATTTCTACAAAAATTTCATGAAAATCTGGGATATGAAAACAACTTAGAATGAACCATGTACAAAATATAAAACATAAAAAAAAAGCATTTGCAAACTGGGAAATACATTTAGTAATAATTTATCACATTTATTTTTGTTTCCAAGAGAAAAAACAGCTGTTTCTATATGACGACACTAACAATATCATAATCAATCAGATATTATAATATTATAGAGTGTTCGCATTATCCATGAAAACATAAATATCTGATTTAGGGGCAGAAGTTTTATTTCATTTTAGACATAAAACTAAAGAAAATTTAGCAATGGAATAAAGAGAAAGTTAAATAGCAAATAGTTAATATTGAAGGTGATGAGAGATTAAAAGGTAATATTAATTCGTTATAAGAAATATTCGAATTCATTGAACATTCAATGTTATTTAGAGAGTTAATATACATTGGGAACAGTTTGTGATTGTCTGAAAAATAAAATCTATAGGGGGGGAAAGCCAAAGCAAAATTTTCTTTGTAAAATTAAAATAGAATCTATTAACATGATAAAATCTTAAAATTAGGCATATGTATTTGTTCCAGACCTTAAAATAAATTTTAATAATTGGAAAGGTTATCTATCCTGCATTAAATTAAATTTAAATAATCTTATATTTTGTGAAATAATTAGGTTTTGAGAATTATGATATCTATAGCGCTTTTATCAAATTATTTAAATTATGATATACCAAAAAACTGCTAATTTCCGTTTGAAAACATACTAAAAATAAAGTTACATTTTTATATTTAAAAAGTTAAATCAATTGATCTATAATTTACACAATTATGGCATAGTATTGAGGAGCACCTAGGCTGATAAAAAAAAACATAACTTTATACTGTAAGTGATTCCATTGTTATTATTCTTTACAACTCTAATCTAGACAACTCTGAAGTTATTAAGCAACACTATAACCCTTTAGGTATAAGAATTCAAATCACATGTACTGAGATTGTCATCAGTTTTAGCCAGATATTTTCAATTTATTAGAATTCAAGACTTTTGGTGGTGAGTTTCGTACTTTTGAATTATTTTTATTTCTATAATTTCCCATTAGCAGCCTTGATCAATATATTTCCCAGTTTGCAACTTGTATAACTGTACCTAGTTTGTTTATTTCCAGGGAAGTAGGAGAAATTTTTGTTGGTATCCAGTAAGGTGCTAATAACGGCTGAACTAATGTAAAACCCATGATTAGCATCTGGAGGATATTCTGTCCACTTTAAGAAAGCAAAATCAAATTCTATTTTCAATTCTGTTTTGGACTTAGGAGGTAACGTCAACACAAGTTCTAGATGATGAGGTCGACTACGATCTTTAGCAGGCTTGTAATACAAGAAATCTATACAATGAGAGCAATAGTACAAAATGGTTAATCTTTATATTGATATGAAAATTTATATTTTAGGCATAAAAAGTACAGCATGAGAAAAATAAAGATTTTGGACAATTTAAACAAATTACTTACAGAAACAAAGGAAAATTAAGTAAAACTAAGAAGATTTAATTAAATTAAGAATGAAGATTTAATGGTTTGAATCTTTCACTAAAATGAAGAGACCAATGAACTAAATGTAATAAAAGTTAAATTTAATTTTTTATAACTCCTAGATTATTAAGAACTCATTTGAACTTACACACACACAAATTGCAAAAAAGACTACAACAAAGACAAAAAAAAAGGCTAGTCTGAAAAGAAAGGGTGAATCAATATAATCAAAAGAAAAGCTTTGTCACAAATGTATTTAAACTTGCTTAATTGAAAACACCTACTCACTAAGGATTTTTAGAATAACCAGCTAAATTTAGAAATTATTGAGAAAAAAAGTTTTTTATCAAAGTTTTAAATTTTAGAGTAAAATAAAAATTTTATCATTTCTAGTTTGAAAATAGTGAAGAAAATGTTGGTCTGTGCAAAGCTCTCAACAATTTTCCAAGAAAAGGAAGCGTTAAAAAAGGGACCAAAACAGAGAAAAATGTGAGAAAAAAAAATTTTCATGTCTGAAAAAGTGAACCAAGTGTTTCCCCAATAATTAAAAAATTTTCGTACAGAAATAACTTTCTTTAATTCAATTATATATACTGAGATAATATAAAAACAAGCAGAATTAAGAAAAGTATATCGTTGTGAATCACCGTGAACATAAAACAATAGATGAGAAGCGCACCTTTTCACAGTAAGCATTTCAAAATGATAAAGGGAATACAAATCGAGAAGTTTGCTCCAAGAAAAAAAATATTGAGGGAAATAGTCAAATTCAAAAGAAAGAAAAAAGCTTATAAAAAAATTAAGTCTAAAAAAGATAATAAAGTAAATACATAAATAGTCTTGTTGGACCAAAAATCTTAAAAAATAGAACCGAAACAGACCAAAAGGTTAAAAAATGAGACTCATTTGAAAGCCCTGCAGTCTGATGTAAAAGCATGTCACAGGAAAATTGCAAATAAGTTTCACTGACATTACAAATATTTTTCAATAAAAATTTGGTTGCAATATTGGACATTAATTGTATTAAAATTTATTATTTGCACATATTACTCAATAATAATTTTTATGAAAAGGAACTAAAATGAGAATAAAAACATAGAACTAGAATTATAGAAATATCTAAATTGTGTCACATAAAGATTCATCCATAAGAGATTCATCACAAATATTCATCAGTAAAATTTTAAATACAGGTATATATTTCAACGAACATGTTGGAAACGAACATATTAAAATTTATTATTTGCACATATTACTCAATAATAATTTTTATGAAAAGCAACTAAAATGAGAATAAAAACATAGAACTAGAATTATAGAAATATCTAAATTGTGTCACATAAAGATTCATCCATAAGAGATTCATCACAAATATTCATCAGTAAAATTTTAAATACAGGTATATATTTCAACGAACGTGTTGGAACTCAAAGTAAAAACAATTTTTTTTCTTTTTAGCGGTGCAGTTTTTCATGTAACTTGCAACTAAATAACGTAGTAAAAGTTTAATTAAAGCTTGTTTAAATAAATATGAATATTTGCAATGTAAAAAAATATTCTTTCTTTAAAGAAAATAAAAGCTATTTTCATTATAAATTTTACAAAAAATTAATAAAGACTTTAAATAACTTTAGGCATTTTCAATTCTGCATAAATTTTTTTATTTAAAAATATAAATATTGTTCTAAAAACACAAAAAACTGTCTAAAATTTTTTATTTGTACTGAAACAATTCATATTTTACACTATAAAACTTCAAATGATCTAAGCATTATAAATCAAAATCTTTAAGAAAAAAAAGTCACATGAGAAAGAATTTAATGCTTGTGAATTTAAATATCAAACACAAAAGCAAAATGAATTTAAGTTGACTTGGGTGTTTAGAACACAAAATTGTTGTTGTGTAAGCAGATAATGCATCTGTTAGACATCACAAACAAAAAGATTAGAAATTCATTTAAAAAAAACTTTAGAACACAAAAAAAAACATATTTACCAGGTGAAATAGTTGAACCTCCATTAGTTATAGCCAATGTGTGACTATACAATCTTATATACCATGGAATTACATCAAAATGAATTATTTTTAGAGGATTTTTAGGATGATTATTATAAAAAGTGTACGAAATTCCGCCATTTTCTTGCCCATAACCTGAAACATAAAAAGCTATCAGTTACAGTCTAAACCTCTAAATTGCATAAAAAGAAACAATTTATTCACAATTTTTTTGTAACTACAATTTACTAATGAATTCATATAAGACCTCCTCCAAAAAATTATCTATTTAAAATAATTTAAAGGTATTACTTTAAGCAATTTAAACATTTCTTATTAAAATTTTTATACATAATTTTTTTTAATTAGAAATGTAAAAGTCTGTAAACTATTCCATATTAGTACCAGATATTAAATACAGTTGGTTATTTTTAACATTTAGTGAGTCATGGTAATTATAATAATGCAACAGCAATCTACTTTTAATGATTGTATCTTAAATCTTTGTACACTTAAAAAATGTAACTAATAAGTATCACATAATATCAATGTAACTATAAGTAGTGTTTCATTATATAATTAGAATAATAGAATAATAATGTTAAATAATCATTTAAAAAAACACTTTAGTTAGGGCAATAAAATGCTTTCACTTTACAAAATATTGTGGTATTTCAAGAATATTTTCAATTAAAACTACTTAACACACAAAAAATCTGGGCATTATACTAACTACAACATAGTTTTAATATTAAAATTTCTAAAAATAAAATACAACTGAAGAATGCAAATTTCCAACAAAATAAAAAACCTAAAGATATATATGGTGATATCAATATTAAAATGTTTTACCTGTCAATTTTCTATCAACATATATGATTGGTGGAGGTATAATTCCATAAATATGGGCACTTTTGTAGATGGCAGCAATATTTACAAGATGCATACTTTTAAATAATTGTTTTAGATCATAGAAAGCAATTCTTTTGTTTTCATATCCTATTTGGTCTGTATTTTCTTCAATAATATCAGTTGGTGAAATACTTAAAGTAAATGGATTTTGAGTCTTCAAAAAAAATAAAAATAAAAAAAAGAATATAAGAATAAAATATATAATTCATAAAAAGGTAATACAATAAAAGATCTTTATAATGCAAATCTTAAAATATGAGGCTTTGCTTTATTATTTTGTATCCAGATTATTTCACAAACTTACGAACTAAACATGGCAATATATCTGAAGCAGCTTGGTAATGCTTTAAAATAATTTTTAAATAAAAATATTTAAAAATATAAAAATAAGCTTTTAAGAGTTTATTATTTACAGAAAGAAATTAAAATTATCAAAAACATTATACATAAAATCCATTAAATTAAAAAACTTGTTCGTTCTAAAGATTATAAAGTCAATGCCTTTTATGGAGAACTGTGGTTTATAGAATTGTTTTTGATAGATCTTCTACTGAAAAAAATTAAAATATTAAATTAAGTACTTGTTGAAAAAATTAAAAATTTTATTATATAACAAAAAAGTTTATTTTTAATTTTATAACTGGGTCTGTGGACTACTCGCTCCCATTACTATAGATTTCAGTACAGTATACAATGCTCTTTTCATTTTTATCATCTTTCTATCTCAGACTCTTGGCTTTTTCTAATATCCTATACTTCTTTATATACATAACCCATAAGATAGGACTTATATCAAGAAAACCTATAGCATTTTGATCGTAGCAGTACTTCCCACTCTGTAATTCACAGAGATGAGAGTAGTTAGAAAGTAAAAAAGAAGAAATCCAAGAATATATACTATATGTGTACTATATACTATATATACTATATATGTAGAAGCTGTAATATCCAAAAATTTGACAAAAAAAAGTGCAATTTTTTAAACATTTAAACCATGTGATTACAAATCCCAATGACTAATTTTAAAATAGTGTGAATAAGTATTGCAATATTTGATTTTAAATTGAGAAAATATGAATCTCGATATGTGGCTTTTGAATCACATGAATATGAATCTCTATTCACGTGATATGAAACTCTACATCTATAACTCTATCAGGGTGCGTAGCCAAATCTTTGAATCAAAAATAAGCACTTTTTAAAAACTTTTCAAGCACTTTACAAAAATTTTCAAGAACTCAAAAAAATTCATATTCAATCAATGATATTATTGAAAAACAAAAACTTTTTATAAACAGTTTTAGCGTTTAAAAAAAAAAAGAAAGAAACGGGCGTAAATCGAAACATCACCGAGTGAATTCAACTTGACCCTGATCTCAGAACAAAAGTACCCTTACCCCCTACGTCAAAAAAAATGTCAGAAGTAAAATAAAATAAACAAGAACAAAATTTAAATAAATTATGAAGAAAAACATTTCATAAGGATCTGATATTCTCTATCCGAATTGGAGCACTCGGGTTTGGGTTTAAAGTGCGCGCATATGCACAAGTCATAACGTGGGTACGGCATGAAGTCCGCATAAATGATTACGTAGCAAACTCCCCATTTTTCGTGAAATGCATAGGATCCACCAGATATCACTGAAGGGAGACAAACAAAAATTTCGGAAAAAAGCACTTTTTAAAAACGCCAGCTGAAAAAAGCACCTTTAAAAGCTTTTAAAACGAAATCCCCAAAAAAGCACCTTTAAGTACTTTTTACAAGCGCTACGCACCCTGTCTATATATACATAAAAATGCAAATCATGATGCGTAATTTTCAGATCGCGTAAATGCGAATCACCATACATAATCTTTAAACATCGTGAATATGAATCCCACAATGTCTAATTTTGAAATCACATATGAATAGTAAAATTGATGTTTGATATTACAACCACATAAACGAATCACAAAATTGGATTTTAAACTCGCGTGAATATGAATCTAATAAAACTAAAATCATTGGCATGACAGCCCATGGAGAGCCAAGTCCTACTGTGTTTTACCTGTCAATTATATAATCAGATTTTTCCAGTTTTTTAAACGTTGGGCTCTGGGGTGTGGAGATCAGATGTTCCAGTTAGGTGGTCAGCTGAAGGCAAAACCCTAAGTGTTTAGTCCTCAAGCATGCTTGGTATTCATTTTATCCACCCCCAGAAGGTATAAAAGGATGAATGAAACGTGCCCGACTCGAGGATAGAACCTGCAGAACAGGAGTGCCAAGTCGTACTACTCAGCCACCGTACTCTTGCATGCTAGTAATAATTAAAATAAAACCTTACTACAAAACTGAAAATAACTAAGCTAGTGGCAAAACATACCTTATTAGAGGAAATATCAACAAACACTTCACTGGTTGATGCAACTGGACAAGTACTTGATAAACTTGAACCAAAAAGTTTTACTAATGACCAATCTGAAATCAAAATCTTACTATAAATGCCAATTGAGGTTAGAAAAATGATTTATTTAAGATGGCAAATTAAAACTATTCTTAGCCATTAAGAAAAATTTTAAAAGCCTATTTTAATATATAAATAACTGAATCTTGATTATTTGTCTTTATTAATTATGAAATTGCCAGTTGCTAATAATAACTAGATATTCTGATACACAGAAAAGCTTAAAATATAAGTGGCCATTGGTTTCATAAAATAATTTTATCTTAAAACTAAACATAAATAGCATCATACGAGCATCTAGATAAATTAGGAGTATAAATTTTAAAATCGTTACAGGCATCCTAGGCTTATCTGTTTGCTCATATGCTTATTAAAAAACATTATTTAAATAAATAACAATTCAGTAAAAAGGAATGAATTTACAAAATTTATATTTTTACTTCTTGTTTTCAGTTTTTCAAATAATAATAATAAGTAAGTAAGTTTTAAAATATAATTTAAAAAATTTTAAAAAAACATTTTGGGTAGAGCTTCGAAGTGACATGAATACATATAAAATTCAAAGGAAAAAAAAATTTATTATCTTATATATTTAGAATGAAAATAAAAAACAATAATATGTAAATTAGAAAACAAATAGAAAGATAACCGATACTGGTTTCTTTGAAAAACTGAAACAGAAACAAATTATATAATATGAAACATTGATTTTGTAAAGATCGTTTCTAAATTTACAACTATACTAAAAATTATTGTACCCATTTAAAATGCCTAACTCTCAACTAAGCGCAACATAATAATATTATTTTAAATTTAATTAGCAATCTATTTAATAAAACTTATTAACTATAGTAACATAGAAATTTTTCTTCAAAAAATCAGTACCTTGTTTTTTAAGTTGGACTGGCAAGTCAAAAACAACAGCTACAGACTGGACAAGCTGCACTGCAATATTTGAGCAACTTTCCTGCTAAATAGAAATATCAGTTACTAAAATTTACTTATTTACATTAACCCATCAAGGGCCATCATTCCCTTTCCCATTATCCTCTTTTCCCTTTCCATAAAAATAAGCAGGCATCACTTAGAAACACTGCCTTTTTATTCATATTCCATTTTAAAAAATAATTAACAGTTTAAAATAATAATTTTACGCTGGTAAAATTATCTCTGTTTATAGGTTTAATTCTGATTACTATTACAAGCATTTATTTTGTTAGGATTATTCTCAGCTGGTTAAATTTTTATAAGTATCTCTTTTTATGGGAGGGAGGGTATATTAATGAATTTTTTAAGTGATTTTTAATTTTAAAATTATTTTTTAAATAAATACTTTATAAAAAATTGTGTCTTTAAATGTTTATTTTTTTCATAATTTTCAGTTTAAATTATAGAAAAAAGCTTTTAAATTGTTTATCAGTCTATCATTTTTTTAATTCACTTTTATGGAGAAAAAAAATGGGCAGTGATTGTCTTATAGCATGCCTATAATTATTTTTTATAAACTATAAATAATTTTCTTATTTTGATAAGGAGCGAGAATTTCTTTCTGAAATACACACATAAAATTAAATAAGAGGGTAATTTAAAATTGTTGAGGTTCAAATTCAGTTATTACATAATTATTATATATTTTGATAAATTTTATAGGTAATGAGTGCCCTTTCAAAACTCAAAGTTCCCTTTTCTGTGAGGAAGCTCCCTGCCCTTTTTTATTCCTAAAGAGAATTCTGTTTAAGCATAAGTTCACCACCACTTTTCTCGCACAATGCTTTTTATATCAAAACAAAATTTTTCATTTTCGCAACATCAGTCTTAAATAGGCTAATGCGTATAAACAAATGCGACAAACTTTATATAATTAAAGAAAGTAGTAAAAACACAATGTTAAAAATCATTTTTTTAATCAATGAAAGTTTGGAGGGAGAGACATAAATGATAAAAAGCAGTAATTTTCTTATAAGATGTTTCAAATAACTGTTTTATTAACTATTTTAATTTTTGTTCTAGTTTTTGAACACAAAGACATTTTGACAAGAAACAAAATAAAGAAATGCTTTAAATAACCATGAAATTGAGTTTTAATTTTTTTTAAACTTTAAACAGACTACTTTCCATCAGAACCAATTGTTTTTTATTCATATTATTGAATGATAAACTGAATAAAACAGAAAGAACTTCATGCAAAATAGTCTGAATGCTTAATTTTTAATGCAATAAATGGACAGAGATGTTGCGTTACAGGATGTTATTACAAGATTTGAACTGAGTATGTGCGTAAATAAATATGAACATTGTTTTTATTCCTATCGCCAAATGTCTGTATGTTTCCTTTTTTTCTTTTATTTTTCTTTCTTTAACTTTTTGCTACTTTTGGCTTTTATTGAACTGTCGCAGGTAGCTTTCCTGCATTAAAGACAAACTTTACTCATATTTTTTAATGAAAAACAAAATCATAGCAAGGAAATTTTAATACAATTTTACCTTAGGACTGTTTGCAGACTTAATGAGCTGCATATACATTTCCATGCTACTGTTCGGCTAAAGCCAGCGATCACAAATGACCACACTAATTTAAGGAAATCAATTTTAAGGAGAAAAGAGCAGCTTTCACAAAAATTAAATATAGAATATTTTATTGATTTTTAGATGCAAAATGGTGTTAAAATATTAATAACTTAAACTGCAGAATTAATTAAATTAATACTTTTCACTAATAATTATCTATCTAATCTAGTAATTAACTATAAGTCCCACACTTTTCTCACTTTTTCTAGCTTTTACTTCGTTCTTAATGATTATGTTAAATTTGTAGGAATTTGAACATTTGTCTTAATTGTGTTCAAAATGAATTAAAAATAAAAAATTTTTGTTTTATTCATTTTGAGTAAAGTAACTCTCACAGTTGGTTCATAATTAGATGAAGAAAATTCTGCGTTTTCGAAATAAACGTTAATTGGATAAAATACAAATATGAAGAATAAAAAAATTGCATAGTTTAGAAGAACTTTTACGTGGACAAAAAATATGATGCATAAATAAAACTCACTTTACACACAAACTGTACATCAACTGACAGTGATACAAAATGAGCATTAAAAACATTTAATGCATTCAATAGTGTTGACAAACCAGCCTGAAATACAAACATTACAAGATTACAATTTTGTTTTGTTTTTTTACAATTCCTCCATGCATTATAAAATTCTGTGAATGTATTTAAATGAAAACTTCCAATTACATAATTTAGCATGATAATATATTTCAACCTGAATGTGTGCTCGTCAAAGCAAATTTTTGCTTACAATATTTTTTAGAGATGATTCAACTTTAAAATTTTCCTAAGGGATTAACAGTAAGCCATTGTTTTAGTTTCAATCCATATGTTTTAAAATTTTTAATAGGTTAAAAAAGAGTGAACATTTGAACTAATAGTAGAGTTTAAATACAGATATATTTTTAACTATATAAAAATGATAATACATAACTTCAACTAGGTGGGAGGGGGAGTTTTGAAAACTATGATTTAATCAGGGTGAAGGATTTAATGCTTCTCACATGGTACAACAAGTAACACTAATGTAAATGGAAAAAAGGGATGTTGGAACTCAGAATAACCTACCTTTACATGATTTAAACACTTTAAATTATGCTTATTATGTTTCAGAAATTTCAATCGTTCAAAAGATTATTTCATAAATGAAAACTATGGAAGAAGATCTGGTAACTTATAGAGTTTACTTAAAGAAAACAATCTTATTTATTTTACAGTTGTTTCTCCCGCACGGATCATATTCTATTTTCAGTTTTCTACAAAAAATTTACTAAAACTAGCAACTTCTTTTAATATAACAGATAAACTATTGTTTTTAAAGACTTAATGACACAGAAAGCGCTTCAATCAAAAGAATATTTAACCAAGAAACAATTTTACATGAATTAAAATTTATAAATGGAGCATCTTTTGTTTTAAAACTAAAAATGACAAACCACACTATTTTTCATTTTAAAACTAATTTAAAAATTCACTTTAATATATTTCTTATAAATACTATAAAAGTATAATTATATAAACGTGTTTAAGCATTATAAAGTGAAGATATTCTGCAACAAGTATATTATTTTTAATATCTTTAACAATAAATAAAATACAATAAATTATCTAACACAATCACAATGCAACACTTGTTAACAAAATACTAATAAATTAACTAATTAATTATTATTGCCATTTATAAGTACTTCAAAGTATCTTTATTGGCTTGAAACTAATTTAAATTGTTCAGTTAAATTGTTAATTGTAAGTGTGCATAAGGGTTTTTAAAAGATATGACTCTCAGCAGTATTATATTAAATTCAAAATATTATTTCTTTGTCTTAGATTAATTAACATTTGTAAATTCTCATTAATTTAAATATGCACTCATAATACATAATATATTTACTTATTCAAACAATATGAAGTCAATAATCTTTATGTATTATAATATCATTGCAATTTTGATAATGTTAATAAAACTTAAACTTTCAATTTAAAACATAAATAATGTTTAAATGACTAATACTTCCACTCAAAAAGCAATTGAAATGAAAATAGATAAATGCGTTTTTTAAACCAATAACATATCCAAATAGCAATATGATATTAAGTAATAGAACTTTAATATGAAATTAAAAAGATATAGTGTACATTTTTAAATATATACCAAAACTTTATAATAAAAATAAAAAATTTTATGCTAAACCTATATCACACAATGCAAAAATGTCTAAAAACATTATACTGATTATGCAAGAAATATTTTTTTTTAATAATTCAACCTTGGTGAATTCTTATTCTGTGTTAACATAAACTTTTCTTTTATCAAAAACCTCTGAATATCTTGATTTGATGTACTAGTGTTTAAATATACTAAAATTAATCAAAATGTGCAACACTCAAAATAAAATTATTATTTGCAGTTAATATTATATTCAAATTATTACTATTAAATGCGAAGAATTAATAAAAGAGTAAAATATGGATTAAATATACATTTATTTTTAAATTAGTTCAACATTAACTCTAATAATAACTTAATAGAAACAATATCATAGAATAAAAGTCTAGTGAAACATTCAAAAAAAAAAGGGTGTAAATTTTCTAACAAGAGCTATTTATACTTCATTTAAAAACACCATCTGAAAAAATTATTTAAGTCTAAATGTAATATGAAATATGCATTTAAAATTAGAAGAAAAAGAAAACAGTACAATCAGTAAATATAATGAAAATTTGTCCTTCCATGATGACTAGAGGGGGGAAATAAAAGTCTGTTAGGCACTGCATAAACCTTCACTGGGAGAGGCAACTTGAAATAAAACCTCTAAAGGGAGAAGTTCCGAGCATCTCTACCAAACATAAACCGGAAAAGGAAATAAAAAAATTTGTAGCTCTTCTGAATTATCCATTGTCCATCAGTCGAATGTTTGAGTACTTAATTATTTAATTTCACAACATATTCAACAAGGTGGCCAGGCATAACATACCATAGACACAGATGAAAAGCAGATTATTGTTGAGTGCACATCTTGGTTATGTTCGGAACCGTTATGAGTAAAACAAACATATTCAAAATCATAAACTGCTTTACATAAAGAATCAAATTTAATTAATAATAAAAGAAAATGTATTATAATTTCAATAATCTGGAGCCCCACTGTAAAGAAATTAGTTTTTACAAAAAAATTTAGTTATTAAACCATAAAACAAATTTGAAAATGGCCGAGCGAGCTCAACTGCAAGGACAAGCCCCTCTACCCATCAAGAAATCAAAAATATGAGTGACATATAGACGTTCGAATATTTTTTGAAAAAGAAAGTTAAAGAATCCTTTGGCTATTAATTGCTTTAATTTATTGCTAAGACCTTATTCTTAACCTTATGCATTAAATGTGTAGGCAGAAAAGAAAATGTCAAAAATAATACTGAGTTTGTTTTAAAAAAACATTTTGCAGCCTCGTAACATATTTTGAAAATTTTATGGAAACATATATTTTACTCTGCACTCAATTTAAGATTGTAAACTAAATAAATCTATTTACTGATTATATTAAAGATTTTTATTTATTGAGAAAAGAATAGTTTTAGTTTTATCAATTCAGTTTTATAATAGGAAATATGCTATGCATATTTTTGGATGGCAATATACTTGATCTAAATAATTGTATTTAAACATTACAATTACACAGAAAATAATTGATGGAGTAAAAAAAATTATTGAAACAAATTTTGAAAAAAAATCATAAATAATGAAAGAGAAATACACAACAAAATAATTATTTCACAAAAAAAATACATAATACAAAAAATACAATATTTATGTAAATAGCAAAATGACCTGATAACCACAAGGCAACAGCTTTCTGAATGGAGTAAGATTTTCAGTACACACAATCTCACGAGGTAGAGAAGAATAGCGAACAAAGCTTGAATTATACAAGTTACTGACTACAGCACCTTCTGGTTTGAATGAGAATTTAGGAATAACTGTGATGGTCTCATCAATAAAGTTCAAAGAAGCACAAAATTGCCCAGATAAAACGTTCGTCAGCTTCTTCCAGTTTGAAGATACCCTAAATACATATCACTTATAGTAATTATTGCATTTTAATACAAATAAATTCAAACATTCAAAATTTACAAGTTGATATTTGGTTTAATTATTTTAACATGATTTCAATTCAAGCTCAAACAAACAAACAAAAGCCAAAAGCCAAAGGAGATAACACAAAATTGACTTAAATTGAAATATCTATTTATAACAAGAATGTTAAAAAGAAAAGATATGATAATATTAAAATAAAGATCCTAATAATAATTTATTTTTAAGAAAAATCAATGGTTTTATTAAAAAAATACGAAGTTTAAATAAATTGTTTATTTGTTACAGACATTGTAAAAGGTATGCATGTAAATTATAGAACTTTCAGTAAATAAGCAAACAGGTTGCAAGTGTTTTTGGGTCAGTGTGCGGGTAGGTGACCACTTCGATTAGTCTGCGTAGGGACTGAGGGCGTGCAGTATTGGTCCTTGTTAAACTGTTTTACTGTAAAGTGCTCAACTTCGCATGCAGGTCGTCAGGCTACCGAAGCAGGGGTGCTATCCTCTCTGCAGAGGGTCAAAATTGTGATGGCATGTTTCCCAAACCGTCGCCGATAGCCCACTGTGCAGCTCTAGTCCAACATAAATGAATTACAACAGCGAGTCTTTTTGAATGACAAACAAATTTAATTATTGAATGAGATATACGACAATGACAAATTTAATTATTGAAAAAGAATTACTAAAAAATTAAAAATGCTATTAACTGAATAAATATTAAAAACATATTTACTGAAATAAATGAGGTAATATGAATTATTCATCAAACTTACTTCGATACATTGCCTTTAAATAAAGCCCACAGCTCTGCACCTGGTGGGGCATCTCTTAGAGGGTATCCCCACTTTTCATAACGCCATAAACCTTGAGTTAAACTGAAATGTAATTCTTGGACATCATATTCATGAATTATTTCTCCAAGTGAACGAGGAAAAAGTCTAAAGTGTCGAACTGAAAATAAATTAAAACTTTGTTTTAAAATCAAGGCATTAGAACTTTCACAAAAATAACTAATTCATGACTGAATGTTATTTTTTGTTATTTTAATATGATATTTCAGTGCATATATGCTATGGATCTTTTTTTTAAATATATATACCTGCTTCAAGGAATAAAAAGTGGCTAACTATATTTGTTTTACAAAATTACCATAAAAAAGAAAGAATGAAAGAAACTATAATTTTCTTTTCTAACTGTATATGAGATGTAGATTAAACAAATCATAAACTTTATTTCCTGCTATAATTTACTAAGTTATTTACATAAAATAAGTAAATCTCTTATTATCATTTAATACATGTTTTTATAACTTTTTTTTTTACCAAATATGAAAAATATCTTATTTTGAGCAAAAATTTTACATTTTTTGCATTAAAAATTTTAACAATTAATATAATAATCAAACCATACAAATTTATTGAGAATTAAACGACTAGCTAAAGCCTTATCTTATCTATAAGATAAAAGTCTTAAATCAAACCTCATAGTTCTGATATTTTAGGGAAAGAGAAAAGTATTTTCCTGAATATGAAAATTATTACAGATTTATAATATTTTAGATCTTTTTTTAACGCAAAGATTCTCCAACTTTTATGATAGGTAATAACTTACACATTTATTAACTTACAAATTCTTAACTTACACCTTAATTTAATTAATCATAGGCATAGCAGTGGGAGATAAGGAGAATAGAAGTATTGTAAAGCCCAATAATTTCTCATAACTTTAAAATTTTTCGTACACAGCATAAAAGGTAGTTTTCTTTAAAAAAATAATAAAATTCAAAAGAATTTAATTTGAAAAGTAAAAATAACTTATATGGATACTACAACAAAGGAATTTTATGATTACTATTTTTGTGTAATTACTATCTTAAATACCATTTAATTACTCTTCTCGAAAAAAAATATATAATTTATTTTTAATACTAACTTATTTTCAATGTAGCGTATGAAGTTTTGGTGTTTTAAAACACTTTCAGCATTCAATATAAAATAATTTCAGATTGCTCCAAATACAAATAAATATTGAAAGTCTTAGCAACTTCCAGACAGCAGCCTGCAAGAAACTAAAAAACATCACAAAAGAGGATAAACTCGAAAGGTATAAGCCACTCTTTGGCAAACCTCTACACGCATTTTTTTTATTTGCAAGTAAAAATCCATTTGGCACCTTGGCAGTTGTAGTTGGCGCAACAGATCTTAATATGTTAATATCAAGCTAACTTTAAGGACATACCATCATGTCTAAAAATTGCAAGATTATAATATGAATTGCTGTTGATCGTATTCTCTCTGAAATCTTTGGGATATACATACACACATAAAATATTTTTAAAAAATTCTTTCAGGTCATGCTAATGTTATTCATTAACTTACACATTTCAATAAAACTAAAAAGTGGGAAACTGATTTATTTAACACTTGATTTACTTTTTAAATCTATCACATTGTATTTTACAGAAATATTACCCTTAATACCATAATGTAATACTTACAGGCGTTTTCATCGTCGGAAATCAAGTCTTTTTGAACAACAAATTGAAATTGGGTGTACACATGACCCGAAGGCAAAGGTTTGACAAAAAGTTTTTCATTAAATGTCTCTGATTGTGATTCACAGAAGAAAACTTTCAGTAAATTTAACAACCAAAAGAAAATAAAGCTTTTTTTACAGGACATCACTTTAATATTAATTCATAAATATAAAATAAATATATTGACTTTGTTCATGAAAGTAAAGAATATTTTGTTAATCAGAGACAACCCATATCCATTTTAATTCCTAAATGATAAACTTTTTGAAGAAATGAAGAAGATAATCACAAAAACACAATAATCAGCAGCAAATATTAACGTCTGTTAGAAAAACAAAATAAAGAAATTAACGCATTGTAAAACTCTGAAAAAATTTTCCCTCAAACTCAAAATTGACTATACAAGGAAATTATATTTTAGAAAAACCGTAAAACTATTATTTTTCAACCAAAATAAGTGCACTAATAAATATACCGAAACCCCGGCAGAAGTAAAATTTGTTGTTTACAAATGAGAAAACTTTGTATGTTGCCATTTGATAAAAACAAAATTTCCACAAAATGTCTTGCCCCTACAAATTAGAAAATGACGATTGGCAGCAAGCCAACTTTTAGCGGCAGAGAGAAAAAAAAAACAATAGACCAGGCGAGAAAACATTTAATTGTTTACATACTGGGAAACTTTTTGTTTCTGTTCAGATATTTTTCTAATTGCATAAATTTTCGGGAAATAAGTTAATTTATGTCTGCATGAAAGCAAATGTCATTTTCTTCTCATCCCTCTGTGCAGTTATCTCTGAAATAAAAAATGTGAAATTTTCAAATCTAAAATATTGTGGTAAGAGAAACAATGGGCTAATAATTATCACTTTGTCAAATTGATTTTATACCATTAAACATTTAATTGCTTTCAACCTACAAAGTCAAAATTTACTGTGTGAATGGAAATACTTTAAATGAATAATCATTTATTCAATTATTAGTAAAAAAAAAAAAAATTTTTTCGTGACATAAATACATATCCTACTATATTGCTCAATCATCATCTTATTTGTAAAAAATAAATGCATTATAAGAATATTAAATCCTTGTAAAAGAGAAAGGAACTTAATTCTTACATTTAAATTTACTTACGTTTATTTAGTGTGTGTACGTTTTTAATGAAATGTTAATTTTATTTTATTGGCTTAGGTTTTCAATATGAAACCACTTGTAAAAAAAGAAAAATCTTCATCAGCTTCAGAAGAATTAGCCACTCAAAGACCAAAGCGAACTACTTGTCAAAAAAGTTTTGTAAGTTGTGCATGTTGATTCCTTTTTTTCCATGTATCTGGTAAAAACAATTGATTAATGCAAACACATTGTCATACTTTCTCTTTATTATAGATCTTCAACTTTTGACTCATTTATAGATTTTAAACTATAATAAATAATATGAAAAAAGTTATTTTATTATTTTCTTTAATTGTAAGTAGATAGGAATAACTATCAACTATGGCACTATTTTAATTTGTTGGAATTTAAACTATTTCCATACTAATCAATTAAACTATCATTTTTGGTCTTCCAGTTTTTTTCAAGTTTCATCCATTGTATAGATTGAAATAGATTTCTCACCGCCAAAATTCTAACCCTCATTCATATTAAGTAATTTCTTCTTTATTTTAAGAGTATGGGTGCACAACCTGTGCTAAAGGGCCACATTCGAATCTATACTGGACAATGTACAATCTCTGTTTACCTACCAAAAGTAATTAGGAAAGAAGATATAATTATTTTTAAAAGACACAAGAAATAGAACAACTGTTTTTCAAATTAACTTCAATAGTTTTTTTTTAGAATAAACATAAAAATAACATTAGAATTTATAAATGTGTAGATACTTTTATAATTTGATATATTTAATTTAAGTTCTAAAGAAAGGAAGGGCTAGCTTAGTGCTATATGTGAATAAAGCTAATGCATTGCAGAAGAATGTAAAAAATTTCACATAAAAACATACAAGCGTATTAGTATTATAATTTTTAAAAACAATTTGTACCAAAACCAGATTAAACTACAATCAAGTTATAACGGAAAAAATACGATAGTAAGATTAAACATCTTGTTTGTACATTGTCTAGTTGAAAGCATGATTTGGCACTGAATCATAAAATAAAGCTTTATTCAATTCAAGAAGTTATTTGGTGTTAATTTTCAAAAAAAATTTTTAACTGTTCAAAATAAATTTAATTTGGTACTTAATTAAAGGGCAATGAAATTTTTTGAAATGATTGTTGAGTTTCTGACGTGACATAATTACCTGTCATTTATTTTTTAAAAATAAGATAAATATCAGAGTTCTCCCTAGAAATAAAAAAGGGCACTTACCTGCCAACGTTAAAATTTATCAAAATGTTTAATATTTTATAATAACTGAATTTGATCCTCAATTTTTAAATTATCCTATTGTATGTGTATATTTCATAAAGTAATATTCAATCATTAACAAAATAACAGAGAAATTATAATCTTTTGAAAACTAAGTATAGGCAACCTAAAAGACAATCTGTGTATAAATTTTCTTCAAAAAAAGTAAACTAAAAGAAAAATTATTGATAAACAACTTGAGAGCTTTTTTTATATATATATTTTAAAAATTATGAGAAAATCAACATTTAAAAGTTATTTTTTAAATAAAATCTATGTATTTTAAAAAGAAAAAGTAATGGTAAGGAAAGTTAAATAATTGTCAATAACTAAATAAATCAGAAGTGGACTTATCATTAAAACTGGTGTTTAAAGAAGCAATCTTTTCCTAAAAAAATATAATTAAAAGGCAGTGTTATGGATTGGTGGCTTATTTTTACAAAACGGACAATTTTATAAGGATCTAAGGGCAAGCAGGACAAGCTGCCCTTCCTCTTAATGTTTAGGGAGAACACTGTTAGTATTTATTTTATTGTGTATTATGGTGTATACATAGAGTTACTCTTAACTCTCATATTCCAAAGATATTAAGTTTTATCTTAAAAGATCACAGCTTTTTTTATATTACATAAAAGTAAAACTATTTTTGTGTGTGTGTGTTGGAAAGCAATATTGTTGTGATGTTTCTGAATTGAGGATTGACAGTTAAAGTTTCATAATTTTCCTTATGATTGTTTGTATAGAGAATTTTAGCCCACTACTCTATTTAATGCTCTATGTTCGATCGTGTAACTAAATCAATGTATAATTTAGCTGACACTCGAGATAAAACTTACCATGTGTGCAGTGTTGATTTAGTAAAGCAATTGATCAGACAGAGAAAGAGTAAAAAGATCATCGAATTTTATAATTTGGTTTCCGTAGTAATAAAATATTATTTTTCATGTCTAGGATAATCGAGGCATATTATGGCGAGAGGAGACTGATTTGAAAAAAGCATTGTATGCTTCATTACAAGAAACACGAAAGAAAAACTTAGAAGATGAGGATGAAGAACTTGAAGAAGAAGAGGAAAAAACTGATAATCATGTTCCTCCTGAAAATGGAGAAAATGAAAGTCCAAAAAAGTATTTCTCAAACTTTTCACTTAACATCATTTGATTATTATTAAATTAACATATTTTTTTTTAGTCTTAACTATAATCATTAATTTATTATACAATTTGAACTTATATTTTATTTAAATAATGAATGATTCTAATCACTGTTGAAGAAAATTTAAGAGAATCTTAAATCTAAGTGCTAAAAATTGTATTATTCTTTTTTCTTCTTAAGAAAAAAATTATTGTGATATTTGTAAAAAAGAATTACCCAAAATCTAAAATTAGAGTCAGTCTTCTTAAAAATGAGGAATAAATATAAAAAAATTTTGAAATAAATTACGAAATCTATTCATCCAACATTTATCAGTTTTTCGCTGAGTTTCTTCTTGCAGAAAAAGTTGCTAGTGAAGAGGATTTACATTATTTGTATTTTCTTTTAGTCAAAATATTAATTCTTTCTTCACATAGTGAAAAAATGCTACAAATTATAATTGTTTTAAAAATAATCAGCATTTGAAAAATTAAATATTTAAAAATTCTGATGTTGATGTAAAAAGCTACTATATTGTACATAGTAAAAATATGCTCAGTATATCAACACTTTTTGCTTTATGTTGTTGGAAATAGCGTACTTTTTTTTTTTAATTGTTTCTTCTACTTACAAAGTGGCTACCGAATACAGTAACAAAAATAGAGTCATTTTAGTGTACAGATATTAAATAGAAAAGATAAATACACAAATATAATGATTACTATAAATGGAAGTTAACCTTGAAAATTTTTTATTCAAATCCACCACTATCTTTATCGATTACTAAAGATAATCTCTTATGTGTTTGTCCAATGCCGGCACAAATCATTTTAAGAGATTTTTTGTTCCATTCACGCAGTAAAAAAGCTCTGTATAGCAGTAATGTGGTCTGGAATTTCTGTGCTATTCTTATTCCTCTGTTCTGTGGTTCACAATTTTAGAATAATATACAATTAAAATCCTTTAAGAATATTAAAAACTTTTAATAAGTAAAAACTTGCTGTTGTCAAAAATTCTAAATTGTCCTCTTTTTTTCTTTTGCACGAAATATTTTTTTAATGTTGTAATAAAGAAAATGTTATAATAATAAGAAATTAGATTATATGTCTGTATTAAAAACTATTATGTATTAAAGTAATTTATTTTTTCCTTGAAATATATATTTTAAAAAACATTCTTTAATGCTATTTTATCATTATTATATTTTTGTGTAATTTAGAGTAAAAGTTCATGCTCAGCGTAAGTTTGCTCAAGGATCAACGCCTACCAGCCCAGTTCCAACTCCTCAAAAAGTTCCTAACCTAAATAATTCTACTACAGAGCTTATACCTTATCGAAGACCAAAAACAGAAGATTTTTTAACATTTTTATGTCTTAGAGGTTTGTGGAATTAATTTATTTGAACAGGGTGCATAGAATTTTTAAAAAAGTGCTTAAAGGTGCTTATTTTTATTTACATTTTTAAAAAGCTTTGAAGGTGCTTTCTTTATTGGGGGTTTGTAAATAGTGATTGATTTTTCTTTTTCAAACTTTCTTCTTTGCCGTGTCGATTGTCATCATAAATTACAAAAAAGTATGATTATATTATATCTTTGAAAATGTTTTGCATTTTGTTGACTTAGTGTATCTAACTGAGGAACTTGAAACAATAGGGAGAAGAAAATTATTACTGTGCATGGCCAAATTAAGTGTTTATTTTTAGAAAAAAGTGATTAAAAGTATTTTTAGAGTGCTTAAAAAGTTCTTATTTTTTGTTGAAAAATTTGCTTATGCACCCTATTATATGTATGTATGTATACACACATATGTATATGAACACATATGTATATGAACGCACTTATGTAATTATATATCAGTTAAAAAGAATGCAAAAGAAACATGGGAAAAAATATGTATCATTTTTTAAGAAAAGAAAAAAAAATATTAAAATTTAATTAAAAATATTTTTAAAAAATATATTTACAAATTTTCGAAAAATATTTAAAAAAGAATTTTTTTTAGAAAGCCGGGAAACAAAATATAGGAAAGATATTATCTAGTCATCAGCTAACATTATTATATCTGCAAAAAAAGAGTACTTTCTAATATTGCATTAACCCATCCAAAGCAAAATATATCAATATATTAGTGTCAGGAGTACCAAATATATATATGCAGTATGCTCTCGATATCTCAAAGTTGAAGGGGTACTAAAAATTTTTTGAAATACCGAGTTCAGAGTTAAATATGTTCTAAAAAGTAGAAAAATTTATTCTAAAATAGTACGCTATGAAGTAGAGTCATGAAACAAGAATAATTACTAATAATTATGTATGTAATGATAGCTGACTATAAGTTTAAATACTGCAATGATAATTTTTATAAGTAAGACAAAAATAATTATGAATTAAGTCGAAAAGAATTGGCTTATAATAAATGTACATAGTGAATTTTCAGAAAGAATTCATTTTCTATTTTGAAAAATATTCAACATTACAAGGTTTTGAGAAAAAAATCTTTCACATAAAAATTCAAATTAACATTAGGTGGATGTGCAATACCATGGGGAAAAATAATTTTTGACATAGCAAGGTTTTCGAGGTATAGAAGTTCAAGATGTCGAGAGTATACTGTATGTATAAATATAAAAATATTGCTGAAACCAACATAGATTTAATTTCATAATTTTATCCAATCATTTATTTATTCTAATATAGATATTAAAAATATTTAGATTTTTTTTTAATGTTCAAATCATATTTTAAGAAATCAGATTATCAATAAAACACTAAGTGCATGTCAGTTTTTTGCTTTTTTGTATTAAAAAAAAATGTTTATGCTTTTTAATGTAAAATCTTTAACCCTGTTATTGTTCCATAGGTACATCTATTTTGCCACCTTCTTTGGATTTTCTAAATTGTTGCTCAAAAAGTGATACGAGCTCAGAATGCCGCAGTTTGAGTCCAGATCTTGATGTAACCGAGTGTGCTTCTGCAATTGTGAAAGGAAATGAACTTAAAGATAAGATCCATGTCAAACAGGAAAATGTTCCAAATGGAATTTCAAAGAAGCACACAGCTTGCAAAGCCTCTTCTAAAAGACACCCAAATGGACCTATTCAATTAAAAAAATCTAAATCTCAGAAAGAGGTAATATATATTTAAATAAAGATTTATCGTTTTAATTTTAAGTTTGATGAGATGGCTATTAGCCAGCCAAGTCTTTTACAATCATGTTGCATTTTGATTAGTCCTGTTGTTGTTGTTGCTAGTTCCCATCTGGTCTGACGGGGTCAGACCAGATCAATAAATCCGTTGACAACTAGAAAATCCGAAACCAAAATGGGAGAGGAATGAATGTCGTTCCAGTCCAGCCCTAAACAGTTCAAGATGTGCTCAGGTGATGCCTGGTTTTGTTGGCATTTAGGGCAAAGAGGAAAGATCTTTTGATTAGCAGAAAATGTGAGACTTTTCAGGTGTCCACTGGCCAGTCGGGATAAGCAAGTGTTGGTTTGCCTGTCACCAGGAAGAGATAGAGAGAGTCCTGGTCTTTTTGCTTTATACCAGTAGTGAGTAGGTGGAAGCAGCCACTTTTGTTTGTTCTGGGCCTTTTGCCTTGCGAAAAGTTCAAGGTATGTAAGCTCTGAGGTGGAGAGGACTGGATGGTCTAGTCCCTTCTTTGCGAGAGTGGCAACCAACTCGCTTCCGTGGATGTCGACGTGGGATGGGATCCATTGAAAGTGGACCTCATGCTGCTGGGAAATGAGCTTTACTTTTTGTAAGATCGAAAAACTGGTTTTATCTCCAATGAGGGCCCATTTTTGAGGTGTTGAATTGAACTACGACTGGCAGATAGTATCCAAGTATTTCCAAGGTGCCCTTCACTCAAGATTTTCTCTAGTCTCCTGTCGATTGCAATTAGTTCACTTCAAAAGACGGAACGAAAATCGGGGTTTCGTTGATGAAGAGTGTAGTTCTCTCGAGGTGTTTCAATAAACACTCCACTACCAGTCTGTCTATCCATTTTACTGCCATCAGAGAATATTTTGATGTCGTTTGGGGGGATTTTATTGATGATTTCCAGGGACTATTGTCTGGGGAAGTCAGGCACACAGTCTTTCTTATCAAGCATGGTAGGGAGACTTGAATGGAAACTATTTATTAGTCCTAGAGCACACATATGTTTATGTGTGAGTTGTAGCGTTCCATGGATCGACGACGGCAATTACTCTGATCAATGAACGTTACTGATCAAAATTCTCAAGTTTTATTTACATTTGAGGTTTTCGTTTTCACCTGTTTGCATGAATGTGCAGTTCGCCTCTAAGAAGGGAGATTATCATAATATAATGTCTTTTTATGTCATACATTTTTTTTTAAATCTGGTGTAATCATAATATTTAGTTTTGTTATGATGTGTTGGCATCATTATTATATAAATTACATGAGAGTTTAAATAGAGCTGTCACTTGTACTTCCCATGACAGCCTGGTTGACAGGGGGCTGGACTCGCATTTGTGAGAACAGGAGTTCGAATCCGGTCCGCTGAAGACTCCCTGTGTAGTAGATGATGACTGGTGCATATTAAATCTGTCTGGTCACAAAGTCCTCCATGTTCCCATAACAAATCAACACCTCAGGGAGGTATTGAATTGGAGATTTGATTGTTCTCTAGTTCAGGTCAAAATTACGATCTGTGGATAATAAAATGGATGTATAAATGGGTGTGGCAGAAATCTAATTCTTGGACATAGATGACGCCACTAGAAAACAAGGACAATTGCCCCACTTTCCTTGATGGCCTATGACAGAAACAACTTATATTTCGGTGCTAGTGCTTGTTGCAAAAAATTTTCTGGTTGCTGATTTCTGTTACTTTCGTTTGTCTTCTTTCATTCATCATCATGTTTAGTTTATGAATTATCTTTTTGATGTTTGTCATTTTTTTTTTTAAGCATTGTGTGATATTTATCATTAAAATCCTGTCTGAATCATTGAAAGTGTCTGAAATCTCGATTTACGTACAATTATGGCAGCCTACATCAATTAGGAACCATTCATACTCCTTCCGTTTAGTGCGTTGTCCTGGTCATAGTTTATATTCATGCTTTTAGATAAAGCATATGGCCACTCTGAAACAAGGTCAAGTACGCATGTTAGTCACACAGTATATATATATATATAGTAATAATATAGAGATAAGTCTATTTAGTATTATATTTTACGCATAATACATTTGACTGAAAACATAAATTAGATCTTATAGTAGAGCTCTAAGCTCGCAATTAAAAATATAGCCGATGGCTGCCAAAACTATAAAAAATAGTAACCAATTTTTACTTTTTCTTATCCACTTTTAAATAAGTATTGGACCTTTTAAAAAAGGAAGTAACTCACTATCACTTAATTACCAGGAGTAAAAATTCTAAATTTTTAAGACTAAAAATTTAAAGACTGAAATTTTTATGTTTAAAAAGTTAGTGTTTCTCTACCTTTTAAATAAAATATATATATTTTTGAAATGAAAACCAATTTTCCTAACAAATCAGACTGTAAATTCCGGTCTAACATATAAAATATAAATTAGTTTATATTTTATATGGCTTATAATGATTGCTTATGAAATAAAATTATACCAAGTAAATACACTTTAAATAAGTACCATTAACTTTTCATCATAAAGTAATAAAAAGTAGCTTTCTCTTTACATTAATATTTAATGAAAAAAAAAATATTTTAAAACCAATTTTTTGAGCTTTTTTTCAGATTTATTATATCTTTAAAAATTTGCCTGTCATAATGTTGCAATATCCTCAGAGGAAGAAGGAAAAAAATTTCTTTTCATTTGTGTGATTTTTCAACTAATTGATCTTAAAACAAATTTGCATTTTGAAACAAAAAGAAGCAAAAAGGTGTATTTTTTTTGTTAAACATTATCCTTTAAATAGCCTTTTTTACAAATGGTATATGAGACTTTCCATTTTATATTTTAAGTATAATTTCTTTACATTATAATTTGTTTTTGTTATTACAGGTTTCAGTTGTGAAAAAGCGGAAATCCCGAGATGAAAATGATAGCGAATTCATACCTTCTTATATTGGACAAACTGTTACTTCATCAACCAGTGGTAGGACTCGAGCATCCACTTTAAATGCTCTTCGTGAAAAGTACAAGAAACAAAGACTTGCTGCTGGCAAGAAAAAAAATCTTCCAGCTTCAAGTACAACTTCCGCTGATAAGAAATCTTTGAAACCTAAGCCTGTAAATGATCAACACAATTCTAAGAAAAAGTCACAGAATAATATTTCTACTAGAAATCAAAATAAATCTACCTCAGCTATAGTTAATAAATTAAAATCTACTAATCTTGATAAAAAGCTTGCTATTGAAAAACGGAAATCTTTAAGATCAGCTCATTTTACTAAAGGGCCTAGTCGTAGAAAGACCATTGGTTTAAATAAAAAGACTATGTTTTTAAGAAGAGCTAAGTTAGTTCCTCCAATTGTTGATGTAGATTCTGAAAGTGAACCTGAAGTTCTAAATTCAGCTCCTGAAAAAAAATCAGCTCAGAAAACATCTCCAAAATCTGAAACTGAGAAAAGAATTAAGAAAATTCAAAGTTCTACTACTGAAGCAAAAACTAAGGCTGCTTTGACTTCAAGACAGATCTTACTTAGAAAACATATGCAAAATAGACTTAAGGCAAAAAAATCGGTTCTTCACAATAAAAATCTCAAATCTAAGATTATTACTAAGCATTCAGCTGTTAAACAACACATTTTAAGAAAAACACGAAAAAATATAGGCTTGAAAACTACCATGTCACTAAGAAAAGACCATCAAAATAAGAGAGTTACTCGAAGTGCCAAACAACAAATAGAAGAAATGCTTTGGGCAAATCCCGAAAAGCGTACTCGAAGCCAGTTGACTAAAACGATAACTCGTAAATCATTGAAAAAACGCAGTATGGCGGACACCCAACCTCTTAAGAAACCGAAATTGGATGTCCCAGGGAAAGGAAGAGACAGTAGACAAACTAGAAACTGTGATAACTTAAGTAAACATAATTCTACCAATCTAGTTAAAAATCTTTCTAAACCTCAGAGAGATAAAGACTTAACTGATAGTTCCAAACAAGGCTCATCTAAAGGAAAGACAGCACCAGACTCTTTGCAAAGTGTGAAGCGCATGAAAACTATTTCAGCCAAAGAAACAAAACCTTCATCAAATATAATGAATTGCAATGATCTTGTTGCACCAGCCAAACCTTCCATTCCTAAGTCCAAAACTGATATTAAACCTAAACTAACCAAAACTGAAAACTCCACAAATGCTCATAAAACTGATGCAATTTCTAAGTTAGATAGTAAATTAAAAAATGAAAAATGTGAACCCGTAAAATCTAGTTCTAGTTTAGGAGCAGAAAATAGTAAGTCTGAAAATAATTCTAAATTTGGAAATAAAACATTGTTAAATACTAAATCAAAGACTGATGACGCAAAAGTTATGAATAAAAGTTCTAAAAATTCAAATCTTAAAGCTCTTCAAATGAATTCTCATGATTCTGAAAATGGTAAAAATATTTCTAAAAGTACCAAACTTGTCGATAATTTACTCAATCAAAGAGATGTGACTAAAAATAATAACATAGCCCTTCAGAAGTCTAATGTTTCTGCCCCTAGTACTATTAGTTGTAAGCAACCAGTTAATGAAAGTGGAAAAAGTTTGAATCACATATCAAAGACTGAAAATTCATTTAGGCCTATCGTTAATAACAGCAAAGTCTATCCGTCAAATGATTTTATAAATAATACAGAAAGAGAAGAATTTGACAGAAAAGTCTCTAAGGAATCTATAATTACCTCTAATATTGACAAATATGGTATTTGTGAATTGAATAAAAAGGGGAATGACTTTAAAGAACTTAATGTTCAAAATAATTTAAATATTAACAAAATAAATAAAACTAATGACAAGGACATTTCAAAGTTAATGACTCTTAATGTTGAATATGAAGAAACATTCAGTCCACCATCTTGTAAACCTAGCACAAGTGCATCCATTACAAATGAAAATTCTAGTATAGAAGCTTCTTTTGACGATAGTTTTGAGCTTTCTCCTACCAAATCTTTGTTCAAAAAACATAATGATAAAAAGTATATCAAAAAAGCTCTAAAGCTGAATGATACCAAGCTATCCCATAAAAACCCTGACAAAAGAACTCAAATCAAAAGTATGGAAAAGTGCTTTGAAAGCTCCAAAGATCTGTTTAAAGGTCACTTAAATAAATTTAATGTAGTTTCTAGTAGTAATTCTACAAATATTCCCGTAAGTAAATGTAATAACTTAGTGTTTGACTATACCTCAGATTCAGATAGCTTTTCAAGTAGTGAAGAACTTAGTAATCTTTTCAAAAAGAAAGATATTCCTGAAAACGATTCATCTAAAAAAAGTTATTCTAATTCTTGTATTATAACTGGAAAATCAAAAAATGAAAGAGTCTTAAATGAATCTTTATCTGAAAAAGGAAAAGATATGTCTTTTTCTAGTAGCAAGGATAGTTTGATTGCAGCAAATTGTGTGAGTCACAACAAGGATAAAATTGTTAAGGTTAAAGAAAATGATAAAATAAAAAATGTGGTTATTCATTCCTTTAAAAATGATGTAGACACTGATGATTCTGATTGTGACTTAACTATAGAAGAATACTTAAAATTAACAAAGTCAGTTGTCTCCCCATCTACAAAAATTGCTTCTTTAAATGCCACCTCAATTAAGAAAGAAGTTAATTGTAATAGTAGCCATGTAACAAATGAAAGCAAAAGCATAAAGCACTTGAAAAAAGAATCAGAAAAATGTTTAAAAAAGGATGATAATTGCATTACGAGAGATTGTGAAAAAGAAGCACAAAAATCTAAAAAGGATGAAGTACAAAAGCTTAAAAAGGAAGGTGAAAAAGAAACACAAAAACCTAAAAAAGAAGGGGAGAAAGAAGTTCAAAAATCTAAAAAAGATGTTGAAAAAGAAGTACAAAAAATTAAAAAAGAAGGCATTTCCTCCAAACACAAAAAAGACAAGGAGTCCAAAAGTAAGAGTCATGACAAATCATCCAAAAAAGATGATAAAATGAGCAAAAAAGATCCTGAGAAATCCTTAGCTAAACTTTTAAAAAAAGGAAAGGATCGGTTAAAATCTAGTAAAAAGGAAGAAAAATCTAAACATAAGAGAGATGGATCTTGTAGCTCTAAGTCATCTAAGCGAGAATTTGATAAGGATGGCTCAAGGCTAAGGAAGGAATCGGAAAAGGATAATGGCTCTTTAGAAAAGCTGTGTGAAAAAAGGGTGGAATTTCTTGAAATAAAAAAAGATAAAAGTAGTAAAAAAGAGTCTTCGAAAGTATCAAGATCAAACAGCTTAGAAGAGACTAAATCACCTAAAAAGAAAAAGAAATATAATGAGTTTAAGGACATAGAAAAAATTAAAAATTTAATTAGCAACTCTAGTATTTTGAATGAAATATCTGGATTTAAAGCTTTTAAACGTAGGCTTTCAGGAGACAAATCCGAGCTTAAAAAGCGCTTGTCTAAAAAGAAACAAAAAAAACTTGCTCTGTTGAAAGAAAAGAAATTGTCTAAGAAGCTGTCTTCAAAACTCTTAAGAAAGTATTCCAAAAAGAAAGGTCTTAAATCAAAAAAGAATAAGCTCAAAAAGAAAGGATTGAAAAAAGAGTTGAAAATGTCTAGTCTAAATAAAATTCATTCTAAAAATAAAAAACAGAAACATAAAATAAAAGACCATCATCGAAAAGACAGTGTGGAAAAAACTAAACCATTTGATGCAACATTAGTAAATATGAACAAACTGAATACTTCCTGTTCCCTTACAACTCAAACAATTCCTGACAAAACCAATGTTCTTCTCCCCCTCTCTGATCATAAATTAAATGTTTCCTGCTCTGTTAATAATGCTCAGACTTCTACAAGTGACATAGGAGTTTCTGCTAATTTCCATATTGAAAACGTACCGGAAGTAATACCTACGATTGAAACAGCTGTAGTAGCATCAAACATTGCACAAGCCGCCATTTCAACCGATTTAGCGTTCGGCTCTAGCGAAGAGATAGCTGCTGAATATGCTGGTGTTATCGAAGAAGGATTTCCTCCCGGCGCAATTTCGCTTGCTACTAGAGATAGTGTTTCCCAAGTTCCTGTTCATTTTATCCAAGATGCACAATTACCTAAAATCATGGCTGATGCTGCCACCAATACATGTGAAGAAGATATTGATGAAGTTATAAGTTCAATACCTGAACACTTAAGAAATGATGAAATGTCAGTTGGTACGCAGACAATTACACCCACTGGCTCTCCTTCACCAACCCTTGAGAATCGATCCATCGTACCAGCCGATTCTGCACAATCTTCTACTTTGAACCTTACAAATAGGAGACCATCCAATTCTGATTCGTCTTCAAAAGCTAATGTTACTGCAATATCTACCCCTGTACCAAATCCTACCAAACTACTCACAGATTCAAAAAGTTTAGCATTGCCTGTGTCATCTCCATCTTCTTCTAAGGATTCCACTGACATTTTAACCGAATCTTCAGAAAATACAGTTCCTACTAAGCAGTCTTCAATTTCTGATAAAGGTTCTCCATCAGGAACTTCTGAAACATCTACATCAACACTTAATTCTAAAAAAGTGCCAATAAAAAATTTTGAAAAATCTGATGATTCAACTACGCCACTCAGTTCCAAGAAAGATACTGCGACTAAAAATGAATCTGTGCCATCAAAAATTAAAAAAAGGACACCAAGCATTAAAAAGCATAAAGTGGAATCAAACTTCACATCATCTAAATCTGAATCATTTCCTCTGGATGTTTCAAAAATGGTTTCAGCCCCTACTTATTATCCTACATCAGAAGAATTTCGAGATCCACTAGAATATATTTCTAAAATATATCCTGAAGCTGAACAATTTGGAATCTGTAAAATTGTGCCACCCTCATCTTTTAAGGTTAGAATTTAATTATCCTAATATTATTAATTAGACTTAACATGAGTAAATATTAAATAATTAGTCTAACATTATACCAAAAATTTATTTTTCTGAAAACTAATTAAAATAGTAACCTCAAACTCCAGTTTTTTATTATTTTTTAGCCTGAATGCAAAGTGAGTGATGACTTGAGATTCATGGCACTTAATCAGTATTTACATAAAATGTTATACAGGTATTGTGTTTTATATTTATTTTTTTAAGTATATATTTGATAAATTTTAAATATTTGATTTACCGTTTCTTTTTTTATCTATTAGATGGGGTCCTAATGTTCAACATACAGCTTGTATAAGAAAACATCTTAAGTCCCAAAAAGTTAAATTAGAACAATCGCCATTGGTAAGCAAAATTGAACTAGCTAGTTAAATATTTGATGATAAAAATTTTATTTGCTTCATAGATTGAAATGTTCATAGCAATTGAGACAAAGGTAATATTATGTTTATTTATATAAGACATATGCATAACTTTAAAAAAATGTGTAAGGTACAATCTGTCATTAATGAAACAAAAATCTTTTGTGACCAAATAATATTACAAAATGAAATGATGGTCAATGTTTTAATAGAGTTTGAACAATATGTTCTTTCTCAATACCACAATGTATAAATAATGAAAGTAGAGAGTTAAAAATAAAAAAAAGGCACTTCAGCTGGAAAAAAAGAGGGAAACAAAATAAGAAAATCTATGGTAGCTGAAGGCAGGGCAAGGACTGAAAGTGGCTAAATATATTTTTATGTAGAATGCTGGGGAGAGGCAAAACTGAGGTCATTAATTAGAGAATCTGCATTCATAAGAATAAAACAATGCTTGGGAACATTTAAATGAGTTGATGGGTCAGAAGTGGAAAAAATTCTTTCCACAAAAATTAAGATTTTAAAAAATTATCATTGGCAGAGGATGTTGCTCTGTGAAGATAATTTTCCACAAAAAAAAAAGTCCACTGAACATCTATAACTCTATATGGAAAACAAAGATTCAACTCTTAAATAGACCATCAATATTTATTTGATTCTTTAAATAAAAACTTGATTTTAGTTGTAATCTCACCTTGATATTTTTTTTTAAATATATACAGGGTATCCTCGCACCTGGAAAGTCATGAATTTCAGTATTGAACAAAATTTGTCATGATTTTAACTATTTTTTGAAAAAAGAAATCACGGAAAGTGAAATCCAAAAAATCAAATTTTTAAAATGGAATCCCCCCCCCTCAATTTCATGGTGTTCCGAATATCTGAATTTCTAACAAAATCCCCAGGAACAGTCATATTTTATTAAAATATAAAATGTTTTTATCATGTTCTTTCAAAAAATGAAAGAAAAAATATTTCTAGAGCGGATTGTCTTTTAAACTTCTGTGGTTTCAGAATTTTTATTATTATTTATTTATTTATTTTATCAATTTAAAATTCTAGCTGAAGCAAGCCAGTCATTGGCGAAATTTTTTTTTTTTTTAATTCTGAAATGAGAACAGAAAAATCAGGAGTATTTCTTTCCTTTCCAATGAACAAGAAAAAAATCTTTGGAATATAGTTCTGCTGAAAAAAAGAAGAAAAAATATTTGCTTTTGCATTTCTTTTCAGCTATTTTATTGCTTCAACTCTCTCTTTACTCTGTTTTTTAAAAATCTATAAATATGAAGATGCATAGTATAACAGTTTTGGTTATACCTATTATATCAATTAATGTTATAATGCTTTTTTAAATTTCTTGTTCTGTTTTTGTCAGAGAAAATAGTAACTTCGTTAAGTCATGAAAAATCCTACGAATTAGTCATAAAAAGTCATGGATTTGAAAATCTAAAATGTGGAAGATACCCTGCATGTAACCATTGTGATTTTCTTTATAACAAAAAATCTCATAATACTATGTTATAAATAAATTTTAAAATAATTGCTTAAAATTGTTTTCATCTCTTTCAGATTGGAGGCATAGAGTTAGATATTTCAAAATTTTTCCATACAGTTCAACAATTAGGTGGCTTACAGCAAGTTATTGAAAAGAAGAAATGGCAGAAAGTTGCTGATGCCTTGCGAGTTCCTAAAGCTGTGAGTCATTTCTAATAGAAATTTTTTTAATTCCTATAGAAAATTTTATTCTGTTTTAATAAGTAAGCTAATTTATTCATTGTATTATTATATAAAATTTACCTTTATATTAAGTCATAAATAATACTATTTTTCAAAAATATTTATTAAGATTTAATCTTATCATTTAAATATAATATTTTTTAATTAAATGAAAAAGCCTCTCCTTTTTTTTCTCATATAATTTCCTTTTTCTGTAAATTTTTCTTTAGAATGTGTTTAATTTGCTGATGAGCATGAAGTCTAAGAGACAAAATTATGTGTGCTGAACCATCAAAGGATTAAGGATAATCATAATTGTGTTATGTTTTGGATTTTGATGCATTTTAAGAAAATGCTATCCACGAAAAAAAAAACTTTTGTTCACTTATAGGTGCAAAACTTTTACTTTATGCAACATTACAAAATTACTATTTAGCCAGTATCATTGTCTGCGGCATTTTTTGGTATACCACCGTCATCTCATTGTACTAAAAGTTTTGTCACTACTCTTTCTTTTAGATTAAATTTTTTTTTAATATTTAACTAAAAAGAGTGAAGTAAAACACAGTTTACATACAAGGTTTACCAGAATGTTGCATTTTTATTGTTATTCTTTACAATTAGAATTATCATATATTTCAGAATATAAGAAAAATTCAAATTGCGCAAACTGGTATCATAAAATTTATTTCTATTTTTGTTTCTGGTTTTTGGATATTGATAAAAGTTTCTGCATTACTGATGGTGATCATTATGTTTTTAAATAAGTAATCAGATTTAAATTTTGGATCAATGAACCTATTTACTTTGAATAATTATGTGCTTCAATTATATATCTTTTAAAACTAATTAATTGTAAAAATATTTTGTTTTTGTAGAGATTAAGCCTTTATTTCTTCTTTGAATATTAAGCTTGAATAAGTATTGAATTTATTTATGTTCAAAAATATCAATATTGTTGAAGTTTGTTTTAATCTGACATTCTAAAATCGAGTTTCATTTTTAGGCTCAGGATAGAGTAACAAAGCTTTATGACGCATATTGTAAATATTTGGTTTCTTATGATCTTCTACCATCAGAAGAAAAGCAAAAGCTTCAAGAAGAAGTTATTGCAGAACATGAAAAGTATGTCAAGTTGCGCAATTCAAAAGAGTTTGATAGGGACGAAGATATAGAAGAAGAAGAAAATTTGGAATGTGTGACTAAGGTAAATTAGTTTTAATTTCTACCATCATTAAGTATTTCTAATTATCACAAATGTCCCTGGTGTTGACTCTTAAGAGGGCCATCCATAAATGATGTCACACTTTTTAATAAAAATTCACTGTTTTTCCACTCTTAATTTTGAATATTAAATACTTTTCTTTTAATTTTTCACATATTAAATAGACAGCTTTACAAGTGAAATATATAAATGCTAACTTTTATGTTAACTTCTTTTTTTTTAATATTTATTGGTTTTTCTTAAAATTGTAGTTTTGTTTTTGAGTTTTAAAAAAAAATTACTGAATAGAATTAAAATTCAATTTTATAATCATTTTGTATGTAGGTTTGTATAATGATTTAAAATAATAACCTTTTTGTTTGTAACAAAAAATTTTATTTTATATTGTTTTTAATTATGAATTTTTATTTGAAAATCACTTTAATAAAAATAATCTTGATGTTTTCGTGGTTTGGAATAATGTCTGGACATTTCTAAATAAATATGTATATATGTTAGTTTTAGCAGATTACATTGATAACTTTTTGCGTTATTGTAGTTCTGTTTTTTGTTTTCTGTTATTCATTGTTTTGTTTTTTGATGATGTTTTTTTTTTTGTAATTTGACCTTTCATTAAAAAAGTTATGAAGTTAAATATTATCAAGTGTTCTAGACATGTCACTTAAATAAATTGTTTTAAAAAATTAAAACCTTTTTTTTTTATTGCATTTTTGAAGTTTAAAAAAGTTATTTATAATTTCAGCTTGTACTTAATGTGTGAAAAATTAGGAGAATTAAATTATATTTTATGTTCTAAATTTTGTTCTGAAAAACAAGACTATTTTTAAGAAAAACACTTTTAAAAGTGAGCAGCCCCTTATTAGGAAAAAAAATTTTATTACTTTTATTTTTTATTGATAAAACTTAGAGCTTATGTATTGTTAAAGATGCAAAATAGAGTAAAAATTTTATTTCATTTTAGCTTCTACTAAATGTTTTTTCTTCTTCTTCTTTTTAGAGTTCGCTTAATCTTACTAATCTAGGATTACTAAACATTCTTCTAATGGACTCCTAATTTTTCACATCAATATTTTTATAAACATTTAGACTATTTCCCTTAAGCTGCAATAGTTATTTGACATAAATCATGAAAATATTAACAAAAGTACATTTTTAATTCATAAAAAAGAAATCAAATGTTTAATTCTCGTAGTATTGGTAATTACAAGGGTTAAACTGCCATTCTATTTAAAAAATTGTTTTGTAGAATGAATAAAAAAAAGTTTTTTAAGCACAATAAAAAGATCGTAAGCAAAAAAGTTGTCTGTAACAATTAATTAATATGTTAAAATTTTTCCCCTTGGATCTTTAGATTTCATCTGAATATTCGATCATTTGATCAAAAGTTACTTAAGTTTTTTTTTTGTGTTGTTCCTGTGTATCAAATTGATTAATTTAGATCTTGTCTATCAAGCTTGATTATTTTGAAATTTATATCATTAAATTATTCATAAATTACGTCCAATGTAAATCTTGAATCATTTAATTTTTTTTTCAGGGCCGATCAATGGCTTTAAGTAATTTCTTCAGAATAGCTAGAAACACAATGAGTATGTGGTTTAAAAATGATCATCCTTTGACAGAAGACGTTGAGGTATATATATTATAAATCATTTTTGCAGGATGTCTTTATCTGAATCTAAATTTTGCCACCTTTTTTATTACAAAATATTTTGTTATTTTGATTTGACATTATTATGGTTGCTTATTATGCTTATAATAGCTGGTAATAATACTAACTGCAACCAAAATAAAATGCATAATAATTGTTTCCTATGTTTTGAGCTTTAGATAAATTAACCATTTTATATGTAATCTGTTATATATGACTTTATGATGTACTATCATATTTAATTGTTTAGTAAATGCATTTTAATTTTCTTTTAAAGTTATCTTAAATGTGTTGCTATTCCTTTTTCTTAAATAAGAAAAATCTTTTAATTTTATTATGCCACTCTCATTACCATTTTGAATGATGAACTTATGAATGTTGCCAAAGCAAAAACAGAAAAAAAATAAAACTATCTTAACAAGCAGCACCCTTAATGTTAAGGGCTATAAAAAAGTTGTTGAGATTCCTGGAAACAAGAGCAGAAACTGAGATATCTGGAGAAAGGCCTGGTCTAATCAGACTGATTAGCCAATGAAAAAGTAGAAAAATGAGCAATAAATGTGTTTAAAGCAACATTGCTCATACTTGTGTCCATGTTTAAAACAAACAAACAAAACAAAAATTAAACTATTTGACCTGTTTCCCAATTTAGAGTCGTAAATAACCAAAATTCACAATTGATATTTATCTACAACTTCTTGATGCCAAATAATTTTGATAGTGGATTGAAACCATATTGAATTAACCCCCCTCCCCTTTTTCAAAATAAAAGTTTTAAGTAACTCAAAAAAAAATATTTATATATTTAACAAAAAATCATCCTGATCTTTATCAATATTATTGATTAGCATTAATATTAAAGAATATTATCTTATGATTTCCTTGAAATTTTGTGACAAGTGAAATATTTATTTTTAAACATTTTAATGTGATGACCTGTCATTTAATGTTCTCCGAACAAATTAAAATTTTTAAAAATATTTATTTAGATCAAAGGCCACAATATTACAGAGAATGCAATTCAAGTACAAATTCATATATATATATATATATACAGTGAACTCTCGCTACTATGAACAATAATGTTTTGTGGTCCCGACGAACTTTAATATGAATTAATGTTATCCACCTCTCAATATTGCAATATTCTCTGAAGCAATAAACCACTGTAAAACGATTTTTTTCCAATTTCAACCTTATTTTCTCCATTTATTATAGGTTTTCAAATAATGTAAAAGATCTTATTTCATCATATTTTGCCATTTTTTTCTGACAAGAAAAGACTCACTGCTGATTATGCACTTATCTTATTTCTTTTCACCTCAGTGAATAATGACTTTCGTATTCAGATTTCAATACCCCATCCTTGATGAACATAGACCACCCCAAGACCATCCATTCTTAGAATTACCTTCGTTATCTCTTAAGTCACAGATGTAACATTCCTATCTAATTTCATATTTAACCATAATTACCACTCTGCAAATTAAATGTTTATATAATATATGAATAGATTTATAGTTAATACATATATAACATAAAATTTTTTAAAAAAAATCTTATTGTGTCCCCAAAGTATGTAGGCCTTCGATATGATAATGTATCCCTCTACAACAATATATTTGTTTGGTCCCCAAAATATTGTTGAACTGAGGTTTAACGATATAAATATATGATAAAAGTTTGAACAGTCTACTAAGCAGAGTTTATTTAGTAACTTTTAAATCAATTACTTAAAGGTGACAAAATTAGACTTGCAAGTCAATTATCACTTATATTAAGTAATTATTATCTCTTCATTCAGTGATAAATAATATTGGTTGCTTAAAAGTAAAAGTAATCTTTGATACATGCAAAATTATAGATTATTTTTATACAATTACATCTAAGCTTGATGAAAAATATCTTGATTTTTCGCCCTTATTTTATTTTTACATTTTATTTATCTTACTATGTCTCTCCTATGCAGCATGAATTTTGGAAAATTGTTACTGAAAGAAATCAACATGTTGTTGTCCATGCTGGAAATATAGATAGCAATACTAGTCAAAGTGGATTTCCAAGTAACAAAAGTGCTTTCGCAAAGTAAGTGAAACATTCTGCTCTTAAATATGATTTTTTTCCTACCTTATAAATAGCCAATAAAAAAAGAATTATATTCTTTCTTTTTAGACATCCATGGAATTTAAAGGTTTTAACAAATAATAATAGGTCTATATTGAGATCAATGGGGCCAATCTCAGGTAATATTCCTATCATAATTTTCGTAATATTATGCATTGTTTTTATAATTAAATTACTTTGCATTTGAGTTTGTAGTTAAGTTGCTATTGTGTTTATATATTTAGGTATAACAAGTCCCACTTTACATGTTGGTATGTTATTCACTACTAGTTGCTGGTACAGAGATCCTCATTCATTGCCATGGATTGAATATTTACATACTGGTGCCAGTAAAATTTGGTATGGACTTTGTTTTTGTAATCTAGGAAAATTGTTTCCAATTTGTGCTATTTATGTTTTGCTTTCTTTCCAGTACTAATGAAGTTAAAATGTTGCTGCCTTTTTTACATTGTTTATCTAAGACCTCAATTTTAAAGTAGTATTGCAAGGAGCAGTAAAAAAATTCATTTGTTGGAAATATGTTTATATGATCTAATTTTGTCTACATCATTTAATAATTATGAACACAATATAATATAAAAATTCAAATATTTGTGTTAGTGTTTCCTTGTCCAATACGTTTTGTACATATTCTTTCACTTGATAAAAAGATAAACATTTAAAAATTATTTTGAAATAAATACTTTGAAAACATTTATTTATAAAATATACTTCTAAAATAATGAAACAAGTTGTTCTAAACTCTTATTCTTGATGTGTATATATATATAATTTTTATTAAATAAAAAACTTTTTTCTTTTTTTTTTTCCAGTTGTATATATTTTATTGTTAAAACATAAAAGTAGATATGGATGGATTTGCCTGATATGTATGGATAACAGATCAGGCAAATAGCCTTCATGGATTTGCTAACACGGGCATGCTCTTTTATTGAAATGTTCCATGACTATTTGCATAAATAAGGCTTAATTTTGTTGATGCAGAGTTTAATCCCCTTCTTCAATGAATTCACGAGTGGGTATGGACTTGCTGATATAGACCTTTGACTTCAAATAACCCCATCGAAAAAAATCGAATGGTGTTACATCATGCAAATCTAGGGTACCCATTCTAATCTCTGAGACACAAGAGTACACGACCAAGAAATGTTTCATGCAGTAATTGGTTTGTTATGTGGGCCTTCAGAATGTAAACACATTGTTTTTAATTTTAATGCTGCTTTTTTGCTAACCCTAAACTGTGACCTGTCTGTTTTCTTTTTTTTTTCTTCAATTGCCTACACGAAATATTTAATGTTTTATTTAACTCAAATCTTGTATAAATTTTGAGACGTACTCTATATAGACGTTTGAATATCAGTTGAAAATAAAATTAACGCATGTTTGCTTACAAATAAATGAAAATGCTTTTACGATATTTTAGGTATGGAATTCCTGCTATTGGTTCAGAGAAATTCAAAAGTGCTATGAAGAAAATAGTGCCTGAATGTTGTATAGATAAACCATTGTGGTTATCTTCTGAATCATCAATGGTATTAGTTTTATTGTTCTGTCCCTACTCACATTTTATGTATAAGTTATTCCATTATTTGAATTCAAATGAAATGCTTACAGATTAGTAGAATTTAATGTAAGAATGTTAAATGTAAATTGAACATTCCTTGTTTAAAACATTTTTAAATTTTAACATTAGTAATTATATTTTTCATATTTATAATCTAGTTTTTGTATTTCATTTTTTAATATTCAAATATAGTTTAAAGACTAAACACTACTGAGTATGCTAGTGTTTGTTTACTATCTTAAGTGGTTCTGAACTAAACAACTTGCTCTGGTAACATATTTCATCATTGTTTTATTGGCATCTTTCTAATGGATTGTCAACTCATTTTAAATATTTTTGGAAATACCATTAATTGCAATTTTTTTTGTGTGTGTATTTTTAGATGGTTAACAAAATATTACAAAAAAATTTTCTAGTATGAGGTAAAAATAAATAAACAATTTACGTTTGAGCATCATATTAAAGATGTAAATTCAAAATTAAAAATGTAATTAGAAAACATACGCACTTAATTGATTTTTATTCTTTAACTTTTGAATTTAAGGAATGAAAAAGTGTCAAATATTAACAGTTAGGAAAAAATTTGCCCCTATCATCAACCATTCATAGCGATGCTAACGTTTGATTCAAATAATATAAGCAAATTTTTTGAAAAGAGCAAAAATAAGTTGTTTTTTTTTTGTTTTTTAAAAATAATTATCAATTTTTTTTTAATAATCGCTTTAATGTTAGCTTTTATAACTAACAAAAGTAAACAATGTTTTGTGCTGTGGAAATAAGTCAACTTTCATTAACGGTGATATTTTTTATTAAAAAAAAATAGAATTAGAATTTCCAGAACAAACTTATTGAAACTTTGTAATGTTATATTAATTATTATACTGGATTTGAAAAAAATGGAACATAAAAAGAAAATATTATTTCCCGTTGTCTTTGCAAAGGTTTACTATACAGCCCCTTTGTAAGTTTCATAATGCAACAGACTGTTTATAATAATGCTAATCAGACTTTTATTTTTTAGATACCTCCTGATCTGTTGGTTAAAAATGGGTCATCTTTAACTCGCACAATACAAAAAAGTGGACAATTTGTTGTCATTTTTCCTGAATCTTTCACATCAACTATATGCTGTGGTTACTGTGTGTCAGAATCGGTATATTTTGCTCCAACTTTATGGCTGGATTTAGCTGAAAAAGCTTTTCAGGTAATAAAGGATTTGAAAAGTAATTACTTATTCACAGCTTTAATAAAACTGGGACAAATAAAGGGGTGCCTTTACTATGAGTATGTACCCTTACTTTGCAATATTAAATTCTCCAAAAGAAAAAGAGCATGCAACCTTTTTTCGGAGAGGTATACAGGAAATATAAATGAACAATAAATTAATTTTTATGTTGATTGAAAACTAAATTATTCCTTAATGTAATAAAATGTATACAAATAGTCACAAAATTTTTTTTTAAATGTTGAAATATTAAAAAAAAATGATTTTTTGTTGTTTATAATTTATTAATCTACATCTTTAAAAAAATTTAATAAATACTTGTGCTAAATTTTTTTACATTTTATTTTGGTTTAAAAAATATGAAGAAAAAAAATTGACACTAATACTTCTGCATTTTAGAATTTTTTTTTCATTATAATTTCTTTTCTTTTTTTGTCAGTAATTATTAAAATTTGTTTAAAAAACAATACTAAAATTTTCTTGTGCATTTTATGTTTTTTCCACAACAATAATCTTTTGGCTAAAAGGTTCAGGAGACATTATTTGAGATCCGAATTTGGTCTCTGAGCCAAAAGTTGTGCTATTTTATGCATTTATTAAATATATTTGAACAACATATGTTGAAACATTCATTTAAATATTAGCTTAAATTGTTAAAAAAATTATTGTTCTAAATTCAAATTCTTCAAAGGTTTTGTGTGAAGTTAAGTCATTATAGTAATTGCTTTTAAGAGGATAGTTTAAGGAGAGTTAAAAGTAATAAGGCTCAAAAATATGAGTGTTTACCTATGGTTTTTATATGCTAGAAGGAAAAAAATTCTCATTAATTGTAATCATAATTTATGAAAAAGGAAAATTTGAATGCATTTTTAATTTTGATTGTTTTTTTAAATGTTTGATGATCTAATTATTATAAAATATTCTAAAAATATTGTGTATTTTAATAAAAAAATAAACTTTTAACTTTCAGTTAAATTTAACATACACTAAAAAGCTAAATAAGTGGAAATTTTAATCAAGCAAAAATATATTTCATGGAGGTATTTTTCTCTTCCTAAAGAAATTTTCCAAAATTGTGAATGAATCCTTTGAATTTTGGTGCAATACCTTCTTTTGATTATCAAAATTGTAAAAGTATAGATATTTGCCTATTTTCTTTACAACCACCTACAATAAGAAACCGAAGAATCATGTTCTTTCATTCAAAAAAATTCACGATGTGAAATTCAAATGCAGATGTATTTTAAGCTACATGAAAAAAAGTGGTTGCTGTAATATTTCCTTCAATTTTTTTATGTAATAGTGAGCCACATTTTCAAATAGTTCAAGAGAGCATTTTCATCATTAAATTTTTTAAAAAAAAAAAAAACATGTATACACTGCATTTGTATTAGCAATATTAAAATGTGCCTGTATATTGTGGAATTTTTGGTAACTTGTAAAGTACTGTTCTGGTAATCAGGGATGAGATTTTTCCGCTTTTTAGCGGATTTCCGCTTTTTTAACTTTTATCACTTGAATTTCAGCTTTTTTGTCAAAATTTCAGATTTTTCTAAAAATTTCATTTTTTTTATAAGTATTCCGCTTTTTCAGAAAATTTACTGATTTTCAAAGAGAAACAGAAAATTCAAACTGCATAGCTACCAAACCTTTCTCATTTTTACTTATTTTAGCTGTTTTCTCTCCGTTTACTCACAGCAAGTAAGATTTTCGGAATTTTTTACCCGCCCTCCAGATAGATCCGATTTTTGTAGTTCAAACGACGCTGCTTCTGACAAGCCTTTTAGAGGTCCCAAGCCTGGAATCTGCTAATATCTCGATCTCATTCACACGATTTTAATATCAAACATAGCTTATCATATTTGTGTGTTGCGATTCTGATTCACATGATTTGAGTATTGTATGTTACGATTCTTATTTACGAGATTTAAAAATCCGATATTGTGATTCGTATTTGCGCCTTTTTAAAAACCTATGTAGCGATTCATATTCACACAAGTTTAAAATTCAATGTCTTGATTTGCTTTTCAAACAAAAATAGCAATTTTATGTATGTTAAGGAGTTACTATATATTTCTACTTCACTGTTATTGATATGTTTCAAAGGGCTCTAGTTAGATTAGACTATAATATGAACATAATGATTCGATCCATTGTTAAAGTTTTTTTTCNTTTGGTGCAATACCTTCTTTTGATTATCAAAATTGTAAAAGTATAGATATTTGCCTATTTTCTTTACAACCACCTACAAAAGGAAACCGAAGAATCCTGTTCTTTCATTCAAAGAAATTCAAGATGTGAAATTCAAATGTATTTTAAGCTACATGAAAAGAAGTGGTTGCTGTAAAATTTCCTTCAATTTTTTTATGTAATAGTAGTAAGCCACATTTTCAAATAGCTCAAAAAGAGCATTTTCATCATTAAATTAAAAAAAAAAAAAAAAAAAAAAAACATGTATACACTACATTTGTATTAGCAATATTAAGTTGTGCCTGTGTATTGTGGAAATTTTGGTAACTTGTAAAGTACTGTTCTGGTAATAGTACTTATAGACTATTTGATGTGAAAGTATGGCTTATCACTATATTGCACCAAATCTTTCATATTTAAGACAGGGCCCTTTAAAATATAGTCTCCCCATCAAGTGAAAAATAATCGTAATATATCTGTGTGCTTATATATATATTAAAGTAACCATGTGCATATATTTTAGGATATATATAATAGCTGTGAATCACCTGCCTTTTCACTGGAAAAGCTGCTTTTTAGCATAGCTAATGATCCTAAGCCACAGCTGAAAGTTCTTCAGAAAATTTTGCCAATGATTGAAAACATAAGGTAATTTATTTATCTCTTTTCTAGTTACCTTAAAAATTTTTAAAGATGCAAATCTATTTTATATAAATACTAATTATATGTGCATCTTAATTGTTGGTCATTTAAAGGAAATAATTATTAATTTAACGGATTAATTCTTCTGTTCATGTTTTTGAGTTTCACATGCAGACAAGGAATTATGTGGAATTTTGTTAGAACTTGCAAAAAGCCAACGCTTTTTTCTAAGGATAATGTTTTGCATTAAAAAAAATTATATGCTTTTGCAAAATTGAGTTTTTCAGTTACTGTTCGTTTTATAGAAATTAGCAGTTTCGTCAAATAGTTTAATCCATGCATAAAATCTTTTTCTCTTTTTTTTCTAAAACTGATTGCTCAAAAATATTTCCCCGACATAATTACCTTAACTTAATTTTGTTTACTTGTTCTATTTCTTTTAGATCTAAAGAAATGAGCTTGAGAGCTCAATTACATGAACTTGGTCTGACAGAGCTAGAAAGACTACCTACATCAGAGCCGCCGAAAGACAAAAAGAAAAAGTCAAAAAGTGTCATTTATGAAAGTGAACCCGAGTGTGAAGTTTGTTCGGCCCCCTGTTACTTATCAAGAGTTAGTATAAATCAGTTATTTTGATTATGAGTTTTCATTTCTGTTCAAAATATATATTTAATTTTATAAAGCTTTAACTTCTTAAATCATCTAATACACAAGGTGCCAGGTTTTTCTTCTTTTCACATTATATCTGCTTCAATAGATTTTAATGACTGCTGCCTAAAGTTTTAAAAACTGAGAAAATCACTAATAAGTTTTTTTAAATGTTCAGAACTAGCTGCTTAAAATTAATGGTGTTGCTGAAATTTGAGTTAAAAATATTTTAGGCAAGTATTAAATAAAATCGCAATCTTTTTCTATGAGCATCCGAAAAAATATGTTTCTTAATGTGCTTGTAATTCAAGAACCAGTTTTCCCCTGTATTATGTATGCACAGTAAATTTCAATATATTTGAACTGATGTGATTGCACTACAGGCGTAGATATTTTTTTAAAAAAAGAGAGAGAGATTAGTCAATTTGCATAATTTTTAAAAAAAATAAATAAATAATAAAACAAATTTAAAGAAATAATTACAATATAGATAAATGTAATGCCATATGTCAGGGTGCATAGGGTTTTTAAATAGCGCTTAAAGGTGTTTAATTTTGATTTATGTTTTTTAAAAGCCTTTAAAGGTGCTTGTAAATAGTGCTCAATTTTCTATCTTTTAAAAAGTGATTTTTTCTTTGCCATGTCAATTGTCATTCTAAATTACGAAAAATTCATGATTTTCTCTGCAATATTTATCAGAAACTAGTTATTATATTATGATTGTGTAACGTTTTTAAAATTTTTTTGAATTTTATTGATTTTTTATTTATAAATTAAGAACTTTAAACGATAGAAAAAAATAATTTTTAATACTGCACAGATCCTAATAAATTTTTTTTTTTTGGAAAATGATTAAAAATATTTTTTTAGTGCTTAAAAAGTACTTAAAGGGTGCTTATTTTTTGTTGAAAAATCTGGCTACGCACCCTGATTGTTGAGGATGTTGAGGCCTGCTACTTTGTGATAAAACCACAGACCAAAACATAACTAACACTTCTACTAACCCTTTAATTGTATTTGGATTTCTTCCATCCAAATAGAATTAAAGGGTTAAGTCTTCTGGTTTTTTTTCTATCACTTTTACTCAAGAAAACTTACCCTATCCAGTTTTAGTTAACTGTTTGTGTCATGGTTTTAAATCATGAAATAGCAAATTTATATAAAAATTAAGGTGGCTTGTATTACTAAGAACCAGATACTTCTCATCTTTTATACTTTATGGAACTTTAGCCCAAGAAATGAGTTTTTAGTTACACTACTGCATTTAAAAAAAAAAATGCAATTTTGAAAATAACTTGCATATCCATACTTGTAATCTCTGGAACAGAAAAACTCTAAATTTTCATGATCTATCTGCAATATTTACTCATATTGTATTAAGTAAGTGTTGTTCAGCATACCTGTATGCAAAATTGAATTGTTGATTATTTTCTTATTCTCCTTCTTATCGTTATATTTTCCATTCTAATATACATTTTGTTTATTTGATTATATAGGTATTTTATTCTCCTGAGGATACAATATATTGTCTTCCGCATGCTTTAGAGCAGATACAGAAGAAAAACTTGAAATTATGCAAAATTGTATATGCTTATGACGAGGTAAGCATAGTTTGTTACATGTTCACTGAGAAAAAATATTATTTGTTGCAGATTTTCAAAACAATAATTCCTGCAAAAAATCTATCCAAATATTAAAAGTAATGGATGATTTTATGTTGGAGTGTTTAGTTTTAGTTAGAAATATTTTTAAATGCATTAAATTTAAAATAAATGCATTGCATCTAAAATTTATGTATCTATTATAATACCTTAGACTAAAAAATCTTTTTTAACTTGTTTTAAGCAAGAAATACATACAAAAGGAACCAAATGCATTTTTGATATGAATTTCGCACAGCAACTTCTGTGAAAAATTTCTATAAATACTGTAATGAATTAATGTATGAATTATCTAAATACTATGTTTAGTTTACATTTTATAAGGCATTGAAAAATGTCATGCCCTTAATTTTTTAATGTTTAATAACTCTCTTCCTATATTTTCATAAATACCTATGAAAAACAATTGTTATTCAATGGCTGCTAATTTACTCTATTGTAAATTAAAACAAGGTTACTAATTATATATATATATTGTGTATACACATAGCCATTGTTATGATGAATAAAATACTATGACTGCTGATTTCATGTTTCCATTAATTGAAATTTGGCCATAATTACTTAAATTCAACTTTTTTGAAGGCAGAAATACTTTTTGACTTATACTCTTCATCAACTGCAATTTCTTATGTAATCAATTTTTATATGAAAACTTGCACTTAATATTATTACTTTTATTACCACAGACATAAAATGTAAACTGTAAAAATTTCCATTATTGAACATTTTTTTTTTATTACCCAAATTGTGCCTTTTAATTTAAAGAAATTATTTGATTGAACAGTTATTATAACAATCTTGGATAAAGTGAAATATCAAATTCAAAAACAGAAAAAAGGAGACTGAAAAATAAGAAAATAGCTTATCATAAAAAGAAAAAAAAAATTATTTTTAACCCTTAACAGTCCAGAAGTATTTCAATTTCCTACTTACCGTCTGGTACAATTATACTAATTAATTACAACTAAATTATTTGCAAATATGGCAACAATAAGTGTGTTAAAAATTATGAAATGATTTTAGCAATTATATTCTTGATACTGGATTTAACAAGTAAAAGTTCCATGCCGTTTATATGGCAACATTAGTCTGATAAGGGTTAGTATCCAATACACATCCACTTTTTTAACTCTATTTTTTTTCCTCTTACATTTAAATTTTTAATTGTTTAAAAAATAGAGTAGTTAAATAGTATAGCTATTGATTTGTGTCACTATTCAATTGATGGATGATTTATCATAATTTTACATAGTTTAACGCTACATGGTTTTGGGTCACTATTTAATTGCAATCGAAGTAGTTTTATTAATTGTAATTGGATAATAATTCAATAGCTTGTCAATTTGTGATTGTTTACAGTAATTATACATAATTCTGAGTCGCTATTCAATCGCAAATGAAATAGTTTTTTTTTTTTATCCTCTTTAAGAAAAAAAAAACTTTATGATAAACTGTAGTTTTTATAACATTTATATTTAAAGCATTGTAAACAAATTATTATTCAATAATTCTTTTTTGTTGCAGAGAGATTTTGATGAAATTGTTAGAAGAATAAAAGACCTTGTATCTCAACTGCCAATAAATATTCCTAAAAAGAAATCTCCTAAGAAAAAACTGCTCCCAGTTGTAGAGAAATAAATTATTGGACTCTTTGGTTTCAGACAAACCAATTTTAAACTATTTAAATTTTATTTATTTATGTTTTTAAACTCTATGTTATACTAATCAGTGCCATTTATTCAATTTTCATACTTTCATTATTTATATATTGCCAACATTTTATCATTTATATATTCATCATTTTTGCTGTAAAAATAACGTATACAATCATATTTTGGTTTTAATCAGTTTTTTTGTACTAAGCATGTTTCATGAATTTCTTTTAAAAATTAAATGAAGTTACAATCAATGAAAATAAACTATGACTGAAGTTAAATACTGATGAATTTATTAATGTAAACAGCATGCTTTTTAATAAAAAAATACATATTCTGTTATTCATTAAGTTTTTGCATTGAAATATGTTTGTATATAATTGCATGTTATGTATAAATTAAAATCTGTAAATAAAATGTGTCACGCTTGTTTGTTTGTTAATTTTGCACATGCTTTAAAATGCATTATTTGTCGAAATGTTTACAAAGTAAGAGTACTTTATTAAACATTATATTTATTGAATATGTATATAAATTGCTTGTGAAAAAATTAAGAAACTTGATAAAATTTTGCATTTTTTGAAATGTAAGTGTTTTAAATGAAGTAGCATGTATTATTATTGTGTAATGTGAATAAAATGAATAAACCTTTAAAATTTGTATAGATTTTTTTAATCAGTTGTAAATGGTTTCTCAGCTTTCACCAAAAAAATTTTATTACATGAAATATAAGAAACTGTTTATTTATAATTAATAAAAAAAAACATTACTTACTTAAAAACTACATTCCCTTCAAAAATTATTTGTTTAAAAATTATATTAAAATATCAAATTAAATTATATTTATTTATTATTCAAAAATTATAATAAAAAATTTTTGAAGCAAATAAAGTTTTTAATCCAGCAATATCTTACTGCTTCAGTTTCTTGGGATTATTTATTTAAAAAGAGATACATATTACCAAGTTTTACTATACTTCAATGTAGTCAAAATCATTGTCCTACAACATGTAGACAATGATTCCTTAATGGCTTGTTTAAGCTATTATTTTAGTCGTTAAAAGGCTTGATTAAGCATTTATTCTTTAATCCTTAAATGGCTTGATGAAACTTTTTATCCTTAATCCTTAAATGGCTTGATTATGCAATTATCCACAGCTATATTAGTTGCACAGATGATAGTCTTCCACGAATTCAGCAACTTTTACTTTCATTCCATAGTTAATGGAATTCAGCTAATATTTTTCTTCAAGAATAAGCTGTATGTATATGTGTCAGCCAAGGTTTAAACTTTAAAAAACAATTTTTTCTTTAAACGTTTTTAGTTTTTATTTGTTTATAAATTGTAAGTAACTGTGTTATTTAGTTTTTTCATTAGTACAGATATTCCCAATTTTTACAACTTTTTTGAACTAACTAACTAAACTATTAACTTTAATGTAACTTATTTGTACCAAAATAATGTAGAAACCCAATTCATCCACAACACATTATTTTTTAAAATCAAATAGCATGCATTTTCTACAAGGGAAGAGAACTAAAAAAAAATTATTAATGTATCTATGATTCATATGTTATTGAAGAATAAAAATGTATGGTAAGCACTTCCTACTTTATTATAAAATTAATAATTCTAGAATATGTAAGGTATCAGAACATATGCATTAACTCAATAAATTTAAACTATTAATTCAATTTGTAAGCTGGAAATGAAAAACCACGTAAATTTTTCTATTCCATTTATTCCTTTTTTATATTTTTACTGAAAATTAAAATATTGATAAAATTTGCTCTCATGGAGGATGTTTTAGCGGAGGTCGGAAAAACTGCGCTAGTTTTGTAGTTAATTGCAAATGTAGGTAACTATAGCTACTTTTTTTAACGTAGTGAGTATAACCTACTTTAAAAATGTAGTCACTAAGATGAAATTTGTAAAACTTAATTTACACCCATGTTCAAATTGGTTTTAAATAAACAAATTGCTTATTTAAACATGAAGAATTATTAAGAAATATTTATTCATGCCCATATGAACCAATTTGTTAATCTAAACCATTTTTTTAGAAATTTGAATGTTTTTTTATTACCTTTAAGAAATAAAGTACATTGAAAGTTACAAAAAAAATATGTTCCTTCCTATTGAAATAACATAAATGTTTCACGAGTGTACATTTAAAGGAGTGATAAATTAGCCATGATATGCAATAACTAGTTTACGTACTTTTCCACCAAACCATGACTATGAAGAAAAAACCATTTTTCTTCAAAAAGAAAAGGATATTCATTTTCGGAAAATTCCATTGGTATATCAAATCGAATAAAAATAACCTAATTCAACGTTGAAGAAATATATTTTGCTGATAACAATTCTCAACATTTGTTTTCTTAATTTTTTATTTTAATGTAAACCGTGTTTTAGTTCATTCAATTTTAGTTTAGGCATGAATTAAAATGAAATAAAGAGTTCGACTAGATGCCTCTAACCTGTGAATTCAATTTTCTGAAATAAAAACAACTTTTAAGACTGATATTCATAAAACAATAGGATGAAAATTTTTCATTCATTAACTAAATATTTTCCAAATAATTTAATGAATATAGATCGTTACATATTTTTAAAATTATAAATAATCTTCCATTAATAAATGTATTCACAATTGCTGATGAAATGTATTCATTAAAAATCAGTGTTCCATCAAAAGAAGCCACAGTTGAAAAAAAATTGGGAATCGCTGCTTTAATGTATTGGCCATTGAAAAGATTCAAAACCAGGGTCGAATTAAGCGTACGCGGGGCCCTAGACCATTCAAATTTTTGGGGCCCTTAGATTAAATTTTTTTTCTAGTATATTTTTTATTTATTCAAACATAAAACTATTTAGATATCTTTATATAAATATGATTAACATTATGCAAAAAAAAAAATGCTCGTATTTTATTATATATTTGAAATTGATTAATTTTTTTAAAAATCATTGTTTTGCTTAATTTTTTTTAATTTATTTTCAAAAAATCCATTTTAAGGGGGCCCTTAATAATTGGGAGCCACAGCCTAGTCTGGCCTAATTGATAATCCAGCACTGTTCAAAATCCAATATCTCATATCTTTGGTGGCTTTTTTCAAAGTTGCATTATCAAATACCTTGATTTTTATAGCAACTATGCTAAGAAACAATTTTAATGATTCAAAAGCCAAACCTAAGTAAGCTAATTACTTAAACCAGGCAATATTTCAAATTGTAAAATTATACATTTTTCTTAAATTAGGGGTGCACAAACCTACGGCTACCTACTGATGTGCGATCAGCGAGAGCTTCTAAACACAATGAATTTTTTTTTTTTGAATTTCAAAAAAATAAAAATAAAAAATGTGGACGATTTTAAATCGCACTTTTGAGTCATCACTTATTGACGCTCTCAATTTTCACAGATTCCATAGTAAATCTATGTTGTTTCTCGATCACTTTTTTAACGGTTATTATTGTACGGAATTCACCATGATTTAAAGAAACGCAATATTTATAATACAATATTACATTACACGAATTTCAGTAATCATTTTTTGACTCACGTTATTTTTACCGATTTAATTTTTATTCTAAGTGACGTTTTGTGATTGTTCTTTCCAGCAATTACAACTACCGATCTCCATGCGGTTTTTAAAATTCCGATTCATATAATATTCTGACTCGTGAGGTTTGAATCGGGAATAGCGCATTTAATTTATCACTTTCTGACGTGATTTATTTCTGTCGATTTCATCGTAAATCCATAGTTATCTTTCGGCAGTGAAAACATCGTATTTTCATACAGTTTTGAAAATCATGATATTTTTATTACATTATTATGAATCTCGAAGTTGAATAGCGCCATTAAATAATCACTTTTGTATGCGATTTTTGTGCAAATGTTATTGTAAATCTAAATAATTTTTTAAGCAATTTTCAACGTGATTTCGAAAATTCCAGCATTTTCATTGCGAAAGTTTAAAATGCCCATTTAAATAATCACTTTTTGACGCACTTTATTTGTGCCCATTTCATCGTAAATTTAAGTGATTTTTTTTCCCCTACAATTATTTCTTTCTATTTTTCACCCATTTTTTTTTCATTAGTTATGCTAGGCATTGAAACGTCGTCTTAAGAATTTGGATATTTTTATTACGACATGCGATTTTTAAATCATCGTAAATTTAAATGATTTTTGTAACTTTTTTTGTTGCAATTATTGTTATACTTTTCCACGTGAGATTGACGATCCCGTTATTTCACTACGTTGTTATTAAGAAGAGCGAATTTCTAATTGCGCATCTAAATAATCTCTTTTTGATACAATTTATTTTTATCGTAAATCCAAGTTATTTTTCCATCGTTTTTTTGATGACAAATGGTAATGAATTGTGATATGGTCGAATAACCGAATATTCGGCCAAATAACATATATTCAGGGTAAAATAACAACATTTTTGAGCAGTATAGTAAAATTTAAACTAAAGAACAGTCAGAGCTAAAAAGTCAGTGTCATTGCAGTGCTAAAAATAATATTTTCTGGAAAAACGTATTCATAAAACGTTTAAAAAAAATAAGGCAAATGAGAAACCTTTTTAAAATGCCACACTTGAAATGATCAAATTAAAATCATGAAAGCAAAAGATTGTGTACAAAAGCGAAACAGAGAAAATAAAAATCGATCTTAATTCTCGAAAAACATTTTTAAAGCTGAACATCTCCGTTTTCCAATTACCATATATGAAAAGTGAAGAAAAAATAATAAAGTCTAACAGAAACGCTCTTGAAAATTGCCGTGTTATAATAAAAAAGTTGTTACTTTTTTTTTACGAAAAAGCTAGATAGGAACAAACAACAAACGTTCCTAAAAATCGAAATTTTAAAATCCAATGCTCAAAATTTCAATTTACTTTTTTCACATTGCCGTATTTTTAGAAGGAAAAAAAATGCTAGTAAATAAAGTTTAATGGAAACGCTCTTTATAATATGCTGTCAAGATAAAGAGAAAGGTCAATTTAAAAAAAAAAAAAAAATTATTATTAGTTCCTAAAACTCTTTTTGAAAATCACAGTTTTCGATGTTACCGGTTATCTAGATTACAGTGCAGGAAAAAAGTGAATTAATGGTCTAAGATGTTCCGTTAAAATAAAAGAAGAAAAAAATAGTTCTCAATTCTTACATTGAAATTGATTTGCTTGAATATAACTAAAAAAAAAAAAGTAGTACGAAAACTTGTGATTCAGTATAAAGTAAGTATAAATCAATACTTATACAATAAATCAGTATAAAGTAATCTAGTTTCAATTCTTCAAATTTCGTTTCTCCATTTGTCTTCTAGAAGATAAAATTGCAAGTAAATGAATTTTGAAACCGAACAAATATGTGTAAAAACTAATTCTAATAACAAACAATACTATTCATAATAAAGTTAAAAATGCGACTTTAGATTATTCTTTATTATATCCATACACATAGCGAAAAAAAAATACTTTTCTAAAAAAATGGCTTGCCGAATATTTGGCCGATATCGGCCAACTGAATTTTTGACAAAAAAAGCCGAATATTCCTTGCATTCCTAATTTTAAAAGCAAATACAATATTATTGTGTGTGTGCCGGCCAAGTGGTCGAGCGGTTAGCGCTCCTGACTGCGAAGCCAATGGCCGCGGGTTCGAATCCCGCTCTGTGCATGGATCATTCTCTCTTGTGTGTGAATGTGGCCCACCCTGTGAACGGGTTTGTGGTAGTGTGGCGTGGGCAATGCTATTCGCCTCCGTGTCTTTGCTTCACAGGTGCTCTCTGGGTAACGCGGAATGAGTAACACCTTTGGCATCTTCTAAGGTGAAACGATTTAAGTTCAGTGCCTGTCATTCGAAAAAAAAAAAAAAAAACAATGTTATTGTAACGTAAGAAATTCACAAAATGGAGGGCAGTGAATTTTTAAATTGCTCACTGTTTGTAATTTTGACACCAATTTCTTGTTGCTCAAATGATTTTTTTAGGAAAAAAAAAGAAGAAAGAAAACGTTTACTATATAAAAAATCTGATAACTCAGTAAAAAGAAATACTATCGAAAGTAAAAATAAGTATTGCATCTTATTTTGAACTATAACAGTTTTGCTTTTATTTTAGACACGAATGGAGGGCAACGTGAATTTTTAAATTGCTCACTGTTTGTAATTTTGACACCAATTTTTTGTTGCTCAAATGATTTTTTTAGGAAAAAAAGAAAGAAAACGTTTACTATATAAAAAAATCTGATAACTCAGTAAAAAGAAATACTATCGAAAGTAAAAATAAGTATTAAATCTTATTTTGAACTATAACAGTTTTGTTTTTATTTTAGACTTTTGTTTAAACCTTATAAATTTTCTTCAATTAAAATATTACTTTGAATTAATATCAGTCTATACATATTTAATTTTTTTTTCATACTTTCATTCTGTGAGCATTGCAGTTTTTTTGTCATTGAATTTATTTTAAAATGAACTTTTGTATTAAATGATATAAAAAAAATATTTCTTTTCTCCAATGTTTATTTTTGGTAAAAAAAAAGTTTTTTTTTTCATTTTTGAACGAATTTTAATAATTAAACGCATTCAATTTTCTACAAATATATTATTAAGTATACTCATAAAAAGCTAGAGCACTAGTGTTTAAATAAATATTTGTCTGCCACACACAAGCCTAAATACTAAATCGGGTCTTTACTAGCCAACCTATTATGCAAGTGGCCCTTCACTCAAAAAGGTTGTGCACCCTTATTTTACACAATTAATTATGGAGGTCCAAAATTTCAACCATCATCCAAATAAAACTATTAAGACCATATCTACCAGATTGCTGCAACACCTATGCTTTAAAATTCAAATTTTGGACGAAAAAAAAGGTACATTTAGCTTAGAGAATGAGCCGACCAGGTGGCCGAGTGGTTAGCCTGTTTGGCTGCGGAGCCATTGGCCGCAGGTTCGAATCCTGCTCAGGGCATGGATGTTTCTTTCTCTCTCTGTGTTCTTTGTCCTTTCCTCTTTATGTGAATGTGACCCGTCCTATAAACGGGTTTGTGGTTGTGTGACGTGGGCGACGCTGCTCCACTGTGGCCAATGGGACAAACCCCAAGTTAAAAAAAAAAAAAGATAGATCTTTTTTACCTTAAAATTAACATAACAAGTTAATTAATATAAAAGTCCAACCTTCAAATCATTAGATTAGTATGTGAAAATCTGATCATTAGTTAAGAGGTCATTTAAGTTTCTTTTATTTTTATTTTACACACTGCACATATCATTTCTTAAGAAAGTTTATCTTGTCTTTTTTCTATGGTCTAACAAAACAAGTAAATAAGTTTGGAATGTATGACTCAAATTAAAATGACAGAAAAATGTAATAAAAAAACCCAACAAATGTAAAAAAAATACTCAAAGAACATCAAAAACACTTTATTACAACACCACTTTTAATGAAGAAATATGATCTTTTTATACATTTGCATGGATGAGAAGTAAATGAGAGTAGATAATCTAATCTCTCATTTCAGTATCCTTTTCTTCCTCATCAACACCTCGAATATACAGGATATTATTGCATCGAATAAGAACTTCACCCAAGTTTCCTTTAGGCTCCCCATTAATGTATTCTTCTGTATTAGCAAGCTAAATGTCAAAGTAAAATACAATTAGAAAAATTTTCAATAATATATTTTAATATGGAGGCTGTAAGAAAGAATACTAATGAAAGTAACTGATGGGCAAAATTTACATAAACCAGGCATGATTGTTGGAGGAAGGAATTATTTGATTTTTTTTTTCCTCAATGTATAATTTTCTTTTTACTTAAAAAAAGCTGTCATTCTTTTGCTTAAAAGTACTATTTACAAAATTTAAAGAGATCAAGAAATTTTCTTATCTAATATTTTTTCTTCATTAAAGAATATATATGCTGAAAAAAATTAGCAGTAACAGTTTAGTAGTCACCACCACAGTAAAAAATTTAAAAGAATTTTTAGAAACCGTGAAATGTATGGTAATAACGCAAAAAAAATATATGATAAAACCATGTGTATTTACGACAAAATCACACGATTAGGAGGTGTCAAAAAGGGGCTAATCAGGGTCTTTCCAGACCGAATTTACTACCGTTTGGCAGTACCTTCACAAATTCAACTTTAGGAAAAACGGTAGTTTCACAAAATACTTTTTCTTAAAATTTTATTTTTGTAGCCCTTAAACAAATGATAAATCCATATTTCTGTGCTGATTTTTTAATATAATCTTTAGTTTTTCACAAATTATGTCTAAATTTTCACAAAATAGATACCTCACTTAAAAACCTAGACAGACCCCTGCTAATTAAATGTACATTTCGAGAAGCAAGTGGTGTAATAAATAAAATTGTATTTAAAATATTGAAATTTTAAAAAATATGCACAAATTAGTAGTGATTACAACCGAAAAATTGATGGAAAAAGTGATAGAATTATGGTGTCAAATAGAGAATACACAGGTACTCGATTTTTTTTCATATCATAACAATATCAAGATTTTAAAAATTAAGTGAAAATCAACAGCAATAACTGCCAGAAAAGGGAAAAAAAAAAAAGATTCAAACTAATCATGAACTTAGTGTAAATCGAGTGAGAAAAGTATTTACTTAGATATGCGATTTGAAGTTCTTGTTTCTTAATGTAATATCACATGAAAATATCAGGATTCAAAAAACCAGGAGGATATCAGTAGCCATAACTGTGAAAAAAGTGAATTGAAAAGACAGCACTATCGTCCCATTAAAAAGCTGGAAACACCGTATTAATTTATAATTGTATTGACTTAAATTGAGCGCATCAAAAAGTGATTATTCAAAAGCACAATTCAAATTTTGTGTGTGGTAATATCAGAATTTTAAAAACCACAGGAAAATCAATTGCATTAACTGCAGTTGGAAAAAAAAAAGATTGAAAAAGGGACTGTGGGTTAAAAAGTTAATTACCGAAAGCGCAATTTTAAAATTTCTATGTTGTTATATCATATTAAAAATTTATTCAATCTAATTGTAACCAAATAAAAAAAAGGCAAGTATATCACATTGATTAAATAATTGTTGCTTTGGAATATACAACAAAATTGTTACTCATTAAAATTTTAGTTAAAAAAAAAAGAAAGAAAGAAAACACCATTTTTTCTAGGGAACTATTTTTTAAATGTTTACTTTTGTAATTTTATACTTTGGTGTGTGCCTCAGCAGATTCTAGCCTAAGTTATCATGGTATTTTTTTTCTTGAAGTTTATTCTAAGTTGTGTTATTCTCTAATAAATCCGGGAAAAAAAAGTTCTTATTGCACAGGAATAAGAACTTAGGAAGAAAAAAAAAGAGGATGCTGGAAGACCAGAATAAATGTCTTGTTAAGGTGATTTTGCGTAAGTAAATAAATTTAAATTTTTGATAAGCGGAACTCTGAAAAATAAATTATTTAACAGATATCCAAGAATTAACAGTCTTGAGATTTGCTGAATTCCCTGCCTAGAAAGAATCACATGCCTGATAAACAAATGCCCCCCCCCCCCTCAAAAAAACAGTATCTTACAATGTAAGAACTACAAATTTCCTGTAGACAAAAAAACCCGTGTAGCTTTCTTTTTCTTTTAATAAATAAAATATATGATCGTCTTCTAAACAATTAAAACTTCTTTTATAAGTTTTATGTGAATCACTTTTTGTCATTCTTGAATCACGGCTATGCAATCATAAATCCACATCGTTTTCTAATCGTACTTTAAGCCATTTTTTTTCTTTAATTCTAATACTTTTAATGATATTTTGACACTAAAATTTCAAATTACAGTAATTCCTTCCTGACACACTTGTTCTGCGACTATTCCATTCAAACATTTATAACACTTGCAATCATATTTTCACTGATTATTTATCCTTCTTTTACCTATTTCCACATGATTTTTTAAACTTTATTCATAGGAATTTGATAATTTGGTAGAACAGGACAACAGCTTTTTTTTTTAAAAAAAAAATGGGCAATTCTTAGCAATTTTTTGTTCTTAATCTGCTTTTTTTTTGTAATAGTACTATTAATATAAGTTTAGATTTTAGTAGCAAACGGGAACCAGTGAAGGCCCCACACATGAGATGCCAACAATGCTTGAGTTTCATTAAGGGTTAACTTGGGTAGTATAATTTTCAATCCATGAATCAGCACTTTTAATGGACAATTGAAATGCACAAATCTTATTGTTTTTATCTTGAAAATTAAAATAAATACAATTATTTATTTTAACAGCTTAACTTTTGAAAAAGACGGGAAATACTACAGAAAATTTTTAAAATTTGATAAAAAAAACAGAATTTTTGAAACAAAAGCTGAAATTTCTGGGCGGAAAACCTCATCCCTGCTACTCCTAGAAATCAAAACCATAAAAACTATTAAGCATTTATTCTGTATGTGGCTCTTAAACCTAAAATATCTCACTATTCAAAGCTCCATTATCCTGACATATCAGAGATAAAGATTGATAGATAACCATTCAACAAAAAAAAAATTATAACGAAGAAAATGTTTTATCTGTTAAAAGAAACATTTTCGTTTTATAATTAAATTTTCAAAAATACCAATTTTAATAAATTATGTGGGAATTGATCCATAAATCTGAGGGGTGATTTCATAATACGAATTGCAGCAGAATAATTGCCAAATCGTGGCGATTTCTTAGCAGTGTTCCACGAGAAACTCAAAAAATCATCAGTCACCCTTAAGAAAATTTCTACATGTTCTTTTTCAAGTTTAAAATCTATTTGGCACCTTTTCAATTGTAGTTCATGTGACAGATCACAATATGGAAATGTTCCCTTACCTAGAGATATTTTAAGAGTATTGCAAAATGTAAAGATTAACCATTGCTAAGTCTTACCCATGCTTTAAACTCAAATTATGTCAGAAAGTAATACCTAACAAAAAAAAAAATGAATTTACCTGCAAATTCATGTAACCATCAACAGAAACTAAGTAGCCTTTATAATCCATTCCCCATTTCAGTTTGATGATGACAGTCTTACCAGTCAAGCTGTTCAGGAATGGTTTGGGATTTATCGGCAAACTCTAAAAGAAAAAATGCATTTTAAAATAAAAATAGTAAAGAATATAATTATAAATATAAATGAGACACAATATAATTTAAAATGCCTCATGTTCTATCAAAAGAGTTGTCTCGATTTTCTTTCAGATTTGGCTCGATTTAAAAAACAATTTCATTTCAGGAATTCCAACCATCTGAATTTACTTTAAGAAGTCATCGATTAGTCAGAAAAAAAAAGCCTTAATACAATTACTTTTAGCGACACATAAATAATTTTGCATCAGTATAGTTAAGTCATGTGAAATTCAAAAGGTACCATAAAAAAATTAAATATGATTCAGTTTTTATTACTATAAAAGACAACAAATGTAGAATACAAAGAAAATATACCACCATGACATACCATCTCAAATTAATTAGTGGTCGATTGTTAATTTCTTTTGTATAACTTTTTCAGCGGCAATTGAGCGGTCTCAGTAAATCTTAAGAAAACATCAATTGATCAAGGTGATTCATTGTTAAAAGTACTAACTATCAGCTTTAAGCTTTTGTATGCTGATACTTAATAAAAATTGAATTATAGATGACGCTGCTAAATTCGTCTAAGCGCCTGTTTTTTTTTAAAAAAAACATTGGATCAGTTCTGCTATACGCTGCTTTGGGAGCTCGCTTTAAACTATTTTGACGATGCAGTTCTTAAACGGACTGAAAAGTCTTATCAATTTTCAAAATATTAACATATTGCTTATATTATTAATATATTGTTATATATGCGATCGGTCCCGCAGTGGACTGATCGTTAAGACACGGTTCCCAGCAGCTCACCGAAGTCAAGCATCACTGGCTNTTTTTATCTCTGTACTTAGGTAGTGCAATTTCGTTTCTTCCTTCAAAGGACATTTGTACAGTTACTTTTCTAATTAATTTCAACAAAAGTTCTTAAAGATTAAATAGGTCGTCGAGCTACCGAAGTGGGGGTGCCATCCCCTCCGCAGAGGATCAAAATTGTGATGGCATGTCTTCGGAACATCCCCCGGGATGTTTCCCAGACCGTCGTCAATATCCCATTGTTCAGCTCTAGTGCGACGTAAATTAACAACAACAACAAATATATGCGATCGAAATGGGCTGCAGGTGGCTTAGAGCAGAACTCTCCACCTATGGCAACACTTCACATGCTTTACCCATTAGCGTGTGGAGAGTCATAGAGGAAGGAAGTGTGTCAGTTTCTCTCTTGATTTTCATATAGATTTAAATCTTTTAAGTTGGAAAACTACATGAAACTGAAAACTACATTAAGCATAGTTCTAAAGAAAAGCATCACGGAAATTAAAAAAAAAATATTTTTATTAAATAAAAGGGGAAAATATCGTTGTACATTCCTACACAACTGAAAAGAGGAGGAGAGGGAAGGGAGAAGGGCCAAAGGCATGAAACCAGTCTCGCCCCAGATGGCTTATTCGAGATTCGATAGCCAATAATGAAGTCCTGGCGGATTCATTTCACTTCCGACCAACTCAGTAAGAGTCGCAACAATTGAATGATGCACCTATAGCCCGAAACAACGATAGTGATAATCAGTGCAGTCTTTATGCATGGGCACACCCGGGTAGTGCCCGGGGGCCCCAGGTATTCAGGGGGCCCTTGAGAATATAATTTTTCATAAATTGCACTAAAGAAAGCTTAGAATAAGCAACATTACCTTATATATTCTTTTTAAATAAATATATTCTATTGCATAAAGTGTGCATTTTTTTTCCTACAAGTAGTAATTGATTATTATGCAAACACGAATAACTTGAATAGTTTATCACCAAAAAAAAACTTAAAAAGGGAACTGAGATCTATTTTTCTACGTTCCAATGAAAATTTTAGGTAAATTTAGCTGGGCCATTGAAAGATGTTTGAATAACTGTTTAGTTTGACAAGATAATTCATACCTTTTGAATTTTTTTTATTTGTCATGCCTTCATGTTTATTTCATTTAATTATTTTAATTAACTTCCATGGTTTTGAGAATTATTTTATTATTTGAGTATTACAAATGGTTATCATCTCAAATGTTTCTTTGTTTTTTTTAAATTATGCATAGTTTAAAAATGATTTATTTGAGTTTCTGGGGCTATTAAAATGTGTTTAATTATGTTAAAGTTATTGCATCATATCTTAAAAATGATTTATTTTATTTATGTGAAGTTTCTTAGTTCGTTTTTAAACATTATGGCATGTTATAAGGGTCTAAAACATTTTTATGCTATTAGGACGGCTCTGGTGATAATTCTGGCTGAATTATCACTCCTCCCTACTTCTATATGATGCTGGGTTACCCGTATACCTATCGATCGATTAACTACTGTCACAGGAAAGGGGGATTGCCTAAAAGCGTATGTCGACTTGCTTCCAAAGGATATCTGAAGCTAGACGTACATATATTGAAAAAAAAAATCTCAAATATGGATGGTGTTTTCAGTAGAAATGTAAACAATAACAATCTCGAGCTGTATGCCTGCTCTAGTTCCGGTTAGAACGTTTGCTGCTGCTTACAACATGCTATTCTGCGAGGTGATATTTCCAAACGGATAATTTTGTTTTCAATAAAAGAAATAAATTAGATAATTTCTGAGCTCAAATCTGCCGTATTTCATAAGATATTAATGTTATTATGTTATTCTGGTGAGTTTGAAGTGAAAATTTGTTTTAGTTATTTAGAGATATATTGTTAAAAAAGGTGACATGGTTGCTAGATTTTGAATAACTCGCTTTTTTGGCAGTCTTGATTTGGCCTCTTTCCATTTGTTTATTACTGTTTGTTCGTGTTGCAAGCTGTGCACCATCTTACGTTAGTGTTAACACTTTTAGTATTGTAAACACAAGTATTGTTAGCATTGTAAACATAAGTAATAAGTAATCAAATACATTGTTTGCAAGAATCTAAAAACACAATAATGTCAAATGGCTTTAAAAATACAACGGAAACAGTAACCCGGAAATTTAGGCGGTACTGAGCTTGCAGCGTTCCCTAGTGTAGAAAACACCATCCATACAGCTAATTCGCAATTACGATGGACAAATTGGGCCAATCAAAAGCCTGCATTTTTACATATCATAAAATACAATATGTTTGCAAAAATACATGCTTCTAATNCACAATGATGCCAAATGGCTTTAAAATACAACGGAAACAGTAACCCGGAAATTTAGGCGGTACCGAGCTTGCAGCGTTCCCTAGTGTAGAAAACACTATCCATTAGTACACCATGATACGTATACAAATGCCTGGATTAAGCACTTAGAACAAAAGCAGTCTAGAAAAAAATGACTTTTCAGTTAAATACTTTAATCAATCGAAATTGTGTTATTTTGACGGAACACAAATAATCACAGAAGGAATATGTATCATTAAAACCTACGGGATTGGAGCTGGCCGTAACCGAAATAACTTATTCTAAGATTAATTTTAAAAAAAATTCTGATATTTGAAGAAGACTTAATTCATCATTAAAGAGATGATATTACTACTTTTCTGCATCAAAAAGATTTATAAACAATGCTTAAAAAATCAGCACAGGATTTCATCATAAGATATGAATTATTTTCTTAAAAAAATATGTGTAAAAAAAATATATATATATAGTCGACGAAAAATTTCTGTACTCACGTTTTGGTAAATAATAAGATATAAGAGTACGCAAACGTAGCAAACATTCATGTAATCGTAAAAAAAAAAAAAAAAAAAAAAAAAAAAAAAAAAAAAAAAAAAAAAAAAAAAAAAAAAAATAANAAAAATGAAAATAATAATAATAATAATAACAATTGATATGATGCCATGTATGTATGTTAACATTTAAAAGAAAAAAATTATTAATTAAGGAATATACAAGTATGCTCGTTTCCCGGTTACAACTTGGTGTCCACTCAGCTTCAGATTTAAAAGTACCAGTATTCTGGGTATAAAGGCGGGTATTGTGTATTGCTGACCAAAGTCCTATTGTGCTTCATCATACTGCTGGTCATGAAATTATGGAATCTAATAGTGGAGCCTTATAGCCCATTGTGGAGCCTGACCTACAAAGGGCAACACAGCTCGATTGAGATAACGCTTTATATTTTTCTTATTTTTCTACAATCGTATTTGTTTTTCCTAATAAAGGTATACAATCCTCCAATCATGGCATAAGATTTTTAAAACTATATAAATTACATCATTATCTTAATTAATATTTCAATTTTTTATTTTCTTATTCAAATAAAAATCACACAAAATTTTATCCAGAAAAAAAAAAAAAAACATTTATCTTGACGATATCTGTTTGCTTCTTATGAAACATAGAGTTTACATTTCTCTTAAGTAAACAGTTTTGTTGTTATGTTAAGTTCCTCATAACAGTAAAATGATCAATGCATAAAAAAGATATAATTCTAACAGAAAATTATACAAGTTTCCTATAGGGAAGAGGAAATGGGAAAATCGCGAGTCATTTGATGATATCACTCCTCTTCACTGAAGATTAAAAATGATTTTATGAGTTGATGGAGTACTGGGGTGGAATCTCTCATGTTAACTAATTAAAGTTCACCCTTGTTACATCCGGTATCAGTTTGACAGCTGGGCGAACAGACTACTGGGCGAACGGCCTCAAACACCATCATCAGATGGCCTGGAGCAACAGTATCATGCCAAATGATACTGATTACAGTTAGTCTTTAATTTCATGAGATGAACTTTTAAAAAAGTGTCATGCTTAATTTAATAACGTAAAAACCATCGGCGAGTGCAAAAAAGCTTTATTATTTGTGTCGGGAGTTTAAATGTTTGAATCCAACCCATGGACTTTCCCGAGAGTTTGGCTCCAATTCTGAATCCTTATTCAATTAAAATTTTTACCGAATTCCGGAAGATACATTAATTGTTATGAAATCATATTTTTTGTAATGAAATTTAATTAATACTATAAATTTAACTGATAATTTGATAACTATTCTCATTATAAAGAACTTTTTATTTAGTTTCTATCTTCTCTGCCAATAATAGATATAATAATAGATAAATAATAGATAAGTAAATTTATACTCTCTAGTTCGTTTCCCAAGAGCTTGATTCTAATTTTGATCTATATTCAATTAAAATTATCACCCAATTCTGAAAAAACATAAATTGTTATGACATCACCTTTATAATGAAGCTTAATTAATACTATAAATTTAACTGATAATTTGATAACTATTCTTATTCTAAAGAAACTCTATATTTAGTTTCTATCTTCTCTGTCAACAATAGAGTAAATAAGCAGATTTATGCTCACTAATTCGGATGCAATAAATGCATCTGACTTCATATCAAATATGACCGTACCGCTTTTACAAAAATAAGAAACAGTGAGGAAAAAATAATAAACAATATTTTTTTTTTGACGAATTCATCTTTTTTATGGTATTTCTTACTTTTTTGTGCAAAACCATAGAAAAGTTGTTCCCTTGTCTTCTCGGCTGGGTTCAAAATTACAAGGCTACGGAATTGTACATTGATAGTCGTAAACTCAGAATTGGGTCGGCTGTTCTATGCCGGTTATAAAATATTAAAAAAAAAATTTTGATTCAGAAGTTCCCATTTCTTCTGGGTTAGGTTCAAAATGACAAGGCCATGGAAGTCGGGCATTGGTAGCAGTAAATCCAAAAAAAGGATTTGCTATTCAACACTAGTTATAAAATAAAATATTTAATATCATTGAAAATATAAATTCATAGTTTTTCTATACAATGATGATATTAGAGGCATGTCCAGAAAATTTTTATAAATTCACTGAATAAAATTTACTTTTGGACTTAAAAATACAAAAATCGGGAGTGCCTGCCTCCGCTTCGAACAAAATGTCAAAAACTATAAATCTCATCTTAACGTTACTATAGCTGTCAGTTGAAAATCCAAACGTTAATTATCACTCCGTTTTTGAAATATTTTTTTAAAAAAAAGTCAACTGACAACATTACGCGTGTTACTAAATGAAGCCGATATGATATCGTTAATAAACTATGTAACCACACAATGTCCTTGGATATGGTTCCGTTTTCGTTTATTCGCTGATAAGGCATACATATCAGTTTGCATTAATCCATCTGAATAGGTCTATTCAAAGCGAGCAGTTCACATTTTATTTATTCTTTGAATGATGTTCCTTTAACAATCGATATTCGTGTTTCTGAATGTTTTACATTAATTTTGTGCCATCCGAATTATTTTAGGATTTTCTATTTGAAGAGTAGGTAAGTTGTTTCTTATTTTAAAAAGACATTCAACTTATATCTTGGGGGCTCATCCTGAAGGATTTTGTTAGTTATAAATTAATATTTATTAAGTATTATCATTGATTAAAAATAACATTGTCAATAAAATTGTCACAATAATTGTCATAAAATTAAAATTATCATTGATTAAGAATTTTTTCTTATATGTGTTAAGATTTAATAGCGTGTTTATAAGTTAAAGTTAATGTTAGTTTCCCTTTACTTGCTTTCTTTAACAATAAATTAAATAATTAGTTTTATGACTCTCCATGCTGTCTAATTCATATTTTTTTAAACGTAACTAGTGGACTGAAATGATTTTTCTCACTTTTTCTGTAAATGAGTTTTAAATGTTTTTTTTTTTTTAAATTCTTAACTCATATAAAGTATACGAGATTTATATTTTTCAGTATAAAATTATACAAACTATGATATTCTATAAAAATTACATGTTTAAGTTAAATATATTTCCTACCGCATTCTAACTATTCTAGAACTATTTTGTTTTAATAAAAGTTGACCTGTCTTACTCTCAAATATCTTTGGTACTTAATTAGTTAATCAATTATTGTTATTATTAGTAATGAAGCGTCGAAATGTGTTAGTTATAAAATTTATTTTTAACAAAACTTGCACAAAAGCTTTTGAGCTATTGTTTTTTTTATTTTATATTTGTATTCATTTGTGTATTTAACAATGAAAGCAATAAAAATTATATCAAAATTAAGATTCATAATAGACTAACTGTCGAAAGCGAGCGAGTGTATGCATTACTCCTTGTTACACCCTAAGATAAAAATTTTAACTTATAAATATGATTAAAAAAATAAACAACACTGCGAGTAACTGAAATTATGTCAACGTGGGGAATTCCCCGACAAGTTTTATTGAATGTGATAGTTACCGTTGTCTTGTCTGTCACAATGCTCTCTAACACAATCCGACAGAAAGGAATGTCCAACATCAATATGAATTAATTTTTATGGTATTTGTAGGAAGAATGATGCTTTTACGTGCTTTTGATAATAAAAAATACGTGACTATCTAATATACTTTGCAAAAATTATGACTTAAATTATAAAAAAGCACTAATGATGAAAAAATCAACTTTTAAGAAAGAATTATGCTTTTGATAATGCAAGAAAAAAGTTAACAATAACTAATATATTTAAAATTATGTCATTATTGGAATTAAAATCTCTTATCTTACTCTCTTTATTTTAAAAAAAAATATGCATACATTTTAATAATTTGGTATTCTCTGTAATAATGTTTCTTTTTTTCATTGTTATTTATTCACGCAAGACAATAAAATTGGATTCATGGTTTTGTTGGCAGCAACATGAGCTATGGTTGTTGGATCAATATTGTTGCTGAACATGTTGATTGTTGGGTGAGGGGCCGTTCAAAAAGTACGTACGGGGGGATTTGCTATTTTGTACTGTTTTGTACGATGGGGAGGGGGGAGATATTATACAAAGTACGTACATTATAAGCATACACCAAATTTAAATTTGACTTTTTCCTACGCTCTCTTTAAATAAATATTTAATTTTTTTTAAAACATAATTATTTTAATTTTTATGAAAAAGGGGGGTAGACTAATAGAATGTACGTACTCTAAGGGTGGGGGGAGTAAGACCTTATGTACGGTAATGTACGAAAAGGGGGAGGGGGTTAAAATTTCTTCATTTTTGTGCACGCAATTTTTGAACGGCCCCTGAACTACTCACCGTTAACCATTTGTGTATTTTCCTACGATGTGTCAACAAACGCTGATAAGGATACAGTGGCCGTCTATACCCTATTACTACCTTACATTATTATTCTCTGTATACCCTCGGCTAGTTTTTTGTTGTTGTTTTGTTTGGGGTGGGATCATAGTATCCCATGCTTTATATCTACAGAGGCTCTAATAAATGTGTACACATTTTACTGATTTAAACAAACTATGAATATGAACAGATTATCGACACGTTGATTTAAAGTTGAATATCATCAAAGCATATATCATCAGCATTTCTGCACGAACAATTTAGAAAAACAACGGTTTTAGTGTTCATATTATTTGATTCTAAAAATTAGTATGCTATTTGTGAAATAAATATGCCCTTTATTATTCAATATATTTACAAAGTGTTTGTTTAATATATGGTTGGTCAATTAAATAACATTAATAAAATTTGATTATGATATTTTAATAATTCGTTATAAATTTAGGTTTTACAAATTTTTTTAGGTAAGATATTGAAGACCTAGGACAGTTAATTGACTTTATTACATGAGGAATTCATTAAATTTATTTTCTTCGGAATCGTTTCTTTTTTGTTTTCACTTATTTAAAAGTGATATATTAAAATTAGATTTCAATTATAAATTGTTTAAAATTTGTTTTAGTAAATTGATTTTTTAAAAATATAAAGTAGTTTCTTCCCTTTTTTACACTTGAGCTGGATGTAAACTTGTTGAGCTGGTTTTTTCCATTGTGTGTGTTCTTGCTCTTCGTAAGCGAACGTGTAGTAATGCTATAGTGCGGCTTTGAGGAGAACTTCTCCAGACTGAAAGTCTGGGACTGTCTGCTGCTATGGTAACAAGCGAGAGCACATTTCTAACGGGAGTGAAATGGGGGAAAGAAGGCGTCGATTGGTTCACTCATGACGACCCACGCTAAAATTAAGACAAAACTATTCACCCCACAACCCTATTCGAAGTGACCTTTGCTCGCAACCATAGTAACCGCCACGACGCGACATGGGTGTCTGGAGGAGTTCTCCTGAAAGCCGCACTATACGTGAAACTGCGAAACCTCTCTGATATTAAATACTAACTGAATACCCGTTCTCCCTACAGGGTATAAAAATTAGTGAATCTGTACTGAACAACACAAAGAAATCATGGAAGAAAGTGAAAGGCATATACCAACACAATTAATAAAGATAAAAATAATTATAATTTTTTTTTTGAAATTTGTTATTAATTTTTGCCCTCGTTGGTGGCTTTAATTTATTAGATTAAGCAAAATGCGTTTCTAGCTGTTCATTCCATCAAATAAAAGATTATATCCAGTATCTTTTTTAATGTACATTAGTATATTTGGTATTGATAAAAATTGCACCAATTACCATGCTACCCAAAAGTGCCTATTACCTAAATTAATTATCCACTACTGGCATCAGTAATAGTATGGCAATTTTTGACGTTTTACCTAAACGAATTCGAACCATTTATCCATTAATTTTGTTTTTCAGTATATAACTTATTTTTTATATCAGTCAGTACCTATTACCAAAATTAGTTAAGTTTCAGTGGTGACAATAATAGTATGGAAATTTTTGACGCTTCACCTAAACGAATTCGAACCATTTATCCATTAATTTTGTTTTTCAGTATGTAGCTTATTTTTTATATCAGTCAGTACCTATTACCAAAATTAGTTAAGTATCAGTGGTGACAATAATAGTATGGCAATTTTTTGCGTTTCACCTAAACGAATTCGAACCATTTATCCATTAATTTTGCTTTTCAGTATGTAGCTTATTTTTTATATCAGTCAGTACCTATTACCAAAATTAGTTAAGTATCAGTGGTGACAATAATAGTATGGCAATTTTTTGCGTTTCACCTAAACGAATTCGAACCANTTTCTTAAACGATTTAGTACTATTTCTCTAGTAATTTTGATTTCTAGACGTTACTTTTTTTCTCTCTCCATCAAATACCGTTGATTTTAAATTATTTAGTTTTATAGCCTAGAAAAGCATAGTTTAAACTCCTATTTTTAATTCATGAGAGTTATAAGTAAGCAGACATCACTGTCGCTATGTTTAAAATCGTCTGCCTTTTCATTTATATCATTGGTGCTAGCTATGAACCAATGAGAAAATTCCATTTCTGAAACGTCGCTCTTGAATGATCTAATGGGGTGCCTGCAAGTGAGGTATCTCGAGCCGGATTGGTTGTTGAAACGTGGCTTTGTTTACGTTAGCAACTGTTCTTTCCATTCTATTTCGAGTTAACTTACCCCGACAAGCATCAATTCTCTTAAGTGATACATTCTATAATCCTTTACAAAGATTTTTTCTCAATGATTTCAATTCTTTCGCCATATATTTCTTACTTTACTTAACACTTAAGCACGAAGTCATGTAGAACATAAACAAACTAATTATGCATTGAAGTTGCCAAGTACACAAAACAAAAATATATCACGTGTTACAATAGAATACATTAACAAATAAGAAATCTAAGAAAAAATTATATTTCAACAAATTCAATATACGATACGGTACTGTATTTAATTAACTTCACGTTAATTAACATTATAATTTATGTGGGAAAATTTAGCTCAACTTTGACGCTCCATTTTGTTTATTGAAAATCAGCTGGCGCTGACGTCATAGGTCACAAGTGTGGGTATGTTTGATCTTCTTCTTTTCGAATTACAAGTACCCAATTAAAATTTCACGTCGGTCTAAGACAGGCTTACAGAAAAACACACATAAAACTCTTTATTTTATTATTACAAATGTATAGAAATGCTGCGTTTTGCTGGGATAAAAAGGGATGATGACAGCGACTAAATAATTATTTGCTGTGAATATAAGTATTTAGCAAATTTTCACCACGAAAGCTTTTTTTTTTATGAATATAATTTTGTAAAAAGGTTTTTTAAGCATTGACAGTGAAAATTCGAGTTCATCTATGAAAATATGGTATACATAAAAAACTCTTTCTAGTAACTTATGCTGATAATACAGAATAAAGAAAGAAAGAAAAAGAATAAAGCATACCGAAACTTTTCGGTATGCTTCCGTATACTTTATTATTATTCGGTATAGTATATTTTCGGAATAAAAACTGACAATGAAAAATTAATGCTTATTATCAAGTTTGATTCGGCATTATTAATTATAGTTTTAAAAGTTAAAAAAGATTGTGGACTTTATTTATATTTTACTAAAAATTACAGAAAGATTTACTTAACGAAGTTATTTAATAATTAAATATTCTCGACAGCAGAAAAAGAATACTTAGAGGGTCAAATGACGGTTCTGCTTTATTTCTCCACTTCGAAAAGAATTCCAGAAAACTTGGAAAAGATTATTTCGTATAAAAATGAAGTTAGGTTTCCAAAACCAAACGTTTAATTAAGTAAATTATCCTGCGAAATTATTTATTGCTGAGATGGAAACGAATAAAAATAAATAAGTAAAGAAACACTATCATTCTTTTTAGTTTCACTTTAGGATAGAGAACTTGTGAGAGTGACTAATGTTTGCGTCCTTGAATCTCGGCGCTTTTTTAATACTTTCTTTTATTTCATTTTTCAGTGTAACGTTGCACTTGTGTATCGGATCGGAAATAATCGAAGATGTGATGATAGAGTGAATAACTGTAACTTGTGAGAATAATTAAATCTTCTTCACTTTAATAGGTAAGATGTATGTAATTATTATTTGTTTTTCATAATTACTGAGTAAAGGTGGGATAATTCACCCAGGGCCCAGCGCTAGTGAATTCTGAAATTATTTTAGTTTTTTTATAATTATTATAAGAACTTCACTTCTTCTTCAATTTATATTCATTTAAACCTTCTTTTCTACTTTATCATTTAGATGGAATAAAGAAGAAGACAGTCTCCCTGATTCTAGACGCTTTGTTAAAAAAAAAAAAATCATATAAATCAAAATATAGAATTAGAAGATAAGATTAATCAAAACATCTTTAACTGATTATTCAAGTGGGGCCCTTAACCTTTTGATGTAGAGGGGGCAACGGTGTCCCTTTTATATTATTTTTTTCTAATGCTCTAATTAAAAGCAAAAATATATTTTGGTAAAAAAAGCGGTTAAGTAGTTATTAAAAAAAACCTGGCAGAGTATCGAAATTATCTTTGCATTGATTAATAAAATCAAAAAAAAAAGTATTTAGAAAATGTCTTTTTTCATTCATATTAAAAAATGTATCAATTTTGTAAATTTAAGAAACTCCAATGATGAATATCCAGTGGCGTAGCGAGGGGGGAGCAAGGGGGGGCATCATGCCCCGGGCGCTACTCACAAAGGGGCGCCAAATGGTCAGCAAAACAAAAAAAATTGTTGGATAATTTTTATTTTTATTATAATTTATTTCTGCAAAAAATATTTTAAATTTAGTGCCAGTGAAATATAATAAATGTTATTTCGTAAATAAAAAGGAACACTAATCAAACTGTTATAATATATTCATAATAGAAATGACACGTCTTTTCTAATGGCTGGCTGACTCGACCTGTATCTGTCAGCACTTCCTTATGGCATCTACGCTGTGTGGTTACATATACTATCTCCAAATATTTGCACTGTACAAAAATCGTTTGTATGTTTGTACAGTGTATAATACAGATTTCAATGGAATAAAACTCTTTATCGAAGAATGTGACTGTAAAATGTTACTCCTTTGTAGAAAAGAAATTGAACTTAAAACTTCATTAGAATTTCTTACTTTTATAATCCCGTATGGAGAAGATGTTTTTCCAAACCTGAGAGTGGCACTTCAAATACTCCTGACTATTTCAGTATCAATTGCTAGCNGATTAATCAAAACATCTTTAACTGATTATTCAAGTGGGGCCCTTAACCTTTTGATGTAGAGGGGACAACGGTGTCCCTTTTATATCATTTTTTTCTGATGCTCTAATTAAAAGCAAAAATATATTTTGGTAAAAAGACGCTTAAGTAGTTATTAAAAAAAACCTGACAGAGAATCGAAATTATCTTTGCATTGATTAATAAAATCCAAAAAAAAGTAGTTAGAAAATTTCTTTTTTCATTCATATTAAAAAATGTATCAATTTTGTAAATTTAAGAAATTTCAATGATGAATATCTGTTTCTCTTAGATCTAAATAACTGCAACTAAATGTTAAGTTAAAAAATAATTTCTTGGAACAAGTCGTGTTTGGAAAATTTTACCTTAATCTCAGAAAAAAAAAAACACTAGTGTTTTATGATGATCCAAATTATTATAAATGGGTGATTCTCACGAAATGTGACAATTTACAGTCACTTGCACCAAGATCTAATACTAATCTACTAAAAGAAAATTTTTTTAAAAAAATTTAATAAATAGCATTGCTGTTAGTATTTTAAAATAACCTAGTACTAGCATCGACTATTTTGTATATTTAAAAAATTAAATTGAACTTCAAAATTTCATGTTTCTGGCAAGTCACAAACAATGTTTCCAATAATAACTAGCTTCAAAACTTCCCATAAATTTTTCAATATNTTTTCAAAATCTAATTATATTTATCTCAACCGGTGTAAGCATTTCTAGAATATACGCAGAGGGTATTATTTACAAAAACTTCGTTTAAAATAATTTTTTCTGTCAATAATTTGTTTGTCCCAAGAAAATCTGTCATTTTCCTGGCTTCTTTTATTTAGCGATTTGTAACCAAAATAGATAGAGCCAGCAATCAGTATCTTATGTTAATAGATTGATTAGATACCCTCCTATATGAACATGTCTTGTTGCATGAATAAAGAACCAATTTTCTGGTTCAAAATCTATTTCAAAAAATTTTTGAAGGTGAGTAGGTTCTTGTGTTGTCATTTTCGTGGCTTCTTGAAATCATTAATAACATAACTACATAGATTTATCTGAGTTATTTTAAGAAATCCTGTTGTTTTCTGCAGAATAAAAACGTCTTAGACCAAAATATTAAATTGAAGTAAAGTTATATGCTATAAAATAGCGAATTTAGTCATTATCCTGGCTGTCATTTTCCTGGCTTATGAATGCCAGGATATTGAAGTGATACCAGAATTTTTTTTTAACTGCTAATACTGTAAGATGGAAAAGCAAGTTGCATTTTCTACAAACAGCAGTTTATTATTGTAATAAGATAGAATGTAATCAAAGTTATTTATTTATTTAATGATTAAATATTTTACACAATTTTATTCTCTACATATCAGCAACAAAATTTTTTTTGATTCTTTCTATATTATCACTAAAAAATATTCATGATTGACAAGGTTTAATTTTTCGTTTGATGGCAGTTTTATCTTATTTCTTCGGGGAAAAAAACTTTATCTTATCTTAAGAGATTTCTCCGAATCGTACAAATATTTGTATAATAAAATTGTGTAGAAAACAATTTAGGTAATATTACATATGTTGTAAAATGTACAATATGTTATTCTTAATTTATTTATAAATTACAGAAGTTTTATTTTCATTTTCTGTACAATGAGTTATGAATCTATTTTTAATGTTTTGTATCAAATTTTATCTGCCGATTCTTATGCAAGGGTTGTCTAATAAGTTTATCAGTATAATAATTGTAGGTTTTTTTATTTATATTTATTTCTGATTATTTATCTTCGTTATCTTTTGCTAAGTTATTAGAATTGATGATTTTATTCTTAGAATTGATAAGATAATAGATAATAGTCTAAAATATTCATACAGCATTGTATCCCTAAAAATATTTTGCCGAACTGTGCGTTCCATTTAGGTAAGCAGACCTTTTTATGCATTTTGATAACCAGTATTTTTCTGTTTCAAAACTATGCTACAAAGAGTAATCAATAACCAATCGATTTTTAACAAAATTTAAAGATTCTACTTATAAACTAAAGGAATAGTTAATATTTTACGACGCTTTTATTTAAATACTAGAGGTATGTAGTCCCCTATTCCATATCGATTGCCAACTCATAGAACGGTTTTCATTATTTTTATTTTTTTATCTGTGCTTGTGCAGCTTGCTCATCAAATATTAGAATTTAGTGGTTTAGTCTAGAAAGTTTTATTCAAAGCAAAAGTTTTTATTTTATTTTCGTTTGCAAAATTTAAAAATGTGGTTCTTTGACAAATGCATTTTAGTCTGAGATTCAGTCTGCAATATCATGCCATAAATTTATTGCCGACCACTAGATGTTAGTCGCTCCATGCAGCAGACTTTTCATGATATTTCTGACTCATCTTCTGATGCTTCATGATGAAATGTTAGAACTTTTGGAGCTTTTAAGCCGTAATATCATTTGAATTTTGCTGTAACCTAATATGGTCATAAAAGTGATTTCTATTGTGTTTACAGTGCCCAAAAAAAGAAGAAAAAACGGACTACCCTAAAAAATTTATGATCTCTTGAAACAGACCACTCTAAAAAATTTATGATCTCATGACTGGATCTTCACGTTCGAGGACTCAATCTTAATGGTTCGAGCAAAGAACTTATACGCTTCGCGTGAAGAAGGGAAACTTCCTATACTATCAATGCTGACTCAAATATGCTGATTAATTAGTGCAGACGATATTTTAAGTTGCGAAATCAGACACAAAAACCTCTGAATAAATTCCTCTGAATAAATATAACTTTTTTTATGATGGATTCGGATTTTTGACCCCCAAAATATGAGGGGTACTCGTATTCTGGGAAATATCGTTCCAATACATAGGTCAGGAGAGCGAAACTAACTACCGTTTCAGACTTTAAATAATTTCAAGATAATTAGTCGTATTTCGTTGGCTACCTATACGCTCATAGTTTTTAAATAAATTGGGTTTAAACATTTAGGGTTCCACCAAAAAAAAGGTAGATCAAATTTGGTTCCATGATAAAAAATAAAAAAAATTCTCGATCATTCATGCACTCATTTCTTCATTTCAGTTATTTATATTAAAATTTTAAGTAATTTATTTATAATGTTAGATATTGAGCTGCGGATTCTTTTATAGGTTTCAAACTAGAAGTTATACAAATAATGGTGAAAGGGAAATCTTCTTACAAACTAGTACGAGACTTCATAGTACCCAGTTTAGAAAAACAGACTTATGGGACCTATTTAACATGGGAAAACAAAGTTGTTGGATCTTTTAAAATATCTAGAATTCATCAGAATAATGAGCATTTTAGTCAAGATTGCATCAAAGTATACAAGGTAAAGTTTTTATTTAGACAACTAATAATTAAGTTGTGAATTTAGTTGAACACACTCATACTCAGTATACACTCAGTTGTACACTCTATTTCTTAACAGCCAGGGTAGGAATGACTCGTAATTTTGACCCCAGTTCGACGACGAGGACATTGCCTGAGCTCGTACCCCTCTCTCCAAACCACAACGAGAAGGCTTTCAACCACGACAGATTTAACGTGTGCCTTGATCTGTGCATATATATGCTGTTTGTTTAATCGGCTGCTAGGATCGAACTCACTAACTGCCGGCTCTTCATCAGCGGTGTAAGCAGCGCCTAAACAGACAGCGTTTTTGTCCTCCTATGTAATTAAAGAATTAAATTAAAATATAACGAGTAATTTTGAAACGTTGCATTAAATAATTAATTAATTATCAGGTTCCTGGTAGTACTGGTACTTAATTTACGCCGCAGTAGAGGTTAGCAATGGCGACGGTTTGGGAAACATCCCTTACGATGAGCTGAAGAATATAAAAATATAAACTCGCACTCTTCTTAATTTTTGTTAATAATTTCGAAGAAACGAATAACTATAACTTTTTTTGCGTTTTAGTTTAAAATATGATAGCAATTAAGATAATTGTATGTTTCTGCAGAATTAAACAGAGTCTGGAAACTAAATAAGTCAGTTGTCTAGACATAAGTTAGTTGTCAGTCAGTCTAGACATGCGCAATGGACTATTGGCGACGGTCTTTGAAACATCCCTGAGGATGATTCAATTTATATCCTCTGCATAGGAGATGGTTCCCCTATTTTGGTAACCTGCACCTGTAGTCAAGAACTATACGGTAGATCAGTTTAACGAGGATCGATACCGAGCACCATTGGCTCCTTCGCACAACGGATATAGAAAGGTGAAGTCCAGCCTGTCGAATGCGTAACTAACGCGGGGAAGTGCAGTGATACTTGACGAATAAGGCTCTGCTAGCCTGCTTTATTTCACTCAAGAACTGATTTACCCCCTTTGTAGGATTATCTTTATCTAACTGAAACTATATTACTTTTTTTAAAAGAACTATTTTTGACAAAATAGGATTGGTCATTGAGGAGAAATTTATGGTTTCCAAAAGATCCCAAGAAAATCACAAAAGCCAAACACAGATTGGTGACGGCACTACGACGAAGTCCTGAAATAGAAGTGTTGGCTAAAGAATCATCGTATTACAGATTTCGCTTCAGAGGTTCCAATTCTACGAGTAAGTACTCGTGGTTTAGTTCAAGAGATACCGATCTAAGTGTCTGACAAAAAAAAAAGACAAAAAAAAATAAAAAAAAGGATCTAAATTTTTAGAAAAAAAAAATTAAAATAAATTTCAAAGCTAATTTTTAAAAGTATTTAAGAGAACAAATATTGCTATGATATGCAAAGATTCTTGTAGTAGAATTTTTTATAAACTAAAATTTAAGTTAAATTTATTTCATTTTGATATTGGATATTCTTGCTTTAAATCATAATTATGCTTTCATATAAGGTGTATTTTTTTTAAAAAAAAGACATTTACGCAATTCTTTTTCCATGGTCAATATATTTTATACTCGTTTCGAGATTTTATGTATTAAAAAATAAATTTGATTTAAAGTATAAAAAGAGTATGAAGTTTAAATTATAAAATAACAAATACAATTTTTAACTTTGTTTTTTGTTATTTTCTTTAATTATTTTATATATTCTTCTAATAAACAATTGATTTGCTGAAAAAGCTGAAGTTCTCAAAAACCATCCGCAATAACTCAAATTTGAAAGATTAGAAATAAGTGAAACTCTTTAAAAATTAAATATAATGAGCATTTATAGGCTTTTTATTTTTACAAAATGACACAGGATTTTAATATTCAGTGAGCAAAAGAAGAAAAAAAAGGACCACCCTAATTAACTTTTGATCTAGTGATTGGATCTTCACATTCTAGGACTCATTTTTTATGGTTCGAAGGGGTGACCTCAAATATGCTAATTAATTAGTGTAGACGATATTTTAAGTTGCAAAATCAGACACAAAAACGTACTTGCTCTGAATAAACATACTTTTTTTTTGACGCATTCGGAGTTTTGACCCCAAAAATATAGAGGGTAGCCGGTCCCCATAGTATGATCAGGAGAGTGATCCAAAGTTTGGATCTCTTAATGGTAGTTTCACTTTTTGCATATTTCGCCATATCTCGAGAAAGTTTAAAGCTAAATGAAAATTTTTTGCACAAAATTATAAAATTCGTTTATCCAAGTATAATTCCTTGCAAAAAATAAATTTTAGTAAAGATTTATTATTTTATAAAATAATAGCAAAAAAAAATGAATTGTAAGGTATATAATTTTTTTTATCTCATTTTAACGAATGTAATTTTATTTAGCAAAATACAAAGTTTGTGCAAAATCGGTCGAGTGGCTTCTAAGAAACTGAATTTCAAAGAAGTCAGATACCTAAAATTCGATTTCTCAGGAATTATTCGACCGATTTTGCTCAAATTTTGTACTTTACTATATAAAATTACATTCTTTAAAATGATGCAAAAATTGTATACCTTACTATTCAAAATTTTTTCGATTATTACTAAATAAAATAATAAATATTTACTAAATTTTTTTCTTCATGGATTTATCTTTATTTAAATGAATTTTATAATTGTGTGCAATTCGTTTAAAATGTTCATTTCGTTAAAATGTTTCCAATTCTTTTAAAAAGTTCTCCAATTATAACGAAAAACTCAAACTTTGTAACACTCTTCTGACCAAACTAATGGGACCATATTTCCCAGATTGCGGCTACCCCCTATATTTTAGGGTTCAGAAATCCGTCGAAAAAAAAGTTATGTTTATTCAGACAAAATACGTTTTTGTGGCTATTTTTGGGACACAAGGTAGTTACATTATTATTTTTTCTCTTTGCACAGGTAAAGAGCTTTCTACGAGTACTTCAGAAAGTCATGATGGAACCGTGTTCGAAGATAAAGGAGAAAACGAAAACATCGTTCTTCGCATTGATATCAATAGTGATTCTCTCTACTGTCCACACAAAGAAGATACTAAACGCTCCAACAGACACGAAACAAATTACAGCACATTGTCTGAAGAATTTTTTAGACCTTCCGTTATTTTCAAAAAAATAGAAGAGTCAGAAATCGGAGCAATTCAAGACATTCAGGTACTGCCTTTGGTAGATAATCTTAATTCATCTGAAGACAACAATGGAAGTGTGCTGAACAATAAATGTGGCTGTGTTGCACTACTCGATAGTAACTTTTTGTACAATAAGCGGTGCATTTGGCATGGTGCCTTTCCGTGACTCAAAAAGCCCAGTGGAAAAGCGGTACTGAGTGATATTTTTGTGGATTTATGAACATCAACTATATAAAATATAAGATATACATGAAGCTCTCTGCGAAACACATATTCTCGATAAAAACGTCCTACTTAAAGATCAGGACCGAAAAAAGTTTGGGTCAAAACATTTAGCTGATTTTGTTCCTGCAATTTTGCGCTTTTTTAGAATGTCGCATGGTACCTTTTTCCACTTCTTCAATGTGAAATCGTTTGATATTTCCATATCGTGTGACTTAATTTTTGTTCTCATTACTTGATCATTAGCAGAGATAATAAGAAAAATTAATGTAATTTTTTTTAAACTGTGATCTCTCGTTTTTTAATCTTACATGTGTACATATCTCATCTCTAGTTATGTGTAAAAATAAATGAAATTAAAAAAAAAAGACATTTAACTTTCTATATGATATGGAAATTATGGACTTTTATAGTTTCGAAAAGAAGGAAACTTTATTTTTGATATATTATCATTTTTTAACGATTACAAAGGATATGGAAAAACTTAATTTTAAAAGAAGATAGCAATTTTTATAAGATTTTTATAGCCACTTGGGAGTGAATGAATTAAAGTAAGTGTCATAAAGTCATAGAGTTCAAATATAAAATATTTTAAATCAAGAAGAAAGTCGTTTTAAAACGAAAGAATTAATTTTAAAATAAATATGAAAAAGAAGACAATTATTTATTCTGATTTATAGAAAATTACGATGAGTGATTTTTTTGTACTAACTATAAATTTTTTAAAAAATAAAAATAAGCATTTCTAGAGAAATAAAAAATTTTAAAACTTTATTTAATAAATTCTTATTTAGAAAATTAAATTCGATAATATTTAGGTCTCATGAAATATAATTATTTAATTTTGCCCTTAATTCACAACTTCCAAGGATTTCTTCAAAATTTGAGGGAATATTAATAGGCATTTTAAGATATGGCTGAATATTTATATGCTTGGCCGGGTATAATAAGGGTAAAAAATGCATGCTTCACGCTTTCATATTTAAGGTGAGCACTACATTGATAAATATAAACTTTAAAAGGCGAAAAATAACCAAAGGGGGGGAAATGTCGAATAAACAAAACCCTTATAACTAAAAAAAAAAAGTCGAAATTGAAATTACGACCTAAAACTTTTAAGACATTTTTCACTCCATTCTTTAATTTAATTCAAACATTTAACTAGAATATTGGCAGTTTAGATTGAATTAAGAACATTCATAGTTTATTATACCTTTTTATTTCTCCAAGTATCAATGATTGTATGGTAATGAGTTTCTCTCATAAAAGCTTTAACTTTTAAAAAGTTTAATATAAATAAATAATTTTTTACGGCGATATTTATTATGTTAAAAGGGAAGGGTTTTATTTCGTCCCTAAGATCTGCAGGGTTATTCCTCCTGCAATTATTGCTAATATTTATGCCCTGTTTTGTTTCGATTCAACTGCTGAATTCAAAATATTTGTTAACTAATATTTTAAATTAGTAAGTATACCGGCAAAAATGACTAGTTAAAAAAAGTAACTATAAATTTGTAGAATAAAATAATGTTTCATTATTAGGCATTAATGTATTTAATACAATTTAGATAAATAATTTTTTATTTTCTTTAAATAAAAATATTTCACTTACCATACGAGAAATGCAATTTTTTATAAAATATACGAAGAGCAAATTTTTAAAGGGACTTTTTTTTCCTTTACGAGCTTTAAAATTCAAATTTTAAGTGAAACAAACGATCTTGTTTTGAAAAACCAAACTTATGGACGAGTACAATCCAGAAAATGGGTGCATTACCGAAGTCTTAATTAGTAATTAACGATCTCTTTTACCCTTTTAAAAAAAATAGACCAATATTCATTTCACCTACTTTTTTAAACAACCGTTGCCAGCATTCACGAATTAGTTCATGAAACAAAAATACCTGGAAAGTTTCTTGAACTTGAAGCACACGATTATTAAGTCAATAATTTATTAATCTCTCTCTCTTTTCATATGTGACCTTTTGTCGTTGATGAATCTAAACTAAGTATTGAAGCCAAATAAGTAAAAAATAAGAAGAAGGAGAAGATTTTAATAGAAAAAAAAATGTGATAGTGAATATCATTTTTGTTCAGCTATTTTACAAAAAATTAGTCTGTAATCTAATCAATTCAGGAAAAATGTGCAAAATATTGAGGGGGCGCGTGCCCATCCTTGCCCCCACCCCTCTCCTGACGTTACGTCTAAAGATTTAACACTTATATTGAATTGTCAAAGTTTTAAAATTTTTTATTTTACAATCCGAGTTCCTGATAGTCAAAATTCATCCCGATCATAATTGTAATTCTCGTAAATTGTTATCAATGGCAATAATATTTTTAAAGTTATAAATAACGAACTAACATTACAGTACGACAAAATAAATTTTTTTCTTTTTTGAACTTAGTATTATACCTGAGGATTTTGAAATTTTTTTTTACTACAATCGCTTCATTAAATCAATCGAGTCTTTCGTTTCCAGACTTTTTTTAGGATTTTATCTATTGTTAACAAAGTCAGTTGTTAGGGCTCTGATAAGACTAATCAACGTTGGTAGAACCGAAAAAACGCTAACAGCTGATTAAATCCTCGGTTATCTTTAATGATGAGGACTCTAATGCTTATAATAAACCGTCTCAACGGCAAATAAAAAGTAAACGGGAAAAGAAAAGAAAAAGCACTGAAAAAATAGCCCGATGAAAAAAGCACCAGAAAAACATCGCAATATAAAATTGAGCCTAAATTAAGTAAACATTATGATTCAAATAAAATTATATCTTAATTAAATATTGATGAATTAATTAGAATTTTTTTAAAATTAGTTAAGATACAAGGATTAGTTTACGGAAAGGAATCATACTTTCGTATTTCATGCTTTTTTATACTTCTATTTCATATTCTTATATGAGCGATAAAAATTTTCTAATAACAATAATTATACTTATCGTATTGTGATGTGATAATCTTATAAAAATAATATTTTTTAATCAAGGGATTGATAAAAAATTGCATATTAAAATGAAATATTTTATCTTCATCATTTTTTTAAAAATTATTTTTAACTTGTCATAACATTAAAGCCCTGAAAGAGTAGTGCTAATTGATACATAATATAATATAATATAATATAATATAATATAATATAATATAATATGATATGATATGATATAATATAAAATAATATAATATAATATAATAATTAAAAATATAATTGTATATAAATTAATTTTTTTTAAAAATATCTAGTTACATATGAATAAATGTTTAATTACATTAAATTTATTTTCAACGACCTGAATCAAATTGATAATGATATTTAGAATCGAATTGATTGGGAATTGAATATTGATACAATTTTGAAGGAAAACAACACATCATAATCACTGCTTTGTGTGTCAGCTTTGCTTCGACTTCAGCAAATAATGTCTTAAAATATTTCTATCAGTGACTTTAATTGAAATAGGTGAGATACAGTAAAGTAATTGTTGTTTAAATAAACATTTTATGTTTTTGTTAGCCTGGCTGGTAGGGCGTTGGGTCCATGTCTGAGAGTGCGATCCATGCCAGCCGAAGACTGTACAAAATGGTGACTGAGGCACGCTAAATCTGTTCGGGTCACAAAGTCCTCCAAGTTTCCGTAACAAATCGATAGCTCTGGGGGTACTAGATTTGAGATGAATTGTGCTCTGGTTCAGGTCAAAATTACGATCTGCGGATGGATGGTGTGTGAATGTGTCCTTCCTGTTAAACGGGATATGGCGTAACGTATTGTCTTCGGATCATCCCCAGGGATATTTCCCAGACCGTCGTGCCACCCCATTGTGCAACTCTAGTGCGACGTAAATAAAAGTAAAGAATGTTTTTGTTGTCTATGGGAATAGAGGGGGAAGGAGATCCTAAAATGTTGCTGGGTATGTCCCTATCAGCCCTGAGGGGGCTGTACAGCAGTGCTGCTGTTCAACAACGAACATCACTTTGATGGAAGTTAATCCACTTAGTTATGTATTGGAAGTTGTTCTAGTTTATATGATGAAGGTAAATACATTGCGTTCTTGTGAAGATTTTGGCTGAAGTAGAAATGATTTTTGGTACTTAACGCTTCTTACGACAAGGGGATTTATTCCAAAGAATTGAACAAAATTATTTTTTTTAAAAAAAAGAATTGTTGCTTTATTTTTTAGAAACATTATAAGATACTTTATGCCCATTAAGATATCAAAAACATAAAATAAAAAAAATTGCTGCCTTAAAGTGATGTAGAGATGCATTATTCTAACATGAAGATTTTCGTCAAAAATTAATTAACGGTCGGACAGAGGGATGAAACCCCTAGTCCTAAAGCCAAGAATTCTAAATTAAAAGTAATTAAATTGTTCTTAACGGATGGTTAGGAGCATGAGAAGATATCCATACGATAAATACGATTTATTGAAAGATAAAATAGCCCAAACAAAGCCAACCCCAAGTAATTAATTTCAAAATTTGAAATAATTCGGCTATAGCTTAATCACCAAAAAGACAGTGAGAATTAACCCTGTAAATGAAATGTTTTTGTGGTAAAAGAAATAAAGAAACTTAAGGAATAAGGAGTTAAAAAAAAAAGATTTTGATGTTCGATTTAGTCGCGACAGGGAATTAATGAGTTTTATATTTGTCTTGAATTAAAAAGTTAGTCGTTATATTGATTGTAAAGAAGATAATGAAATATTTATATTATTTTTATAAAATACAATAAAAATTAAATTAATGGTTTAATTTAATTAAAATAGGATTAAAAAATTCAATTTAAGAAATTAAAGACATTTTAAAGGCTAGGAAATACATAATGCCTATTATGGCATCACAATAACTGTTTCGTTTGCAATGTAAACATTAGTCTCAATTTATGTGTCAGGAAAGAGGCTCAAGTGGTTTTATTACGTAACTTTTCTTTTCCTTGCATGAGGAAGAAAATCTCACTCCTTGTTAGTATTGAAAGCAAATTCCTTGGATGATGAAAGAGAGTGCGGCAAATAATTACGTTTTGGCTGTGATTTCGGTAACCAAGTTTCTTAATTACGTCACAAAATGAAAAAAATAATTATATAAACATATCTCATCTATTAATTTGTAAAAGATAAAGTCAAATGCTATTTAACTAGATGTAAAAAACTATAATTTTCATTCTGCAATATATACAATATGGGGAGCAGAATTCTGCTCCCCATATTGTATTTAGAGAGGAAGATTGGGAGAATGCACAACGTGCAATTACTTTAGACTAAGGTGATCAGATTTATAAACCATGATTTGAGGGCAAATCAGTGAAGTGTTCTCGAAAAATTTTACAATTTGAGGACACCATATATATTTATGGAAAACATTAATTTATATGTACAACAAAGATTTTTTTTAAAGTTAAAAACTGACACTTTCAGAACCATTTTTAGCAAAATTGATTTCATTACTAAGCTGTAATCTGTATTGGAACACAAGTAAAATGAATGAGTACATGATTATTAATGAATGAGTACATTATTATTATTCGACGGCGATCGAAAGTGCGACAGCATTCAGTGAGAATGGTTCTTTGATTAAACACTAACAACGATTGATTTGAAAGCAGCAAAAATAGCCATTAATATCTCTAGTGCGACGTTGCGCTCCTGCGTCCCAATAAATACAATTTAGTGGGAATAGACCATAAACATCCTCAAACAGTCTGCGATCTAGTTTAGTCTTCTTAAGTCTCATCAATATGTCTCATATAAACTCAAATTTGGCAACACGGTCAAATTGGATATGGGAAAAAATGGCGTCTACGCCAGAGCAAGTCGTTTGTACGCCAACATTTGTGTTTCCTACAGGATTTCCTGGTAATTAAAAATTATTTTTTTACTATTTAAAACAAAAACTAATCGATAATACACTCATAAATTATATACGTTGCTTTGGTTTATTTGAATGTGATATCAGAGTCACATTATGAATGTTCTTTGTTTGTGGACTTGGATCCCCCCCTGCGGGGGGACTCTAAAACATAGCGGGAAGGGATGCTGAATTATTATTATCATTGTTTAAAGAGATCAAACTTGCTATAGATTTAAAATAATTGCTAGTAACCTTGAAGTACTGATATCATTATTTAAATTAGTGTTAAAATTGCTTAGAAGTTATTACCTTTTGTTTATTGATTATTTTTATATTTCTTTGTTTACAGTAAACTTATACAAAAGCAGCGAAGATTATTTTTGCTTTAGCTACAGTTTCTTATGCTTATTTAGTTTTTTTGTTAGTACAGATTATTTTTAGTTTAGTATTTTTTGTTCCAATCATTTTTATACCTATGCAAACTATTTTTCCCCTTCCAGTTAATGGTTTTCAGCTGTGGAAGGAAGAAACAAAAGGAGGTATGCTTCAATTTTTATTGATTAAATAATTTTGAAAATAAAATATACATAATTTTTTTATAAAACCCTCAAATTCAGTGGTTAATTTATAATTAATTGTCTCTGTATCATTTTGTTCCCCAGGTTAATAAAAAATATAATTATCTGAAACTATTTTTTTTGTATTTAATTTATTATTGTTTGAAAGCATAATTTTTTATGACTTTGTTTTCAATGTATTTCAATTAAGATCCATATTTATTGATAAATTGGTCTTCATTTCCATCTTATTCAGTTAAACTGAGATCTTAAGAATTTTTCCTTTTAAAAAATTTCCTCTTATGAAACAGTTCTGCATATTCTGCTGTGCGAAAGGAAAATCAACATAAGCGAGAAAAAAAAAAAAGATTTTTTCATGAAAATCTTTAATTTTAATATTTTTTTAGCCTGTTTAATATTACATATATTTATGTTTTATGTATTAACCATTTGTTTAAGCATTTATTTTACAATATATATGATGCAGTTATGTATTTCTAATACAAAATATTTGATTTATAACTTCAAAAGCAAACAATTCATAATTATTACTCCTTTAAAAATTATTAAGTTAAACTTAAATCTACAAGCTTTTAGCTTGAAAATGTACTTTGAAGGTGACATTTTTGTTATTTATTCTTTGAAGTGGCACTTGAATGCATGTTTCTCTCCATTTTTGTAATAATCATTGTATGTAATATTATGTTAAACAATTGGTTATAAAACTTTTCTAAGGATTCCTTTCTTTTTTTTGCAGATGTTTTGACATTTTGCAATACTTCAAACCCTTGGGCTGATTATGGCATGAGAGGTAAATTTATTTAAAATGTTTATTCCTCAACTCTTTCTTAATTTTTTGTCATAACATTTTTACTACAGTGGATCGGCTAACATATCCACATTCAGTGCCAGATTAAGAGGAAAACTAATGCAGGGTTGGTAAGTTTTAAGTTTTTTGACAATTGATGCTGGGTTTCTAAGGAACTTGAAAAACATTGAAAGTGCTTGAATTTAGTTGAAAAAAATCAGGGCCCTGAAAAATCCTTGAATTCTGCCATAGGGTACTAGAAAAGTACTTGATCATTTAGGATTTAAAATAATACTAATCTTTCTTACAAAAAAGCAGTAAAAAAATAATAAATAAAATTCAAAGGAAGATTATAGAAATTCTGATAGATGCAATTTTTAATGCTTGAAGTTAAAAGGGGTTAAAGAAGATGTATACTTTTTCTCTCCTAAATTTTTCACACCAGATTATTGTTCATATCTCTGGTGTTTTGAAAGCTGAAATTTCTAGCAAATTTTAGGTTTTGTAGTCATAGTTTTCGAATGATATATAGTGTTTAGTCGATTTAGAAATCTGTTCAATGTGTTAACTTCATAATTACAACAGGTTAATATTGTTATCCTATTGATAACTACTTTAGTTTTTTTACTTAATCTAAAAAATCTGCTTAAATTATGACAAAAAAAATTAAAAGCAATATTTAGATTGGTAATAATTTATAACTCATTGGTAATAAATAATAATTCATAGGTATTACCTGTAATATAAACTGAATAATTCTGATATAGCAAATAATACTGATCTTAAAGTATTAAGAATGCCATGTTTTTAAAAAAATCAATTAATAGTTTCTACAATTTTAGCTATATTTTTTATACATTATATATAATATAGATCATTATTATAGTTGTATGTAATGCAAGTATTTTGTAAGATATATAATAGAGTGTCCCCATATAGACTGTCCCAAGTGACAATGACAAAAAATAAACTTGTCCCAGGTATTTGACAGTTTTTGTCAGATTTCAACATTTAATAACAGGTTTTTGATGTTAAAATCTCAACCCTGGATTAATGAGGCTGTAGCCCCAGACACATATATTTTAGAAACCTCTAAAGTAAAATTGATTTCTGTAATTTTCTAAGCAAATTATAATATTTTTAAGCATAATGTCTTACAATTTTTCATTAGAATCTTTAAAAGTTTTATGTATTTTTAAATGTAAAACTCAGGAAATAGATAAATTATATGTGGTCATTTTTTTCTGCCCCATACTTAACTCCCTATTTTTTCTTTTGCTTTAAATTGTAAGTTCATAGTTCTTTAACTAGTTTTCTGTAACCCTCTACAAAACATATAATAACCCATTGGAAAAAATTTAACTATTTTTGTAAAAAAATGAAATATTTCAAAAGAAATTTCTAATGAAACTGAATTTCATAAAGTTTCAATAATTTTGAATATAGCTAAGTTTAGGATAATTTGGTACAGGTAGGACTACAAACTACACATTAACATCCAGATTCCATCATACTTTAACCCAATCTTGTCCACATTATTTTGTTCCTTAAAACTAATTAAAAACTCATGTTTTATTAACTCAAGATTTCAACTTTATTTTAACATTAAGTTCTTCATTCTGTAATTAATGGATAAATCTATACCTAATTAAGTAAATTTTCATATTTTGATTTCATTTACAGAGTTTAAAAAATGTAGAATTTTTATGAAATCAGCATGTTATTTTAAAAGTACCTTAAGTTGCTTTGCAATTTTTATTGGTAAATATCTTTGAAACTAATTGTGAAGTTCAAAATATTCTTGTATTCTTTTATTTATTTCATTTATACCCAAATATATTTTCATGAAAAAATTATTTTTTATTTTATTTAATGATAGAAAAATTTTAATAAATTAATCCGTTGCCATTTCTTTTATCTACTGAAAAAATTTTGCATCTTTTTACTACCATTTTTAAATGCAAAATATAAAATTTGTATGAATAGTTCTGAAATTAGCTTCAACTTTTTGAGTGAAGAGCTACTTGCACAGTAGGTTGACTAATAAAGGGACACATGCATATTTATACATATTGATGGCAAATATGGTAATTTTTATGTAAACATTAGTGTTCTAAGTTCTAAATTTTTGATCAGTATCAGTAGATATTTGCAGAAAATTAAGTACTTTTAATTATTAAAATTCATTCAAAAATTAAAAAATTCATACTTTTTTTTAAAACCACAACACTTCATCATTCAATTAAAAAAAAGTTTTTTTTTTTAGTTTCAAAATTGCTAGTATTGTGTCAAATTACAGATTTTAATAGAGTTTTATGCCGAAAGCAAGTTATCTATTTGTCATTTTTATGTAAAAACTTTGAAAATGTATATGCAATTTGTTGATTTTATGTATTGATATGAACATTCAATAATGGGAAAAAAGAATTCTATTGGTGCATTTTTTTTAAAAAATGCTTTGGAAAGTTTGGCTATGTATCCTGTTATAAATATTTAGTCAAGAAACCAGTAATTGAACTTTGGGTAGACTGTGAATCCTTTGAACCATTACTTCTGAATTTCCTGGTCCCTTTTTATAAGAAGCAGGCTCTTATTTAAAATATAAATTGTCTATCTTTTTATACATGTATTAATATCCGTTTTGCAGTTCATTAAAGACTTCTTTCTCTTATTGTAAAAATTTCATAAAATATTCAAATATTTTTTCTCTCTTTAAGGGAAAAAAAATTTGGGGAAAGGAATAATTCTTTTTATGAATTTAAAACTATTGAATTCTTTCAACATTTAACTAGCTAGTATTGAACAATGGCTTTAATAATTTTGAGTTACTAGCTTTAGTTTTTAGAGGACAACCAGAAAAAAGATTTATAGATGGAAGAATGTTCTAACTAACATTTAACTTAAATGAGAAACTGCAGCTTTTAAAAATTATCAATAAGTTTGCACATCTTTTCAAAAAAAAAAACTCCCATTTTTAAATGCTTGACAAAAAGTTTTAACAGATGACTGAATACAATATGTTTTTAAATTCAGCATCTCATGTTTTTTCAAGATGTCATTTAGAAACTTTCCACTAAGCTCTTTAGTTTGTAAATAATTTATCAGTAAAATCTAATTTTTTTCTTATAAACATATTTGAAGTTATTATATCAACTTTGAGAGCTGTGTCAATTTGTTTGTATTGATGCAAGGTTTTCATTTTTTATGTTAAGGTTTTGATCATCGTTCTCCATTCAATATTCATGTTGCTGCTCAATCTCAGCCTCTTCATCATCCTGAAGATTCCTCGAAAGTTAAAGGAGCTAATAGAGGAGGAATAAAAAACCACATTAATCAGAATGATTTTACAGCTACTAGAAATTTGCTTGTTGCTGCAGCCTCCGCTCCACCAGCTTTTCCTGGTATTGAAGCTAGTTTGAAAATGCCAAATCCTAGTTTGGATAAGCAGCCACCTCAGCAGCAGCAACAACCCCAAACTCATCACCAACAACAGCAGGTCCAACAGCAGCAAACTCAACAGCAACAACAACAGCAGCAGCAACAACAACAGCAGCAGCAACAACAACAACAGCAACAACAATCCCAAAATCAGCAGCAACCTCACCCTCAACATCATCAACCGCATGAGGAAAATCCTCTTGGGGAGAAGGAACGTCAATGGCCTTGTCCGTCTTGTAAAGTTCCTTTCAAGCAAGCCTCTGAATTGCAAGCCCATTTGTCTGCTCACACGAAGACTGAAAAAACAGTTCCCTGTGACATTTGCGGAAAGTATTTTGCCTCTGGTGATCGTGTTAGGATTCATGTGAAAGCAGCTCATGGTGAAAAGTCTTGTTCCTGTGAAATTTGTGGCAGTGGATTTAGTTATCGTTGTAAACTCCTAGATCATATGAGAACCCACACTGGAGATAAACCTTTTCATTGTGAAGTTTGTGGCAAAAGCTTCTCCCAAAAGAACCACCTAACCCGTCATTCCATGATACATACAGGCGAACGTCCATTTCCGTGTGATTTTTGTGGTAGAGGATTTTACAGAAAGGATAAGTTAACTAGGCACAGAAGAATTCATACAGGTGAGCATCTTACGCTATTTTTTAGGTTAGAAATTCTTTATAGGCTGACCCTGACCAATAAAAGTTCAAAAAAACCCTTTCTTAAAAATGTAGTTAAGTATTCCCTATTTATACTGTCTGGTAATTATAGATTTCTAATATGCCAGAAATGATCAAAAATTAAATAAAATCCCTTAATTGACAAGAAATTCCTTATAGAACTGTTTAGCTTTAATGCAGAGCTGCAAAATGTCCAGCTATTCCTGGATTTATTCCGTTTCTTTTTATCGACTCTTAGATCACTTGAGAAACCACATGATAGCCAAACCTTTCCATTGTGAGGTTTGTGGCAAGAGCTTCTCTCAAAGAAATCACCTTACCCGTCATTCCATGATACATACAGGTGAACGTCCATTTCCATGCGAATTTTGTGGCAAGGGCTTCAATAGGAAAGATAAATTAACGAAACATAGGAGAATTCATACAGGTAAGCATTTATATGCCAGTATAAATGTCATTTGCAGGCGGGATTTTTTTGGCTTTTAACAAAACAATATTTTTAAGCTTATCCCCACTAACATTAAATTCCCTTTCATTTCATCAATTTTTATAATAAAATTATATCTTTGATTTAACTTTTATTTTATAGACAAAACTTAAGTTTTAAATTTTGACTGTTTATTTTTGCGCTGCTTTTTTATACTGCTTAACATTTTCAAATTTGATTAGCTTCTTAAAACTTGTCTAAAAGTCTTTCCCCTTTGCTTTTTGAGGTAATATTAATTTTCTCACTTGGTCGGCGAGTTTTATTTCTTGCTATATTTAAAAATTATCAACATTTTGCTCACATTTTCAATTTTAAACTATCTTTTTCTTTTTATGAAAAATATCTTTGCATTCTTGTTACTAACATTTAAGTCTTTTAAAAATAGTTAAATATTTCGTGTATCTGCAAATTTTATTGTAATTGGCTTTTTTGTGTATCTTAACATAAATAATTTTTTTTTTTTTGTCGTAAAGTAAGCTACTTTAGTTTATATAAAAATTCTTTTTCTATTTGTTTTAAGTCAGTAGAAGATTGAGTAGTTTTCTTTCTTTGAGAATCAAAAATTTTTGGAACGGATGTATTTTTTTTTTTTGTGTTAAGGTGTCAGGTTTAATTTTAGTAATTATATATTAAACAGTTATCTAATTTGTTAATAACTACAAATTTTAGGTAGTTTAGAAAGCCTCTACTTTGTTGCACATTTTTCTTTCTCATGTTTCTGCTGGTTTTATTAAATACTTTATAAATTTTTATAAAGTATTTGTTTAACTAGTCATTTGTATTTAAATTTTAAATTAGTTATTTTAACAAAGTAATGATTTTTTTTGTAAACTTTATTTGGTAGTTCGTGTATGTTCAGGGTCAGTTCTAGATAATTTTTAAGTTTCTTTTATTATTTTTATTTAAAATGTGTCTGAAATCTAAGTTATTAAAAATGAATTATATTTTTATATTAAGTGAAACATGGAATGTTAATTAGTTTAACTAATGTTAAGCTTTAGTTTTATGCTTAAAAATAAATTTGATGTTACATCTACTTAGATTTGTTTTTTGATTTAAACTTTATTCCTTGTAGGAGAAAGAGTGACTGGACAACCTAGGAGACGAGCTGCTGGCCAGTTTAATACTAAAAGTAAGCATTTTATTTGTTCAAAGATTGTAATTTCTAATTCTATTGTTGAGTAATGATGTTTATATAATTCTGTTGAAGGAAGAAAGAGTAAGTTTATGTTAATCTTTCAAATACAGAGTGTTAAGATTGTAGTCACTATTTAGACTTTTAAATGCAGTCTACATTCTTTAGCATGATCTCTCAATATTATGACCCACCCGTTATAATGACCAATACACGCTGTCCCATTTGCTATTCCAGGGCTGATTGTGCTCCGGAAAAAAAACCGAATTTCCCGAATTTTCGCTAACAGTGATCCGGAAGTTTCCTGAGATCGAAGTGCCAGACGTTTAAAAAAACCATTGATCACAGAAGTTTCCGGAAATCAAATTTTCAAAGGTGGAACTTAAAAACACAGTTTATTTTATTTGTTCATAAGGGAGAGCCAGAGAGATATTTTATAAGCTTATGTTCGTGATTAATATTCATTTTTTACCAGTAAATAGTTGTTATAATCATAAACTCAAAGAAAGACATATTTGTAAATTTTAATGACTTCTCCAGGTCATCATAGGTATGTGTAAATGGTATAGGTATACGTAAAATTTTAAATATATTTTAAGTAAACTAAGAAATATTTCGAAAAAGGAAAAAAACCCTGTTTAAATTTTTTTTCTAATTTTTCATTTGAAACTGTTCCTTTTCTTTTTTTTTTTTTGAGCTCAAGAAATTTTCCAGAATTTTGACTTGGGCTCACCTGCTATTCTATAATAAAACCCCTGCTATTCTATAGCCGCAGTGTTATTTTAACATGCTGTAGAATATCCCAAATCCTTCATTCCAATGTAGGGATCGAAATTTTGTTTAAATCCCGATCACACCGAAAACAAGTGCTAAATAATTTTGTACTTTCAAAACCAAAATTTTTCTCATTGACAGTGAGTGAAACAATGGATAGCTGAAGACTTGAAGAAGTGATTCAAATCACTTTTTCTTTAGATGTGACCACTCATTAATCTTGAAATCCCTGTAAATAAAGAAATAGTGACTAGGCCATCTATTTCAATTCTAGGTGGTCCTAGGCATAATATATGGTTANCTTATCGTTCCAAGTGGGTTTTTTCAAGGTGGGCCCACCCAATAAAACCCGGGCAGGTTTTTTCAAAGTGGGCCCACTTGGCGAACCCTGGATGTGACCACTCATTAATCTTGAAATCCCTGTAAATAAAGAAAGAGTGACTAGGCCATCTATTTCAATTCTAGGTGGTCCTAGGCATAATATATGGTTATTGATTGTGGAATAGTGATTAGTTTTCACCATTCAGATTTAAAAGTGTGCATTGCATCCTTGGGTGGAAATCAGTTTGTATTTATAACTTTTGTAAATTTATTTAAAAATGTTTTAATAAATCAATAATTTTTGTTTTGTTTGGAAACTGTATTCATGCTTTTTGTAAAGTGTTCTAATGGATGGCTTATGTTGATGAAACTTCTATCAACATTCTTCTTTTTTGTTTTCGCTTAGACCTCGATTCTATTTTTGCTTAGACTTAAATACTTTCTGAGCGTATGTTATTTAGCGGAAATGGCTATTTATTCTTAACAGGCTAAATGGCTATTATTCTTAGGGCAAAAATTAAAAATTTTGAAGGATGTGGTTTATGTTTTTGCCAAAATAAGTCCAGTGTTTGAGTAAATATTTGCTATAGTTTGATGTACTGCACTCAAAATGTGAGAAACTCACATTATAACATACATCCATTTTCATTTTTAACATAAAAGTTGTTTTGCTGTGTGTTGACTAAATTACCTCCTCCTCCTTCTAATTAAAACCATTCAACTAGTAATAGGGCGTAACGGCATAATGATTTTGAACTTATCTTTGGTTCGATATAGTAGTATCATTGAAGCAGTGTATATTTACCAAATTCAGCAACTACTTAAAATATAAATTTTCATCTCATCCCTAACATAACTCTTTATATGGGTTTGAGTTATCAAATTAATATGGAGATCAGTAACCTTTCTTATAACTTTTTAAGAACATGAAATACATTTTATGAAAAAATTTATGTACCACTATAATAATTTTGAGGGACCACTGGATGGCTTACGATTTCTATATGATTAGACATTATATGCACCTAAAATGTAAGTTTAGGTGATTATATTGCTGCAAGCAAGGCAATTAAAAATGTAAGCAGCTCTCTTAATTCTCAGCTTTATAATTACACGCTTCTATGTAGAATTTTATTTTTAAGTTTGAATAGTACTATTGGGCTCTGCCTCTCATTTGCTGATGCTCTCCATCTCCAGAAGATTCTTGTACAATCTTATACAGTTTGCAAGGCAAACCATGCTCGCTACCAAGTTAAACCCTTTTGAAATGTGTTCTAGCAAAAAATCTAAAGAATTCTAATAAATTATTAAAATCACTGAAATTAATTCCACTTAAGAATAACATTTTTTAATCAATAAGTTATTAAAATAAAATTTTTATTGTGAAATAAATGACATGCAATAAAAAACATGCAGAAACAAAACAATAATTATGCTTTGTTCAAAAATTTCTAAATGTGTAGAGTTATACTTGCATGCTTATGACAGCTCACAAGCTTGATATTTCAGTTGCCAATGCTAAAATAAATTATGACTTTCTTTATTGCTGTGTGAGAGAAATATATATGCATACAGATGCATTTTTATATTATCTTTTCTAGTTCTTCACATACAATTCACCAAACTATTGTGAAATATGAATTTATTTATATATATTTAAAATTTTTTATTTTAGTATCTCCTGGTGCCCCACGTCATGCTCGAGACATTGGTCATTTAGCAGCTACACCTGGTCAGAGTACAGCTTCACCTGCAAATGCACCTTTGATGTTATTAAAACCACCCAATAGTGTTGCTAACCCAAGTAATGCTGTGAAAATGGAACAACAACCACCACCAATGCCAGAATCTATTCCTAGCAGTACTTCAACTACTACTAATTTAACTTTTGCTCCACCCACCCTAACTCCTACTCTAACTCCATCGATTAGCCCAAGCCATTATAGAAATTCACCCTATAAAGCTGATTGGCAGACTCCACCATCTGGTGTTCATTAGTATGATTTGTAAAATAATTTCATTATTCTTATAATATTATAATACTTCCTTCATCTGTTACAAAAATGTGCCAGCTATTAGACTTTGTGATTTTGTTTTAGTATAATTGGTATTTTTTTAATTTGATATATTGAAAATTGTTGAAACTTTATTAAGGGTTTTTTCAAATATTACGTAAATATGGTTTGGCCACTTTTAGACACCTTTTCCCTCCTTATCAGCAAAGAAATACAAATAAAAATACCTTACTGCAAAAAAGTTGCAAGTCAAAGTCTCTTGCTTTGACTTTTACAATAGTAGTCCAATTTTATAAATTTTAGGATAAAATTCAACTTCATGATTCATTTTATTTTATGAAAAATATTTGTTTTATTTTGTGTTTTTGTACTGTGGTCAAAACTTATTTCTTTAATAGTACTTGGAAGACATTTTTTAAAATGTATTCTATTCTAAATTAGCCTTTTATTTGAAGTTTTTCTAAGTGTAATTATATTCAAAACTTTTTTGTTAAATTTTTTGCATTAAAAAAATAATAGAAATAAGATTATTTTATTGTCTTATGCTATTGTCAGCTAAAATAAGTTAACTATTCTTACTCCACCCTTTAGATGTTAACGTAATATTTGAAGAGCCCCTATTTGCTAATTAAGTTGATTTTATTTTGTTGATGATTTTAAAGGCTGCTAATCTAATTCTAGCAATGTAAATAAAATTGTATTACTACAAAATTTGAACTATATTAATTCTTTTGTATTTGCTCAATGTATAGTTAATGATTTTTGTAATGTTTTTCTCTGTTGCCCTGCCACCTCTCAGAATTTGGGTTGTATTTTTTAAGTTTCGATTAGCTTTAAATGCTAAGTGGAATTTATCTCTACTATAAATACATTCTTATTTTATTTGAAACTATCTATTATATTTTCTGTAGCATTGACAGTCACTGAATCACAGTGACTAAAAGATATTATTAGTTAATAATACATTATTCTGTTTTCATTGTTCCGTTTACATGTCTTTTAAATTTTTTTAAAAAACAATGCTAATAAGGTAGATTTAAATGAAAAATTACTATATAGAGAATATGTAATGTTCACAATTATAATATATGCTATTTTATAACTAAAACAGCTTTTCATTGAACGTTGGTCCAGGAGGCCACTGACCCAAGTCGAATTTTAGTGGTCCTGAATCACCATAAATTTCTGTTAATTTGAAAATATTATATATATATTCTAATCTTTTTAGCAGATTATCTCTTTATATAATCAATACATAAGTTTGCTTTTCTAACCTTTAAAATTGTATGAAAATGAAGGCTCAACAACACTGGTAATAAAATCAGACTTTCATTGATCAAAAAATAATATTCTCTACTATAAATAACTACTTAAATTCACCCTTTTCAAAAACTATAATGTTATAAATAATTAATTTATAGTAATAGGTATATACAATAATTTTTTTTAAATATTTATAGACAATTTTATTAAAGGAAGTGCTACATAGCATCTTTTCTGAAAATGAATGTCTTATCCAAGGTGAACAACCTGAAATGTTTTTAATTTGAGAAATTTTCATCTTTTATTTTTTTCCAGTGGTCGACTTATACTCACAACATGCCAGAAATGTGCAATCTTGTAATAAAAAATATGGGTAAAAACAGTACTAAAGATATTTCAAGGGTATGTTATACAGAATGTAATTAAGAAAATAATAAACAATATTGCATTATAAAATTACGTAATTTAAATTTGTAGAAATTTATCTAAGTTGATGTTATAAAAATTGTATTTTTTTTTGAGGTTGGCAGGTGTTTGTTTGTAAGTGAATTGTAATATTAAAAGTATTGCCTATGATAAAGTTTTGAATCAGCTCAAAATTGATAAACAATATCGATTCTATAGTCATTTGGTACTATAATTTAACAATTTAGGTATGTTGAACAAATATTTAATTATTCAACTTTTCTGGAAATATTTTTTTCTTTGACTTTACATTCAGAGCTAGCAGCTTTTTAATTTTAAAAATATGTGCATTAAGTATTTTACAAATACTGAACGATTTATTCACAATATTTTAATGCCTTAATATCATATGCAGCAATGAGGTCATGATAGTCTGAGTTAATTGGAGCTGATGCTAATTATGAATAAGGGAGTTTTTTTTATTTATCACAAAGTGAATAAGATGCTTAGGAACAATTATTATTAAATATGGTAATAAACTTTAATGTGAAAAACATGTTTTTGCTGAATTACAATCATGTATTAGAGAGTATTAATATGTGTATCATACATAAATTATAATTGCAATGATTAACTTGTTTTCTTTTACATAAGACATTCTTCATTTCAATTATGATACTCAGGACTTAAAGAATTATAACTTGGTTTCTGAATTAAAAGTTAATATTTCGGGATAGAAAAATTAAACATTATAGTTAAACTCAGATTATTGAGGCGTCTGTCATGTAAAATGAAAAATTAGGTATAATGTAGAAAAAATTAAGACTGTAATACAAGATTCTTTTTCTTGAATTTGAAAAATTCTTTAATTTAGGTTTTAATTAATATTTTTTATATTGAATCATTTTGTCTTTATATTCATGTTTTTCAGTCTAGTATAATGTGTTTTATTTAATTTTTGAAATAAGTAATTAAAATCATAAGATAAATAGCATGTATGTATTACCTACTTCTGGAATTTATAAATCTGTATAGAAGGAAATTGTATATAATGAATTTAAAAATCTTAAAATTTTGTTTTGTAATATTTTTGTACTTGTGATGTGATCTTAGCCTTATAAAGTACAAAGTATTTATCAGTTCATAGAATGCCCACTACTTAAAACTTTCAATCAATCTTCCTTCTCAATTTTTGTCATGACTAAACTGAGTTCAATTTGTATTTATCGTTATTGTAATCAAGTATTTGTTTAATAACCAAATGGCAAGACTTTAGGGCTATATCAGCACATTTTTATTGTTTTTAAAAATATAGCCACTGCCTTGCTACTTCTTGGCTGTATACTCTCACCATTTTTGTACATAAAAAACTTCATTAGCTTGTTATACTTTCTTGTAAACAACAGCAGTATTGCTTACAGTAATGATTTTGAATGTTCCCAACTTCATTTGTACTTTAGTTCTCTTCGAATTATGCCATAATTGCATTTTTATTTAATTTTTTCATACATAGTTCAGGTGCCAATGTTTTGTTCTTTATTGTATATATAAGCATTTACATTTGTTTGCTGTAAAGGGAAAAAAAAGGCAAGCTGAATTATAAAGCTCTGTATGTGTTAGTTGTACTTTTTTTTAATTATTTTTGTCTGGGTAGTTATGACGTGCCATTATATTACAAGGAGACATTTTTTAATGTAGCCTGATATTTTTGTAACAATTGTAGATCAGTATTCTTTATTCAAAGAAAAATGTCTCCTAATCGAAAATTATCACTCACGTAACGATATAGTGATACATTTTTACTATTTTGTTTTGCTCATTTTTTAGTATATACTACCAAGTTATGTGTATTCTATTGTTTTACTCTTTTATTGCTATTTTAGATTTCATAAATAAATTGATGACATACACAAGTTTCTTATTTTTAATTCAGCATTCATTTAAATAGAAGGAAAAAAATATATGATTAATAGACATTACATATTTAACCCTTATTTTCTGTGCTTAATAAATATATTCATTAAACCTTTTTCCCAGAAAATACTTTTAATTGAAATCAATATTCTTAGATGAATTCCAACCACATAATAAATATGCCAGTTGAAGTCAAAGTAATCCATAATGCATTTAACCCTTTTGTTACGAGCTCCATATTTAGCTAGTACCAGCTTGCTGGCATTTGATAACTAGTCTAATCTGTTTCAATCTGCTACTGGCTAAAATTCCATTTACATTGGATTAATATGTTTTGTAAATCAGAAAGATAACCGAACAAAATGAATTATTGTAGATGACGATAGTGTAGCTAATTTAGAAAAATACCATCAAACTTGGTGTCACATAAGAGGAATAAATATATAGATAAAAACAGATTGTTCTTACAATTTCAGTATATTCACATCAATTTTTTTTTTTAAAAAAAAAGTAGGATCCTATGGTTGGTACTACAGTGTATGACCTGCGTGTAACTCTTAACTACACTAGTACTAACTATTAGTAATTTTAATACTAACGTGTGTACTTGACTACAGTGTAACTTTTTAATACGATTATAGCAATTAGATATACAGCAAGCCTGTTTGTTGTTGTATCATAGATACACAGGGTGCGTAGCGTTTATTATGCTTATTTTCGATTTTTAAAAGCCCTTAAAGGTGCTTTTTTCATTGGGTGTTTTTAAAAAGTGCTTAATTTTCCCTTTTTCAAAATGAGATTTTTCCCTTACCATGTTGATTTTCGCTACGAATTATGCAAAAAGATACAGTTCACATTGTTCGATTCAACGTTTTCAAAATTCATTCAACCCCAATCTATTTCGGCCTATTGTCAGTCCGTAGTGTATGAAAACGCCGTTCGTTTTACATGATTCAAAATTTCATGATTTTTGGCAATTGTCAAAAACAATGCCAAAAGGTTTTTTTTTGACATGACGGATAAAACAAGATAATACTGTCAATTGTGAAAAACTTTCCAACCCTGCCTAATTATATTTTTTAAAAGTGCTTAAAAATATTTTTTGAGTGCTTGAAAAGTGCAAATTGAATAATTTGGCTATGCACCCTCGATACAGTTTAATTTTAATTGGCCATTAATAAAGAACCACTTAAATATCCATTCTAATATGACAATGAAGAAATTATTGGTCATTATTTCTTTGGATGTTCTTGTAAAATAAATGTGAAACAACTTGAATTTCTTTTGAAGGAAGCAAGAGAGTGACACTATCCCTTAGAATCTTATCCTAAATGATAGTGATTCAAAAAGTTGGTGAAAAATACAGATTATTTCACATTCATGATTAGAAGTAGGGATATAATGCATAGTGATTCGGTCAAATAGCATAATTCTTTAAAAAAATAATAATCAAATATTTCCTATAAATAGAAAAGTGGCTATGGGGATAAAGTGCTCTCCTCCCAATGAGTTGACTCATACTCAAATCCCAGTAATGGCTGGTCAATATGAATTCCCACACCTGGCTCACGCCAATCTCAGTGCTGACGTAAAATATCACCAATGGTAGACGGATCATGTGTTAAGAGCCCACTTGCTGTCAGGTTAACCAAGAGAGATTTTCGTGGTTTTCTTCTCCATGTAAAAGCAAATGCAGGTTAGTTTCATCAAAAAGTCCACCATGAAGGCTAATTTCTCCTAATACTTGATCAAGGAGTTGCCTTGTCTTTTGGATTGGGTTCAAAATTACAAGGCTACGGATTTGAACATTGGCAGTTGTAAACTCAAAAAATTGTGTTGGCTGTTGAAGGACGGTTATATAAAAATATATATATATATATTTAGTCATTATTTAAAAATGATCAAGACTTCGCTATAGTATTGGTGTGGGATAAAGGCCAAAAAACTATAATAGTTATTGATTAGAAATATTTCAGATGAATAAAAAAATGACTAGAGACTATATATATATATATAAACTAAAGTTGTAAAGGTGAAAAAAAAGTCCTCTTAATTCTTAAAACAAAATAATAATAATACAAAAAATATATGTTAAAAATAATATTTTCCAGAAAAAAAGTATCCTAAAGACGTTAAAAGAGATAAAGTCTATCAGAAATGCTTTTAAAAATGCTGCACTATCATAACGCCCATAAAATAAGATCATATACAATAGCAAAACAGAAAAAAAAAATCTATCATAATTTTTTAAAGAAAATTTTAAAGCTAATATCTCAATTTTCCAATTATTGTAATTTCAAGAAAAATAATAAAGTCTAATAAAAATCTTAGAGAATAGAACTTAAGAATAGAAAAATAGAGCTTAAATATGTGTAAATTTTTTTCGAACAATGTATAGTAAAAAATACGATTTTAGAGGAACCTTAATTAAAACTATTAAAAAAAAAAATTGGTTGAAAAATACTTTTTCAAGAAGTACTTAGCCGAATATTTGTTACATCTCAAATTAAAAGTGTACATTGCACCATCATGAATTCTCATTTGTATTCTTTAGATTAAAAGGATGTATTCACTATCCATATAAAGTTCTAAATTGATCAATAATCCCTTTCTTGTTAGAAAATTTTATGTGAGATATAAGTCCTCTTGGAAGGTTTATTTTTAAAACAAAATATATGTTCTTCGCACTTATCTGGACATTTATGTAGTTACTAAAACAGTGTTCATTCCCACCTAAATATTACGTATTATTTTAAAGGATATTTGTAAATGCATTTTAGTATAAATTATTTTGGTGGTTACCCAATTCTTTGTAAAGGGTCGCATTGTTCAAATTAGTAAAAGCATTTCACAACAGACCAGGGGGGTCATGGAGGTTGAGGCTCACAATTTCTTGACCTCCAGCACGATTGTGTAAATATGATCAACATTGTGCACAGGCTACCTTTACTTCCCAGACAAACTTGTACCCTTTGCTATGAATCTAGGTAGGCTTCAAGCCGCGGCTGGGATCGAACCCCAATCCCGCACAATGACCGTCCAGGGCTTTAACCATTGCAGTTCTCAAATCAGTCTACTACTTTTTAACTATGAATACTTTTGGTATTTTTGGGCAATTACAACCTCAAGGTATAAAATCTATTTCCTTTTGGATGACAGGGACTGTTATAGCAGACTGCGTATCCTATTTCAATATACCTGAAGAGCATTGTTTCTTTTACTCCTTAATTTTTTTGTTGTTGTCATAAGTACATTTTTATAGAGATTAACAAAATATACATAAAAATATTTGTAATACCAAACATTTCAAAAAAAGAAGATAATAAAAGAAAAGGAAATTATATATTTATTTACAACTTGAGGAAAATATTTATTACAAAATAATTTGAAAGGAATTCAGAGTATAAAATCAAATAATACTATACATTTTATACATTATATTAATAATTAATTCATGATGACTTTATTTACAATAAGGTGAACAAAAATTAAATATTTAATGAATTCAAATAAATAATTCAGAGTATAAAATCTAATAAATATGAGCTGTATGCAAATGAAAACTAGTTAGTTAATACAGCAGGGGTATTATCCAACTTCATGGTTCTTTATATTACAAAACTATAAATTTCACAGCATAACTCTTTGTCTTTGAAATTCCACAATGATATTTTCACGTTATATAGGTAAGCAATGTGATTTACCTATATATATACACATATAAGCAAGTATACATATGTACTGTTTGTTTCTATAGATACAAATTTAATATTTAGAATCACCTTAAATTTCTTAATTCTTCATTTGCCATTTTCATTATAGAGTTGAAATCCACAGGCAGAAGACATCTCCAAAATTTTCGAACTTTTCCCCAAACTTCTGATGGAAAACAGGGGCTGGTAATCCCATGAAAAATGCGTGCAATTGCTCTTCCTGAGAAATTTTGGTCACGGTGTGTGCAAATTATATCCTTAATAAGTTGTTTAACATATGGTGTATCAATCTGTGGAAATATTGGAAAATTATTTTTGGTTAAATTGAATATATCAGAATACATCAACTTCTAAAATATTGTTAGTTTTTCATTACATTTAATGCATTTATAAATTTTCAAAGACAAACTGTTTCAAAGATGTGCATAAAAAAGAAGAGTAAGAAAAAAAAAGATAAGCATAATGGAACTGTTTTGCTCTATTAATTTTTCAATTTTTTAAGTTAAAAAAAAAGTTACAATAATATGATTTACATTTCATAATCAAAATGGGCATAAAATGGAAGAAAAAAAATTAGAGGGGTAATTATATATATTTTCTTAAAAATAGTTTAAGTTAGACAATAAAACATGCATTTTATAAAACGCATGTATTTTAAAAAATTAAAAGACATCAAATTTAAAAATATCATAAGAGATATCATAAGAGAATGTTTCTATATTCTTAAAAAAACAATAAAAAAAAAAAAATAAAAAAAACAGGAGAAAAAGTTTCATCATTTCTAATCAGTATTTGAAAAAGATGACAGGGTGTTGATGCATAATAAAGAACTTTTTTTAAAATCAATTTTAAATTTTTTATAAATATTAGAAAATAATCCTTATAGGCAAGACACTTTCTTTTCAAACACCCTGAATTTATGCCTATAGTCACAATATAGAGGTTTGATGTTAAATTACCCATGCAACAGGGTTAGAAGATCTGTAGTAGTAGCTGCTCTATGGTTGCAGGTTTTTTTTCTCCATTTTTTTATGGTTTCAATAACATTATTTTAATAATATTCAAAATATTAATATTAAAATTCAAACTGAAATATCAAATTGATATCTCACTTGATGATTGAAATTATTTACATGCATGAAGATTAACATTCAAAATTTACTAAATTTTTAGAATGACTGTTTTAAACTAAATTATTAAACAAATGAATAACTTCGGCTTCATGTAAATAAATACATAAAATAAAAATAATACTTCAAAAAATTTTCTAAAAAAATTAAGTGCTGTTCAGAAAAAAAATGAAGGTTAGAATATAGACACTTTTATAAGATTTTATATAATCTTGTAGCCAGAAATAAAATAAGAACAAAAGATCTTAATTTGTTTATTGAGAAGGGAGTTATATGACGCTAATTAAATTGTGTAGTAAAAATGTTCACATAAATTGATAAAATTTTGTTAAATCTCACCTTATTACTTATTTTTATTGTAATAAGTTTTAAAAAAAGAATATTTTCTTTCATTCTTAAATTTAAAATTATGAAATGTTCACATAATCTTTTATGAATGTATACTTATGAAGTTGTTGAAGAGGAATGTCAGCTTCAACCACTGACATCATAACAAAAATGCAATCCTTAAAAATGCCAATTAATAATAAAAAAAAAGGAATTGAATTGTACTTTTGTTTTACCATTAAACATTTAAAATTGTTACTGTTACATAACTTCCAACTCATGTGAGTTTTACTCGATACTCACAAAAGATATTTCCCATTAGTAACAAATGTTATGCTCAAATATTTTATTCTTAGTTTAATAAATAAGATTTAAGAAATTTTAAATTGAAAGGAGGTAAGTTCAAAAGCATTTGAAAAATCTAATGTAGACTGAAAATATTAAAACCTAATTGACTGTGAAGGAAAAGTTGATAATTAGATATACATCCAAAAACAACAGACAGTCAAACTGGTTTAAATGACCAGCCTTTTTTAGAAGTGATTTATTAGATCTCAACCTCTGCGTAAATAATAATTTAGGACTCTTAATGTGTATTGAACTTCCTTCCTTCTTAACTTCATTTTTTATTTGGTCATTACAGAACTCTCTCTATGCAAAAGGCCATGTAATAAAAAGACAGTGTTTGTAAGCGTTAATAAATCATAACGTCTGAAGGCGAAAAAAAAAAGATTACAAATCAAGAAAAATATTTCTAATAGTCTAAATAAAATAGTCACTAAATTTTACCACTGGATAATGCAATTCTCACAAAAAGACCAATCCNAAAAAACAAAAAAAAAACATGAATGGTAGGAATTTTTATGAAAATCTAAAGGAACTTGATTAAGTAGAGGATATTGCATTGTTGTCTTCAAAACTATTGGACATGAAGACCAAAACAAATAGACTGGAATCTTGGAGCCAGTGTAACTATGGAGGGTGGTACAAATGGAGACATCACAGTGAGAATTAAAAACGTTCTATATGCTGCAGAAAATGACAAATAATTTGGATCTCATCTAACTTAATACTGAACTAAAGTTACCAATTTTTAAAGCTACAGTTAAATTTATGCTCTTATCACGAAAACTCGGAAAGCAACAAGAAAACATACGAAATGCTATTCAAACTAAATGTCTCAGACGAATTTTAAAGATATACTGACCAAATAAAATCTTTAACGCTGAACTAACGCCAACAAAATCAGCTTCAAAATGGATGCCAGATGGAAAACGGAAAAGAGGTCTACAGGCTAAATTAACCCACAGGCAAATGATAATAAAGACAAGAAACATCCTGGAATGGCCTGCAAAACTTGTGGCCTCATATACCACCCGGCATAAAGAGAATTAAGTCATATATATAGATATACACACACACACAGATTAAGGAATATTATCAGGCTAATGATAAAAAAAAAAAAGAAGAAAAAATGGAAAAAGAGGAAAATAATCTTGTCTGAGCACTAAATTTTCGTTGAATGACAATTTCAGTTATAAATAGATATCATTATCTAAAAGGTATACTTAGTTCCTAAATATAAATAAAATTATTAGCAAAATAAAGAAAAAATGGAAAAAGAGAAAAATAATCTTGTCTGAGCACTAAATTTTCGTTGAATGACAATTTCAGTTATAAATAAATATCATTATCTAAAAGGTATACTTAGTTCTTAAATATAAATAAAATTATTAGCAAAATAAAGAAAAAATACCTCATTATTAGCTTCTTCATTTTCAATTGATTTAAGCAATGAATCATGTTGGTCAAAATATTGGTTAATAGCATTTTTTATTTCCATGCTATATTCCATGTTTACTTCGTCACAACATTCCCAGTAATGAGAAGAAGAATACCTATAACAAAGTAAGATACATACATATAAAGACATACATATATACACAAAAGAAAAAAAAACCCCGCTCATGTTCAATCGTTAGAAGGAAAAAACTCCCTTAGTTTCAAGAGAACCATTTTTTAAACAGATATTACTGAGTGATATATGATAGAATTAAGATTGACAGAAAATACAAAACTTAAATTTTTTTTTGTTGCTGTTCTGATAATAAAAAGAAGCATCCTTTAGCGAAATAAAATTCCTGTTGCCTCTCAATTTTATAAAATATATAAAATTGCCCCCCTTTTTTTTGAACTTTGACAATTAAATCCAGCTTTTATACCTTTTTTGAACTTATAACTTTTATCTTAAGACTTTAAAATGCTTTCTTGAATTAGCATTCTAAAAAAACTTTCCAGATTAATTTTATCTGCCATTAGACAGGATGTGAGTATGTTTCGATCTTCTGATAACTTTATTTTTTATATTAAATAAGCTGTTTTTATTTCTTTCTTGATTTTATTCTTTACAATTATTAACTTCACTTTTTTTCACACTTTCGATTTCCAGATTAAATTTTGTGATTTTATTTTTATATTAAAATTAACTTTACTTTCTCTTCGTAATTTTTACTTTCAGTACTTAATATTTTAATAATTGTAGAAGAATTTAATAATTATTCTTGCTATTTTATAACTCATTAGTTGACTCATGTTAGCATTTCAGTTAGTACAATAATAATAAATGCAATTTTTTAAACATGAAAAAATTAAAACTGAATAGCATTTTAGCTGACACTTCCCCGATTTTTTAAGGATTTTGTATTCTTATTTATTATCACTATTATAATTGGTAAAATAATACATTACTTCAAAAGCCAGCAGTACTATATAGTGAGAGACTATTATTGGAAGCAAGGTTAAGCTATGAAAAGAAGCGACACCGAATTCTGCCAAAAAACTTACCGTGCTTGCATTATAATTTACCAAGCATGAAAAATAACGCACATGCTTAGCTTAGTTTATTATTCAATTTTTCTTAATATAAATATTTTCTGAAAAATATTACAAGTTTTACTCATAGCTCTCATTACATTTATATACACAATATTACATATTTTTAATATTTATCTTACTCTTCAATATATTGCAATATTTGGCTATTGTCAATAATTTGGCATATTAGCCAGATACAGTGTGTTAACAAGATATCATTGCATCCCTAATTGGCATTCAGTTCACCGGGTTCAATACCCCGCAGTGGCAGTGGAACTAGCTTTAGATAGATGGGTACCAGATTGTTCGGAAAATTAAGGTGGCTTAAGTGCAATGTTGACAACATACAGTTTACAAATGTTTAATTATAAATATTACTGAATAAAATAAAATTTCTTTTGTCCTCTTATTACATGAATATTTTAATTAATACAAATATCTAAATGTTAAAGAAAGGATGAATTACTTTTGGAATGTAGCAAATAAAAGTCTAAGACTTTTTAACTGAGCTTTTTCAGATTCAAGAACTTTATTGTACAGAAAGTCAAGCACTAAATCTCTTTCTTCATCACAGAGATTCCCAGGTGCCATTACATGAAAGGACAAATCAGAGAACTCAACCATCACTCCCGTTTTTCTTTTATCTAGATAAAAATTAGTTTAAAACTTATAATATCAAAGACAAAAAATACCTTATATCATATAAACCGATTAATAATCATATGGTTATACATGTATAATTATCAATAATCATTATTAATGTACTAATAAGTTAAAATAATAAGCAAAAAGAAAATTTAGAAATATAGATAATCATGAAACCCTTATTTTAATGATATTTACCCTTTTGGACTTAATTTAATTTGTAGAGCATATTTTTAGGTTTTGGGTATTTTTCCCTTTTAAGGCATTTTTCATGTGAGATTTTTTGACCTTTTACATTATTGTAACTCATCTTGTATAAATGTCCTTGGCCAATTACAAACTGCCAACATCTCTTTACAATGCACCTACAAGGCTCACTGCAATAAATGTAATAAATAACGTCAGCAGATTGCAAAAAAGGCCCGATTCTCCAATCAACTTACGACAAATATATAGTGCTGTAATCAATACTAGAGCTGAAACCTACTCAGTAAAGAGAGAAAACGTTTTCCCCCCCTTCCTTTTTTAAGCTTGTTTTAGGGAGAAATAAAGTATCTGTGACCACCAAGAATTATTAATACTTATGACATATACATATTACTTGAAAGAAATTTAAAGTGAATATATATTTTGTAATTCAGAAATATAAGTGGTAGCTATGAACAAAATAACATATATTACCTATATTAACTACTACTAGCCTGTACCTTTTTCCAGTTAAGTAATGAATTTTCAATAAATCTGACCTTTTATCATTTATTATTTAAGCCTTTATTCCAAATTTTAAAGAAAACTGCAACTCAGTTTCTCTTAATCACAATTTAATACAACTAATCTTATTTCCAGAATTTAATATATGATGCATTTCAGATTAAATTCTTATTTAATTAGAAAGAATTTTTTTACATTTCTTAAGGGCATTTTTTACTATTTTTAAGTAATAAAAATCCAGGGCTCAATAATCATTTAAGATTGAAAATCATTAAATTCAGACAATAAATATCGAGCTTAGAGCAATAAGCCAAAACTATGGTTTTTAGAAAAGTGTAGATGGACCTGAGAAGCAGTTGCTGCTTTGGCAAAAAAGGTTCACATGCTTTTAATTATTTAGGTGGCAGAGGTTATTAAGTAAATCAGGATTAAGGGAGGATAACAAAAATATGCTATCATGAGTTGGTATTGAGCAAGAGCATCATGCCAAATGAAGCACAATATAAATTTATATTTTGATGGGATAAACTACTAAAAATGTGTTTCGCTAAATCGAAATTATTTAAGCATTATTTATTGTGCAGGTATATGTTTTTCAAATTTGAGCATCATTTTGAAGTACTGCTTTATTATTTATTTACTTTTTGTTTTCATTCTATTAGAAGAATGGTTATTCAGCTAGTTATTAATATATTATACTTCCAAGTCACTTACATTATGTGTAACTTTGTATCTGCTTATTTAAGACGAAACAAAAGAATTACTTTATTTTCTTTAAGAATATATCATGCTTACATATAAAACTACCTCTTGTTATAAAATGTTTTTAATTAACAACCGTTTTTTCCCCCAATAATATAAAGCTTTGAAATTTCATTAGCTTCTTAACACTTCTATTATAAGATTTAAAAGAAAAATTACCACAGATAACATAACATAACACACAAAATAAATATATATAGAATACACAATATCAATAAAATACAAAAATTTAAAAGAAAAAAATTATGAAAATTCAAATGTTATTTCTAAAAGAGATAAAAATTTTTCCTATAATACTCTAGCCCGTTGTCTAATTTACTTTGTTAATCTGCAACATTATCTTCATAAATCTGAATTTGTTTGCAATCTCCACACAGTCAGACAGAGATTATCATTGCAAAAATTCAGCCTAATCTAAGATACGTGTAGCATTTGCAGGGGTAATTGTGAGTCTAACTCAAGAAACTTGAAAATTTCTTAAGTAAACTCATTAATGACACATTTCAAAAAATTAATTTCTTTATAAATTTAAATCATTGATATTTTCAAAGCATGAAATTCTAATGAAATTATATACAGCATAATTTAAACAAATAATTAAGTATAAGTTTCTTTATCTCCAATCACATTTATTATTTTAACTGAAAAACTATTTACAAGTGTCAAGTATAAATTCTAGTTCTAATGTTTCTAAATAAAATATACAAGAATTTTTCTATATAAATGTGATCGATTATTTCTCGAAACTTCTGTACCTTGAATTTCCAAAACTTCCGGATCGTGGTTAGCAAAAAATCCGGATTTTTTCCGGAGCGCAATCATCTCTGCATTTGAAAATATAAGGTCCTTAAAAACTATGCATAAAAATTTAATGTTCTTTACGCGTGTGATTTAAATTTAAGTTGTATATTATATGATACTAAAAATAACAAATCCCTACACAGTTAATTCTGTATTCAAGTAATGGAATTTCATTTTTTTGTTATTTGCAGCGTTTCTCAATTTACCTTTTCAATTTTTATTTGAAACAAGTTTAGAAATGTTTTAAAAAAAAGGTCTCAACAATTCCTCCCTCCCATTCGTTTTCCTTTTAAAAATAAAACTTAGAGATAAAAAATAAACATCAGATGCTGCTATAAGCTGGCAAATGAAATAGCTGCAAGAATGTCAGTGTAACTAAATATTAACTTTCATTGATAAAGAAATGAAGTTTCCATGGTAAACTAGTTATTTAAAAACATATTAAAAACAGACACAATGCACTTTGACGAACAGAGTATCAAAACAACAAAAAGTAAGAATACAACATAATAGTCTTCTTCAACAGAAGATTAAGTACTCTCGTACTACAGATCAGGGATGACATCAAGGACTACGTGTGATCAACCAACAGCAAATGAAAAAGACAGATCAAACACTCGCAGTCCATGATGTAACCAAAGTAAGTTGAATGCGTGAGAATGCTACATCGCCAAAAACGGGTTTCACAAAATTGAAGATCTAAACTTTATTACAGTCGCTCAAAATACGATCAAATAAAGAAAAAATCTCTTTTAGTATTTATTTATCTAACATAATTTTCAGTGCCCGGCGTCGTGGCGGAGCATTTCAGCTACAGGGATCCTTTATAAACACCTATACAAACTTTTAAATGCAATAGATATCAATAGCAATCAAATTTAAATATGAAATTAGATATCAACAGCAGTGCAAGTATCTTGAAAGAGACTAATTACATTTGAATTTATAATTGGGGTCAATACCTTTCCATTCTAGTTTTCTCAATTCACGCTTCAGAACAGAAGACTTGCATCCAATAGCAGAAGAAAGCCTTATAACATCAAATGTATACTGGGAACTTTTCTTCCATATTTTGCCACATTCTGCATCTAGTGCTATAGCTGCAGATATAACTGGATTCTGAAATGAAATTAAATAATAAACAAGGAACACAAGCAAATTATGACCTTCAGACTAATGTAATAGAAAAGTATAAACAGGCAAACATTATTTTCTACCATTATTATAGCGTTCATTATTATAACATTGTTACCTATTTTAACGGTGCTTACATAAGTAGCGCAGATAAAAATTATGCTTAAAAAATTCAAGTGTACCTTTAAAGCTAGATTATGCATTTGTTGAGGTCCTCCATAGCACCTAATAGAACAAGTAGCATATGTAGGAGAAAGTATTTCTATCCACTTATTAGAGTGCAATTCCAAGTAACAAAGTAAAGTGGATATATCTGAAGAAAGAAAAAAGAAATGGAACATATAAGTTATACATAGGCTTAACATGTTTTCCATAACAAGCCAACAAAATAATGAACAATAATAAGTAGGTGCTTATTAACTTTTAATCCTTTGAACTCAGTTCAGAGCATTGATCTGGTAGCTAACAAAACTAGAAATAAATTGTGCTTTACAGAGAATCTTTTGTAAAAATTTGCTCAAGTTATGCAATGAAAAGATTTATAACGGTGATTTTGAGCTATATAGAGATGCTATATAGAGAGCTATATTGAGATAAATAGAGAAAAGCATTGCAACTCAACATTGTTTGATAATAGTTGTCCATGTATAGTGATTCCGGAAAACATTTCAACAAACATTTAATTTTTGTTAAAACAATTGCCTACTTTTGAAAAAAATTAATGAAAAAGCGAATTTTTAAATGCAAAAATTTGTCCCTGTTAGAAACTTATACTTTTTTTTAAAGAAAATAATGTCCCGTTTATAGGTAAATTACCTTCTAATGAAATTTGGAAAATATATAACTTCATAGTGTAACTTATTATTATTAAACTTAAATATAACACTTTTATACATTTATATTTAGTTAAAAAATATTTTTCTATTACTAACTTTTTTGAGTGAGGTTTAATAATTAAGGCTATTATTATAAAATATTATATCTATTACATAAATGTTTGTTTCTTAGAGAATACAAATTTGATGAAATTCATTAAATTTTGTTAGCAAATACCACCATTCAACATTGTTTTAACAACAGAATGATACTTTATCAGCGTATAAACATAACAATTAGCGAAGGAAAAGTAAATAGTATTATTTAAAAAAATTATATTTGGTGAGTGAATTATGCATTATAAATTAATATTAATAATTATTCAATGCCGATGAGGATTAAAGAAGAGGTGTGCAGGTTTGATCATGCAACTATACTTCTGCAACTTACTTTCTTGTTTTACATCTAATTCTTGTACAGTATCATTGATCGAAAAAGCAATTTCATGTTTAGAACATCTAAAAGTATCATCAGATGTCATCTATGTAAAAAAATAAAGGTTAGAATTTCGTTTTATTTTTACAGTGAAGAAACAGATTCATGTAAGTAAAAAGGGTTTTTCTTTTAGTTGCAATAAGTATTGTTTATAGTGAGGGAAATTTCATTATAATGTTCCACAAAAAAATTTAATGTTTTTATAATATTACTGGAGCATAGACAAAAGTATATTTAAATTGCTAAATATGAGATGAAAATTTGTATTTTTGCCTTAATTAAAATTGAATGAATTATTAAACATGGAAGTATGTTAAATGCACAAGTCAAGCTTGTTTTCTAAAATATTTTTTTAAATATTTATTTTTAAAAGAGACTGAAAAAGAGTAATTATTTGATGTTAAAAGTAAGTTCTCACTAAAAACAAAGCAAAGTAAGGAATAATTGTTATAGATATTCAGTAGTTAAAATTTGTTATAAGCTAACACAAAGCAAGATTTTCAAAAAAAAATAAATAAATAAATAAATAAATAAATAATAATAATAAAAAAAAGAAATAGTATAATTGAAACTATCTTAAAAAATTATATTTTGGCACACCATAACACCTTATTTTGCATATAAATCGAGTTTAATCACACACGTTTTCATTCAAGTTACAAAATTAATGAACAAACAATACTCAAATACAAAATATTAAATGCAAGATTTTAAAATTAAGTTAGGTTTTAGAAAAGTATTTTTTCAAATTAATTATTTCACAAATTTCCATAAAAAAAAATTGAAAGCAGTTTTTAAAAAAATAAAGATTTCACTAACACTTCCCCTAAAAATAACTCAATTAATACAGTTAAGTATAATTTATTTATTATTTGAGAAAGGAGAATATTTTTGTTAAGACTAGTAATGATGTTAGAGAAAGTAAAAAGCTTAATTATTTCGTTTAATACAAAATAATTGGGACAAAGTGATTTATAAGTTTATTTTATAAGAAGAAAGTTGCATTAAATAAAAGCAGTTATAACTTTGTTTTGATCAAGAAATAATAATCAAAAAAATAAGATTACGAAAAAAAATATAGGGACATTTCCTTAATACAGTGTAACCTCCAGGAAAGACCACCTCTATGTAGCGACGACCTCCTCTTATTTACGATCACTTTTGGGAGGCAGGGAATTTTTTTGAAGAAAAACTTTGAGTTGAAGAAAATCTTTATTAAGAGATCATTAAAACTTTTCCTAGCGAACGGGTAAAACCTTTGCACTAAATGCGGAAAAGGTCAAATACGGAAACATGAAGAAATATCAAAACAAAAAATATTAACCAAACAAATAAGTAGATTAAAATATTTTCATAATATTTGTGTGAGGCTTTTATTTAGTGAGCTCTTTTTGATGATCTTTGAAAGAGATCTACAACCTCATGTTGCATTCAAAGTGCATTAAAGAAGATGCAATTAATGATTTATTTTTAGAGTTGATAGTTGAAATATAAAAAAAGTTATTTCAGAAAAAACTAAGCATTTTAAACACACAAACCTCTTTTCATCTTCTAAAGCTATTAAATTTTTAAAATATAAAATTAAATGCAAACTTGAACAAAAAACATAATTGTTAATTTATTTAAAATAGTTCTATCATTCACTTGCTTTGTAAATTTGTTTTTACACATAATTAATTAGTTAGTAGAGATACTTTCTATCGAAGCTAAATTCTATTCATCAATTCAGTTTTCATGATGCCAACAAAAGTGGCATTTCCACACAAAGAAAATGACACTGACTAAAATTAAAATCGTTTGCAAAAATCCTGTACCTTTGATAACAATTTGAAATCAATGGTGGTAACTTCTAAGAATGACCAACCTCCATTAACAACCATTTTATTGTAGAACAGAGGGTCGTCGCTCCAGAAAGGTTTCACTGTAGAAGAATTGCTTCCTTGCTAGTGCTAATTTCCCCCCATTTAAGCCATCAATATTTTTCGAAATAAATGTTTAAAGATATACATCATTGATTGAGTTTAAAATTATTGTTCTTAAGAGTAGGAGAAGAATAAATGTAACACATACTGTTTTGGAGGTATCAGAATTTGTGTTCGAGGAACTACATTTACAAGGCAGAAAAACTTTTTTCAAAAGTTTCCTCAGAGTATGTCGGTCAATACCATCAGAGTATATATGCCTTTGCTGTTCCCAGAGATCATTTTGCTGTAAACGATAAAGAAAAAAACCTAAGTTTGTTTATAATTGCAAAGCTAAGCTCAGTTGATACATCGATATTTAAATATAAATAAGGGAAAAAAATCAAAACATATATGAATTAAAATCTGAAATATTTTAGTTTGTATAATTTGAAGGGTCATATATAATGTTTACATCTAACAGAACATCTAAAATACAACGATATTTGAAGATTAAGGGATAAGAACGATTTACGTCCATAAAAGCTGATTCAGAGAAAAAAATGAATTTCAAGGTTTGAAACTATCCAAGAGCAGGCTTACAAAAATCACAAACATTTATTTATATCCCCTAAAAATTTTAAAATGAAATTTACAATTGAAGCAGTCAATGTTAAAAGGTGGTACGTTACAAATCTGCACTTTCAAGAAAAAACAAAAAAAAACAAAAAAAAAACTGCGTCAATTGTGGAAAAATTGTTTTAATTGCTTCCAAATTGCTGGAGTCTTTCTCATTAGGCAGTCTAGAAAATTACTTGGTATTTGATAATCGGCGATTGATATTCCAAAACTAACAAAAAACTTATTTTCATAAAAATGTTACACACTTCCTTGGCCGCTTCAATTTTTGATATTGAGAAAAAATAAATTTTAAAAATCAGTTTGGACAAGAACAGTTTTTTCAGCAATATTTTCCCCTAACCAATATTTACTCACTATCATTCACTATATCTTCTTTGTTCTTCATTCCGCCTCCTTATCTGTTCTTCTTTTGAGGTATATTCAAAACACGGAGGTTTTCATATAATTCTCATGCCTCAGATTTCTCTGAACATTTTTCCAGAAACAGCAAATCTTGATGTCCAGCAACCTTTAAAGGGATACTAATGTCGTCAAGTTTACATTTGGGAAAGATTTTTTTATGCGTTCATCTGTGCTGATTGCTTATTAGTATTGTTTTTCACTCAGCCAGTAACTCAGATGCTAGTGTTTTTCAGTCAGATGCTTGACAATTAAAGCAAAATTTTTTTTTGTGTGGAGGTGAATGAAGTAGGTATTCATTCACCATAAAAAGTCGTTTTAAAGGATATCTTAAGGTTATTTATACTCACCCTGAGTATCCTTATTGTCAGAGTACGAATTGGACATTTTTTGCGGGGTAAAAATCAGATAAATGCTTCCTCCAATTAAAAAAATCCCATCTCCTATCATAACTGCAGTGTTTGGACAGTAACTGTTTTTCCCCAGGATGACCCATCTGCACTGAGTGATAATTCTCAGGGGAAAACGACTTTCCACGTTAATTGTCAAAATTTAGTAATACTAAAAATGCAACAGACGATGATTCAATCACTCTTTTTGTAAAATATGGACACTCTACTGTGTTCTTCCCTTGTGATCTTCATTAAAATCATATTAAAAAGTTACGGTATATTAAAAAATGAGTGGCAACTCATAAGGAAGATGAAATGCAACATTTAAAAAATATTAGTTGAAACATATTAAAAAGATGAAACTGAAGTAAAAATGCCTTTTAGCAAAAGTTAATCATGAAAGGATTAGAAATTAGTCACTTACTCTGAAAAGATATAAAAGTTTCCTGCTACACTTGTGATTCAGTGGAGATGCAAAATGAGTATTGTGACATTTTTTAGAACAATCTTATAATTTAAAACTGATGTTACATTACCTCACTATCTAAAAACAGGTGACAATGTGAGTCCAGTCCATCTCGTCCAGCTCTTCCAATTTCTTGAACATAACTTTCAAAATTTTTGGGCATGTTATAATGAATAATGGCTCTTACATCAGGTTTATCCAGACCCATACCAAATGCTATAGTAGCAATAACAACACGCAGTTTACCTATTGAAAGAAACATATTATACTAAAATAGGAGCATAAAAGTATAAATATTTCAGAAAATTTTTATTTAAAAATTTATGTATATGATACTGTGAAAATTGAAATTAGTGAATGTCAACATTGTGAATAAAAAAAAAAATTAGGTGAAAGACCAAATTACAGTGGAAGACCAAAATTAGTGAATCGCAACAGTCTAACGAGAGTTTCAAAAATAAAATATTATAGCTATGTTACTGCAAAATATACAAAATTAGCAAAGGTCAACACACTGATGTGAATGTTTAACAGAATATACTTTTCTTAAAAAATATCATTGCTTCTCACTAAATGTTGAAATTCAGAATGCACCATTATGAGGGTTATAAGAGAGAAACAATTAAAATAATTTTTTTTTTAAACAGTCACCACTTGCTGAATGTTTACATTTCGTTACATGGTCTTTAAGTGTGAAATAATGATATTTAACTAAGATGAATAGTGATATTTAATATTTACTAAAGGACTATTTGAAGATTGAAACATGCCAGAGAACAAAGACATTGCACTAATTTTGTTTTTTTACAGTAATATACACACATATATTAAAAAAAGTATCATTTTTAGCTTTATGTTTTATTACCAGACATAAACTTTTTTTGAATAGATCTTCTTCTAGGAGGAGCTAATCCAGCATGGTAGGCTTCAGCAGTCCATTTGAAACATCTTTTTTCTTAATAAATAAAAAGCACAAAAAATTAATAATTGCAGTTACAAACACGAATCTCTATCAGTATTATGAAAGATTTCACTTAAAGGATGAATTTATAATAAAATGGTACTTACTAGACTTAGATTTTTTCTTTTCTTTTAGCAAATTCGTATCTACTTCATCTTGCATGCATGTACGTATAAGAGCAGCTAAACGCTCAGTTTCAACACGACGGATGCAATATATAATAATAGAAGAGCAATTGTGAAACCGATCTCCACTGAGTAGCTGTATTAAAGCCTGTAATGATAATAAATAACAAAAAATAGATTAATAAGGTTGAGTCTTTATAAATTATATCAATAAAGTTGAAGATGATAACTTCATATGAGTTAATTGTTTAAATTTAAGAATCATTTTTATTAAATTCAGTCATTTAAATAGTTTCCTATCCTTTTGTAAAAAATCAATGATATATTCACATACGATAAAATTTTGTAAAATTCTAACTAGTTAGCAAAAATAAACTAAGTTAGCAGGTGCATTAGTTAGTTAATATTGCATTAGTCAGTTACCAAAATTTATGTATGAAAATAGAATCACATTTTCATACATAAATTTTACTAAACAAACGCATTAAACTTACATTTGCATTAACAGTTTATTAATTTTAAGGACATGCAACTATAAAGGGTTTTGTGATGTAAAGTAGGATAAATAAATAGAAGCATGCATGGTTTTTCTAAGTGTTCCCTTAATTTTAAGATTTAGATTCTTAATTCAATTTAATTTATATGCTTTAGCTTCCTTTTCTTTCTTTTTGGCTTAATTTCAAACAGAAAACTCCGTTTTTTACGAACCAATATTCTTTACAAACTTTCGAAAAAGAGAATTTTCTTTTTCAGAGTCTTAAATATTGTTTTGAATTCTACAGAATGTTCAATTTGTTTTATGAATGGCAAAACACTATAAATTTGCTTTAAGATCAATTTTTTGAAGCATCTGTTTGAGGTATTGAATGAAATTTTGAGGCAATGAAATTGGGTATTAAATATAGATTGCTACTTACATTCAAAAAAAAAAAAATTATGAAGTCACACTTTATATGATAAATTGTATTTTTAAAATTTTTCCAGGGACCATCTTAAAAACTTTTTTGTCTATATTATAACCATATGTTTTGGAGAAAAACACATAGAATTCCATGGTAACTACTACTTAAAAAAGACTGAACTACTAAGACTAAATATAACTACTGAAAAAAGATAACTAAACTGAAATTTTAAGAAAACAAGTAAAATTACTTGCTAATAAAGATTTAATCAAATAAAAATTTCTAAATAAAATAAATTTTGACATTTTTCGATGATGTAGTAATTTGTCTATTAAGGTTTAATCTTCCTTTTGAAATTTCTTCAAAACTATTCTTAAAACTATGTAATAACTTTGTTTGCAAGTTGCAGAGATTTAAATTTTTATGCATCAAATTACTAAAGCTTTTATTGTCAAGAATTAATTTCATATTTTAATTAATTTTTATGATTAATTTCAAAAATAAATTTAAAGATTAATACAATAAGTATCTTGTAATCAAGTATATTTTTGTAAGATATATTAGAGATTTTCTTATGTTGTAGATGGTATAATACTTTATGTACAAATGTATATTTTATTTGTAATGAAAAATAATAAATTTCTTGTTTTTTAAGTATAACATTAGATTATATATTTTAGATACATACTCTGTCCTTATCTTTATCCCTTGAAATAGATAAATGAAGATTTTGAGGTACATTAGTCTGACCAACAACAGAATTTTCTGAGCTATCTAAATTTAAGTGAGTGATAATATCAGTTATAGCAGTACGAGTAGCTGTAGCTGTCAAACCTAATATGCATTTCACTCCAAGTTTTTGGGTCAAAACCTAAAAGACAGAATGTAGAAATTATAAAGATGTTCAATGCCGCAAACATAATAAAAGGAGATATAGCAGTAGCTTCATAAAAATATAATCTCAGTACATCTTTCTTGTTTTTAAACTTTAAGAATGGATAAGAATTCATTACTACTAATCAGTTTGCTTTATATTTGAATTAATATAAAAATCTAGCAGTAATTAAAATGAGAAAAACTAAAAAATGTAGTACTAGAAAATTATAATCTCACTGGTAGTTTTTTAACTATAATAAATTTTATGACATTAATTTTAAGAAATGTTCATGTTAAATAATTAATAAAAATGACTCATAATGAGCAAAATAAATAAATAAATATAAAATTGAGTATTTCACTCAAAAGAAAAAAAAAGCATTAAATTATTGGATAAAATTTAAAACTATCACTAATAATTTAGGAAATTATAAAGAATAAGCATAAATAAGAATTCAGAATGCAAACTAAAGCATTGAATCATTGATTTCATGCAAAAAAATGTACCAGGACTTGGAAAAAAAAAAGAAAAGAAACGAATGCTCATTGAGAAGTTTGAATGTTTTGAATTTTCATGAAAATAAATAATCTGGATGTAAATTTTATTTAATATTATTTCATTTATGAGGCTGAAAAGATTGGTACATGCCTTAAAAAGTATGTAATATGTTATAACAATAAGGAAAAAAAAATCATCAAAATGTAACTTTAGTTATTTTACTTAACATGTCCGCCTTTAAAATCAAAATATATTTATACTATTTAAAATTATGAAAAAAAGTGAAATGTTGATAATTATGATCCATGCTAGTGCATGAATTAAAAATGAGCCTTAATACATTTTAAAGAAATATTTTGTGTATGAAAGTCTAATGGTTTAGTGGTGCTTTTAAGAATCAAAGAGAATTTTGTATGTTATTCATTTTAAAGAACATCCTTTATAGGATATTGAATTATTTCAAGAAATTATAGAAAGTTCCCAAATACTGTCTTAGAAGAATTCACTGAAAAACCTACTAATAATCATGAATGACAATGTATTCATACACAAAATTACCAACATCAAAAAATAGGTTAAACCGTTAAATAAGGAGATGAATCCCATCACCTCATATATTTTTAAAAATATTTTTATTACTTTTGTCTTAAAATATACATAAGTAAAAAATAAACAAAGTGCATAACAATAAAATTTCAGTTCTATTGGAGAAATATATAAAAAAAAATTATTTTATTTAAAATTAACGAAAATTGGGTGAGGCTATAATTTTCTAGAACGTTATAGTTATTTTTAAAAGGATTCATACAAATTTATATTCTAATATCTTGATCATAAACAAATTTTTCAGTGATAAGCCACACTAATCTAATACAATATAAAATTAAATTTCTAATTAAATAAGCACAGATAATCTAAGATATTTCAACCCATTACTTTATTTCAATAAGATTTGTCAAAATTTTTTATATGTTAATATTACATTTAAAATTGATTTAAATCATTTCTTTTATAAATTTAAAAATAATGTAATCTGACAAAAGTATAATTAATATTATTCATGTTAAAAACTAAACACAGCATGTAATAACTTGGTGCTCTTTTCTATTATATGAAAGGAAAAACTTCAAACAACTTTTCACAGCTAGCTTATTAAAGGACAATGAAATATAATACACAAAATTACAAAATAATAATAATTAAACAATTCAGAAACCAAGTTGTAAAATATTTTATATTAAAATCTATAATTCTAAAGGTAACTTTTCTGAGCAAATTAGTATTACGTTATGTTAGTTTTTCAGTATATAAAAACTTATAAGTAACTTATCAATAGAATTTTTAAATTATTCCTTAGATATTTTTGCGGTTACTAAAACGAATTACCTTATGCAACTGCAAATATGAGGGTCTGAAGTTATGTGACCACTGAGATAAACAATGAACTTCATCAATGCAAACAAATGATATTGCTGGCATATTTGGCAATTGCAATTTTTCTAAAAATCCATAGCTTATTACTGCTTCTGGGGACACTAACACTATCTGCACTTTACCATCTGATATTAATTCAATTGCAGTTGTCTTCTGAGAATCAGACATTCCACTATGCAAACAAACTGCATGTAAACAAGATGGCAGACCAGTTACCTGGAGAAAAAAAGGAGTTAACTTTCATATTAAAAATGCAAATAAGTTTAATGCACCTTAAATTTGAAGTCAATTGATAAATATTTGTTCAACTTATGAGTTTGGCTCGTTAAAAAAATGTAGGTTAGGGAAAAACGTTTTTGAAGTTTTATGGAGAGAGTGATGATAAGCTGGATAATTATTTCTAATTTGAATATTTGGATTATGTTTCTTGATCATGAAACTTTGGGTAGATCGCATTAAATTATTAAAAATAATAATAAAAAAAAAACTCTAAATTCTTAAAACAGTCTAACTTTTGATTTAAGCATAAATTTCATTTATTCATAATTTTATGACTAAAAAAGAGAAGTTATCATAGCATTAAAAATTATGGTTCACCTAACTTTAAGAATAGGACAACATAATAATAATAATAAAAAAAACATTGTAATGTATGGTATTATTAGATTTATTATGAAGAAAATTGCATAACTTCGGAATCAGCATGATTTTCATTTCAAAGTTATTGTTTTTTTTTACCTACTAATAATTATCTTTTAGAATTTCTAAATCTTATTGAGATTTTAAAACTTTTTCTGACCAAAAATAATATAAGTTTTTTATCATAAAAACATGATAAAAAAGTATGATTACTTTTTAATTATCTTAAAGAAAAAAAAACAATCAATACATCCCAAATGATTAAAAGATTACTATATAACTTGCTAACAGTGCAATCACAGCAAACTCAAAGTACATTAATTTTCACCCAAATTTTCAGTTAACTTTCCAATTCGAGAAAAAGGAAGTTTTTTATTTTTTTACACATCTTTTTAAAAAGTAATCCATTTTTTAAAATTAAAATAATATAATTCATAAGACTTATATTTATAAGACATATTAATTAATAAAAATCCATTATTGCTTGCTTAGAAAAAGAATTTATGAAATTTTACGACTGTGACACCCTAAGATGACAAACCTTTTCATTTGATCTACAACATTTTGTACAACTTTCAACATATTGTAATCATTTATTAGTAATTTGCCTCTTCACTTCATACGTAGAGAATAGCTATTAATTTTTTAAAAAATTTGTTATCTGAAATTATAATATTTTATTTTTATAAGCAAATTTTTTTGTTAAATTAGTAGTAAAAATTCAAGATGTTATTGATGGAAGAGCAAAAATAGTTAATCTAAGCAAGTTTTTTTGCATATGAATTTTAAAGAGAATTTTTTTAAGATATCAAAAAACTTACCAAACTGAGGTTAAAGTTATCAAGGTTTAACTATACATTAATTATTTTAAAATTTGTACACTCCTTTGCTGTAATTTAGATTCAATTAAAATAAATGCATTGCCAAGAAGAACATTAACAAAGAAAAAAAAAATACCTGATCCTCCATTAATGATACTAGTGGAGATACAACTATTGCAAATGATTTTTGAAACTTAGCATACATGTATGCAGGCAGTTGGTAGCAAAGGGATTTTCCAGATCCAGTGGGCAAAACAACCATAGTAGATAAACCTAGGTATCAAATGAAATTTAGTTTTCTTAGTTACAGAATGTTTCATTCATTAACTATTAAAATACTAAGTTTCAAACTATTTAAATTAACCTGCTGCTAGCATGATTACCTGATTTATCCTTTAAAATAATGAATATTAAGAATTACAACTTTAACTCCATATATTAATTGAACTAACTTTAAGAAAATGAAATAATGAACAACTTGAAGCATAAAACCATTACACAAGGTTCAATATTTATCAGTTACTCTACTAAATTGTCAGCAATTATAAATATTCAAGTTACAATGAAATGTAATTTATGAAGTTTACAGTTGCAATGAAAAGTTTTCACAGAAATTAGCTGTCAGAAACACATATCATAGTTGTCACACATATTTGAAATAAAACAATTTATTCAAATGCATAACTAATTTGAAAATCTCAAGAATGATATGATGATAATAAATCATATTAATGTGAAAGCATTATTCTGATCAGTTCTGCATGGTTTTCAAACCAATAGAGTTTTTAAAACCATACAGAACTGGTCAGAAGCATTTAGTCAGTTCAGTTGGCACATGCACTAGATGAGAATAAAATTATCACAGAAAAAAATTATTCCAAGGGTTAATTTAAAAAAAAAAATCTTTTTGTGCTTTATGCATGAAATGAGGACAGTTCTAGAAAAATCTATAATTAATAACTGTACAGTTATTTCCTGTTAAGATAGGTAGTACAGTAGGGAACCGATTATCCGAAACGATCGGGACCATCGCTATTCCGGATAACCGATTTTTTCAGTTTTCTGAATCGCTACAAAAAGCCGTTTTTTTAATTGTTAAACCCAAGTAAAAAAAAAAAAAAATATTTGGAAATAATCTTAAAAAGAAGAAAAAAAGATGAAGTAATACACTAATGATTATTTCCAAAATGATGGTAAGGTAAACATCTTTAAAAAAAAAAAAAAATCCTAAAATCTTAGGAGGAAAATTTTTTGATTTTTTTTTTAAATGGCGGGAAAATTTACCGAATTTCGTTCCGGTTTTTCGGTTTTCCAGTTTTCTGATTTCCGGATAATGGGATCTGTACTGTATAAGGTAAGAAATATAGGTAATAATCCTTTTCATTCAAAGATAAAGAATATCACAGCACGAGGTTGGAAACAATATCATAAGTATACAAACATTATCTCATATTTAAAAATACTCATTACATTTACATAAAATGGGGAAAAAATCATGACTAATACACAGTCCCAGATGAGCCCTCACCTCCATAGCCTGAGGAGGGGGTGAGAAAGAAGGTTGAGTTTGGTATCATTAGACAGGTTTTTCAAAATATTAAACAAGAGTTTTTCTTTCGATTTAACATGCATTTTTCGCTTTATATTTTAAAAGATTTTGTTCACTGTCTTCATTTTGCTATTACAACACCACATATAAATCAAAAATGCAAGAGCTTAATAGTAAAATCAGTGTATTTTTTCTGAAAAATCTTAGTTACTTCTACCTTACACTAGGGTAATGAGATTGAAGGGAGGGGGGGTATTTTTGAGTTTAGTACTATTGAATGCCTCTTTTGCAAATATTTCAAGTTTGTTTTTAAATTTTCGGTCTAATGTGAATTTTTTTGGAGATATTGACTGTTTCCATACATTATTGAACATTATATTATTATTTTAAAGTATTTCATACTAGTACCTAGAAACATTTATTTGGTGAAAAGGAAATTTTGAAGTAGCTTCAAAATTTTTTTTTAATATCCTTTATTTGCTAAGTTTAAAAATGAGATTTAGCTAATATTCAGCTCAAGATGAAGCACACAGAAGATTTTTTCGTTAGTTATCTTATTTTGTTTAAACAAAAAAGTTAGAATTTTATATTTACAGGCATGTTGAAAAACATTATTTGAAACTATATACTTACTAAAAGTTTAAATGAACTAAAAAGTTAAGAGAGGTTTCGTTTTTATTCAAGTATATTGAGGAAATACTACGAATAAATTTGGTGGAAAGAATGCATTAGATATTTCCTTTAAATGAAATACTTTAAAACGAGTAAAATAAAAATCAAATTAAAGAAACTTTTCATACCAGATAGGACTCGCATAATAGCAATTTCTTGCCCATCTCTAAAGTTAGAATATCCCATTTCTTTTAAAGCATCATATACAGCTTTAGGTGTAGCTATAAATAAATAAATAAAAAAATAAAATAAATATATAATGAAAATAATAGTTATCAAGGTGATGATAATTTTTATACATGTTCAAGGGTACGAAAGCAAACTTTTATATTTTTAAAGTGTTAACATTTTAAAGTTCAAAAGCTTTCCTAATTTTATAAAAGAAATAAAATCTTTATAAGATACAGTAGTTTAGTACTGTTTGGAATAATATTTGAATATAAAAGAATTAATAATGCTGTTAATTATCCATAATTAATTCTTGTTTAAACTCTGGATACAGATTAAATTAACATTCTTCTTCTAAAATAATAGAGACCAAGAAATTGGCTTGGTAAAAAGATAATTAATTATAGCCAAAATAAATTTTTAAAAAATTATCATTAACCAATTGGAATAAAAAAAAGAGGAAAGCAAAGTATGGCATAATTAAAAGGTTTCCATAACGGGAAAATAAAAGCAAAATTTCTATTTACCATCAAGTTTTGATACTTAGTTTATGCAGCAAAATAAATTGTACCCATATTACTAAATTAAGAAGCTTCCTTTGCTTCAAAAATATACAAATCAGAAATAACAGTCAACATGTTCTTGAAAAAAAAATTTCCTTTTAAACGAAAAAAAAAGAAAAAAAAATGCACCAAAAATTTGTAAGTAAAAGATATACTGATATACATATACATCCCAGGGTAGAGTACTTTTGCTTTAGAGGACTTGAAAGTGCGTTATTTATGGTTTAAAAAAGCAAACATAGCGTCAATAAAAAGTTAAAATAACTTTGACCTTATTTTTTTTAATGTCAAGAAAATAAATAAATTACTCTCACAGATTTGAATTTAAAATGATAAGCAAATAACTTGAAATATTCATAAATTCAAAAAATAAATATATAAAAAGGAGGTACAATTACATATACAATACACTGCACAAAAATAATACATCTAATACTAACTTCTCATCTTTCCATTTTTGCCCACTGTATACAAAGGTTCAAGACTGCCTTTCATTGATTCCTCTTCCTCTAGAAAAATGTTGAAGTCTTTGATTTCATAAGTGACTGAAGGATCATTTTCATCGGGTATGCTGATTACTTTAGAATTCAATGTAGATGTTGATACTGAAAAGAAATTAGAGAAGAAAATTAGCTTTTACTGTATTTTAAAGAGCAATTTAAATTACTAAATTACAAGTAAAAAAATTATCCTTTCTTAGGTAGATGTAAATTCAGTGAATTTAAACCAAAAAAATAATTATCAAGTTTCATAAATCTGAATAATTATTAGCATAATTGGAAGTAAATAATTAGTGTAATTAGTAGTCAGTAAATAATCAGTGTGATTGGTACAACATCCTAACTATTATGTATAGTGTGCAAAATAAAAAAATATATCACTCTGAATAACTTTCATTCTAATGATTGCATTTTCAAGTACTAAGTGTCAATCTTAATGGTTAATGGTGATGAATTGAAATATGCTAATTAATTAGTGCTAACTATTAATGAAATTACAAAAGCAAACCCAAAAACTTACTTTTTCTGATTAAACATATATTTTTTTCTTACATTCGGATTCCTGACCTTCAAATAGTGTGTGGGGGGGTAGGCAAAATTTTGAAAAAGTTGGATCATAAAGGGGGGAGGGAGTGGATAGGAAGCCATACATATTTGACGACAGGATCAAAAAACATCCAAGCTATGTAGCTGCCGCAAATGAGTAATTTAGGATATACAATTTAAGAGAGCAATATCTAAATTTGCTCTGTTGCTAAGCAACCAAGTTCATACAATAAAAGCGAATAAAATAATGTAGTATTGTGATTGCTTAGAGAGGTTTGTTTATTAATAGTTAATGGGCAAATAGCTCAAAGTTTCTAGACAATAAGCATTTTTTGAGCCGATTTTTGACAAAAAAGCAAAGACTGTTTTATTATTATTTTTTTTTTAAATCTCCTTTGAAAAGAACATTGATAAATTATTTATGATTTTCCAAGCTTTTAGAATTTTAACACATAAACTATTTATTTGACTTTATTATATTATACATTTATCACCAAATATCGCTACTATGATTTCTTTGTGTTCTTTCTTAATTAACAACTTGTTTTATGATTCTTACCAGTACTACAAAATTGCGATATGGATATAAATAATATATGACTTAATGAGATATTGCATAAACAATATGAATGGGAACAGAATTTGATATTTTACTTTTATTGTCTTTTTCTCTTAACAACTTAGCAGCTTCCTCAAGAGTAGGCAAATGTAAATCATCTAACTCTTCATTTTCAAATTCTTCATTCATTTTCTCTAAACCATAAAGCAACAATTAGTTTCAGACTTAGGCAAGTTGGAAAGAAAAGAAACATGAACAATAAATATACCTTTTGCATAGTTCACAGAAGTACAGTTTCTTGCCCAATGTCCGAATTCCCCACATTTAAAACAACCAGTTATATTACTTTTGTCAGCACCAGAGGAGGCTTTTTTCATTTGTTTCCACTTGTTCCATTTCAACTTTCTAACATTTGTAGAACGAAATCCTCTTGAAAATTTTTTCTTTTTGATGTCTAATCTTATGAAGTTTTCATTTAAAGATCCACTAGCAATTTTTCTAGGTTGAAAAAAAAAATTGAGGATGAATGAGTAAGTAAAATGGATCAATTTTAAATTATAAGAAAAAAATTTCTTTTAATTTTCATACTTTATTGTATCTAAGAAAATTAAGACAGTTAACATCTTTTTAGTTTGATAAAAAAAAGAAGAGAATCTTAGCTAAATATTTAGTTTAAGTTGAACATTACAAAAATTATTATTTGCAAAAAAATTTTTTTCAGAATAAAATTCAGTGAAAAAAAAAATAATTCAGCAACAGGATTAATAGTCATTAAAAAGGATGCAAATTTAAAATTGTTTTGTCTCTTAAATGTAAACATTTTGCAAAATGCGCACAAAGAAATACCAATAATTGATTGATTTATAACTTACAGATAGTTTTCTTTGATTGATTTTGACAGAATTTCATTAAACTATAAATTTATTAGTTCAAATTTTGTTAGAAATAGGGAAGTAAAGTTTTTATTTCTTATACTAGCAAAGAAATAATTGACAAATTAGTACCAAACCTATTTGCAAAGATAAATTACAGATTCTGATTTGAACTCATTAATTGAAATGTATATTTATTAAATATTCACTAGCACTCTAAAAGAAAAACTGTAGAAAAAGACATGAGCCTGATTGATTTATATCATAAATATATCTATTAAATAACCAGCATATTAAAGAATAAATTTCAATTGTTTTAATGTAAAAAATAAATGTAGGTACCTATTGAAGAAATTAGTGATTTTTCCAGCATTTATAAATATCTAATAAGAAACAAAAAAATGATAGGGTGTACTTTTTGCTGCATATGGATGAAGCTAAAATACATGAGTAAACCATGGCACAAAAACAGGCATACTAGAGTTTTGGTTCTATAAACAAGAAATTTCTTCAGAGTTCAAAACGCAGAATGACAGAAGAAAACAAGAGACAAACAAGTTGCATTAAGCAAAAAAGAGGTTTCACTAACAAGGAATGAGGAACAATTTGAGCTAAAAAATTAAACTAAAAAAAAAGAGATAAGAAAAAGGTATATGTGGGAGTAGGACGAGAACCCCAAGTTAGAAACTAATTTAGAAACTAAATTAAAATTGATTTCCAAATATTAGGAAAGAATGAGATACTAAAAGATCATTAATTAAATAATTTGTATTTTCCACAATATGAAAAGATTCCCAGAAATAACGGTTCAGACCAATTATTTTCTTAAAAAAAATTAGGATTTCAAGGTATTTAAAACTCAGTTTAAATTCATTTTCCCTGACTTTTCAGGTACTTTAATTAAATTCCCTCACATTTCTCTGATTTTTCAAGTTTGATAAAATTCCCTGTTTTGGGGCCCACCAAAAAAAAAAAAGAAAGAACAATAGAAATTATTTTACCTTTTAAGGTGAGAAGCTTTTTTTGAAGAGTCTAACACTTCAATTGAACTTCCAGAAGACTTATTTAACTTACGTCTTTTTGATGGTGGTTTTTTCTCTGAGGCAGAATCATCTTTAGAAGAGATTTCATTATCTGATTCCTTCTCATTTTGAGATGAAAAGTTGAATTTTTCAGAGCAAACTTCATTTGATGAATTATGCTTTGCAACAAAACTATTGGTAACAGGCGAATGTTTTAGAGCTTTCAATTCATTCAAACTATTTGTCTTGGCAATGTCAGCTGAATCTTGTTTGCTCTCTTTTATTTGACAACTATTATGTTTGCTTTCATTCAACTCATAATAATTTTGTTTAGTTTCATTCATTTCATGAAAACATTGTTTATTTTCTGTTAACTCACATTTTTTCTGCACATCATCATTTAGCTCATTCTTTTCAGGTTTTTTGTTTGATGGAGTTTGTTTATTATGAACTTCTTTAGATGTTTTAATTACATCAGCAGTACTTGATAAAGAAAAATCACACCTTTCCAGCCAATCTGCATTTACATTTTGATCAAATTGTAATGGTTTTAATTGTGGAATAAAACCTACAGTTGAAGGAATTAAATTGACAGATTGAACAGTTTTGAATCGTTTTATCATGCCAGTATTATCATTGAAAGGGGAATCACATTCACTTATATCAACAACAGGACAATTGTGATTAGCCTTTGGCAGAGATATTGGAATGTCATCTTTAACTTCAAATGATACTGATGTGGCAGAATTTGTTACTTCAGAATTGCTTGTTTCAGAAGCCAGAGGAAGAATTCTCTGTAAAAAAATATCACTTTTTAGTTTTTTCCTTAAATAATATAATACAAACATTAACAAGATGATTGGTTTTTATGAGTCAACTTAGTTTAGTCTTTGAAGTTTTATGTATCATAGTTAGCTGTTCAGTGTATTTTGTACAGTAGGGAACCGATTATCCGGAACGGTCCGGACCATCGCTATTCCGGATAACTGATTTTTCCGGTTTTCTGAATCGCTACAAAAAGCCGTTTTTTTATTGTTAAACTCAACTAAAAAAAAAAAAAATTGGAAATAATCTTAAAAATATGAAAAAACGATGAAGTAATTGACTAATGATTATTTCCAAAATGATGGTAAGGTAAACATCGTTAAAAAAAGAAAGAAAAATCGTAAAATCTTATGAGGAAAAAAAAATTTTTTTTTTAAAAAGTGGCGAGAAAATTTATCGAATTTCGTTCCGGTTTTTTGGTTTTCCGGTTTTCTGATTTCCGGATAACGGGTTCTGTACTGTACTAGAGAATGTTGAGATTTAAAAAAGACTGAGGAAAATAACCTACAAATATTTGAAAGAAAAATACTCAGCACCATCTTCGGAGGTGTTAAAGAAAGCAGTGCTTGACAGATTCAGTACAATTATGAATTTAACAGAAAATTTAAATAACCAAACATAATTTCAGTTATTAAATCCTACAGAATAAGATAGCTGGGTTACATCTGTAGAAGTGATGATGGTGACTCAGTTAAGAAGCTGACTTTTGAAAAGCTTGCAGGCAACTGAAAAAGGAGAAGACCAAACACCAGGTGGATTGATTCCGTGGAAAAAGATCTTAAAACCATGGGAATCAATAAATAGGAGAAACCTAGAAGACACTAACTAGTCATCTCCATCGAGCCAGATGGAGACGACTAGCTGGGGCGGCTAAATAGGCTGTCATGCTGATGGAAGAAGTTAGTTTTATATTGGCAGAACTTATATAACTGTAAATATTTAGAATTTTTGTTATAATTTAACATTTTTACTATCAGTAAGTTCTGGAGAGGGAGGAACAGTCTGTAATGACTTTAGTTCTGAGAAATGAAGTGATAGGATGTTTCATTAATCTAGGCAATAGAGCTCAAAAATGGACATTACCTGGAACAAATGGCAGAAGTTTTTATTTTTTTGACATTTATGTTTTTTGAGGTGCTGAACACAAATCCACACATTTTGAAATAAATTTTTTCCTGGTAAAATCCAGTTCTTGTCGTATAACTTTTTTATGGATTAGGATAGAAAATTTCTGATAGTATATTTGAAAACTAGAGAAAATTTTCTACAAATTTTACATTTACAATGTGTCTATAGAGTAATAAATCAAAGAATTAGTATTGGAACAATGAAAAAAGCACAGGAATGATGTTTCCCCCAAGGACTTCAATGGAGATTTATAGAGGAGAATAATTAATAAAGGCTTGAAATGTATAAAAAATTCTTTTGTGGGATATCTATATTAAAAGAAAATATAGGAATAAAACTCAATTAATTAATTACTCAAATTAAACTTCTAGCAACACTTATGTGAGGTTCCCTATCCCCCTCACCAATTTATTTCTAGCCCTCGAGAAAAGAGTTCACCCCTTAAGTCCCACATTCCTTATAACCATAATTTTTCTAAAAATCATGATGTTATGTTTAAATGTTATTGATCTCTCCTACATGATCTTGAAAATAAAGTTTGGAATATGAGTTTTTCCCATATTTCATTTTTGTTCTGAATTAAAAAAAAATCAGTTCCCCCAAGTGCCTCATCCAATAAAATCACAATTTTTAAGGACACTACTCCTTAAACATTAGGGTTTTTTCTTCTAAAAAACACCTGCGCAATTAAAATTTAGAATATTTACTATGACATTTGGAAGCTCATGAAAATTTTATGTGAAGCAAAGTTAATAATTTAACAGAGTAAGAAAATTAGAAACAAGTTAAGAACTACTTATTGAAAACAATGATAAGAGTTATATTTCAAATTTTGATTTTAGGAGATGGGTTCTTCAGGGGGAGTGCTTTTATGCTGTTTGGAACAAAAATAAAATTGGGGAAAAACATACATTCTAAACTTTATTTGCATGAAAATTAAAAAAGGGAGACTAACTATCGTTGTTCTCAGAATTTTTTTAAACAAAATCATGATTACATGGGAAGTGGGGAGGGGTTAAAGGGTAAACACTCTTCTCAGGGGATAGAAATAAATGGATGAGGGGATGGGAAAACTAGCATGAACGTTGTTAGAAGTCTAAATTAAGCAAAAATTTAAAGATAAGCAAAAAATCAAAAATGAAAAAGACCCTAAAAATGTGATTTTGGAGAAGATTTATGAAAAATCAGGTTTATTGAGAAGGAGTTCTCCCCTCAGAGGTTGAAAATAATTTTTTATAACATATTTCTAGATATCGCAGGAAAATTTGTTATGCATTCCAAACCTTTATTAATTCTTCTTCGTGATTTTCCGTTTAACTAGTGAGAGAGATATTATTCCAATGATATAGTGTCTATTCCTATATTCACAATTTTTAAATTTATAACCATATGTACACTATAATATATGCATGTAGGAATTTTCTCTAGTCTTCAGATATGCTATTAAAAATTTTCTATCTTAAGGGAAAAAAATAGTTGCATGCAAAAAACTGGATATTTTTTCAGGGAAAATACATACTTCCCAAAAAAATATTGTTTGTAAAATGCGGATTCATCTTCAGCACACCCCCCAAAAAAATTATTCAAAAAATAAAAACTCCTACCAATTTTTACAGAAAAAAATCCTCTTTTGAGTGACATAGGCTGAGCTGATTGCTTAGTGACATAGAATGTAATTTGATCTGGTTTGATTCCTTTGAAATTTACTAATTTTAATTGATAAGTAAGAATATAATTTCTGATTTAAAAGATTATGAACAGGGGTGTTGTAGGGTTGGAACGAATTGGTACGACATTCTGGTACTTTTCTACTAGTCGCTGTTCTACAAGCCAGTATGCTGTTCCAGGACTTTAATTCAAGTATTTTGTTTAAATGATTGGTTGAAAATAAAATTGGTTTTTATTGGTTGGCTTTTATATTGCTTTAATTGTATGCGTAAAAAACACCATAAGGAACTAAAAACCTTGTTTATACTGAAGTTTGTGGCTTCATCAGATAAATATCAACTAAGTATTAAAGATTCTGATAAAATTCTTTATGGTAGTAAAAGTATTGGTTCATTAAAGTTAAGGGTTTGTTGTAAACAAATCTACAGATAAAATCAGGCGAATTCTAAGAATGGAATTTGTTGAACTCATAAAAGCCCCATTCCTAAATTACAGTTCTTAAATCTTTAAATAGATATACAGAAAAAAAAGACTGCCAATTATTGTTTAATTTTGTGTTAGTTGATAACTCATAGGTATTTCAAATTTCTTGTGGGAAAAATCAAGTAAATACTGTAATACTGTTTGGGCAATTTGAGAACAAATAACTAAGAAATGTATACTTACTTTTACATTCAAAGAACTTGAATTAAACTTCAGTTTGTCACTTATATTTTTTACATATTGTTCATTATATTTCAACTTAGAAGATTTCAAATTTGATTTGTTTAAACTCACACTCCAAACATCTTCCTATGAAAAAAAAAAAAACTCTTATAAATATTAATGATAATAAAGTAATGAAACTAAAAAAATATGGAATAAAAAACAGAAACATACCTTAATAAAACTGTTCTCATTAGTTTCTTTCTTTTGTAATTTCCAATAACTTTTATATGATTCTGTAAGTAAAGGATTAAACCTGTAATGATTAGTCAGAAATTGTAAAAATATAATTAAATTCAACCACACTCAAGTAGTTATCATAAAGCTAGTTTCTAATTTACATAATACCAAAGCAAGCTATAATATAGGATTTTTTTCCTTACATTTTTATTTTGGTAAGGACATTTTTTTATAACTTTAAACATATTTGCATTTAAAAAAATCCTTTCAATTCCTCATTCATAATTCTTTTCCAAAATTAAAATAAAAACATCCAAACAATTATAAAATATAAGTGCAAATGCAAACAGATAATTTTTTATGACAAAATAATGTTCAAAATAAACTACCATTTATTTAAAAATTACCGATGACGTGAGTAAATTAAACAGAATAATAAAATAAATTTTCAATAGAGAAAGTTTAAAGTATACTACAATTTCTTTTCCTGAAGAAGGCAAAGTTTTGAAAAACTTCAAAGGTTGTTAGATTAAAAAATATTACATTCATTTTGTCTTTTAATTAAGAAAAATTGATATATTGTTCTTATTACACTTAGGTATGTTTAAGTTAACAATTGATATAGAAACTGAAGTTATTTGAATCTTGAATACCATATTTTATTTTCCGGAGTCCTCTTTCAATAGGGTTATGTGGCTTAACTTTAAACTCCGATAATCAACTTCATAGTTTAGACACAACTGAGCACAGTTCACAAAATATCTTTTGATATCTAAAATGCTGTATATTTCCAAATATAAGCCAAGAATTTTGGAAATCTTTTGAAAGCTAAAGTTGGAAGGGGGAGGTCGGCTCATAAGGGAGATTTCCGTATCGTGATCTGTAGCAGAATAACCACCAAGTCTTGGAAACTTCCGGGCAGTGGCCCGTGAGAAACTAAAAAAAACATCACAGAAAGGGACCAACTCGAAAGGTATAACCCTTAGCCACACCCGGGCAAACTTCTACATGTTTTTTTTAAAAAATTTGCAAGTTTAAAATCTATTTGGCATCTTGGCGATTGTAGTTGATGAGACAGATCACGATACGTAAATATCCAGGGCTTATAATCACCTCCATTAACTTTGAAAAGTTCTTAAGAGGACATCGTCAATAGAAATACATCTCTTTTTGTCGGACATTAGCGATGATCACTAAATATTGTGAAAGGCACATGCTAAACATAAAATAATAGTTGAGAACAGAATGCTTAAACATAAAATTAATAAAGAGACACATAAAAAAGACAATTTGAAAGGAACACTAATATTTTTTTAATCTTCTAATTACGAAGTTAGAAGGTCCTTTTGCCCTATATACAACCGGCAATAAAAGAGAGAGGGTACATTTTTATTCCCAAGCATAGTATGCATTTTCTATCACGTTGGCTTATACACGAGTTTTGAATTTTTATTTTATCAGGCACAAAATACTACACAAACTGTGAAGAAAAAAAGTACATGTTTCAAAAAATATTCTTATATACCTTTAATATTCGATGGTGCATTAGTAATGTCCTCCTAAAAAAAGAAACATGTATTAAGTAAAAACATCACATAAAGCTAGTCTTGTGATGAAATAAAAATGTAATAAAATAACAACTTACTTTACTTGGTTTTTTAAGATTTATTTTAAGAAATTCAGACTCCCAGCTTTTTATTTTCAATTTTAAGTCTCTTAATGTATTTTTATAGGTTGTAGACATATTATTTCCATTTACTAATAATACCAAATACTTTAATGTATGCAATGTTTCACGTTACAAGTGGTTTGACATTTTTTATGAATTCTTATTTATTCCAAACCATTAGTAGATAAAGTCAAATTAAATCATGAAATATAATGGATACACGTATAATAGATTAAAGATAAGTTACAAAAATTTTCTCTTCATTTGTATAAAAAATAATTACTGTTTCTCTCAATTAAAAGCACAATGTTTGTTTTCAAATTTTTGTTTACGCGCCTAGAAAAGAAAAAAGGAAAGGAAAGTAGTTTTTTCGCTTGTACTCTCTAAATCGAGGAATTAGTGACTGGAATTTCGGTTTATTATTAACTGTTGTTTTCACTGTTTATATTCTGATGTTACGTCATGATCAAATCGTGGCCGATTTGTTATTGTAGGAGTAATGTGTAGATGTCAAGCAAAGTTTACTTGATAAACCTATTGATGAGCCAACGTACTTGTAAAATTAAATTTTTTATTTTAATTTTCTAAATTTATAGAAATATATATCTATTTTTTTTGTTGAATTGTATAGAGACCACATTCTTAATATTATGGAGGACAAGTTTTGCTTTGCCATTGATCGAGGCGGTACCTTTACTGATGTTTTCGCTGTTTGTCCTGGTCGTAAAGTTAAAGTTTTGAAGCTTTTGTCAGATGATCCTTCAAATTATAAAGATGCTCCGAGAGAAGGAATTCGACGTATCCTCTCTGAAGTAATAACTACTTTTTCCTTTATTGAAAAGTATAATGTGTTACTCTTGATTAATTTGTTATTCATATATTTTCGAATATTTTTTCTTTATTAATTTCTTATTTTGTACATTTCAAATATACTGTATTTCTTTGCGTTCGTCGAAATATATTTTAATTTGTTTAAATACATATTTGCATTAGCATATATTTTTTTCTATTTTGTTAATGCATTGATGATAAATTATGAATGTTTCCCTAACCTTTTCATTGAATTGGTTTTGCCCTAACCTTTTCATTGAACAGTTTTTCGTTTTCATTTACGCAACGTGATGCCTGATCTTTGGGTGGACGTACTGGTATTTTAAATTTCAATTCTAAATAATTTTTAGAGAAAAGTAAAAAGGGAGGAGTTTCTTATCAGTAGGTAGCTATGTCTTAAAATGATGCCAGATTTTAGCGACAACTGATCACTAAAAACAGACTACCAAACATTGAGGATTTAAATAGGATCTATTGGTCATGTCAGACATAAAGTAAATTATGCCATCACACCATATTCATTATTTTCAACAACATAATTCCTTTTTATGAGTTTCTTTTATCCACTTTCATCTAGGCTTGCATATTAACAACTTTTTTCAAGATTTCTTTTTCAGTGCATTCTAGTCTAAATAAATGATACTCTTATTGTGTGTAAGCTAGTTTAATTATTTTTCATGTTTCAGTTTCTAAGCATATTTCTTTGATAGTTCATGTGATAAAGTCAGGGTTGCCACAGGCTACTAAAATGCAACTATTTGCTACTATTTTCGGCCTTAAGCGACTATGGCGACTTTTTTTTGCCTGAAAAGGCTAAAAAAGCAACTATTTTCAGGAAAAGGCGACTATTAGGAGACTTTTTGTTACTCTTGGCGAAGTTTTTCTGCAAAAATGAACGTTACTTTTCAGAACGTTAATAAAAGAAAGTAAACTTTAAAGGCAAAAAAAGCAAATATTTTCAGGAATAATCGACTATTAGGAGATTTTTTTTACTCTTTGCGAAGTTTTTTCGCAAAAATGAACGATACTTTTCAGAACGTTAATACTTTTATACAATCATTTATGTCCAAAGAGCCAAAAATTTAAATTTCCATTGGATTTAATAAAGTGCTTGTTATATGTTCTCTTTGAGGGGCAGTTTTGTTATTTTTGATTGTTTTTTCCTTCTATTAACATTTATATTTTATTGTAATTCGACTTTTATTTAGGTACCTATTTTCTAATATATATACCTTTTATATTTGTACAAAACTTTTTTTTAATTGGAGCTTAGTTTAGACTGGGCGATAAATTGATGTATCGCGAAATATCGATTTAATGCATATATCGGTAGGCCGATGTAGTGACTTTCGTTTCAGGTGATGCATCAGAAATCTGATTTAAACCGCCGGAATAAGATTACAATCGCAGTTTAACGATTTAATATGCAAGGATCCTTGACTAGGCTAACGCTGTTACCGCACTAACAAAGACGATTTTGATTTCGTCTAGCTGCAGAGATGTAGATAGCGTTTTGCTATTAAGATGTTAGTTTTGTGATGTTGAATGACGAAGAGCGAATTGAATCAGAACTCCCGGTTTCGTGCGAGGATCAGCATTGTAATATAGAACGCAATGCATAGTTTCTTTATGTCCATTTTTGTCTTTGGGATTTTGCGTTTTTTGAAGATTATTTTCAATGGGACTTAAGTCATTTTGCGATCGTTGTGCATTTTATTTCGTCAGAAATAATTGTCTGGTTTCTTGTAAATTATTTTCAGTGGGACTTTTGCAGCGATCGTTTCGTTCTGCATTATTTCATAACGATTCTTGTCAATTATTTTTAGTAGACCTACTGTTACTTTGCGATTGCTGCACAATCGCTGTTATCTTAAATTTTCGTTCTGAACTCAATAGATCAAATCATTGATTTTTTTCAATTATTGTTTATTTTAAGCGATACCATTTAATAGGGGTATTTTGTATTCATAAAAAGTTAGTTTTTTTTAATTTATTAAATGCAGGTAAGTATAATAATTTGATTGTTTTTCAACCCATAAATGCTCAGTCGTTTTTAATTATAAAAAAATTAAAACAAAGCTTACCTTTATTTAATTTGCTTTTTGAGAAAATGAAAACAAAGTTTTTTAAAAAAATTTGGCTATTAGTTAAAACAATTTTTTTTAAAAATTAAATAGAAAGTTTAGTAATGTTTTGAGGTTTTTAATAATTTAACATTAGTACTTAAAGTATTTTTTTTAAAATTTCAATTAAAATTCTTTCAATACTTGTTTGTTTTATAATTTGTTAGATATTCAGTATCATTTTTAAACAAATAAATCTTTAGTCGATTTTATTTTCAAAAATGAAAATAATAATAAATAAGTAAAAATATTTTTACATTTATTAAGTACAGAATTTGACCATTAGTTAATACTACTTTTTATTATTTTAAATAAGTAAATAAAAAAGGGTCTAATGATGTTTCAAAAGCATGTTTTTTTTTCAACAAATAATAAATAAATAAAAAAAATAAATTCTAAGGTGAACATTTCTTTGGTTTGTTTTCCACTTTCGTTTTTATTTCTTTTAATTTTTAATGCATGTATGTAAAATAATTTGTTACAGTATTATTATTTTTAAACCAATAAATCTTAAATCATTTTTAATTTAAGAAAAATGAAATAAAGCTTGGGTTTGCTTTTACTTTGACTTCTTTATTAATTTAATTGAAAAAATTAAGCAATGATATTGATGTCATAGTAGAATATGTTTAGAATTAATATTTTCTTTTGTACTAGATTTATTCCTTTTTATTTATTTTTGATTGATTTAAAGATTTCCCATACATAATTTTTGAACATATACTAAATTGCGATTTATCACTATATCCTGATGTCTAACTGACAATGTATCATGATTTAAAATTTCTGACTTCACCCAGTCCTAATAATAGTATTTGGTAATTAAGCTATAATTTTAGTTATTTGGCTACTATTTTTGATAAATTTTTGTTCCTGTTCAGGCAACTATTTTTATAGTTTTAGGCAACTATTTTCAGGCTTGAGGCTACTAAAGGCAACTATTTTTGTTCATTTTTTACTGTGGCAACCCTGTATTTTCCATTGATTTAGGTAACTGGAAAAAAATATGAAATGGATGAACCTTTACAAACAGATGAAATAGATTGGATTCGAATGGGAACAACTGTTGCCACTAATGCTCTCTTAGAAAGAAAAGGTGAAAGAATTGCTTTAGTGATTACATCTGGGTTTAAAGATGTTCTTCATATTGGGAATCAGTCTCGGCCTAAAATTTTTAGTTTGGTATGTTTTATTTATTCATTTTTCGTTTTACTTAATAGGAATTTTTTATTTCTAATTTATGGAATGCTCTTATTCTAAACTTCTTTTTACCGGTTGTATTTTACTTGGTATTTGCCATTGTTTAAAATAATTTTTAACTTTGAAAATTGTTGGAGATAGTAGGTACTGGATGTTATGAAATAACTTGGACAAAGTATGACAATATTTTTATCTCAATAGATTGGATGTTAATAATAAATCATATTGAAGAATGAATCATAAGCTTGTTTGTGAAAGATTTTATACTTCCATGGTCATAACATTTTTTAAAAAAAAATTCACCTTCCTTTAGAATTCTGTTCTAGGATGCAGAATTGAAGATATTTAAGTATAGTACCTTTCTGAACTTTCTTTTAACACAAGAAGGGTAACTTCGTTTTTTCATTCAATATTTTTTTCTTCTCCATTAATTCAATTTTGAAACATGAGTTAGTGCTTAACTTCTTAAGATTTTAACAGATTTCTTTGTGTGAGGAATAGGGCAAAATATCTATTAGTTAGTTGCACCTCATAGCAGAGCATTTTATAATACCTTTACAGCTCTGTATTTATGCCAAAGGTGGTTTACAGGTGTAGTAATGTTTTTATGTATATTTGAAAGTGTGATTGTGATATTTTAATAAATATTAAAACTTTGTTTTGTATGCGTCCAAGTTATTTTTTTATATCACTGTTTTTTTTTTACCTTACATAAACTTGATGAAGGGAGCTTACAGCTTCAATAAAAGTACAAAAAATATTGTAGAACTGTAAGTCAGGTGAATTGTCTATCAATTTTATGACTTTTATATTGTATTTTTACTCTAAATCAGAGACTTTGTCCCGGATTCTCTGAAGTTTCTCTGCAATTTTGCCTGTTACTATGAACTATAGGAATTAACCCATTCTACGGAAAAATATGATTTTTATTGTTTTTTGGTAAATGGTTATCGTTTATTGGCCATTTCCCAAAGGTTATTAAATTCTGATATACTTAATACGATATTCGATTTATCTATGAAAGTTCTAACTTTTTGACACAAAAATTTTATCTTAGATCTATGTCGTTTTTCTATGATTTTTCAACCATCTCCCAGTGATTTTTGTAATTTGAATATTTTAAATATGATAATAATTTGATATGTGAATTTTGAGTTTCAGCCTTCACTTTCTCGTGTGCCCAATAACAACAATTCAATTGTAAATCTGATAATTCCACTTTTCTAATCGTCTTTAGTTTGTGGTGGCCATGTGGTTTTTAATCCCAAACTTTTTTTGTAATGTTATTTCAACATACGAATTTCATATTTAAGTAATCACTTTAGACATGATGCCTCCATTGTAAATCAACATCGTTTCCGGAATTTTGTGGACAGCTGTTAATCATTTTTTTGTCCATTTCCAAATCGTCTTTCCAATTTTGATATCTTTTTATGGTGTGCTAATTTTGAACTTGAGTTGTATTATGCCATCATGAATCCACATCGTTTTTTGATCTTTTTTTGATAGTTATATATTATTTTTCAGCTGTTAATGATTATAATTTTTTGTGTTTTTGGTTATTTGCATCTATTTCTTTTTAAATCTTGATAATTTAAATAAAACATTATTGCAAAATGCTAAATTTTCAAAATACTAAAAATTCACTATTTTTTACTTTTTTTCACTATTTATTTCATAATGTCTTAAACTTTCTAAAACACATTTTGTACAATTATTGAAAGGGCTTAGAAGCTACTGAAAATTTTCATGATTACTTCAGAAAACTCTGATCATGAGTTGGAGTATCTGCAAAATTATATTGACCTTACTCTGTTTTAGATTTTATTTTAACTATATTTTTAAGTTCTAGTGTTTCTATGAAATATTACTTCAAGTTTTAATTGTGTAAAATAAAATTTTGCCACAATTATGCTATAAAAATGTAGTAATGTTTTTTATTATCTTAGAAAAAAAATTGAGTCAAGGGATTTGTCTATCAATTTTATGACTCTTAAGTTATATTTTAATAAATTATATTGATCTTATTTAAATATAGATTTTATTTTAACTGTATTATTGTTTTGATTGTTTGTTGAAAACATCAAAAATAAAATTGTCAGTCTCATTTTCAGTAACCAGATTACTTTCCTAAACAAGAAATCCGTTTTTTTTTCCAATGTTATTCTAAAGCGACAAAGTTTATAGCTCGTTATCTATTTATATTTTTGCACACATTTGTTCAACTGTGAAAGGTTTAAATAAATATTTTGAATACAATTACTTTTGTTTTAATCAGTTACTTTGAAATAGTAACACATTTCAGAGGAAGATACCTACGGGTTTAAATAAAACTTTGAAATTTTTTTAATAGCAAGATATTCTAATATTTTAAATTTTTGCTTTTTTTAAATTTTGAAAGCTTACTACAACATGTTAATATTCTGTTTTAAAACACAATCTTCTTTTAGGAGTTACTATGAAGTAACAAGAAATTTATTTTAAAAATCTGTTTAATTACACTTTCCTGAACATGATAGTTCTAAGCAGGTTTAAATAAATCTTAAAATTATTTTATTGATAAAATATACACTAATGTTTTAAATCTTTTCGATTACAACAATGTGTTAGGATATTGTTTCTTTCCTTTTTTTAAAGTTTATTTGCTTTTAGGAAATAAAATGTCCTGAAGATTTGTATGAAGAAATTATTGAAGTTGATGAAAGAATTGTTTTAGAAAAAAGCAAGTGTGAAATTAAAAAAATTTGCCCTACTTTAATTAGTACTACAGGGGAGAACGTAAGTTTTATTATATATTTTTTTAAGTATTTAACATTATTACATTGATGTTTCATTCATTATAAAACTATTTTTCTTAATTTTACTCATTATCTTAAGTTATTGTAATTGTAAGAAATAAAATGAAAGTTTTATTAACTATGTTTCGTCAGAAAATAATTTTATTTTTGTCAGACTTAAAATAAAAAATGTAGGATGCATCCTTCATGTTTTTTAACCTGGGAAGGTTGCCTTCAGTTTGTAGCTGTAATTAATAATTTTGTTTTATTTGGACCTAAAACAGAAAAAAATAGTGTGCATCTTTTTCAAAAGACTTCGAAAGTTTTATAATGAAAGTGGTATTTTCTACATTTTTTGTTTGGTATGCCACCAATAAAATTATTTTCTTCTTTTTAGACTACCTAAAACTGTAGTTATTATGACTTTACTTCATTATTTCCTTTTTAGTTTTGTCTCCATTAGTTAATTTTTAAAAATATGTACAAGTTAGTATAAAAGGGGTGAAGTCTTGATTAGCAATACATTTTGCTTGTAGTACTATTTAAGAAACAATTTTAACTTGTATCAGTATTAGGTACTGAGCTCCAGGTGAAATTTGAATTCTATAGTTCAATTTAAATTGATTATAAGGTTTCAATATAATTTGGAGATAGCATGACAGTATAAATTCTGCTTATAACAGTTGTGAAATATTTGAACACTGAATCGTTCTTTAGCCCAGGGCTTATATTTAACTTTGAACATTCCAACTAGTACAAAGTGGTTGAAATTTTAATTGGCAGTAAATTCTATTTGGGTATAAAATAACAGTAAGTTCTCCTTGTAGAAAACAGGTAGCAAGTTAAATTTATGTTGTCCTTAGGCATGGAGCTCTATCAAAGATTTGAGACCTTAGGTAGTTGAAGAGGGGTCAATATTTTAATTGCAAGATTCCACCCTTACAGGCACAGAAGGTAGTTAATAAAAATGTTCTAAAATAGCTTAAAAATGGGTATAAACAAATAAAAAATATTGTAAGATGAATGACAATTTAACATTGAAATTAATTCAAAAGATCATCTTAGTTTTTAATTTATTTTACTCACAAAATTTAAATGTTTTTCTTAAATTCAATGGTTATTTTTATATTCTTTGGTTTACTGATTATAAGTTATCTGTATGAAATATTTAAAATAATTAGATTTACGTAAATTATACTCTTTCAATTCTGATTAGGAGTTAATATTTCAAACCAAAGATTTAAATAAAGTCTAAAAACACAAAAAGATGTTACTTTTATATATTTAATAGTCTTTGAAATGTTTTTAAATAATATAAACTTCATTTTGGGCAGAGACTTTTTTTAAAATTTACCTTTAACTTTGCTTATTTGTCTTTCTGAAAAGGGTTAGAAAAATGCAGTTTTGTTTTATATTAGTGAGCAGTGTTTTTTTTTCTTCCTATTCTGCTTAGGTTAAAGTTTGGACTCCTTTAAATGAAGAAAAACTTAGAAATGACTTAAATATTGTTTTATCAAAGGGAATAAAAAGCTTGGCTGTTGTTCTAATACATTCCTATATGTAAGTTTTTAGCACATTTTTAACAAACCATTCATGTAAAATAATTTTTGTATAATATTTTTTATTGAGTATTCTATTAATAATTAGGTTTCCTGATCATGAGCAATATGTTGGCAGAATTGCTAAAGAAATGGGTTTTGATCATGTTTCTTTATCCTCTGAAGTAATGCCCATGGTTAAAATTGTACCAAGAGGACATACTGGTAATTTACATTCTATGCTATGAATATACAACTAGTTTGATAAATTTATATTTGTGTTAATTTTGATTTTGATTTGTTACTTTTAGCGTGTGTAGATGCATATTTAACTCCTTGCATTAAAAGATATGTTACCAATTTTTCAAATGGATTTGAAAATAAATTAGAAGTGAGTTATATTTTTTATTTGTTATACAGTTTAAGCAGTTTAAATTTGAAAAGCATGTTGGTGTAATTTTTTATAATATTATTTTAATAATTTTTGCTTTTAGAATGTCAATGTGCTGTTTATGCAATCTGATGGAGGATTAACACCTATGAATTTGTAAGTTTGACTTATATTTTTATTATGTATTTTTCTTTTCTAGTTGTAATATAATAGTGACACATTCTTTTATGAAGTTATTAATATGGGGTAAATTAGAACAAAAACTGTGTAGACAAATAAGTACACATTTTCTCCTTTAATAATATCAAAAAGTATTAAATACTTTCAAAAATGTTAAAAAAAAGTGGTGAAATAGAATTCCAAGGTTTCAGCTTAAATGCTTAATTTTTGCGTGATGGGGACTTGAAAAATAATAATTAAGGACTAGATTTTGATAACATATAAATGTTATTTTTTCAACCCTATTTCTATTTTTAAGTACTTAAAAATTTTTTTTGAATATATTTAAATACATGTATGTATATATATAAGTATATATTATATAAAACCTTATGCAAAAAAATCCTAAAATTGTAAAAAATAACCCCACAATGTATATACATACATATATATATATTTTTTTTAAAGAAAAAATTACAGATTAATAAGTTGGGAAACAAAATAAGGAAAAGATCTCGTCATCAGCTCACATGATTATATCCATAAAAAAGAGAGCTTTCTAATATTGTATTAACGTAGCCAAAGCTAAATATACGAATGCAATAGTGTGAATAGCACAAAAAAATGTAAACATTTTAAGTCAAAAATGCAAAATAAACGTAACAAGCAAAAAATAGAAAATAAAAATTCAAGACAGTACAGAATAAAGCACAGAATAAGTCGCAACTGCACCAAGCTGCCAACGTTATAACTGGCAGACTATTTGAAGGAAATATTTGAAAAAAAAAAAACCAGAAATTATTATCTCACATAAAACTGAAAAAAACGTCACAACAGGAAAAAGCAGTAACACAAAGTAGCATCCAAACCATCAGCAAAAAAAAAAAAGGACTAAATTGGAAACCGAAGTGGTACACATGGTAACATCATCAGGGGGGCATTACCATGTAATCAGTGCGGGAGCAGTTTCTGCAGTTGGTCGTAAAATACCGCAAACAAAAATATTCCCAATTGCCCCAAGAATGATATGAAGAAACCAAAAGAAAACAAGTCAGGTGAAGACTATATAGTGAGATCTCTAAAATCGAAGAAGTAATACATAAATTTAATAGATCGGAAACAAGATTTTTTGGGTGAGATTCAAGGATCACAGGTTTGAGTATTTAATTAATTTGCATGCCAAAAAAGATGGAGAGCAAGAAATATATATACACACATATATATACTCATATATATGCACATATATATAAAAAATTTAAACACACATATATACTCTTATACACTTGCGAAAACACATCCACATTGTGGAGTATTTTTTAAAATTTGAGGATTTTTTTGGCATACAGTATTTTTTTATATGAAAATTTTAAAATATTTTTTCATTTTAAGTGTAACTTTCTCTTACAACATTGGTTTTTTTATTTGTTTATCAAATAAAATTATTAATATGATTTGAACTATTTGGTATAGTACAATTTCTGAAAAAAGTTGACCATTATCATATCCTCTAACATTTGAGACGGTTAAGAATTTTTTAGTACCTTTGTAAACTAAATCAGAAATCTTTAAAACAAATCAAAGTGTTTTAAATCTTTTTAAAACCATAACTGTTTGTCTCTCTGAAAAATCTATCTGTTTAAAATATTAATATGTTTTGGCAAAATTATTTAAATTCTAATTTATTCAAATATTAATACATTACTTTTACTATCACTATGAAAATTCTATGGTAGTTAGAGGGTATGCATTGTGTACCATTAAATAAATTTGTTGATTAAGATAAAAATTAGAATTATTGTCTGGGGTCTTTGTAGGAGGATAATACAGAGAACAAAAGCATTAGATCTAACATTTATTTCAAATTTTTTTATGTGACATTTTTTGATGTTTTTTATGGTTATTTTAGGTTATTAAAATCTGATTTCTAGTAATTAGTGCTAATGATTTATCACTAGAGATAAAATTTAAAACATACTCTCTAGTTTTAGAATTATAAATTTTTTGGGCTACTGGAGTTAAGCAGTGCATTACTTTATTTCTTTGCACACACCAGGTCCTTGATTGGCACTGATTGTTTTCAAATTCTGGCAAATCTAAAAATAAATTTAATGTTATGTTCTATGTTGAGGCAAATGCCTAATATCATGAAAGATTGTAAAGTTTTTTTTTAATCTTTACCTTAATACTATTTAGACAAATTTTACTCACGCTATTTCCAACTACATTTCTAATACAACTTCAACATTAATTTAAATCAAGATGTTTAAATTTGATATAAGCTTCGTATAAAAATTATTCTAAATTGTCAATTTTTTGTGAGAAAAAGTGTTCAATTAAGCTATTATATAAACCATTATGCTGTTGAAAAGTTCTTCATGTTATAATCTAAGGAGTAAAAATTTTTAATAGAACCCATACTCTTCATTATAGTTTTTATTATGCGTTTTAAATTTTGTGTGTGGAATTTCTTAAAAGTTTTTTTGGAAACATGCACAGATTTAATGTTTTCCACATTTATGAGGGAAAATAAAATCGCTTGATGGCTGTATTAGGTCTCCCCCTCCAAAATAAAAGCAAAAAATATTGTAAAATTTTAAATTCAAAAACTTTTTTAATCTTTTTTTTTTGCTTGCCTTTTTTTGAAAAAACAAATCAATTCCATGCATTGCAAGAATTTATTTTTCTTCATCAAATACAAAATGCTTTATTCAAATCGATTTTTAACTTTCTGAGATAATGATGCCAGAAATTTGCCTGTATTGGCAGTGAAGTACAATATTGGAGGTATTAAGTTTCTTTAAAGCTTATACATAAACATTATTTGCACAACAAAAGAAGTAATTAAAAAAGTGAATCTGTTAAAGGTAATATGATATAAGTTGTTATAGCTATAGTAATAGTAAAAGTCAAGTAATTAATAAAAGCTTATAAAATAGGAATTTACTTATTATTTATTCATCAACTTATTAAATCATCATTTATTAAATTGAATTAATTGAATTAATTTCATCAACTTAAAATGCTATTTTTAAACAAAGATTTCATATTTCAGATAATTATGCGCATTGTAAATTTTTAAAAAATGTGTGAAAAGAGGTTTTGAAATTTTTTTTATTTCAGACAATTTTAATTTTTTTTCTTTTAAAAGAACCATTTTTAATTTTTTTTAATTTAGGTTCTGTGGTTCAAGAGCTATTTTATCTGGTCCAGCCGGTGGTGTAGTTGGATACAGTAAAACTACTTATAGTAAAAAATCACCTATGCCTGTAATTGGCTTTGACATGGGAGGTAATATATTTCAAAATACCTATGTGCTCATTACTTTAATTGTTTTCCACTAAATTTACTTTGAAGTTACTTTTTATACCATATGCAATTTACAATACATGTTGTAGATTTAAGTATAGTTTTTTTCTTATTAATAAGCAAATTTGTTTTGTTTTTAGGTACCTCTACTGATGTTAGTAGATATGATGGTTATTATGATCATGTCTATGACACAGTTATTGCTGGTGTTAACATACAAGCACCTCAGGTAACTTTTGAGAAATTCTTTCATTATTAATAATTAACATGCTTTTTTTTTTTATCTTTTTTAAAACTATATTTTATCAATTTCTGTTTCATTATTTTTTTGTTGTTTACTGTGGTTATTATGCCTAAAATATGTACTAAAGTAAATACATCTTAACTAAAAGCTTTAATGGCTAAAAAAAAGAGGCATTTTTAAAAACACAACAAATTATTTTTGCAGCTTGCTCCTTAACAACAAAAGAAGTTTAAATACAAATTTTGAAGCACTTAATACATCAAAAGATTTTGAATATAAAGTATATATGTAAAGTTATTTATAGAATGTAATGACATTTTAGGATAATTTATGGAATACATTTTATGTTTGTAGCTTGACATTCAAACAGTTGCTGCTGGCGGAGGTTCTAGATTATTTTTTCGTACTGGTCTTCTTGTTGTAGGGCCTGAATCTGCAGGTGCTCATCCGGGTCCTGTCTGCTATCGAAAAGGTAAGTATTTTATTACCTCCTCCTGCTACTACTCCGTATGTTACTTCATAATTTTAAGTCACTTAAGTAATTATATTTATTTATAATTACATGATTATATTATTACATGATTAAAAATCTTTTTTTTAAATATAAGCGATAGTTTTACTATGACTTTGTAAAGGATAATTATGGTTTAATAATACTCTTAATCTAAATTTATGAGATTTCTAGAATGCTAGACAGTTTTTATTCTATTAATTTTCTTAACATACTAGTTTTTAATATTATTACCAATTATACCAACTAAATTGGCAGGTTAAGTTTCATCATGCTAGGTTATTTCTAATTATAAGTTATCAAACTCTGCAACTTGGTTTAAACAAGATATTTTGAGGCAAAGTATTGCAAATTGGAAGAAAAAATTCATATAAAACAAAAAATAAATGAAAAATAATTAAGAAAGTTGTTTTACAGCCCGTTTAAACACTTTTATCAACACAAATGAGTTAATATATGTATTTTTAAAGAGGCTCCAAACTTTATCCTCTGTTATTTTTTAAGATATTTGTTTGTTTTAAATATTTTGTATTAACTTGTTTGTATTTTTTTTCTTACAAATATATTGTTTAGACCCTAATATAAGATTATTAATTATCTCAATCAGTTGTTTCAAGATATGATTATCAGTTGCGTTGCCTTTTGCTTCATTCATAGGTAACACAAAGTATGCCCTATCCTCATATTGTATAATGTTCTGCTAAATCAAAAATCTAGTTATAAAATTAGTTAAGAAGCTTATCAACATATGACGCTGCTAAATCAAAAAATTATAAAGCAATATTTTCTGTTGTATGTTTGGCCTTTCGGACTAAAATATTTACCAAGACTCCTGCTAATTATGTTCTCAGTTAAAAACTTTTTTAAAATTATTTAAAAGAAATTTGTAATTTAAAAAAAATTTAAAAAACTAAGAAATTTGTAATTTTAAAGTTTAATATAAAATTTAGAATTTTAAAAAAAAAAAATAATCCTTGCATTTTAATTGAAACATAAAATATTAAATATCTATTAATTTTTTTAAAATTTACATTTTTTTAAAAATTTTATTTAATATGAAAAGAAATAATTAATAAATCAAATAAAACATATTAAATAGTTATCAGCATTTTTAGAAAAGAAAATTACAGATAAAATTCAAATGTCCCAGCTGAGATTTGAACTGCAGACCTCTTTAATAGAATGCAGACAGCTTAAGTATTGCTCTACAAATGCACATAAGCTGGAAAGTTTTGTTAGTTTAAAAGTAAATGAATTGAAGCTTTAATGGGGTGTATTTTATCTCAGCGGCAAATATGGTGGCTAGTTTGTACCCTATGCAAGGCTTAAATTGTTGCTCTATAATTCAAGCTTAATTTTTTTCCTAGGAATTTTACAATCCTTGTAAACACTTAAAAGTTTTAGCTTCAATTCAAAAACCTGTAAGATTTAAGTTTCTATTCAGTTTTATTCTGAAACTATGCATGTTTTTGTATGTAGGAGGTCCTTTAACTGTGACAGATGCTAATCTTTGTCTTGGCAGATTACAGCCAGATTATTTTCCTAAAATTTTTGGAGCTACTGAAGATTTACCTTTAGATAAAGATGGTACAATCAAAGCTTTTGAAGAGTTATCTGCAGAGGTTTGAGTTTATTATGTTTTTAGCAAATTTTGTGAAAACAACTTAAGAATAGTTTAGGCTTAAGAATAGTTAATTGTTGAGTTAAATATTTAAAACAATTGATTAATAAATAAATAAAAATAACAGATTAAATACACAGTTGCTGTATATTTTATTATGCATTAGTGATCTTTTTCTATTAAAGTAAGCATGACTAAGTATTTAATACAAATACAGCAGCTAGCAATTTTTTCTAAAACTGCAAGTTTTAGATAAAATTTTATACTTAAATTCTATATCTTTGTAAATTAATAGTTAATACTGTAGACGCAAACGAGAGTTACTTTCATAAATGTTTTGTTAATTTCTATGGAACCTTTCTGTAGACATAATCAATTTATAACATGTTAAAACACAACATTTTCCTCGATTACAAAGTTAGTTTTTGCTATTTGCTTATTTTTTATGTACAGTGCACAAAATTTGAAACAAAACACTTAACTTTTGTGGCAGTAATCGAATATTCAGTAAGATGTAATTCTTATAATTTGTAATCTAACCTTGAGTAGGATAATCAATTTCTGCAGACAATGTTTAAGTTATGCATTTTTTTGAAGAAAGTTGCTTTTTTTATAGTTTGATTTTTTATCTTCAAAATATGGGGAGGAGTCACAATCTGAAAAATAAGGTCCAAACATTTCAGAAGAGTGGTTGAAAAGTTAGAAGCCCTTAATGTTAATTTCAAGTTTTGTATATTTTTCCATGTCTTGGGAACTATTAAAGACAAAGAAAACATTTTTTTGCGTACAAATCTGAAACTCTGTAACCAAACACAATTTCCTGCAAAATGTAATTTTTAAAGATTACTCATAGTTTTTAATTAGTTAATTATAAAACAGGCAAAATATTTTTGAATTGTAGGGTACATAAAACTTAATTTACTTTTTAAGGACATAGTTTTAAATAACAAAATCGAGAAATCTAATGAAAACCTTAAATGGTGTCTGAGTTATGAAATAAGAGAAAAGCGCTAAGCTCTGTATCAAGTGGCCGTTTACATTAAAACTGTTCTTAAAAGTTATTGAATCTTATTCATATTCTGCCGCTAGGTGGTTCCACATCTTTCGATGAGGCTGCAGCATAGCATATATACAAATTCGCATACCTGGCAATTCAGAAATTATTTGATCATTTCTGAGCTAAAAAATGTCGAAATATTGATTTTGGATGAATGAGCTTTAAAATTGTGCCCCAAAACTTTTTATTCCTTTCCTTAGATACAGCAAAATAAGCAGGGCATGAAATTATCATTAAAGGGCTCAAACTTTGAACTCTTCTCCTGACTAAGTTATTGAATGTTTTGCAGTTAAATCACATATTTTAAGGTTTTAAAATTTAAATCCATTGTAAAAATGTACTTTTATTTAGTAGCATGTTAGAGAAAGCATATTTCTGTATCTGATTCTGCAATTTAAACTATTGTGTTCCTGAATTAATTGACATATTTATGGTTATTTCCCTGATAGCAGATATCCTCTAGCATAGCAGCAGGTGCTGAAAATTATCATTGCATCTGCAGCAGATTATCATTGCCATGGTGCGTAGTGTTTTTAAAAAGTGCTTGAAGGGGCTTATTTTCGATTTTGGTTTTTAAAAGCCCTTAAAGGTGCTTTTTTCATTGAATGTTTTTAAAAAGTGCTTAATTTTTCCTTTTAAAAAATTTCTTTCTTTACCATGCCAATTTTCACCACATGTTATACAAAAGCGTGCTTTTCACATTGTTCTATGCAACGTTTTCACAATTCATTCGATCACAATCTATTTTGGTGTACCGTCGGTCCATAGCGTATGAAAACGCCAATAAGTTTACATGCTTGATGAAACACTTTGAAGTCCGCATGTGCGTCTACTTAGCTGGGTTCGGTGAGATTATTACATTCTCATGTGCAACTCTGCTGCATTTTTCAAGATATTCTCAATTTCAGGTTTCGTTTTTCACCCTCTGATATTGAACCGAAAAATCTCTCGAACATTTTAAATGGCTAATATAATCAAGAAAAGAGTTCTTTATCAGAAACTAGTTATTTTATCATGATCATGTTAGGTCAAATCTTTTTTGAGTGCTTAAAAAGTACTTAAACGGTGCTTATTTTTTGGTGAAAGATTTAGCTACGCACACTGACTGCATCTGCAGCAAATTATCACTGCATCTGCAGCAAATTATCACAGCATCTGCAGATTATTTTCCATCTCAAATTTTTTTTTTAAAAAGAACATGGATAAAAACTCTATATCTCAGAAGAAAATGAGAACAAGTAAAACTTATAGATCTTCTTTTATGAATTGTAAGGAAGTTTTCCTTTTTTAAAAATATGATACCAAAAAGAGACACTTAAGTTATTTTCTGGCTACAGTTTAAATTGTCTGCTAAGTATCTGTGATGGTATGGAAATGAATTTTATAATAACTTTAAACATGCACAAATTAGAACATCATATATTACAATTCTTCAATTCCTTCTTTTAAAACTAAATGATTTTATTTTAATACTATCATCTGTAAATTAAATTTTTTATGATTTCTTTATTGGTTTTAGTATAGTAGCTTTTTTTCTCTTTTGAGCTAAGTTAAAGTATGCTTGTATAAAATTCAAATTAAATTTAAATAGCATAAAGTTTTTGTGTATAATTTATTTACAAATTGTGCAAAATATGTGTTAGATTAAGCTTAATTTTTACAATAATAACCGCTGTTTGGCTGCATCAAATTTACATTTTTGATTATAGTATTGTGTATTGATACTGTAAATTCTGTTACCCTGGTTATGCCTTTGAACTATTATGACTGCAGTTACTTAAAAATCTGACCACTTGATCAAAAGTTATTATGGTGTTTTTATTTTATTTTGAAAGCTGTTTACAAAAGTTTTAGATACAGATAAAATTTCACATGCAAATGAAATTTTTTTAGAAACCTTAGATTTCTAAAAATAAACAGACAAAGTGATCTTTTTACAGCTGAAGCAATTAATGCTAGTAATTAAAGCATTCTGTTTTTTGAATCACTTGTTTTATGAAAAACATATTATGATTTTCAGCTATTTGTTTAATATTTTCAGGTCAGTCAGTTCAATGACAGCCAAAGTGCAGAGAAATCTAAAGAAGTTCAGTCCATTGAAGAGCTTGCTTTAGGATTCATAAAAGTAGCAAATGAGGCAATGTGTCGTCCAATAAGAGCTTTGACACAAGGAAAAGGCTTTGACACATCACAACATATTTTAGCTTGCTTTGGTGGTGCTGGTAGCCAACATGCTTGTGCAATTGCTAAAAATTTGGGTATTTCTTCAATCTTTATACATAAGTAATTATAGTTTATGATATTATATCTAAAATTTAAGATCATCATTTAAATGGATACAAAGATAATAAGATAATAACATACATTTTATTTTTGTAGCATTTATTTTCATTGTTTCTTATTTGTTCTTTTTATGTATTACTACAGTTATCTTAAGATTTTGAATAATTTTAAATAGTGTGAACATGTATTGAATATCTACAGTTATCTTGTGAGCATATATTATGTGCACGTGAGACATGGACACTAACCTCGTAGCATGAGGAGTCATTTGCAATTTATGTGGTGGAACTTTAGTGGACGGCTTATAGCGAAGATGGACAAATTCAGAATTGCATAAAATTTTTAAAAAGCCTGATGATGTGAAATACTTGAAAATCCAAAGGATAAAATAGGCTGGATATCTGGTTAGAATGAGGAAGGTCGAAGCTGCCAAAAACCATTTCTAGCCAAGTCTATAGAAACTAGAAAAAGGGACAGACTCTGCCTTAGATGGATATTCTGAAAACCAAAAATTGTAGGAATTTTGCCAAATAGAAAAACGCCTTTAAGAGACTTCTGGGAAAAAGCCAGGGCCTACCTAGGACTGTCCTGATACTGAAAAAGAGGAAGAAAATGTAGGATCAGCATTGTAGTTAACATTTCTTATAAGTTGCTCACATAAAAAACAATCATCTTTCATCTCAGCTCATCATTAGCCAATTTCGCTTTTTGGTCGTTAATATGACTCATTCTACATTTTGAAATTTAAAAAAAGCAAACAAAACCAGAATTTAAGAAACAAAATGACATACTATGCATTTAAAATTCATAATTGTGCTAAACATTTTGAGGATATTTAAAATGACCTGTTCTGTTTCAGTTTCCATGACAGAATATATATTTGAAACTATATTAATAGATTTTTAACTTTTCAAAAGTTTATGTGAAAAAAAAATTAGTTAGTGGTTAGGCACTAAATCTTTTATCTGTAGGAAACATTCAAAGTAAAATGAAACATAGGCCAGGAAAATAGTAAGTATTGAAAGTAACAAATTTTCTACTGGAAAAAGCAGAATATTTAATACTCTAAGTTTTAAAAGTATGTTTGTTTTTTAGTGTTTTAGTTTTATACTAGCTTTTTAATTGCATGGTAATAATTTTAACTTGATGATTAATAAAAATTATCATTCATTTGTTTTAAAAGTATGTTAGAGTTTCAGTATATATTTTTATACAAGATTATTTATTGCATGATAATAATTTTAATATAATTATAATAAAAATTAACATTAATTTAATTTAATATTTTTCATACTAATATGTTATTACATCACAGTTTCAGTTTATTTTATGTTTCACTCTTCTGATTTGAACTTTTGTAATGAATGCTTATTATTTAATTAGATATGCTGGTATTCTTTCCGCATTTGGCATGGCTCTCGCTGATGTTGTTTCTGAAGAACAGGAGGCTTGTGTTGAAGTTTATTGTCCAGGTATGTAGAATATTAATATATTAGTTAAATATAAATTTGTGAAATATATTCGTAAATTGTATAAAAAGTTTAGGTTTAAAATGTAGTTGTCTGTGATTATGTAAATCATTAAAATAATACTTTTTAAAAACACTGTTAATGCTGTAATACCTATTTTAAAGTTTTTTTTGTGACATAGCAGGTGCAAATGAAGCAATTGAAAGAACTAGCAAATGCCACTACTATTGGATGCTTGCAAACGACATCATTGTGGATAAATGGTGGCATTCGTTTATATCTATCGTGATATTACTTACAAGTATCCACTTAAATCTGATCTGAAAATTGATTCAGTGTGCTAAGAAACCAAGCCTAATTGTGAAACATTAACCTACCAAGCCCAGCCATGTGATATAAATCGCATGACTGGGCTTAATAACATATTCTTCTCAAGTTACAAATACCCACTTGAAACATGTTTTTCTAGAATAAAAATTCAAGATCGAGAATTAAAATTTTAATTTATTTCTAAGTTTTTAGTTCAACAGATTTTTTGATGATGCAGTTAAGTATTTTTTTTAAAAGACTATAAACTATATTTAAAAAAAGGGTTAAAAATCCTTTTTTTTATATCCAAGATCATCATTAAGCGAAAATTTAAAGTGTGAAGTATGTTTTCCTGGGCAAAAAAGAGCCGAAATATTTCAAAAAAAACTTTTAAATTTCATTCTAATAGTTCAAACTGTAAGTTACCATTCTATAATTATTCTATAATTATCTAAATTATTGAATAAATACACTTTGGTCTTAATTTTTTATGGTTATTATTGCATTTCATAAAATATTTTTAAAATAGTTTTTTTTAATCAAAAAAGTTTTCTGTTATTTGCTTTTAATGATACCTTTCTTCTTGTGAAAAATAAATTTCAATTGTTCAATTTTTTATAACTCAATGTTTTTTTTATTCTGTTTTACTTTATTAGTGAGTTATCAATGTTTCACTATATTTCTTTTACAAATTGTATTTCTTTCTTCTTTCTAAGAAATTTAAATTTTTTTTTTTACTTTACTTTAGAAAACTATCAGTATTTTGATGCAAAAATTAATGAACTGTCCACCAGATGTTGCGAAAATTTAAAGTCACAGGGTTTCAAAGAGTAAGCAGCTTTCTTTCATTTATCATTTCATTTAGTGTAAAGTATTATTGTGTATTTTTTTATTATAATTTTTTTTTCAATATGTTAATAGGGAAGAGCTTAGTTTTGATGTATTTTTAAACATGCGTTATGAAAGAACTGATTGTTCATTGATGTGTCCACCTTTTCCCTTTGCATCTGCTTTGTCATGTGCTCACGGAGACTTTTTGAAATCCTTTTTGGAAAGGTAAATCATCCTTTTCTAGTAGGCTTATTTTCACTTTTTTAGTTAATCATAAGTTTTACAGTGGCATTTTAAACATTTTGAAACTCTTATTTTATTTTTTATATCTCTAAGTTTGAGTTAAACTCTAAAAAATTTGAAGCCATTCTAAAACACCTAGTTTCTTTCCTTTTTTTTAAAAAGTTCTTTTACTTGTTTTTGTTTCCAAAATTAAGAATTTTTATTTCCATAAGTTAATTTATAAATGAAACTAGGTGATTGAATCATAAAGAACTAAATAATTAAATTGTATAATGTACAATCAATAAATAATGAAAGAGGGACTATTAAAGCTATGTTATTTAGAAAAATTGTGATGAGCCTGAAATTAATCAGAGAAACAGCAGCAAGGTCTCAGTGGTTAAAGGCACTGAGCTGTCATTATGAAGGACGGGTTTGACCCCTGATGGCTTCTTTATTGTGTCATTTTCAGATTAATAGGTACCAGCTTGTCTTGGAAGTAAAGGTGGTTTAAGTGCAATCAAGCAGTTATGCAGTTGGCCATGAAATTGTGGAGCCTTAACCTCTGTGAATCTTTAGGCCAGCAAGGGACTAGTGCTGGAAAGCTTTAATTTTCTTTTTAAATCAGGGAAAAAATAAGGACTTTACAAAAAAGTTATTTAGCTCATATCTGAGGTTCGAAGGTAGTTTGATTTAGTTTGAGAAATTAATAATTTTTAGTATGATAGGGAACATATCAAAAATAGATCACAATATAACTTTGAATTTAATAATTATGAAAAAAGTTTTTGTTAATTTTTTTCCACTGAATGTTCAAGAAGGNTAACAAATTTTCTACTTGAAAAAAAACAGAATATTTTATACTTTTAAAAAGTATATTTTATACTTTTAAAGTTTTAAAAGTATGTTTGTTTTTTAGTGTTTTAGTTTTATACTATCTTTTTAATTGCATGGTATTAATTTTAACTTGATGATCAATAAAAATTATCATTCATTTGTTTTAAAAGTTTGTTAGAGTTTTAGTATATATTTTTATACAAGATTATTTATTGCATGATAATAATTTTAATATGATTATAATAAAAATTATCATTAATTTAATTTAGTTTAATATTTTTCATAATATTTTATTACATCACAATTTCAGTTTATTTTATGTTTCACTCTTCTGATTTAGAAAATCGTGATACAACTTTTGTGATTAATGCTGGTTATTTAATTATTAGATATGCTGGTATTCTTTCCGCATTTGGCATGGCTCTTGCTGATGTTGTCTCTGAAGAACAGGAGGCTTGTGTTGAAGTTTATTGTCCAGGTATGTGGAATACAGGGTTGCCACAGGTGACTAAAATGCGACTATTTGAAACTATTTTCGACCTGAGGCAACTATGGCTACTTTTTTTGCTTAAAAAGGCTTTAAATGCAAATATTTTCAGGAAAAGGAGACTATTGGAAGACTTTTCTGTGCTCCTAGCAATTTTTTTTTAAGCATAAATTGGATTTTCTATTCAAATTCGAAATAATTCAAAGAAACTTTTAGACTTTTTAACGGTTCAAACTGTAAGTTACCATTCTATAATTATTAAAATGAATAAATACACTTTGATCTTAATTTTTTTAATGGTTATTATTGCATTTTATAAAATATTTTTAAATTAGTTTTTTTCAAGCAAAAAAGTTTTCTGTTATTAGCTTTTAATGTGAAAAATAAATTTCAATTGTTCAATTTTTTATAACTCAATGTTTTTTATTTTATTTTACTTTATTAGTGAGCTTTCAATGTTTCACTATATTTCTTTTACAAATTGTATTTCTTTCTTCTAAGAAATGTAAATTTTTTTTACTTTAGAAAACTATCAGTATTTCGATACAAAAATTAATGAATTGTCCACCAGATGTTGTGAAAATTTAAAGTCACAGGGTTTCAAAGAGTAAGCAGCTTTCTTTTGTTTAGCATTTCATTTAGTGCGAAATATTATTGTGTATTTTGTGATTATAATTTTTTTTCCATTTGTTAATAGGGAAGAGCTTAGTTTTGATGTATTTTTAAACATGCGTTATGAAAGAACTGATTGTTCATTGATGTGTCCACCTTTTCCCTTTGCATCTGCTTTGTCATGTGCTCACGGAGACTTTTTGAAATCCTTTTTGGAAAGGTAAATCATCCTTTTCTAGTAGGCTTATTTTCACTTTTTTAGTTAATCATAAGTTTTACAGTGGCATTTTAAACATTTTGAAACTCTTATTTTATTTTTTATATCTCTAAGTTTGAGTTAAACTCTAAAAAATTTGAAGCCATTCTAAAACACCTAGTTTCTTTCCTTTTTTTTAAAAAGTTCTTTTACTTGTTTTTGTTTCCAAAATTAAGAATTTTTATTTCCATAAGTTAATTTATAAATGAAACTAGGTGATTGAATCATAAAGAACTAAATAATTAAATTGTATAATGTACAATCAATAAATAATGAAAGAGGGACTATTAAAGCTATGTTATTTAGAAAAATTGTGATGAGCCTGAAATTAATCAGAGAAACAGCAGCAAGGTCTCAGTGGTTAAAGGCACTGAGCTGTCATTATGAAGGACAGGTTTGACCCCTGATGGCTTCTTTATTGTGTCATTTTCAGATTAATAGGTACCAGCTTGTCTTGGAAGTAAAGGTGGTTTAAGTGCAATCAAGCAGTTATGCAGTTGGCCATGAAATTGTGGAGCCTTAACCTCTGTGAATCTTTAGGCCAGCAAGGGACTAGTGCTGGAAAGCTTTAATTTTCTTTTTAAATCAGGGAAAAAATAAGGACTTTACAAAAAAGTTATTTAGCTCATATCTGAGGTTCGAAGGTAGTTTGATTTAGTTTGAGAAATTAATAATTTTTAGTATGATAGGGAACATATCAAAAATAGATCACAATATAACTTTGAATTTAATAATTATGAAAAAAGTTTTTGTTAATTTTTTTCCACTGAATGTTCAAGAAGGTAACCTATTTTGTCATTGAAATTGTTTTTTTTTAATGACTATTTAATTTATTTGTACCACAATCTAAATTATCATTGATTATTTAGATTTCCAAAAATTTTTTCAATCCTGCATTTTTAGCTTCTGTTATATATGCTTAGGTACAAAAGAGAGTTTGGATTTTGCATCCCTGATCGACCAATCATTGTTGATGACATTCGTGTCAGAGCTATTGGAAATAGGCATCTGAATTTGGCCGATACTATTGAGGAAGCAGCAGATCCTCCACAGCATAAAGAGGTAAATATAATATGTTTCTCGAACAATAACTTTTAATTTGGATTTAATTACAGGCACTAGCTTTACATAATTATATATTTTTTCAAGTCAAATTATAATTATATATTCTTTCAAGTCAATAAGTCTGCATTGTTATATATTAATTAGTTTTGCTCTTTAATTTTATTGAATTGATATTTATTCGATGTAGATACATAATTCTAAGCAGAAACTTAATAAAATATGAAAAATCTTTTTTAAACTCACTGTTACTTTCCCATTTTGCTTGTTACTTTCTTACATTTTTTTTAAATGCCAGTATACCAGTGAATTTATTTTGTAAATTTAATTGGTTTTGACAAGTTGTGCTCTGTAATATAAAGCTTTTTTATTTCTCTGAGCATGGTATATTTTTAGCACAGTATATCTATAGAATTTTCTTTTGAATTTATGCAGTATATGAAAATAAATTCCATGTTGTTTAAATATTGACAACAAGTGTCTTTTACTTAATGTTTTTGCAAAAGCTCGTTTTTTTAAAAGTTGCATATTGAATTAAAAAAACATTTAAAATCACAAAATTTATTTATTAAAACATATTCCAGTTTCGGGATCATGTGTTACACATTCATCAGTAGGATAATATGACAGAGATGACAATAACATAGATGATTTACTAACTGTCAAAAATTTATTGAATTTCTAAATTTTCTAAAAAATACGCTTCTTAATCCCATTTTTATTAAAAATATCAAATTTTCTCTACTTCAAGTAGGTTTTGTTCACAATTAATTAAGATTTCTTTGATTGCAACTAGATATCTGATTGTGTTTCAAACTATGTTTTCAGATTGTTCAGTGTTACTTTGATGATGGTTATAAGGAAACTAAAATATTTCTTCTATCAGATTTGTTATATAAGCATGAAATATATGGTCCTGCAATAATTATAGATGTTAATTGGTAAGCTCATTTCATTAAGTTTCCATTTTTTAAGTATCAAAAATAATCTGTAAATACATTTTTTAAAAAAATATATTTTTGGTCTTTTTTTGTATATAATTTATTTGTTTTTCTTTTAGTTGTAGGATATAAAATTTAATCAAATGTAAATTGTAATTTATTAGCTAAGATATTTTTATTAAAAGATAATATTTTGAATATGTGGCAACAATTTTTTCGAATGTTGGCAGTCTAAAAATGTACTATTTTGTTTATATCTCTTTGTAATTTATTTATTTTTTATTATAAATATTGACTTTTATCTTAACAATACTAAGAAAAAATGATAGAATTATTAACATTTATAATTTTAACTTAAATGTCGTGGGATTTTAAGTAAATTCATTGTTATGTAGCACAGCCAAAAGAGAAGTTTGTGGCGTAGCTACCACTATGATTATTAAACATCATTTCACTACTTTATAAGACATGCTAACTCAATTCAATCTTGAGGTATCTTTTGATAGATGACGGTTGACATAATCAAAAACTCTTTCATTGTGACCCCCCCCCCACGTGATGTGAACATGCCTACTTCGATGGATGGTCCACATTGAACAGTTGACTTGCTATTTGTGGCCATGTCATTTGTTTCTCAGTCTCAATTACACACTAAGGGATCCTGCAAACACTCGACCACTAATGTCAACCAGCAACACTCAACTGCTAATAGCAGCACAGCAGAGACTACACACACAACCGTGAACTTAATACAGCTTTAGCAACAAATGCTCAAAATTCGGCGAACTTAATACAGTTCTCACCACAAGCGCTCAAAATCCGATGAACTTAATACAGCTGTCCTGGTCTTTCGCATTTATGACTACTAGTATCCGTTCATCCAATTCTATCCCTGATAAAATTCTAGTGGAGGAGTATTGTGGCTTAACTACCACTACAATTACTAAACATCAATTCACCATTATATAAGACATGCTGACTTGATTCAATCTTTATGTACCTTTTCATAGATGAAGGTTGGCATTGTCAATTTCTACTTTTCCCACAGGTTCACATTATTATTGACAATGTTTTGCAGGATTTGTCACTATGGCGACTGCTGTTGAAGTGAAAAGTATTTATGTTTTTTTCTTTCCTTTATTGATATTGTGAATCTGAGGCCACAATATTAATGTATGTACACAAGAGTTATAGTGTAAAAGTATAAACTCCAATAAATAATTTTAAATCTTCCTTTAAAACTAAAGGAATTATTCTACCTAAATATCTGAATCTGGCCTATTATCTTTAGAATAGAAAGCTTCATGATTTTTGTAAATGTGGTTTCAATTGGTGATGGTGGTGTAGATGTATTATACTTTTGCAATTTTCAAAGAAAATATAAAATTAGTGCATGTAAGTGATAGTGATATTGTTAAAAATGGTATAATCCCTTATTTTCTTTTTTTTTTGTAGTACCATTTTGGTAGAACCAGATTGTTTAGCATCTGTAACTAAAGATGGAAGTATTCTAATGAAGGTGTGCAATGTTTATTCATATCTAGCTTTCTTTTTAAGTTCCATTGCTCTGAAAGAATATCAGTCCTGTCACTATGTCTGCCTTATTCGTATGTAAAATAATCTCCTGATTGGGAATATGATCCATATTTTCCCTATCAGTCAGCCATCTTTTTCTTGATCATATGCAACCTCTTTATTTATCACTTTTTACAATTTTATGACCATGAATTTGGTTTGGGGAAGGAAAAGAAGAATTATTCTAACTTAAAGGTGCTATGGAAGCGAAAAGTTTTAAAACTTGAACATCTGCAGCAAGGAAAATTTTTTTGGTAGGGACAAATTTGCATCTTAAGTTGGAAAAAAAAAATTAAAAAAAAGATTTCTACCTTTTTCTGAATTTTTTGTTTTAATTTCTACATATTTTAGCTTTTTTTTAATTTTTAGTTTCCCTTTTTCCTACATCAAACACCCTCAAATAATAAAAGTATTTAGTTACAATTTTGGTTAAAAGTAGTCCTTGTAAAAGAGTTAGTAGATATGGACAGACTTTAGCTGTTGAAAACCTTCACTTTACAACAATGATACTCTCAGTAACTTGCACACTTAGAGGTTTGGGCAGGAATTTTCATCTTTTGGTAAGTAAATAATAAAAGTCAAACAATCTGTTTCCTTGCTTTTCTCCTCCTAATAAAATTCTTGGCCATGAAATTACGAAAAAGAATAAGCATATAAAGAGGTATTCTCAGAAAATATTTAGTAATGAGAGAAAATAAGGATTACATTTGGTTTCTAGAGGTATTTTTTTCATAGGGATCAGTAAGAATAGTTATATGGGCTTAAAACGTTTTCTTTCTGATCGGAATTTTTTTGAAATGGATATTATTAAAACTTTTAATATAACCTATATTTAAAAATATTGCATTCATATTAAAAAAGGGCATCACATTAAACTATTGTGCGTTCTAAAAATTTTCATATCCAAAAGAATGTGTTAAAACCATATTACAGACATAACTTTATTTAAATGTATAGAAATACAAATGTGCTTATATTTAGAAACGCTATTACATTTTACAAAATTACAATTAAATGAACTTCTTTTAATTTTAGGTATTAAAAGCATCTGTACAGGGTATTTCTACAGAATTGGATATGATTCAACTGTCTATCTTTTCTCATCGTTTCATGAGTATAGCAGAACAAATGGGAAAGTAAGTTCTTTATTTTATCACTAAATTCATTTGCACTTTTTAATACTTTGCTAATTTATTTCTATGTTTTTCATAGAATACTGCAGAGAACATCTGTTTCTACTAACATAAAAGTATGAATTTATCTTTGTTCTTTTTATTGCTTCATTCATTTTCTGTTGCTTTTTATTTTTAAATTTCTGTGCTTCAAAAAATAGCTTTCTTCTCGCTTACATAACATTTTTATCTTATTTGCCTTTAGAAACTGCTGGTTTTGAAATTATTAATATAAATATATAATAGAATATTTTTAATCCCCATTTTTAAATAGGAATTTTGGATAAACAAAATTTTTAGTAATTAGAATCAATTAAAGTTCTAATTAGTTTTTACTATCAGGATTAAAATATACGGTGCACAAAAAATAAACAAAACACGCTGAATAACTTTCAAATACTAGTTCTTGATCTTAATGGTTTGAGGGGGTGACTCTTAATATGCTAATTACTTAGTTTGAGCCGTGGTGGCTCAGGAGATAGAGCATTGGCCTTCCAATGAGGTGAACCGGGTTCGAATCCCAGCGATGGCTGGTTGATACAAATTCCAAATGTATTCGTAATGAAGAAATTAACAAATTAGTCAAAAAACTTAATATTAAAAAAATTATAACTACTATATACTAGTCTGACATTTTGGACATGATAAACATAATATGCTGGTTTACATTCGAGTCAGTGGTGTGTCTTAGACAATATTTACCACATTTAATATCATTCCATGGGCTTTTTAAGAACACTTTCTTGATATGTGCTCATAAAGAGGAAATCTGATACACAAATATGACAGCTTTAAGTTTGTGTGCACTGACTAGCATAATAGCTTCCTCAGTGGCATGACAGCCCTGGGTGGGCCTTTCCCAAGGCCTTTATCCATTTGGCAACTGTTCTCCAATTTTTTGTTTTTAGAATGTCTTTTTTGAAATAGTCGATCTATGTAAGGCTAGGTTTTTTAAATATTCAATAGTTTGGCAAACTTGTATAAAAAATCCTATAACAAGATTAAGATTAATAAGATTGAATTAGAGTTAGAAAACTGGTTTTCTGTGTGTCACTCTGTTGGTGACAGTTTAGATGTAGGAGAATTGTATTATGTATTTAAAAAGCATTGTAAGAAGAATTATATCTATATTTTTTGAAAGGTAACTTTATTTAAACTTTAAAAGCTTAGTTTTAGTTTAACTTACACTAGATAAAAATTTCTCCATTAGAAAAATTATTCTTGTATGAGAATTACATGTTTTCTTATATTTTTTTTATCTCACATTTATAGGAGAGGCTTGATTTTTCATGTGCACTCTTTGGGCCAGATGGTGGACTTGTGTCAAATGCACCTCACATTCCAGTTCATTTAGGTGCTATGCAAGAAGCTGTGCAGTTTCAAGTATGTAATTTATTATTGTGATTTAAATTTATCTGTTGGTTTAAATCAAGTTTTAATGACCAGTTTTAATTATTTTGTATATAAGGAGTTTTATTATTTATACAAATAATAAATTAAGTTTATTAATTTAAAAATATATAATTTTTTCATTATTTATGATTAAAAAAAATTTTTTTTTTTCATTTTTCAAAATGTTTTAAAGAAGTTTTTAAAGAAATATAGTTTATTGTTTGCAATTCTTTATAAATTTAAATTAGCAAGTTGAAAACCTGGAATAGTTTACAAAGTAAAATTTTTTTGGAATAATGAATTTTTTTGGTAATTTTTTTTTGTAGCTTTACATTTATCTAAACATTAGCAGGTACTGGCAATGTCGATTTTTTGAAAATTCCTAAGTATTTGTGTCTTTAATTATAGCATAATATGTATTTATTTATACCAAGTATGCATTTGTTTCTTTTACCTATCACTTAAACTCTAAAAATCATTGTGCTTAGACTTCAGAGAAAAATACAAATATTTGTATTATTAATATATTATAGAAGGCAGATGTACAATGTTTCTGAAAAATAAATACTAATAAACACTTTTTTCTTTATTTGAAAAAAGGAATCACATTTTTAAAAAGATGATAGGCTCAAATGGGTTTAACATAGTAATAGAATATTCTTAATAATAATTTTAATAAAATAAAATAAAATATTAATTAAATAAAATATTTCTATTTGATATCAAATTATAAAAGTGCTTGTTAACAGTATTGGAACACAAATGTTTTGTAAGATATTTCATGATGTTAAATCTTATAATGAGTAAAATGAAAAAATCAATATTTTTTAAAATTTACTTTTAGTTTTTCGTTGCTGCTTAGTGTTGCTTAATTTTAATTGGAATTTGTTTTCATAAATATTTGTGTTTACTAGGAGCTTATTCTGTGTGAGTTATTTGTGTTTCTTTATTTTACTATCTCTATATACAAATTTGTATGAATATATTTCAAACAAATAAATTTTAATTGTTAACAAAATCAAATTTAGTGTAAATTTTTTATAAGATAAAAGTATTTTATAAATCCTCGGGCCGGGCAAGGTTGACTCAGCCTTTCATCCCTTCAGTGGGTCGATAAATGAGTACCAAGCATGCTTGGGAACTAAACACTGGGGGTTCCGCGTTCGGCTGACCACTTGACCGGAACATCTGCTCCTGCACCCCAGAGCCCAAGGTCAAGAAAACTGAGATGGGCACAGT